TGTGAGGACTATCATCCTCTAGGCTATCGGGTGGGAGAGGCCGTCACCTCTCTGTGCTAGGGACGTTCTCTGACAGAGTAAATAAACAGTGTTGCCTACGAAGAAGTCTCTGCCTCCTTTGCCAACACTACAACACACCATCGAGTGTAGGTTAACTGGAGCAGCAAGGGTGTCGATGGCCAGCAGAGACAAGCGGAGGGGGACAGGAGGAGGAGGGCACGAGTTCGTGGAGAATCTTGAAGATGCTGAGGGTGAATATTGTGGTTGACCCAGGGCTGGACGGGGAGCCAGTGGTGGGACCTCAGGAGCTGGGGGTGGGAGTGACGTTGTGTCTCCCTCAAAGGGTGTGGGTGGGGTGTCTTGTGGTGACATGGAGACGAGACTCGAGAGAGGGGGACACAGGGGAGGGCATTGCTCTTGTCAAGGTGATGATGAACGCACGGGTAAAAAGGGTCTCCGCAGGAGATGGGGCAAGGAAGCTGCGGGTCCAGATGTCGCATAGGTTGAGGTCCTACAGAGTTTGAACAGTCGATAGGTCTTTCAAGTACTGCCCCTTAACCTCCTCACTACCATCATCAGGCTTTAGATCGGTGGTTCTTAACCTTCACTGCAGCCTTACACCCCTTTGGTTCTCAGTTAAAACACGTGTAGTGCCGTAGGTCTCGTCCTCCTCGTCTCCCTCGAGGCGTGTGCGAGTGGCGTGCGGTGTACACTCGGCCTCCTCCCGCACGACCACACGGCCGGACGGCCCCGGCCCAGACCCCGTACGCGTTGCCCCGACGAAGGCGGTGACGACGACGACGACGAGACCACTCGCAGAACTGGCTCTGTGTTAACCGCGCCTCCCTTCTCGAACCCACCAGGAGGGCTCCAGGGGCCTACCTATGAGGTCTACCGTGACCCTTGCCCGAGTTACTCCGCCCTGCCGGCACACACACACACCGTGCACACACACACACCGTGCACGCACACACACACACACCGTGCACACACACACACCGTGCACACACACACCGTGGACACACACACACACCGTGCACACACACCGTGCACACACACCGTGCACACACACAGTGCACACACACACATCATGCACACACACCGTGCACACACACACACCGTGCACACACACACATCGTGCACACACACACACCATGCACACACACACACCATGCACGCACACACACACCATGCACACACACCGTGCACACACAGTGCACACACAATGCACGCACACACCGTGCACACACACACACCGTGCACACACCGTGCACACATACACAGTGCACACACACACACCGTGTATATGCTCAGCGGCGTGTGCGCTAAGTGTTCACCTGCATTTGCAGCTGCTGTACAGCAGTCGGCGCTGTCACTACATATGTATAATGTAAAAAAATACTGTACATAGGTTTGATTAAATAAAGTTGTACTTACATGCCAGTGCTTAATTTATGTTGATGATTTACCTTTAAAAAATATATGGCCATGTCTCGCACAGACCCAGAAAGGAGATATCGCACTCCCAGGGGGTGCGTGAACCCCAGGTTAAGAAGAACCACTGCTTTAGATCATGCCTTTGTTACACAGTCGACCCCGTCCTTAACAGTCTCATCTCCACGACCACCACAGTGCGGCCTTAGGTTCAAGTCCCGCATGAATCCCTCCACACACACACGGATACGCCGCACACAGATGCATAGTTGCGAGTCTTTTATTACATCATGCAATTTGTCATCGCTGTCTGTACCATTTTTACCAACATTTGTCGCCAATGGAATTGCGACTAAAAGGCATTGCGGGAGCCGGTAATTCTAGATTTGAAGCTTTCGTGACTGCAAGGATTCATACTCTTTGGTTGTATTCGGTAAAGTCACGTAGATAAAATAAAATAAAACAATTAAATCACGACGTTTCGGAGGCAACACAAGCTTCCTTCTTCAGGTGGAATAGTCAAGGCAGAATATCTGTGACAGGAGCACAGTTCAGAGACGACCGGGATTATATACAGGTTAAGGGAGGGGGGAGGAGTCAGTAAGGGGGCGTGGCTGGGTGGGAGGGCTGGGTTAAGCAGCCTTTTGATAGACTGCTGCGGGTAACAGCCACTTGGCACTGCACGGGAGTGGGTAAAACCCACATTTTGTTATGCTGCGTGGGGGGTCGGGGGGAGGAAGAGACCTGCTTCATGTGTACAGCTCCATTTTTTTGAAGGCGGCGGCAAACGGTTGTTCAATTATAAGGTAGTTAAAGTTTGATATACAACCACTGAGAAAAGGAAATGGCTGTACAAAAATTCAAAGGCAGCTTGTGTTGCCTCCGAAACGTCGTGATTTAATTGTTTTCTTTTATTTTGTTTTATTTTATCTACGTGACTTTACCGAATCAAACCAAGGAGCCGGTAATGTTGGTTTATCTGCCGGGGTCAGCCAATCCCTCCTCCCATCCTCGTCCTTTGCAGCAAGCTCTTCAAATAATGTTGCTAAATTAAAACAGATCATCACAGAGTCTTTTCTATTGTCACAACTTCGATACTAGTACTGTTTGTTGATGGCCGCTTGACGTTTTGGCTGTTTTTTTGGGCCCCGTGCTGAGCAACTATTCGAAAAACAAAACAATAATCATCGTCAAAAATGGAATCTTCAAGCAAGTGCAGATAGAGTCAACTGCTGCTGCTGCATCAGCACACGGTGCATTCGAGCTTAACCTCCCTCCTACAGGCGGAGAGCGAGCTCTCTGGTACAACAAGGACCCGCACCAGGAGAGAGAACTCTCTGGTACAAGGACCCGCACCAGGAGAGACAACTCTCTGGTACAAGGACCCGCACCAGGAGAGAGAACTCTCTGGTAACAACAAGGACCCGCACCAGGAGACAGGACTCTCTGGTGCAACAAGGACCCATATCCGCTGTGTGGGCTGGCGAGGCGAGAGGTCAGTGGCAAGGCACGCACAGACAAGACAAAGATCCCCCGTATAGCCTGAACAGACGTTTGGGGCAAGTGCCGTTAGCGAGCACCTATTAAGGCCAGCACGTTATACGAAGGGGGTTGGTGGCCAGCACCACGCCCGGCCGCCTTTGTCTCCCTAGTGGCGAAGTTTACACACCGCACCAGGTACTCATTTGAGGCTGAGTCGACCTAGGGGAGGCCCAAGACCCGTTCAGATATATAATCGTCACTGGTATTGGCCGTGCGCGGGGATCAAACTCGGGTCGTCGGATTCGTAGTGCGGCGCGCCAACCGCTACACTATCGCTCCCCACACAGAATCGGAATCATAGTCACACACACCTCTCTGTCATACACTCAAACATACAAAAAAAAGACAATAAACCCCTGTATAGCCCACACACTCATTTGCACACATCTACGTAAAAGAGAGATTCCGACAGGCAGCCTACACACACACACTGTTGGGGCGTTTGCCATCACGTTCGTCTTCCCAGCGTTGATGTTCATAAGTCACGAAGACGGGCCTCCCCAGAGCCCAACGTGTTCGCTTACGGAACACTCCCCCGTTAACGATGGGCTGTTTAAGGTGCAGTAAATATTAATGAATGCATTGATTAACCATGTTTATTTTAATATTGTGTTTATAACGTCGTTAGTATCTTTATGTATTTATATCAATTGTTCAAATATTATAAAGTATGTTTTTTGGGGTGAAGAAGGGTAACTTCGATGCTATCGGAACGAATTAAGCCTTTGACGTTGCATTTCCTATCCTCGCTTTGTGACCGAATCGCTTAACGACCGGTTTCGTGGAAACCAATTACCGTCGTTAAGAGGGCCTCTTCTACACACCGCACCAGGCACCCATTTAAGGCTGAGTCGACCTAGCGGAGGGCCCGGGGCCGCTTCAGTTATCCAGCACCGTGAGTGGGGAACTGAACTTGGGTTACTGGGTTTCGTGGTGCAGTGTGCTAATCACTACGCAACCGCACTCCCCCACAGTCACGCACATTTAAGCGCATGCGTCAGGCCAATATACAAGAAGAGATCGTGATGGGGATGGAGTTTGGAATAGACATGTTGTTGTGTTTGGGTCAAATGAGCATTAGGTTTTTAGATTAGCAATAGTTAAGCGTAGGGTTTGGGGTTAAAATTACGTATTGGGGTAGGGTTAAAGTTAAGCTTAGGAATAGCATGAGGTGAAGTAAATATGAATATATCGGGTTAACATTAGGCACAAGGTTGAGAGCATGGACTGGATTAGGCGGTCATAAGGCTACGTGTGGGGTGAACGACAGGATTAGCGGCAGGGCTAGGGGAGAAATTTTGATTTTTTAAGCAGCACTCTGTTCCCAAGGGCTCCGCTCGGGGGTAACGGACATTAGTCTCTTGCACACGAGTCCTTTCCACGGCCAGAATACAGCAAAGTTCATGGCATTGATTAGTTTTGCGAGGAAACAGAAAATGAGGGCTGAACATCTGGCGCTTGATCCCATCACCCAGAGCTGAAGCATCTGTACAGGGGTTTATTGCGTCAGTCGGTGGTGGAGATGCGCACACCCAACAGATTAAATGCACTTGATTACGGGTACACTATCGTACTAAATTACAGCAACGCGTTAAAAGTGGCATAGCTCACTATTTTATTCAGTTATCCAGCACCGTGAGTGGGGAACTGAACTTGGGTTACTGGGTTTCGTGGTGCAGTGTGCTAATCACTACGCAACCGCACTCCCCCACAGTCACGCACATTTAAGCGCATGCGTCAGGCCAATATACAAGAAGAGATCGTGATGGGGATGGAGTTTGGAATAGACATGTTGTTGTGTTTGGGTCAAATGAGCATTAGGTTTTTAGATTAGCAATAGTTAAGCGTAGGGTTTGGGGTTAAAATTACGTATTGGGGTAGGGTTAAAGTTAAGCTTAGGAATAGCATGAGGTGAAGTAAATATGAATATATCGGGTTAACATTAGGCACAAGGTTGAGAGCATGGACTGGATTAGGCGGTCATAAGGCTACGTGTGGGGTGAACGACAGGATTAGCGGCAGGGCTAGGGGAGAAATTTTGATTTTTTAAGCAGCACTCTGTTCCCAAGGGCTCCGCTCGGGGGTAACGGACATTAGTCTCTTGCACACGAGTCCTTTCCACGGCCAGAATACAGCAAAGTTCATGGCATTGATTAGTTTTGCGAGGAAACAGAAAATGAGGGCTGAACATCTGGCGCTTGATCCCATCACCCAGAGCTGAAGCATCTGTACAGGGGTTTATTGCGTCAGTCGGTGGTGGAGATGCGCACACCCAACAGATTAAATGCACTTGATTACGGGTACACTATCGTACTAAATTACAGCAACGCGTTAAAAGTGGCATAGCTCACTATTTTATTCATACCAAAGGCCACAGAGCTTTACCGCTCCTTTTCAGAGGCCGCCTAGCAACACGTGACAGCTCATCCAAGTGGCTTATATCGTCACTTCGGTGAATTTATAGCATCAGCCAAATAATGGCAAAGCATGTTTCTAAACGTGGAGTAGAGGGTGCAGGACCTGAGGAACCCGGAGAACAATCCACGCAACCAGCACGGTAAGCGAGAACACGCAGACGCCAAAAATACAACAGGCATCGCCAGGTTGGGGATTGAACCCGTGAACTCCTACGTGCCAGACGAGCGAGATAACTAACATCTCCTCACCAGCGTGGGTGCCCTGGATCATGCTGCGGGCATAGTAAAGATAAGAAATACACCATCTGCTTCAGAGGGGACTTTAAATGTCCTCTGACATTATCCGAAAAAGAGTTGCCCAAGTGTCGCCCCCTGTCGCAGTGGCAAGAAGTTAACTACCCTACCTGGTAGGCAGGAGTTCGTGGGTTCGATCGTAACCCTGACACCTGTATATTTGGATTTTGCATGTTCGCTCCCCGTGATCACGTGGATTTTTCTCCAGCTCCTCCGATTTTTCCCTGCATATTTAGAAACACGCGTTTTAGAGTAGTATTTGGCCGCTATAAATGCCCACGTGATGAGCCACTTCGTTGAGCTATCATTTGTGATAGCCAAGTCGCTTCTGAAAAAGAGCTGCATAGCTCAGTGGACCCTTACCTCGTAAGATAACAAATTTAGTTTATTTTCGTATTGGAAAACATAACGTGCAAATGAGTTGTTTGTAACGTTGCAATGGAAGCTCGACAACGGTGCATCGCACGCATTCGGGGATGCGTTGTTGGACTTTGCGGGCAATGTCAAGCTGGGGGAGCTCCTTGACTGTCCGCGCGACTACCTGGGAGATGCAGGACCAGCATCGTACACCTCGGGGCGCGGGTGTTTGGGGTTGGCGGGTATCGTGCTCGAACCGAACGATGCACATTTCTCATTTCTTTAAAACTGCTTTTTGTGTTCAGTTGGTTGCACTTCCCCCCTGCCGCGCCTCCGATTAGCACGGTTGGCTACGTACGGCGGTGTGAAAGAAGTCCAACATACACACAAACGCACACACAGGGCTCGTTTTTATTGTTGGGCCTGCGAGCACTCACTGGGTGCGGAATCGTCATCCGTGGAAATGTGACGGTAACTAGCCGAGCGATGAGGACGAAATAAATGACAATTGCCCTCGGAAGTTGTGAAATACCAAATAAGAGTGGCTGGCTCTCTTGCACCCCCAGAACTTAACCTGGAGGATGCGTTGCAAAAAACGCGTAGGGTGAAGATTAGGGATAGAGTTAAGCATAGGAATAGGCTTAAAATCAGGATAAAGATTTGGGATAGAGTTATGATTAGAAATATGGTTAGGAATCAGGGATCGGTGCTTGTTAACCTTGATACTAGAATCAAATGAAGGTTGTGCTCAGCGGTGAGGGGACAGGTGAGGTCTATGGTTATATCTCAGATAAGCCAAGGTGCAGCTTTGTACTGGAAAGTGGAGTCGAGTAGAGAGGAGTGACGAGTGAGGGATGTTAACTGCTGGTGAGCGCATGTGAGTCACGAGTGAGTGGCAAGTGAGTGCAGGTGAGTGCAGGTGAGCACTGGCGAGCACTGGCAATTGCATGCGATTACAGGTGAGTCACAGGTGAGTAAAGCCGAGTTCATGCGAGTGTAGGCAAGTTACAGGTGAGTGGAGGTGATTGCTGGTAGTGAGATTATGACCGTGGAGGTAAGTTACAGGCATGTGAATGCAGGAACAACAAGTCACTGGCGAGCACGAATGATTACACAGGTGAGTGCATGTAAGCATCGCTGAGGTCCGCTGAGCAGAAACGAAAGGAGTGCAGGTGACTCACGGGGGGGGGGGGGGCCTGTGAGACGTGGGGGGGGGGGGGGGCGGTGCACGCAGCACGATGCCTCTTCACGATGCCACGGCGGTTGTGGCGGAGGTCGTGGTCGCGACGTCGCCGGGTTTGGCAGAATCCTCCGCACAGACGCTGCGCAGGTACTCCTCCTCGAGGCCTTGCTCCTGCCAGAAGCACGGGTGGTCGTCGCTCAAATACAGCGTCCTCCGTTTCAATGACGAGGCCCCAAAAACAACTTAAATGGCTCTTTGCCTTCATTCTAAAAGGCAACACTATTGAATGAAGGTGAAGAGTCGTTTAAGTTTTTTGGTAAAAGATAACAAACCCCATTAAAAACGGGACAATCCAACGAGCGGGCTGGAAAGTTTTAATAACACACAACGGTATGCTGCTGCTGCCGCTGCTCGCCGCTCCCAAGCGGCAGGCAGGCGCGAGACTCCCATCCGTACGCTTTGCGTGCGTGCGCCTTGTGAGCACCACATTGCATGTTCAACGCTCTCAGCCTGTGAAACATTGACGGGTCCCCGAAAGAGGAAATCTCCATTCCACAGCTGTCCCGATGATTTGGGATGGCCATATTTTCTATTTATTTTAGTGTTGGTGCTCTTTAAACAATAATAAAGGCACACACGTTCGGCTCTTTTGAGTTGGTGGTCGAGACAAGGCCGAGAGCATTATGCGTGCGATGTGGGGTGGGGGGGTCACGTGACGGGCAGTGGTACCAGGGCGCATCTCTCCGCCGTGTAGAACAGATCCGTGAGCGCCCTCTGCAGCTGGGGGAGCAGCCTGCGTCTCAGCGGCACATTCCCCTCCTGCTCCCGGTGCTCCCAACCGGCGCCGTCCCCCGTGCCGTGCTCCTCCAGCTCCAACAGCAAGCACCAGAGCGGGCGCAGGTGCTGCAGGTGGCAGGTCCTGGGTGGGCACGGGGAGAGGACGCGGGCGTGAGTGGAGCGGTTGTCACTGCCAGCGATCCGCCCTCCCTCCCAGCGATTAGAGGAATTGTCCTCGTCTGGGATCGTGGTCGTGATCGTGGTGGTGGTCGTGGTGGTGGTCGTTACAGCGGTGGTCATGGCGGTCGATGCTAGGCAACCTGACGGTGCTGCTGTACTTGATGGTGGTAGTCACGGTGGTAGTGGTAGTGATGGAGGTGGTAGTGATGGAGGTGGTAGTGATGGAGGTAGTAGGATTGTGGGTTCTGCTGCTGTGGTTGATGGTGGTGGTTACGTAGGTGGAAGTGATGTCAGCCTTGATGACAAGACACACTGACGGTGGAGGTGTTGATGGTCGTTATGATAGCAGCAATATCGGTCATCTTGATGGAAGCGGTCGTAGCGATGGAGGTGGTGGCGGCGGTCGTGACGATTCTCGACACACCGACGGTAGTGGTGGTGGGGATGGTGATATTGGTTCTGCTGCTGCCATCGCTGTTGGTCTATCCGGGCCCCTGTGGAACTTTTAGTCCCCCTCTTACCCTCGCTCGTGCTGCAGCACCTCCAGCAGCACCTGCAGGAGGTGCACGGCCTGCAGCCGCTGCTCGCCCGTGTTGCCGCACGCCGCGGCCGCCACCCAGGCCCACAGCTCGCCGGCCACTCGGGGCACCAGCGGCACCACCGCTCGCAGGATGGCGAAGCCTGCAGCGGCGTGACAGACATCAATGTCCCGGCGCACGTGGGACACGCAGCACCCCATGCCGTACTACGATGAAAAATAATCGATGCCTCGAGTTGCCTGGCTGGCTGCTGGCTGGGCTCCTCTCCACCCCAACGATAACTCTGTTGTTAGTGGCTGTGGCCCCTTGCCACTGAAACTAGCTGGGTAACTGGCTCCACGGGATGTTCTGCACAACGTATTAAAAACACTAGGTTGAAATGGCGGAAGAAGTTTGGAAGACGTTTAATAATCGATAGCGATGCCACAGAGGTGGGAATGAGGAATGCAGAAGGCTGACAGGGTTAATTTGAAATAGCTCTAACTTTTACATGCGTGGTCCTATTAATGGAATAATTTATTGTGATGTTGCACGAAATGTATTCTATCTGATACTGATTTATATTCCTGCATGCCCGTCAATGTCGTGTGTAACACGCGATTGTTTTTAGCACCGATTTCAATTTACTTCATTGTCTCTACACGCAAATGCTTTTGCCACTCTGGTGACCCGGGGTCACTTTTGCAAAATGAGATTCATCATCTGCGTCTCTTAACTTCTCGACCGGTTCACACAGACGCACTTGCTCGCCGTAAACATTTCTGAAATGGACGCCGGTCTCAAGGCAGCAGTACCTGCGTAGAAAAGTCCGTAGGACTTGGCCACCACCGTGAACTGATAGCCCCAGTCCTGCTGCCGGCTGCCTGTGAACTTGTAGCACAGCATGTCCCCTGTAGGGAAAGCACGAGGATCAGGATCCCACCCGTGTGAACTTACACATGTTGACGGGGGCACGTGCTGTTGGCGCGCTCCCTGTTAAAGCTGTTACGGCGCACGAGGGGCTGGGGTGTGGCCAGCACCACGCCCGGCCGCCCCTCGCCTCGCCACTGCCGATGTTGACACGCCACACCAATGACTCGCATAAGTCCCAGTAGACCTCGGGAAGGTCCAGGACCAGCTCGGATAATGACCAGTTATGTTAAACCACGAGTGGGAATCGAACTCTGTTAGCCAGGTGTTATGCGCTAACTACTGCACCCCCACTCCTCGCTCACACACACCCATTATTGGCACATCTGATGGAGCAGAGGTGGACACCCATCATTGTGTGCCCCACCCCCCCACACTGACTCCCCCCACCCCATTCGGCCTCACCCACACCCCACCTACCTTACTTTAAATCTAGATTGAAAACTAATTTCTTCAAAAGTTATTTTTGTGTTTAGTTTGTTGTCTTTCCCCCGCACCTCCGATTAGCACGGTTGGCTACGTATGGTGCGAAAGAAGTTAAATATACATACACACACCGACTGGCACCGCCATCGTCAACCCACAACGGCACCACCCACTCCATCTATTAGCACTGCTCATCCCACCCACTAGCACCGCCCACCTGACAATGGCACCGCCCACCCCACCCACTAGCACCGCCCACCCCACTTACTAGGCACCGCCCACCCCACACTCGCACGGGCCTCACCGGCGATGCTGAAGGGCTGCCAGTAGTCTGCGGGGCCGCAGCGTTCGTGGCGGTGAAGGTCGTGGGTCGGCACGGTGGAGACTATGAGCTGGTCGTTGGTGGAGCCAGTGCTGCAGCACGGGTGCAGGCACACCGACAGGAACGCTGCCCCCGGGAAGTAGAGACTCTCCTGCGAGAGAAGGAAAAAGCCGCAGAAGCAGCAGCGGGCAGCTTCTGTTGCATTTAATTTTTTTTTATTTAGGATTTGTATCGTGCACAGTTTTCGGTCCCTGTTGGAGAGAGCGATGGGTTTCCCGGCGCCTCTGAATCGGACAAGCTGGAAGTGGCGCCAACAATTTCCCAAGCTCTGCGGTCCCAACATTGGGATGTTTGGCCAACTCCATGGATGAGTTGTTTGTGCATGTGGCAGAAAGCCGAGTACCTGGAGAAAACCCACGTGTGCAAAGGGGGGGGGGGTGTAACACTAAATCCCTGTACAGATGGAATACAGGTGGAAATTAATCCGCTTGCTGGATTGCGATCGTACCCTGGCAAGCCAATTGGTGACCGACGCCCATGGGTAGGTGAGAGAGTTTCACAAATCTGTGGTGATCCATCAACTCTCGCTGCCTCCACAGTGCTGGATTACAGGATTACAGGTCGCCGGTTCAACCTCCCGGCACGGCAGTTCAACCTATGGAGCAAGTTTCTTAAATCTCGCCAATCCGGCCACTGCCTGCGTCTCTCCAGCAGCACACCACAGTCGATCAGCGACCATGTCGAATGGTTCCACAGGTGGACAGGTGTGTCATTCGGTGGATGGGTCGGTGAGCAGGTGAATGTGTGGCTGGGCGAGCGGGTGAATGAGTGAGTGGGCGTGCGAGCGGGTGGTGAGAGGCCGAGCGGGTGAGCGGGTGACGCACCTCGCGCTTGTACCCGTTCGGGTAAGGGTGCGGCGATTCCCGCGTGCGCTTCACCACCACGGGCTCCGCCAGGAAGCGAGCGGCAGTAAGCGCCAGGGCCTCCAGCAGGGGAGGGTCGCAGTGCGGCACCACCTCCTCCAGTATCTACACCCCCACCATCGTCATCATTATCATCATCGTCGCCACGACTGGCACTTACATCACCATCTCCCATCAACAGCAGCACCACCGCAACCACCATCATCGTCGTCATCATCACTACCATCATCACCACGACCACAACCGTCATCACCACTTCTGGATCATTATGTGAGTAAATAGGCCTATGTGCGAATCTCTGTGTCTATGTAAGGCTATAGATATGTGTAAGTCATTGGTGACTAGGATAAGACTTTTTTAGTTAAGTTAATCGAGTTTATTTTGTTTAACAGTTCAGAACTCTGGAGATGAGGATGAGTCTCGTATGCAAAAGTGACTTGGGGCACTACTCTTCCAGTAGGGGGCGATGATTGCTGCTGTGTATGATCCAAATTGAGTAATTTGCAGTGTAATTGTCGAATTTGGAAAATTTGGACCCTGACGCCAGCACACAATGGGCTACTCTTGCCATCTTTACCGTCCACTTTGAAGCAGACGGCGCGTAGTGTCAGTACGATTAGCGCGCACCGCAGTAATAACCAGGGCGGCCTGCCGGATTTGAAACCGTGAACCTCCGCAAACAAGCGGCGAACGGGCTACCGCTGGGCCTTGTCACCGCCCCAGTTTAAGCGACGGATTTATCTGACCAACACCCGGATTCGAACCCAGGATCTCCGTGGCGCCGGCTCCGTGCTCCGACCCCTGGACCACCTTCAGGTTAAGCTGACATTGTATACAGGGGGCCGACGACGCCGGGCGACTTCGCCGCAACAACCGCCTCACCTTCTGAAGCTTCTCCGGGCCATCTTGCTTCAGGAGTATATCGAGCAGGTAGGCCATGTGACTCGGCTCGGCCAATCCCAGCGCTTCGTGAACGGCTCGGACCCCGAAGGCCGACCAGTGGGAAAGCAGGTGGGAGATCATGTGACGTGCGCACAGGGTGGCGAAGGCGTGAGTGATCTGCGAGCGGGAGGACCCCGCGGTGGAGCCCGACGTCGCCCCCTTCCGTGGTTGCAGGGCCCTGAGTGTGGGGACACAGGGAGGCCCGGTCAACAACAACAACGATGACAATGGGATCAACAATAACAATTGGATAAACAACGACAGAGGAGAGGAGTAGAGAGGAGTGTTTCGGAGAGAGGAGTGTTTCGGAGAGAGGATTGTTTCGGAGAGAGGAGTGTTTCGGTGAGAGGAGTGTTTCGGAGAGAGGAGTGTTTCAGAGAGAGGAGTGTTTCGGTGAGAGGAGTGTTTCGGAGAGAGGAAAGTTGTCCAGATTAGAGGTTCCTGTGGAGGAGTGGACAGGAGAGGAGACAGGAAGGGAGGCGATATGAGGAGTGAATAGTGGTGGAGTGAATAATAAAGGATGGAGTACAGTTAATGTAAACCTGGGATTTCCCCCCCACCCACTCACTGCTGCAGGGCATGGTAGAGTAGGCAAGTGGATAGTAGAGTAATGTAGATTAGAGTGATCTAGAGTAGAGTGATGTAGGGTGATTCAGATCTGGGTGCCCCATCCGCTCACTTGTGCAGGATCCGGTACACTTGGGTAAAGTGGAGATCAGGGTACAGAGCTGAGAAGAGTAATGTAGATATAGGTGCGACACTGCTACAGGAGCTGATAGGGGAGAGGATGGTGAAGAGTAGAGGATTGTGCAGAGTACAGGAGAGTGGACAATAGTGTACAGAGATATAGGTGCGACACTCACTGCTGCAGGAGCTGCTCGAGTACAGGCTGGTGGAGAGTGGACGATAGTGCAGAGTACAGGAGAGTGGAGAGTAGCGAGATGGGTAGAGTGGAGTGATGTCGATGCGGCACTCACTGCTGCAGGAGCTGGGCGCTGCGCTGGCGGACGATCTTGGCCGCCGTCGCGGTGAGCACCGGCTCCTCGCTGCACACCGCGACCGACACGGCCGCCACGGCGCTGTAGGGCACCGCCCGGCGGCATACCCCCGGCACCGGCTACACCGCGCGCAGTGTACCGCACACGCAGGATTAGCTGCTCGGATAATCATCACTCGGCATCGTCAGCAGCGTCATCGTCGACAGCATCGGAATCGGAATCATCGTTAAGTTTCATCACATCCATCATCATCGGTGTCATTGTCGACATCACCACCATCGGTCATTGTCATGATCATCATCGTCGTCAAAACAACAACGTTTAGTGTAATGTTTATTTTTTTTATACAGCAGCGTCGTTCATGCAAACCTCAATTGCAAAATCGCTGTGGAACCACAGATGCCGAGCTGGAAGGCAGCAGCCAGGCGGTGAGCCGGCGCTTCCAACAATTGCCCAAGCTCTGCCGTCCTCTCTGTATTAAGATGATTTCAGGAAGTGAATGATGAGCGTGCAAGCGGGCAACGCTCTATCCCGTGACAGAAGGAACAGATGGAGATCAGTCTGCAATATGCTGTACCGTCCCCGACTCCTGGCGACCCAAACAACATTGCGGGCCTCCGTCTAAGCCACTGCTGGAAGGAGGCCTCCCCACGTGTCACAATGGGTAATGTGCACCGATTGGCAGCATTCCTGCGCGGCCACAGCGGCTCGCTGCTGTCAGGGACCCCCCCCCCCCCAACCCCTGGCGGTGCTCACCTTGGTGGGCAGCACCACGACGCCGCGATCCACGTGGGTTTCCCAGGGCACCTGGGAGGCCGAGGCATCGGCAGGCGCCCCCCGCGCCACGCCCTCCTCCTCCCCCCCCATCAGCGAGGAGCCCCCCAACCTGAACCGCGTGGCGACAAAGGCAAAGATCCCCCGTGTAGCCTTGAACAGACTTTTGGTGCAAGTGCTGTTCAGCGAGCACCTATGAAGGCCGACACAGCACGTGGGGAGGTGGTGGCCAGCACCATGCCTCGGCACCTTTGTCTCCCCAGTGGCGATGTTTACACACTGCACCAGATACTCGTCATGAGGCTGAGATGACTTAAAACCGGTTCAGATAATCATCACTGGTGTTGGCCATGAGCGGAAATTGAACCGCTCCACTACCGCGTGGTGACAGGGAGGCAGGGAGGCAGGCAGGCGGGGGCAGGCGGGGCAGGTGGGGGAGAGGGAGGGAGGGAGTTTGAGTGGAGGAGGATGAGCTCACTGTTTGTGCAGCTCGAGTGCGAACGAGTGGAGCAGGCTGGAGTGGCGCTCCCACAGCGCTCGCAGGTCATGCGGCTCTGCGCCCAGAGAATCCCGGCACAGCTGCAGGCGACACGGGGAGAGAGAGAGAGAGGATGACTTTGATGTTGATGACAATTATGACAAAGATAACGCATATGATAACAGACACAGGTTGAAGATGAAGATATGATGCTGACAAATATGAAAACACAGGCGCATAGATGACTGTGATGAGATCAATAATGATGCAAAGGATGATGATGATTCATGATGGTAACTGATGATGGCTAAGACCATCGTCACAGGCTAGCGACGCCGAATGCGCCGAAGGCACCGTGTCTCCAAGCGTCCCCACCACACCTTGAGTAAGACCTTGGTGGGCTCCGGCAGGTCCTCCAGGGGGTCTACAGGACTTGCACCAGCACTGTCCACCTCTTCCTCCTCCTCCTCATCGTCTTCATCCACCCCATCTTCCTCTGGTCTTCCCTTGGGATCCTGCTCCTCCGCAGGCTTGGCCGAGGGGGTCACTGTAGAATTCCCAGGGTCCCCTACACTGGGGTCCCCCCCTTCACTGAGGTCCCCTTCACTGGGGTCTCCTTCTCCGAGGTACTGCATCAGGGATAGCATCTGGGGTAGACAACAGCGAGAGGGACACTCCCCATTAACGACGCACCACCAGCAGCAGCACCAGTAACAACAGTACCAGCAAAGCCAGCACTACCAGCACCAGCTGCCAAGCCGCAATAATCACCACCACCACCCTCGTCATTCTAACCACCAGCATCCTCACAACCCTTACCAGGTTCACTACCCTTCCCACCATCCGTATCACCCTTACGAGCCTCACCACGCCAATCACTCTCTCCGCCATCCTGACCACCCGTACAGTGAGGGAAAAAAGTATTTGATCCCCTGCTGATTTTGTACGTTTGCCCACTGACAAAGAAATGCTCAGTCTATAATTTTAATAGTAGGTTTATTTGAACAGTGAGAGACAGAATAACAACAAGAAATCCAGAAAAACGCATGTCAAAAATGTTATAAATTGATTAGCATTTCAATTAGGGAAATAAGTATTTGACCCCCTCTCAATCAGAACGATTTCTGGCTCCCAGGTGTCTTTTATACAGCTTGTTACCTGTATAAAAGACACCTGTCCACAGAAGCAATCAATCAATCAGATTCCAAACTCTCCACCATGACCAAGACCAAAGAGCTCTCCAAAGATGTCAGGGACAAGATTGAAGACCTACACAAGGCTGGAATGGGCTACAAGACCATTGCCAAGCAGCTTGGTGAGAAGGTGACAACAGTTGGTGCGATTATTCGCAAATGGAAGAAACATAAAATAACTGTCAATCTCCCTCGGCCTGGGGCTTTATGCAAGATCTCACCTCGTGGAGTTGCAATGATCATGAGAATGGTGAGGAATCAGCCCAGAACTACACAGGAGGATCTTGTCAATGATCTCAAGGCAGCTGGGACCATAGTCACCGAGAAAACAATTGGTAACACACTACGCCGTGAAGGACTGAAATCCTGCAGCGCCCGCAAGGTCCCCCTGCTCAAGAAAGCACATATACATGCCCGTCTGAAGTTTGCCAATGAACATCTGAATGATTCAGAGGACAACTAGGTGAAAGTGTTGTGGTCAGATGAGACCAAAATGGAGCTCTTTGCTTTCAACTCAACTCGCCATGTTTGGAGGAGGCAGAATGCTACCTATGACCCCAAGAACACCATCCCCACCGTCAAATATGGAGGTGGAAACATTATGCTTTGGGGGTGTTTTTCTGCTAAGGGGACAGGAAAACTTCACCGCAAAGGGACGATGGACGGGGCCATGTACTGTCAAATCTTGGGTGAGAACCTCATTCCCTCATCCAGGGCATTGAAAATGGGTCGTCGTGGGGTATTCCAGCATGACAATGACCCAAAACACATGGCCAAGGCAACAAAGGAGTGGCTCAAGAAGAAGCACATTAAGGTCCTGGAGTGGCCTAGCCAGTCTCCAGACCTTAATCCCATAGAAAATCTGTGGAGGGAGCTGAAGGTTCGAGTTGCCAAATGTCAGCCTCGAAACCTCAATGACTTGGAGAAGATCTGCAAAGAGGAGTGGGACAAAATCCCTCCTGAGATGTGTGCAAACCTGGTGGCCAACTACAAGAAACAGGCCGAGGGAGATTGACAGTTCTTTTGTGTTTCTTCCATTTGCGAATAATCGCACCAACTGTTGTCACCTTCCCACTAAGCTGTTTGGCAATGGTCTTGTAGCCCATTCCACCCTTGTGTAGGTCTACAATATTGTCCCTGACATCCTTGGAGAGCTATATGGTCTTGGCCATGGTGGAGAGGTTGGAATCTGATTGATTGATTGCTTCTGTGGACAAGTGTCTTTTATACAGGGAACAAGTTAAGATTAGAAGCACTCCCTTTAAGAGTGTGCTCCTAATCTCAGCTCGTTACCTGTATAAAAGACACCTGGGAGCCAGACATCTTTCTGATTGAGAGGGGGTCAAATACTTATTTCCCTCATTAAAATGCAATTCAATTTATAACATTTTTTGACATGCGTTTTTCTGGATTTTGTTGTTATTCTTTCTCTCACTGTTCAAATAAACCTACTATTAAAATTATAGACTGAGCATTTCTTTGTCAGTGGGCAAACGTACAAAATCAGCAGGGGATCAAATACTTTTTTCCCTCGCTGTATACCGGCCTCGTGCCACCCTCACCGCGCTCGCCACGCTCACCACCCTCACCACCCTCACCACCCTCACCACCCTCACCGGGTGTGGCCTCACCTGGAGCTCGGGCAGGAGCCAGGCAGTGCTCAACCCCGTGCCCCTCAGCGCCAGCGGCCCCAGCTGCGGCAGGAGGCTGGATCGGAAGATGGCGGCCAGTGCCTCGCCCTGCGCATCACCGTCCTGTGAGCTCTGAGACGGCAGAGGCACCGCAAAATGCATGTAATGTATTTATAGATGTGTATACTGGTGTGTAGGGTATGTGTGTGGTGGTGTACAGGACACGTGTGTGTGTGTGTAGGGTGTGTGTGGTGTACAGGACACGTGTGTGTAAGGTGTGTGTGTGGTGGTGTACAGGACGTGTGTGTGTGTGTGCAGTACAGCAGTTTTGTCTTTCGGTCCCCATATCCTCCATCACCCCTCTACCCATTGCCCGCCGCCCTCCCCCATCAACCATCAACAACAACGGCCACCATGCGCCACCAAGTGGCTGTGACATCATCATGAAGCTTGTGCCAGGCTAGGTGCACTTTGAGGCCACGTGAAGTGTCGAAGGCTCGCTGGCAGGAGGTCACGGGACACACTCGGGTGCCGTTGCTTGACCATCTCACACCACCACCCACCACACATCCCCCTCTGCCCATCACCCATCACCCATCTCTCCCAATACCCTTCCCCCATCGCCCATCTCCAGTGGTCGCCGGTTCGGTTCCATCATCCCGACGCAACAGCTGCAACAATGGAGCAAGTCTCTTAAATCAGCGTCTACCCCGCAGTACAATTTGGTTACACCACAGCTGATCGGCAGGTCTCTTGTGGTTGGGTATACGTCCACCTCTTCAAACATGTTATGTCAGCTTAGCAAGAGAACTCTAAATACCCTCTAGAGCCCCTTCCAGCGGAGGCCTTTCTGTCAGCAGTGGCACGAGCAGGGAATTATAGGGCTGCACCATCGCCGCCTCTTTATACGAACCCTGCTGGTGCTTCATGGCTACCGACCTGCAGCAGGTGCAGGATTGCCTTGAGGCTCAGGGCCAGCACCAGGGACTCGTTGTAGCTCAGCGCCACCCCCTCCGTCGCTCCCACAATCTTTTGCGGCGGCAAAGAGGGCGGCTTGTCGGCCCGCTGCAGCAGGAGGCCGGCGATGCCGGTGAAGAGGAGGAGCCGCTCGGTGTGCTCGCTGACGCCCGGCGCCGCCATCACCACGTCCAGCGGGGCCCGTCCCAGCGGCGCCAGCTTCAGTGAGTCGTCGTCCACTGACGGCGCCGGTGGCGGCAACAAGACCACGGGGTAGAGGAGAAACACGGTGAGAAGCCACGGGCAAATCCTCGCCGACCCTCACCATTATCGCCAAGTCCGGTACCCAAGCCGATCCGTATCTCTATCCAGGGCCCTAACCGAAACCATAACCCAATCCTAAACCCCAACCCCCAAAGATCAGTTGATTATCTCTGCAACGTGCCATACGGAAGAAGAAAAACCTAACCCAAACCCTCTCTTCATAACCCTGTCACCAAGCCTCTCCACATCCCTATCCAAAACCATAACTGTATCATCCCTGACCCTATCCATAACTCTGACCCTATCCAGATGCATATCCCCTGAAGATGATCCATATCCAATTCACTAACCCCAACCCTATCACCAACCAACCCTTACCATAACTCTAACCGTATCCTTAACCCAAACCCCAACCTTTACCCCAAACCAAATCCTAAATTGATCCCCTATCCCTAAACCCATTGACAACCCTCTTTTGTGAGTACGAAGATGAGTCAAAATGTTACATCATGCAAATGATCCCAAAATACAAGGATTCTAAATTATTCTTAAAAATACGAAATACAATTTTATTTATCCAAAACTCATCCCCACCACACTGCATTGTATCACCTACCTGTATCTGACCATAGGCTTTATTTAGTATGTGAATATTAATTTAACACGTAGGTTTTCGGATGCAAAATATCACGATTCATAATTAACTTTTGGGTCAGGCCACATGATGATCTGACCACATCCGTGTCACTGAGACCGCTCCCACCACCCGACACGGCCAAAGCAAATTAAACGAGTCACCTTTGCGTGCAACCGTTTTAACGATGCGCCAATTGTCAGTTTCATCTCGCCCACCGAACTTGATCGATTTGAAAAGCGACGTTTTGATCGCAACTGCACAAGCATATATTCAGAACGAGATCCAGGAAGTGAGAATGAGCGGCGTGGGTGGTAGCGGTGGCGTGCGCTCTCTCTCTCTCACCCTTGCAGAAGAGGCGCGTGCGACAATCCACCACGACGCTCTCCCGCTTCTCCGTGAAACGCCTGACCGCGACGACGTCCTGCCGATGGCCGCTCGCGTCCTCCCGCTGGGCTAGCATGCCCAAACCCAGCACGCGCAGCTGGGTCACGGGGTCAGCGCACGTGGGGGTGGGGGGGTCAAGAGGTCAGCGAGCAGGGTCACCGGGTCCGGGATAAAGGATCACGGCGTTAAGGTTGTCGGCAGGTGTGTTCGCAAAGTCAGCATGCGAGGTCACAAGGTAAGCACACGGGGTGACAGGGTCAGTAAATGGGGTCAAGGGGCAGGGGCAGATCGCGTGTCGTCTCAACTGCTCACAATTGGTTGTAAAGACGTTCACATCTAAGCGACGTCACCTCGCTAGCCCCGTGACGTCGCCTCCCTCACCCCGTGACTTTACCTCCCTAGCCCTCCCTAGCCCTCCCTAGCCCCGTGACGTCGCCACCCTAGCCCCGTGACGTCACCTCGCTCGGGATGGCCGTTAAGAGCAGGTAGCTGATGTTGTCCCAGGAGAGGTCGCTGGGCAGGCACGAGAGACGGTCGCTGCAGAACGAGCAGAGCGCTGGGCTCCAGCGGGGCTGCGCTGCGAGCGCGTGCAGAATAGCGGTGATGGCGCTAGCCCAGTCCAGCCGGCCAGTCCTGCAGGCATCAACCACGCACAGGTGGAGTCGGGGAGGTAAAGATACCGCTGCGGTCGGCAATTGCTTCATAACATATTGTTTGGGCTATGCCACGTAGCGATCTGGGCCAAGTTTGCATCGTAAGACTCTCGCACCACGCAATATTTAAAAATTAAATTGCCTTGTATACAAGCGTTTTAGTTTTTTAGATCACACCAGATGAAGAACAATTCGACGTTTCGTTTGAATCTGCTGGTGGAACGTTTTGCACGAGGAGGGAGCTCTGGTGCTGGCCCTTCCCAGGCGTCCAGGAAGAATTGGGAGTACCCACGCTTTACCCCACCACACGCGACGGGCACAAGCGACTCCCTGCGGCGAACCCACTGCTGGGTGGACAGAGGAATTGGGACGGATTTTAAGGAACTTGCACCGTTGTTTCAACTGCCGCGCCGGGAGATGCAATCGACCTGGCGACCTCTGGCTTTGGAAGTCTGGTGCGCTGCTGACCGTTACACCACTGTGGAAGCTTCCCAGAGTATGGCAGAAGCGTTAGGCATTTATAGAGCCGCCTGCCAGGTGGCTCAAGAAGTTAGAGCGCCGACCCGGTACCCCTTTGATCCTGGTTCAAACTCTGGGTTTTAGACCGATTGTGAGTAAACCTTGTTCTCAAGCGCAGCGAATCGATGGTCTCAACCCCTCTCCGTTTTTAACATTTTAGCGATCGCCACCGGAGCGGTTAGCGCGCTGCTGCTAGATACCCGGCGAAGGGAGCTCGATTCCCCACCACGGCTAACATCAGGGGCGATTGTCATCGGAGCCGGTGCTGGATCTCTCCCCCTCCCTTCATCATCCTGCAATGACCAACGTGGTGAAGCATGGCGGCAACATGGGCCAGCAGGTTCACGGGTCGAATTCGCCAGGCCACCCTAGTTAATTCTCCGGTGTGTATAACCCTACGCAGCAGTGCCAATCAAAATCTGCTTTGGACACTAAGGTCATGTCGGTTCTCTGCTATCGCCCCCTCGGTGTGGAACTCTATCCCTTTGCACATCCACAACATCAAATGCACTCAGACTTTCAAGAAACATCTAAAGGCCTCTATCTGTTTGGTCAGGCTGTTGAGCCATTCTGAGCTTAGCTCCGCGCTTCTGAGTTGACTTGTCTGTAAAACCTGACATGTTACGTCATTATTATTAATATATGCGCAGCCATTTGCTTCACAGAGGAGATTAAGATCCTGTGACGTCGTTATGAAAGAGTAGGCCCATCGTGTGCCGCCATCACGGACCAAATTTTACAAAACTTGAAAATGTACCCAAAAAAAACTCAATTTGGAAACGCATAGCAACAAGTCCCCTCCCTACTGCTAAACTACAGCAGACTGCGTCCGTGACACACGGCACTGTCGCTAGAGATGGCCTTGCGCCACAAGAATGACACGAATACCAAACGTGCCCACGACCATTAGCTCTCAATTTTCTTTGCAGCTCAAGAGACGGCGACGCCTCGTAGCCGCGGGCGCCCCACCCACCCACGACCCACCCACCGTCCCACCCACCCACCCACCGTCCCACCCACCCACCGTCCCACCCACCCACCCACCGACCCACCCACCGTCCCACCCACCCGTTGGTGACGGTGGCCCCCAGGCCGATGAGGTGAGCGAGGGCCGCCCATCCGTCCGGTGGCGGCGCACCCGACCGCGCCGTCGTCATCGCCGCCGCCGCCCTCACCGCCATGGCAGAGTCGGCCTGCGCCGGCGCCACGAAGGGCAGCGTGCGTCCCAGCAGCGCCAGCGCCATGTGGGGAACCCCGGGCCCCGAGCGCCAGCCGCTCCTGGGGGAAACCGCGTCGAGCAGCAGCGGCACCAGCGGAGATAGCGCCTCGGGGAGCGGCTGGGAGTCAGGCGAGGAAGTGTTGGGTGGGGAGGGGGGGCAGGCTTAATTGTAGTAGCGATGCCATATCATTATTTACGATACGATACCGATTTATTATGACGGTTATCGCGATATCAGTAAGCCCAAACTTTCCATTCTACATTTTATCATATTGGTTTTGCACTTTGCTGTACTTACAGAATGAATAAAGATTACTTAAATCCTTTAACTGCAGTTCATGCGACATAAGCCTGCAATACGGCTTCTGACAGTTTTTATCACTCCTAACGCCCGTGATTGTCAGTTACACGCAGGAAATAATTGGTTTAAATGAACTTCTGCAAAGACTCTCGGCTCACTTTAAGTTGTGATGTGGGAAAAGAAGCGTGGTTAATTGGTAACATAGCTATTTATCTACAACACACTACAACCCGAAAACACATCGGACAGATGTAAAGGGCAACCGCGGACACCTACTTAGGAATGCGAGTCTTCCAGGGGGGAACAGATTAGCCACGGGGGAACACAGATTTCTCCGACACCGGCACCGACACCAGCAGGACATCGGCACTGCAAAAATCGGCGCAGTCTCAGACGGGCCCGCGGCGTCACCGCCGGTCAACCGTTACCTCCATGGGTGGTGGCAACATGGCTGCCAGGAGTCCCAGAATCCTCTGCTGCCGGCTCTGGCGCACGAGTGCCGCCGCCTCGTCACCCTGCTCCTCCTCGCCCGTGCTGCGCAAGCGCTGGATGAGGAGCTGAGCACAGCGGGCGGAGGGCGCGGGGAGCCGGGAGGCGAAGCCGCTGGGAGTGCCCCTGAGCGCGAGCACGGACAGCGCATGCCAGGCGAGCGTCTGCAGGTAGGGCCAGCCCGACTCGTCGCTCGTAAGGAACACCGCGGAGGGCTCCGTGTCCACCGCGTGCTGCGCCGTGTGCCTGCGGGCAAGGGGAGCGAGCGGTTATGCTCCGTCTGTCTTGAACCATTTCCCACAAACGTACGGATGCTGCCTCAGCGGTTTAACGTTTGGACGCGGTCGACACGCACTCCATTTCGACTCCATCTCATCTACCAGAGTTAACGTGTTTTTTTCTTTCCCCCCACCCTCCCCCACCCCCCCCCCCCCCCCCGAGTCAGTTTTTATTTGGAGGCCTGGCTGAGACCATTCGCGCACGCATCTTACACCGCGGAGTGGGGGGGGGGGGGATGTGTCATGAGGTGCGCTACTGCCGTTACCCAGGAGGGAAATTGCTGTGGGTCTGGCAGCCCAGGCAGAGCAGGAGGTCGGGGCAGGAGAAGCAGGAGACGCGGCTGCGCAGGAGGAGGCCCCTGCACGACGCGCACGCCGCCTCCAGGCGCAGCAGCTCGTGGGACGAGTCGTGGCCGCTGGGCTTCACCCCGCCTGCGTGAGGACACGCACGGCACCACCGCCAAGTGTGGGTACGTGCACACACGTGTATGTGTACGCGCGCAGCACCACTGTTAAACGTGGGTACATGCTCACAGACGGCGATAGTTGTGGCAATTACAGAAAGATAATTCCGTTTTGGAAAACGGCATAAGTTACTCAACTTGTAGGGAAACATTTCGTTTCGAATAAATCAGATGATTTCTCTCCGTGTTTTAATCTTTCCTGATTCGCATCCCATCTGCGCAATTGGCGTCACATCACGAGATGAATATTCCATTGGCAGCTCTCGCAGAGCGCTACAGGCCCCTCGTTTGAGAGAACGGCCCGCAGAAACGGATATCATGGAGCTACCTCTGAGAGAACTCTTCTTTAAGTGTGCAGACTTGGGTCCACCACACCGATCGCTTCAGCTCATCTACACTTGCTCAACCACCACCACTGCAGGCCACAATACTTACCGAGCCACTCACTGACCCACCACCCACCCACCCACTCGCTCACCACACTGCAGGTCACAACACTGAATTTTGTGCTTCGTTCCCCGCACTGCTCCACTTTTCAATTCCCTCCTCCCATCATCACCATCATCGTCGTCGTCGTCTCTTTGCCCAAGCTTTTAAAACAATAACCCTCGCTCAATGCAAGAAACGTATTACATTCTTTATCTATGACAAATTATTCGACAGCGCCGTTTGTAGCTGGCAGCTTTGCAATTGAGCCATTTGTCCAGCGAAAGTGACCTCTGTTCCACGGCGCGCTCCGCCACTGCGTTCCAGCGTTTGTCGCGTGACATTTTTACTTTTTCTCCCACGGGTTTACAACAGCCGAGTCGCGGCTCACCGACGAAGCAGTCGGTGCACAGGGTGCAGTCGGTGCACTGCAGGCAGCGGAAGCAACCGTGCAGCGGCAGGGAACGGCACGCGCTGCAGAGGGTCTCGCGGTGCAGCCGCTCCCCGTACTTCACCAGAAACGTCTACAGCACGCACGCACGCGCACGCACACACACACACACGCGGGCACACACACACAAGGACTCTTATACACGTTTATAGATCTACCCCTAATGCTTACCACCTGAACACCTCTAGCTCTACCCATAACCCGAGCTGTACCCCCAGCACTAACCCTACCCCCTAACTATATACATAATGCTAGCTGTACCCCAACACTAACACTATCCATACCCCTTGGTTCCCCCTCTGGCTCTACCCCCAACCCCTAACGGCTGGGCCGAGCTTCTCCCCCCCCCCCCCTCACCTTCTTGCACTTGTCCGGCTTGGCATCGTGGAGTTGGCGGAGCCAATCGGCGCTGTCAGACGAGAACTCCTGGAGCCAGCGCTGCTCCTTCTCCCAGGCAGCCAGCTCCTCCGCTGCATCTGCCGACTCGCTAGGTGGGGGGCGGTGGGGTGGTTGTGAGCGAGCGTTAGTGGGAGGCGCAGGTTCACGTGGTGTGTGGTGCTTAAACGAGTCCCAAGGTTTACAGAGCGGCCGTGACACTCGTGATTCCTCGGCGTTTCCCCAGGTCATCCCCCACGGTCCCACGTTACCACGGCAGCGAGAGGACGGTAGCGGTGGTCCCTAGGGCGATGCCGACGAGGATCTCGGGGAGTTCGGCCTCCATGAGCAGCGAGGCCTCGCTGGGCTCCCAGTCGAGGCACAGCAGGTGCAGGGCGGCCGTAGCCAGCGCCACGCGCGAGCTGCAGGGAGCAGACATCCAAGCGTCACCGCGAAGATGCAGCCAGGGTCACCGCGGCGACGCGCGTGGGGCGGACGAATCGGTGGGCGGGCGTGCGCCGGCCACAGTGGCTGACCTGTCGGCGTGCAGCGATGGCAGTCGCAGCGTTTGCGCGAGGGTGCCGAGCAGCTCGCGGTACCGCTCCTGCATGGCAGCCGCCAGCTCCGGCCCACACGTCCTCACCCCCTCAAGTGGGTACCTATACCATGACACACAACTATCATCACGGCGATACAACCCCACCGCGACCACAACTTAGCCACAACCTTCAAGACATCCACAACATACAACCATAAACCCAACCACAACTCTACCGCTACCACAATCGGTTTGTCTGAGAAGGGGTCAGCAATTTATGAGGGCGGCACTAAGTTAAAGAAAGATTAAGAGTTCAGGTCGAATTGGGATGGGGGGGGTAAACAAAGGTGGGAAAGAAATAGGGAGCTGTGAGGTTCCCGGGGTCCCGGCCAGGGACGTCACTGAGGCAGTCGGTGCCACTGACGTTTAAATCCCTGCGAGAAGGGGAGGGAGGGAGGGAGGGGGGGAGATGAGATATGAACCGTGGGACGGATTCTGAGGGGGACGAGGCAGCCAAACGGCTCAAAGGAGCCGGAGTTGTACCGAGGCAGCGCGAGCTGGTGAGCGAGCAGGCCCTGAAGGAAGGCGAGCGCCGGCGCCACCATCTCGAGATCGTAGAGAGCCGAACGCAGGCTGGCATTGACGCGCGCCAGGGACGCCGCCCGTTTGTGCGCCAAGGCTGCCTGCTGCGTCACCGCCTGCAGCACGCTGCACGCACGCACGCACACACGCAGCACGACCGGTGGTGGAACGTCAATGTAGAAAGTGCCGGCATGGAACCTATTCGTCCTGCAGCAGCCGATGCTCACCGACAAGACAAAGAGAAAACCCCCCCGTGTAGCCTTAACAGACTGTTGGGGCAAGTGCTGTTAGCGAGCACCAGTGACACTCACTCACAGACAGACACACTCTCACTCGCGCATGCACACAGCGACACCAACAGCCACCATTCACTAAGTGGTGGTGGCGTCACCGCAGGTCTTGTGTGCCGGGCCAGGTGCACTTTGAGGCCGTCACGTCAAGTGTGGAAGGGTCCGCTGGTAGGAGCTTACGGGACAGACCTAAGTGTTATGGATTCACCGAGGTGACTGACGAGATGCATCACGCTTGTGACCACCCTCTTACCCGCCTACCTACCGCCCCTCGGCCACACTCTCCCTCCTGTGCCCACCCCTGCCCTCACCCGTCCGGGGTCGCCTTCTTGTCCTTGACGAAGGCCAGGATGTCACCAACCCAGGGGTAGAGTCTCTCCTCACGGACGGGAGGGCGGACGCGGGCAGCGCCTGGTGAAGTTTGGGGAGAGGGGTGTGAGGTTGGGAGGCCGCCGGTGCCGGCTGGTGAAACCCCGGCAGCGGCAGTGGCCTGGCTGCCACGGTGCGGCCGGCACGGTCCCGCCAAGGCCCGAGCGGTCACAGTGGCCAGAACGGAGCATGTTTCTTGTTCTATTGTAATTGCATATGTCTATTACAAGAGCAAACATCATCATTATTATATTTATCATTATTATTACGCTTGTTTACCCAGGAGAACCTCAGAGTCTTGTAAGAGAAGGGTCCTGCCAAGTTTTGGCAGAAGGAGAGCGATGCTGCTGGTGCTGCTGCCTGTGATCCCAATTGAGTGATGTGCAGGTAATTTTTCAGCACTGGGATGTTTGGCTAACACCGGCTAACGTTGTACGTTGTACGTTGTATGTGTGCGTGGGTTTTCAGCTACGGAACAAGCACCCCCCATGTGGCATCGGGCGACTTCACCATGGTTAAACGCGGAGACATTTTAGATTGGTACATCGTGGAAATTATCTGTAAATGCAAAAAAGAATGAAAATTGTTCTTAAAAATCTAAAACAAATGTCACTCAAAAATCATGAACTTATCTCCGCTACCCAAAACGCCGTCCCTTACCCACACAAAGCCCCTCGCTCACCTGCACTGCCCGAGGCCGGGTCCTCGCACGAGTCTGGGGCGGTATTACGGACGCCCGAAATAAAATCGCAGCTGGGGTCGAAGTTCACGGGCGGCAGTTTCAGAAGGAAGAGGCATTTGCGGATGGACATCTCGGCTGCAAAAGTGTCAGCAAAAAATAAGTAATTAAACAATAACAATGAACCAATTCACTTTTCAACAAGTTCTTGTCATTAATTGCACATTGTAAATTGTGCGTGGTTTTTTCTGCGACACAAAAAAAGGCAGAGACCACACGAGTGAGAAAACTTTGAAGCAGTCGGACTGTTCCACTCACCCAAGGAGTCCATCTTCTGTCCACCCTCCTCCTTGCCACCCTCCTCCTTGCCACCCTCCTCCTTGCCACCCTCCTCCTTGCCACCCTCCTCCTTGCCACCCTCCTCCTTGCCACCCTCCTCCTTGCCACCCTCCTCCTTGCCATCCTCCTCCTTGCCACCCTCCTCCTTGCCACCCTCCTCCTTGCCACCCTCCTCCGCAAGCTCCCCAACGCTATCCTGCCTCTGTGCCAGCTGACACCGCCGTCCATGCAACAAAGAACAACATGCATACATCATGCATACATTGCTGACACGTTAAAGATATGGGTTGTCATTGGTGGCGTCGTGAAGTGTATTTTTACTCGGCCATAATATTTCGTGGGCAGCAAAGGGCAGTGTGGCCAAATGAGTCTTGAACTTCCGTCTTTGTTAAGTCTTCCGCACCACAACGCATCATACATCAGGGAATCGCTCCGTTCAGGCGCCACTCCGAACCCCCTACTATCCCTCCTTTTATTCCCTTAACCATCCTTTCTGGAACTTTCCATGACTCTTCACCAATACCATGATTTCATCCTAACGGTCTCCCATTTTTTTTGGCAGCAGCAGCAAAAAAAAGGAGTTAAATACGTTAAATAAAATCGTCAGCACAAAACTGTAATAAATATTTGTCCTGCAAAGGGGGGAAATAGTTACATATGCTTAATGGCTTGGTCATGACGTGCGATGCACTGCTGGGAGCCGGGACAACAGTTACATCACCACACGCAGTGCATGCTGGGATCCTGCACTATGTTGACCCCTTGGGTTGAACTCCAGGCTACCCTCCCACCGTCCCTCACTCCCAACCCTCCCTCCTCCTGCACTCCCCCACCATCTCCCCTCTCTCCCTCCCTCCGACCCCCTCCCCCCCCCCCCTGTTATTCCTTCCTGCACCCTCCTCTCCTTACCAGCCAGTTCCGGACGGTGCGGGCTTGAGCGTGAATCCAGCGCAGGTCCTCGGTATCCGCAGCCGGCGCCACCTCACCCGCTGCTGCAACCACAGGGAGGCGACGCGCCGCGTAAACGGTCAACTCAGAGAAACGCGATTCGGGCCCGAGTCACTGAGCCGCGGCCTCGTGTGGGCAGCTATAGAAATATTGGGCCCAACATAAAGAGCTTGATATTTTGGGCCTGCCCCTCCCCTAAGACCCCAAGCCTTCCCCTTGACCCACCCTAAAAATGTGTTTTAATAATGTGGTGAAATGAGAAAAAATAGCTTCCATACATTCGTTTATAAAATACAAAAGTGGCTATTTTTTATCATTTATTTGCATTTCGAATCCATTCGGACTCATATAGGACAGAATCAAACAAGTCCGAAATATGGGGCCGCTGGCTCTCATTGCCCCGGATTCAAACCATTCCCACCGAGTGCCACAATGAAGCGAATCATTCCAGCCCTGCCCAATAGAAAGCTGCCGTTCCTAGTTCACACTGGCATAGGGGACAGCTCCACGCAAAAATTGACTTCCACCTCCCTCCAACCCTACCCAACGCCGCTCCTGCCGCTGCTCTCACCGTACGGTACGAGCTGCTGCCACAGCGGCCGCGTGTGATGCAGCAACGCCGCGAAGACGGCGCGCGTGGCCACCTCAATGGCGTCGGTGGCGCCAGCACCACCAGCGCCACCGCGAGCGGCACCCCCCTCGCATGCCGAAAGCAGCGCCAGCCCCGCCTTGGAGCCGCGTGCCGACGCCAGCGCCAGCAGCAGCTCGTGAACTTGCTTGTCCGCCGGAGCGGCCTGCGGTGAAACCCGGGCGGTGTAACGATGAGGGTTGCTAATCGGTAACCGGACACAGTTTTGAGAATCGATGACGGGTCTCTGAAAGTCAGGAACCAGAGAAATCTATTGCCGTGTAGTTTTAGGAGGAAGAGGTGGACGTACCCACACTTTGCCCCACCCCATGCGACCTGCCGATCAAAGGCCAAGTGTGGTGAACCCACTCATGCTTCTGGGCGGCGAGGGCAACTTGAGAAACTTGCACCGTTGTTTCAACCGCCGCGATGGGAGATTGAATCGAACCGGCGACCTCCTGGTTCCAAGTCCGGCGTGATAACCATTCTACCATAGCAGCAACCCATTGCTAATGGATTAAACGATCACAATCCCTCTCTGGGCTGTGTCTTCCCTTTAACGATGAATACAAAAGTGTTACGTTTGTTTTTTGCGCGATTCTTAAGAGCGCAATGTGATGGAAGGTGCCGTCGGGTTTCACAGATATCGTCTGGTAAGTGCCTCACAGTAGGCGGTTATGTTGCCACGTGTAAATCGCAATTTCGGTGATTTTTTTCCAATTTGGCAAAAAATTTAGACTATTGTGCCGGCATACACAGCAGCCAACCGTTTACAAATTACATCGCAGAGTCTTTCACGGGCACTGCCAAACAGATGGCGCGTAGTATTTTACGGCAAATGGACCGGCACAATTAACCAGAGCGCTTTCCCAGTGGGGAAAGCGCTACTGCCAAGCCACGCCACTGCCCCCGATAAGAAAGGCAATTTAGCCCTGACGCAGACTTGAACCCTACTCCCTGGGTGCGAGGATCACCGTGTATTCCACTCCCGCGAGGTGCAGCGCCTCCGACCAGTACGTCGCGCCCAGAGCTCCCAGCATGCACGGCTTCTGCTTCTCACTCTCGTCGGCAGCTGCTAGGGAAAAATGCACAACACAAGGGTGAGCGCCTACGTCGCGACCGCGCGAGCGGTGAGCGTCCAAGCTAGGTCCGTGCGAACGGTGAGCGTTGATGCTACGTCTATGCGAGTGGCGAACGTCCATGCTGCATCCACGAGCGGTGAGCGTCCATGCTACGCCCATACGAGCGGCGACCATCGACATTGCGTCCCTGCGGTCGGCGAACATTCCGTTCCCCGCGTGCGACCCCGACCCCCGTCGGTCCCAGGCGCGGTGGCCCCTAACCTGGCGCCCTCTCCACCGTGGTGGCGACCTCCGCTCCGTGCAGCCTGCCCAGCAGGCGCAGGCTCAGCAGGTGCAGATCGTGCAGCCAGGGCACGGGGTAGTCGTGCGGTGCCCCACGAGCCGTCACCGTGAAGCGGTAGTACATCTCGCTGCCGTGCTGCTGAAAGAGCAGCGTGGGCCCGCACTTCATCGTCACCCCCTTGGAAGTCGCCGCGGAGGGGAGGGGGGGCACAGCGAGGGGGGAGTTAGAGGTCACATGGGAAGGGTCATAAACGGTTGAGGGTCCACGGTTCATAACCCATGCACAAAAAGCAGCATTTCTATCAACTATTTTTAGGGTGGAGCACGGGCCGCGGAATGGATACCGTGCAGGATTATTTTTTTTTAATACACGTGGGGAATGTGCACCTAACCACATCTCTCCTCCAGTCCTCTGCTGTGCTCCTCAATCAGCTCATCTATCCGGCCACCAGACCTCTGCCCCTATCATCCTTCACCTACCCTCATCCATGCCCAGCCAAAGCACCTATCTATCTTAGCACTTCATGCATGTGCTCCATTGCCCGCTGCCTCTCGTCCACGTTGCACCCATCTGTCACCCTCATTCACCATCACACTCCACCTTATTCTCCCTTCCCTACCCCTGCAACATCGGAAGCTCCATTCCCAGCCTCTGTGCCTCCATCCATTCCGTCACATTCCTGACAGCTACTCCACCCCACCCGATGCTCCCCTTTTGCTCCACCGTCAGCTTGTGTTATGATTTTCCCTGGAAAGGGCACTATATATAAAAATCATAAACAGAATAGAATTGTTCTTGCTCAAATTTCTATTTCCTTTATATCTCTACTTGGTTTTGTATGTTATTGTCGTCATTTCGCTGACCCAGGTAACTCTTCCAAATGGGACTCACCTGGTTACATTTACGGGCGCAAAACGCACCGATACACAGCATTCAACAAATGCCTTACTAATGTAGTGTTTATAATGACGAATAAACTTCTTATGAGGCACACTTATGTTTATTGTAATACTTCTCTTACACAGTCCTTAACACACAGAGGGGTATACGGTCTCCTCACCCGATACCCTAAGGAGGTACAGCCTCCTGACTTAGCGTGACCTACACACAGATCTCTTGCTAACCTAAGGAGGTACAGCCTCCTGTCCTGGCGGGACTTACTTACACGTCTACCGCTATCCTAGAGTCCTCCGGCTGGGACCTAGGGGAGGCTATCTGACCCACCGCTGGCCCGGTGGGTCTTGACCACTGGGTACGCCGAGCCTTAGCCCTCAGAAGGGCTGGAAGGCCAGGTCCAGGGTCCTGGCTATCTTCAGCCCGGGCCTCGGTCTTCGTGTAGGGAGAGAACTCCCCGCGCTCTCCGCGCTCACCCTTCTTATACCCGTTTGTGGCCAAGTCTAACCAATCCCACACTCACACGTGGAACTGTCTGATTGGTTCTTATCAAACTGTGGCTACGATCCACTTCACCTCGTCTGACCCCAACCGTTATGTACACAGAGGTAACGCTGCAATGCCCCTTTGATACCTAGTGGCAATGCAGGTTACCGAACAGTGAGTAGTTAACGCCTCTACACCAACACAAAACACACTGATACACAGCATGAAACAAATGCCTTACTAACACCAAATACACTGATACACAGCATTCAACAAATGCCTTACTAACAGCAAACACACTGATACACAGCATTCAACAAATGCCTTACTAACAGCAAACACACTGATACACAGCATTAAACATATGACTGTGGAGTGGGCAAGGCCTTTGGGCAGGGGGCAGGAGCAGAGAGGAAGCCACTCACTGTGTGGGTGGGCGGTGCTAGTGGTTGAGTGGGCATGAAAGTGGGCAGGGTAGACAGAAGAACAGAGATAAAGGGCAGCCGGCTCACAAAATGGACAGTGGTGGCTATGCACGTGGCCTCTAATCCAACACAGTGGTGGCTATGCACGTGGCCTGTAATCCAACACAGTGGTGGCTATGCACGTGGCCTGTAATCCAACACAGTGGTGGCTATGCACGCGGCCTCTAATCCAACACAGTGGTGGCTATGCACGCGGCCTGTAATCCAACACAGTGGTGGCTATGCACGTGGCCTGTAATCCAACACTGTGGTGGCTATGCACGTGGCCTGTAATCCAACACTGTGGTGGCTATGCACGTGGCCTGTAATCCAACACAGTGGTGGCTATGCACGTGGCCTCTAATCCAACACAGTGGTGGCTATGCACGTGGCCTGTAATCCAACACAGTGGTGGCTATGCACGTGGCCTGTAATCCAACACAGTGGTGGCTATGCACGTGGCCTCTAATCCAACACAGTGATGGATATGCACGTGGCCTCTAATCCAACACAGTGGTGGCTATGCACGTGGCCTGTAATCCAACACAGTGGTGGCTATGCACGTGGCCTGTAATCCAACACTGTGGTGGCTATGCACGTGGCCTGTAATCCAACATAGTGGTGGCTATGCACGTGGCCTGTAATCCAACACTGTGGAGGACGAGAGGGTTGGTGGATCACGCAAATGCCGTTAAATTCCCTTCCTGTGGGCGTCAGAGAGGTGCCCATACCCTGGGCTTGCCAGGAGGAGATGCAGAACATCTGTTCCATATATAAGTGGGGCAATTGTTGGTCGCGCCTGGCTGCTGCCACCTGTACCGCGTGTTTGGGGTTCCCATCCATGCCTCCCGAGTTGTTCTCCCTCTCTCTCTCTCTCGTAGAGTGAACGGAAGAAAAGTGTGCAGGCATCATTATTCTGGTTGTGTGTTCAGGTTGAGCCTCCCAGAAATGGCGGCTTTGCTCTGCTCACCATCAGCAGCTGCTCCTCGTTGTAATTGTCGGAGAAGCGAAGGTACGCGCCGTGGCCGTCCATGAACTCCATGCAACTGTTCCTGCGTGACGGCACGGATGGCGGAGCGTCGCGACGAGTTACGCACGGACCCGGCCGGGCCGAGCGCCGTGGCAGAGCCAAACTAGGACAAATATCACGCTGGGGATTCCGTAACGCCTTCCCGATGCTGCGTTTGTCCTAACAAAAGTATTTATTATTATTATTTAGTACCAGGAACGCGCACACGTACTTTGGATGCGGCTATCCTTCCCGGCCATCCTTTCCAACCAATGAGCCAGGTAAACTTTTTTTTAATGTAGTATGATGTGGAACACATGCAGGCTAATGCAAAACAACGAAATTATTTAACCAAAAACAGTGTGTGCAGCCTTAAAAGAAAAACATGTGTAACCGGCAACGTTTTGGGCAATGGCCCTTCATCATGATGCAGTGTTATTGACGAAAGTGTTCAGTTTCTTTCTTTGTAGTGCTTGCGCATCAACGCCAACGCAGCAGCAGCAACAGCAACATTATTTTCAAAGTTAATGACGCCATTCCCATGGTTGAGAACAGGGGGCGGCTCAGGCAGGTTACGACGCTCGAAGTAAAGATGGCAGATGGGTCGGTGTTGCGGTGTTGCCGCACCGCGGCATGTCGTGCTGTTGTGGTTTTGCGCCGTTGTGCCACGCTGTGATGTTGAAGTTTTGTGATGGTGTTGTACTGTTGCTGTGTTGTGGTGTCGTGCCGTGTTGTGGTGCCATGTGGTAATATTAAGTGTTGTGCAGTTGCAGTGTTGCAGAGTTATGCCGTGTCGTGATGTTATAGTGTTGTGCAGTTGCTGTGTTGTGGTGTTATGCCGTGTTGTGATGTTAGTGTTATGCCGTTGCTGTGTTGCGGTGTCGTGCTGCGTGTTGTGTTACCATGTGGCAATGTTATAGTGTTGTGCCACTGCTGTGTTGCCGTGTTGTGCCGTGGGGTTGTGTCGTATTGCGATGTGTCTGGCACCAGTACGTGGGCGAGCGTTTGTCGAACTCGATGGTGAAGGAGTGGGCGCCGGGGCAGAGGAACGTGGCGGCGTTAGTGGGGAACTCCACCAGCCAGCGGCCCAGCACCACCGACTCACCGCCACCACCACCAGCATCCTGCTCCTCACACTGAGACACGGACAATGGGAAATGGGGACACAGGCACACCAAGATATTGGGACATGTAGACACAGGGACACGGTGATATGGGAACACAGACAAGGTGACAAGGAGATAGAGTTAAACTGGCAAGGGAGCACCATGCATGTACTATGTTTAACTTCTTTCGCACCGTATGTAGCCAACCGCGCTCATAGGAGTACCTCCTTGAAGTATCCCTTGTGCCGATTGGCCAGATCAAACAGGCAGGTGACCAACGGCATCAGCTCTTGCTGCAGCGTGCACGGAAATTCCAGATCCACCAGCTCCAGCAGGAATGCGAGCTGCAAAAGTTTGGCAGAAATTGAAAACACCGCAATAATCCGGTCAGCGACCACCTCGTTTCCACCGCACTATCACTTGAGTCGTAGACTGGCATTCACTCAATTGGCCCGATCGTTCAATTGACCCGGTCTCTCCTGTCCAATTTTCCACTAGTGGCACATCCGAGCCAATCCAGCGCAGGTCCATTACTGTTCGGGTTGGGGCCTTGCATTCTCTACGAGCGTATACAAAAAAAAGCTAAAGAAATATGTCTGGTGTAGAGTAACAGATAATGATTTTACATTGAGGTGGTTGAGCCAGATAAATGGGTCAGGAGTAGCGGAGTGCACCGCTGGATGAATGCCTCCACAGTGTTTGTGAATTGGGCACCGAGTCGTCGTTAACTATTCCATGGTGTGCTCTGGTGACCAGAGTCACCGCACACTGCCGGAGAGTTCAAATTTCCATTTGTGCACCAAGTATCTGCATCTGCCGCTGCCATGGGTTGTGCAGAGGATGCGGTTTAGGGTTGTGGTCCATAAGCTTCGTGGAGGCTCAAGGCTAGGGATCGCCTGCATTGGGTCTTTGGAGAAGGGTGAGGGGGGGCACAGGACCGGATCAGACGACACTCACCACCGATGTTAGCCGTGGCCGGGAATAAAACTCATGTCGCCAGGTTCATAGCGCGAAGTGCAGTGCACTAACCAATGGAGCGCCGCCACTCCGACGGCTTTGGGAGGCCACCGTGGCCAATCATAATGATGACGACGATCGTGTTTGCTCACCAGGTGCCTGGTTGCCACGGCAACAAACGAGTGCTGGAGGTGGCTCACGGAGTCCGCGAACCGGTCCGAGGGCAAAGAAGCGAGGGCGGTGAGGGAAGCGACCGCCATCACCACCTGCCTCTTCACGTCTGCATCAAGCATAGACAAAAGATCCCCCGCTTAGCTTACTCAAGCTGTTGGGACAAGTGCAGTGCAGTGCTGTGCTGTTCACGAGCGCGTATTAAGGCCAGAATGGCACATGACGGGATGGTGTGGCCTGGGATTAGTTCAGATATCACTTGTCAGTGATGCCAATCCCATAGACAAAGGATCCCCCGTATAGCCACAACAGACTTTTGGGGAAAGTGCTGCGAGCGAGTAGCACCTACGAAGGCTGGCACGGCACATGAGCCGGTGAGTGGCCAGCACAACGGCCTTTGTCTCCCTCGTGGTGATGTTTAAACACCGCACCAGGTACTCATTTGAGGCTGAGTTTATCTACGGGAGGCCCAAGACCGGTTCAAATAGTGTGCTGTGTAGATGGCACGAGCAGCTTCAGTGTTGTGAATAGTTAGCACAAGCAGCGTCAGGGTGTTGTGAATAGTTAGCACAAGCAGCGTCAGGGTGTTGTGAATAGTTAGCACAAGCAGCGTCAGGGTGTTGTGAATAGTTAGCACAAGCAGCGTCAGGGTGTTGTGTATAGTTGGCACAAGCAGCGTCAGGGTGTTGTGTATAGTTAGCACAAGCAGCGTCAGGGTGTTGTGTATAGTTGGCACAAGTAGCATCAGGGTGTTGTGTATAGTTGGCACCAGCAGCGTCAGGGTGTTGTGAATAGTTGGCACAAGCAGCGTCAGGATGTTGTGTATAGTTGGCACAAGCAGCGTCAGGGTGTTGTGTATAGTTGGCACAAGCAGCATCAGGGTGTTGTGTATAGTTGGCACAAGCGGCGTCAGGGTGTTGTGTATAGTTGGCACAAGCAGCGTCAGGGTGTTGTGTATAGTTGGCACAAGCAGCGTCAGGGTGTTGTGTATAGTTGGCACAAGCAGCGTCAGGGTGTTGTGTATAGGCGGTGGTGCCAGCAGGGCATGGGCTATGCTCACACGCCAGCATCACAGCCCGGGCCACATCGGCCACCCCTTGCTTGCCCCCCTTGAGCGCCAGGTGGCACCAGCTCATGTGCTGGCGCTGCACCTCCACCAGCAGCTGCAGCAGGGCGGGCGGTTCGTGCCAGCGGCGCCCGCTCTCCTGCTACACGCCCCAACAACAAAATGTGCACAGCGCCGGCCAGCAAGTGGGCTTGAGTCGGTCAGCAAAGGGGGCGAAGTTGATATTGAGTTTAATCTAGCTTACGAGATTTTGAATCATATTATTTGGTAGTCACGCTTTTCTCAGAGTTCAAGGCTATCACAAAAAAAGCGCTCTGTTTCACAGATGTAGTCTGCAGTAGATTTCCGCAAGGGGGGGAGGAGAGAGCAATGTTGCTTTGCATAACCTCAAATGAGTCATTAACCCCAACCCATTTACGGGTGTATTTTTAAATTGGCAAACCTGGACTGTGACACGGGCACACAATGGCCAACTCTTTTTCCGGTAACGCCACAGGCTCCTTATCATCCTGTGAAAGTAGACTGCGCGTAGTATTTTAGGGGTAGTACGCACCGTGGTATTAACCAGGGCAGCCCACTGGGCTCGAATCACGAAACTCCTCATCAAGCGGCAAAGGGGCGACTGCATGACCCTGACGTTACCACCCCGGCGATGTGTTTAATAGAAGAAGCGCGGTTCTAGCGTACAGTTACGTCAGCCAATAAGACGGTCCACAGATGGTCGGTCCAAGAATAGAGCAGTCGGATAGTTGGTCCGATACTCGGTCAATCGTTCAGTCAGTGAGTCGAATAGCAAGTCAGATGGAAAGCCAGTCAGACCGTCACTCAACACTTCAACAGTCACTTTATAAGAGGATAAGTCAATCATTATATTGGCGTGAGTTACTCGGCTAGTCAGCCAGGCATTCAGTCAATCAGAAAGTCTGTCAGACATATAGTAAATCAGTTAGATCGTCAGTCAAACAGGCCGACAGTCAGTCAGACTCAATCGCTCTATTGTGTAGGTTCTCAGTTGCACCGTGTAGCTCTCTGTTGTGTTTTCGGGTTGATGTGTTGTTCGGTACGTGGAGGGTGGAGTGAAACGTTGGACGTCGTGCGGAACAATACGCGGAACAACCCGCACACATATCGGAGAGAGCTGCACAACCAATCAGCCCACGAGTCCGTACACCCCATTGCGTCGTCAGTCCCAGACCTCTCGACTTTGCCCTCACGACCCCCGCGAACCTCGCCAGTGACCTCTCACACCTGTGTCTGCGCGAGGTCGAGGAGCGTGTGGATGACCCTCAGCAGCGGCTCCGAGCGTTGGGGCTGCGTCGCCGACGGCGGAGGCAGTGGGCAGAGCAACTCAGGAAACTTGCTGCTCCGCGCAAGACGGGAAGAACGGATCAGTGCACGGCGATCCTCCCCACCCCTCCCCCCATCGCAACTCGAGGTCGCGACTCAACTCAAGCATCGATTCTCTTCCATTTTATGGTAGTCCCTCGGTTTACGATCCCATCGATTAACGATATTTCAATTTCCGATCCACCTCCCATAGGGTCCCATTGTTTCTATACATATTTGAACGATTTTTATTTAAAGTTTTCGTGACTGCAGGGATTCATATTCTTGGTTCTTTCGGTAAAGTCACGTAGAAGGGAAACAATAAAATAATAAAAATATAAAACAATAAAATTCTCACGACGTTTCGACTGCAACACAAGCAATCATCATCAGGTGTGTTTTCACACCTGGTGTGTATTCACACCTGATGATTGCTTGTGTTGCAGTCAAAACGTGAGAATTTTATTGTTTTATATTTTTATTATTTTATTGTTTCCCTTCGACGTGACTTTACCGAAAGAACCAATATTATATTTGAACGATGTTTACAACATCACGCGGCCGCCAATTTTGGCCAATCGGAGCGTTCCCTAAGAGGACTCGGCAGCAGACTTCAGCCAATCAGCGACGCCCTTTTATTGGCGTTTTGAGAACCAACAATCCTTTTCAATGACCGATGTGCGTAGCTTTTTCCATAAGCAATCTTGAATACTTAATGGCATTTTTTTTTAAACCCCCAGAGGTTTCAATAGAAGCAGACTCTCCTTCCAAAAAGTTATTTTCTCCCACCTCAACCTCTCCATCAACCCCTTAAGTCAACCATCTTCTTAGCCTAAGGTAATAATTTGTATTTTATGCTCTATTTATGCACCTTATAATGCTCTATTCATTATTTATCCATGTTTATATTAATGCTTTAAAAAATGTTGTTTTAACGTTAATTTATTAAAATTGCACGTTTAACGATTATAGACTATGTTTGTAGGGTGAAAATGGTCAACTTCCAATCGTCTTGGAACAAATTAAGCCTTTAATATGCATTTCCTATGTTCGATTAATGATAATTAAAATTAACAATGATTTTCGTGTAACCAATTAATATCGTTAACCGAGGGACCGCTGTATTTTGTTTCTAATGTCTCATCACAAATATTCTGTTGCTCCTGCACTGTCTGCCTGTCTCATTTATTCTGTCTTGTTCGTTCTGCCTTGCTGTGTCTTGCGATGTCTGTTATCTGTAGGGTCTCATCTCGACGATCCGTGCCATCTCATCTCCACCGTGTGTACTGCCCTGGTCCATCTCCGTCTCTCTACCTGAAGCGACTGCAGAGGGAGCGCAGGGTGAGCGACACGGACTTGGGCAGCCGCTCCTCGTCCCGCGATGGGGCACCCTGCACAACGACACGCAGCGTGAGGGTTAGGCTCTGGGTGAGGGTCCGGCTTAGGGGTTGAGAGCCTGCGTTAGGGTCTCAAGGTTTGAAGCCTGTTTTGTTTGTCCAGGTGAGAACTCAAGAGACCAGGATGAGTCTCAATATGCAAGAGTAGCCTGCTGGGACATTTGTGTGCCAGACGATTGCTATGCATAGTTCTCAATTGAGTTACTTGCGATGTGATTTTTTTTCTTCTAAAAATGTTGTCCCGAACGCAGGAACGCAACAGGTCGACTTTTGCAGGTGACGCGAGGAGATCTTTAACGTCCGCCGTGGAACAGACTGCGCACAGCGTTACTACTGCGGTCATTACACCCCCCAGTAATAACCAGGGCGGCTGCTGGCTTCGAACCGTGAACCTCTGCAACAAGGGATCAACATGCTACCGCAAGGCCATGTCACCACCCGGGTTAGAGTCTGGGATACTTGTAAGCGCTAGGCATTATGGGTGTAGATAGGGTTAAGAGCTAAGTGTTAAGGTGAGCGTATAGAATAGGAGTTAGGGTATGAATGAGGGCTTCAGGATAAGAGCCAAGGGTCAGGGTGCGAGTCCGGGTCGGGTTCGGTGTGCACCAGCATCGTGAAGAGCTTCTCTCGCGCTTCTTCCCCCGGGAAAAAAACAGCGGTGGCACCGCTCAGCGTCTCCTCCTCCTGGCGCCGCTCCGCAGTCTCCAGCTCCTTCAGTGTCCCCTCACTCGCCAGTTCCTCCTGCGGCGTCCCAGGCGGCAGCGCCGCCTTGTCCACAGCTATGCGGAGGAACAGGCGCAACGATAATTAACGTTTTACCGCCTGGATTCCGTGACAAAGATGCTCGGCGCAGTTGCAAGCAAAACACCGTCGTGTCCACCGCTTGCTATACTCGGCTGTGAGAATCGATCTTCAACTCTGACGCACCGTCGCACAGGTGCCGGTAGAACTCGGCAAGGCAGGCGCGTGCCGCCTCTTTGTCGGGCCCCATGAGATCGTGGGTAGCCAGGACGGGCCCCAGGCAGCGCAGGAGGCGGAGGAGGAGAATGCGAGCTGCGGTGCTCTCCGCAGAGTGGCTACGGGCAAACGAACGGTGCAAAAGAAGTGCAACATACATAGGTACAGACACAGGGGGGGTGCAAGTGGCACCATCAAGTGTGGCACAATCCCACGTGGACCCAATAGAGCCACAGCCAAATCTCAGTCATTTACAACACCCCAAAACAAAGCAGCCGTGTCAGAAGGCATGGGATGTTTCTGCCACTATTCGTAGGAGCTTTGCTTTCATAATAAAGGTTTTTGGGTTAGATCGCGTTATTTATAAATGTGTCGTAACCCTCCACCACTCGACACGGCAAAACAGTTAAAAATGTGTCACGTTTACAAAGGACAAAATAATTCACTTCTTTAGCCCACCGGTGTGTTGAAGAGAGAATCAACGTCATTTAAAATTTGAGTTGTACAACGTTTCGCTGGTAATTACATCCAGCTTCATCGGGCGATTTGCCAGAATGGTGCGGCTCTCCTCTTTGCTTTGCTTTGTCTGCAGCTCGAGAGCGATAGGCAATTTGCAGCGACCCATAGTTCTTAAATACACAGGTTGATAAAGGATCTTAATTATTTTTTAAACGTTTTATCGTTAGTAGCAGTATTACGCACATGCACTGTGTGGATGCGTAACCGTGCTCCCGGTAGAGTCACATCTTTTATGTGCATTTGGGTGCAATGTAAATCTCTAAAGCGTGATATTAAAACTCGACAAATGTTTACAGGGAGAGACCTTCTATGGTAAATGTGGGCCAAAGTTCGAGGCTTGGGCGGTGGCATCAACTCAGCTGCGCAGCTTCTGACATTGATAACAGCTCACCTGTGATGAACATCACCTGTGAATGTTCTCACCTGGGCAGCAGTTTGCTGTAGAGCAGCCAGAAGGGCTCAATCGTGAGGTCAGACACGTCCAGGAAGGGGCAGGGATCACGCTCACTAATGGCGCCCTGCACAGTGACGAGACACGTGGAAGAAGGAGGACACGGGCAGGGAGACGCGTGGAGGGAGGACGTAGGGATGAAAGACGCGGGGAGAGGATAACCAAATTAAGTCCTCGCTTAACGTGTTTTCATACAAAAGTTTTTGGTTCTTCGATTCGGGAATACTTTTTGCACGTGGAACGCACACCATTATAAAACGGAATACGTGGTGTTATGAACATGAAACGCACCACTGTTAAGGCGCGGAGCATGCCCCGTTATAACGCGTGACACGCCCCGCTATAACGCGAGACACACACCGTTATAACGCGTGACACGCGCCGTTATAACGCGAGACACGCGCCGTTATAACGCGTGACACACGCCGTTATAACGCGTGACACACCGTTATAACGCGTGACACACGCCGTTATAACGCGTGACACACGCCGTTATAACACGTGACACACACCGTTATAACACGTGACACACCGTTATAACACGTGACACACCGTTATAACACGTAACACACACCGTTATAACGCGTGACACACCGTTATAACGCGTGACACACCGTTATAACGCGTGACACACACCGTTATAACGCGTGACACACGCCATTATAACGCGTGACACACGCCATTATAACGCGTGACAAACGCCGTTATAACACGTGACACACGCCGTTATAACACGTAACACACACCGTTATAACGCGAGGCACACGCCGTTATAACACGTAACACACACCGTTATAACACGTAACACACGCCGTTATAACACGTAACACACACCGTTATAACGCGTGACACACGCCGTTATAACGCGTGACACACGCCATTATAACACGTGACACACACCGTTATAACAAGTAACACACACCGTTATAACGCGTGACACACGCCATTATAACACGTAACACACACCGTTATAACACGTAACACACACCGTGGTTTCTGGGCGGTCGACAACGAACTACTTGGTGATCTGTGTGACTGAGCGATACAGGAATTCAGGGTTTACGCACGGAGTGGGTACAGTACGCGGTGGCGTAGCCTCATCATTCACCTACGTGACTTTACCCAATAGAACCAAAGAGTATGGATCCTAGCAGTCACGAAAGCTTTAAATCTAGAATCCACTCAGAAACACAACAAGCAACCACCACCACCATCTCAAGTGACATTTTGTTGCATTTCTCATTTTTATATATGTATAAAAATAATCGTTATGTGATATATTTATTTTCTTCCCCATCTCTCTCTCACACACACGTAGCATATTCTTAAAAAGTCACTCATGTGAAATTCTGGCCCAGAAGGCAACCCCCCACTTTTAACGTTATTTATCGGTAAAATGTTTTCGCTTAACGTGGCATTTTTCAGGACCGAGTTCGACGTGCAATTACTGCGTAAAACTAGTAGTTGTTTGTGGCATCGGCGTCGCGTCACAAAACAAAGAATCCCTTTTTGGAAATATCGCGGGGAACGGAGCCTGCGTCGGGTACCAGGTCGTCCTGAACCAGCAGCAGGAACCTCAGCGTGGCCTCCACAAGCTCAGCACTCCGTAGGGGCCTCCCGTCCACCCAGCCTGGCGGTCCCAGCGGCCAGCACTCACTCTCCGACCTCAGGGAGCCGTGGAGCCGTGACCCCTGAACTTTGATCCCCGTGCCACCGTGCGGGCACAGGTACTTGATGAGGATAAACTGTGGAAAGGGAGGGCAGGGGGGAGTAGGTAGCATGGATAAGGGTCAAAGGATGGCTCCTGCTATTCACGTGGAATTGCAAGATGAAGAATCCGTTCTGAAATCTCACAGCGGTGCCGCATATTTATAAGATTCTGTGAAGAAGTCCACGTAAGCGGATACCACAGAGCTACCTCTGAGAGCTCGAGTGACCTCTGACCTACACAATGACTACACAGACAATACACGCCTCCTCTCCTTATTTGTCTATCCATGTAATAGATTAAGGTTTTTTTTTTTACTTACACAACCCATAGGCCGCACGGCCTTCCGAGTCCATTTTTTCAACAGCAAACACTCTGGACCAGTTTTAACATTCAGTGTCTTATCAGCAGAGGCAGGCTTGCTTGAACTAACCCTTGTGAGAACTCCCAGAGGCTTATATGTGAGCCCTAATTCGAGGCTTTGGCAGAACATGCGATGGATAGCCTGGATGATGACCGGTGGGGGTGAGACTAACATGGGAGTGGCAGCCAAAGGGGGGTGGGGGTGGAAGGGGCCCGAGAGGGTGTCCATTACGGAGATGGAGCAACGAAATCAGCTCGTGTGCAGCTGCTAGATTAAGATTCTGACAAGGCTTGGGGAGGCCTTCACCCAACGGTGGGGCTGAGCACGGCCGATGACGATGACAATGATTGCACCTTCTTGGGTAGGGTCATCTCCAGCTCCACGTATATGTCAGAGTCGGTGAAAGAATCTCGCACCACGGTCCAGCCAATCAAATCACTGTGCGGCCACACGCCTTGATCCCTGAAACATGGCACGCGCACACACACCAATAGACAATGATCGCCCCCGTGTAGCCGTGCGGACTGGCGGTTCCCAGCCTGAGGTACTCATACCCTCCATGGCCCAGCATTGGCGCGTTCCGAGTACGTATGCATGTTAAACTTCTTTCGCACCGTACGCAGTCAACCGTACTAACGGAGGTGCTTGCCGCTCGTTGCAGAGGTTCGCCATTCGGAACTGGAAATCCGCCTTGGTTAATACTGCAGGCACACCAATTGTAAAATTTCAACACGCCGTCCGCTTCTTGGTGGACGTTAATCATGTCCGTGACGTCGTTCGGAAAGTCGCCCGTTGTGCCGGCATCATGGTCCAAATTTGCCAAATTTAAAAAAATCGCCCCGCAAACTACTACAGCTTTTTATATTCTTGGTTCTTTCGGTAAAGTCACGTTGAAGGGAAACAATAAAATAATAAAATATATAAAACAATAAAATTCTCACGACGTTTCGACTGTAACACAGTCATCATCAGGTGTGAAAAAAACAACGGCAAGAAGCTTCTTGCCGTCGTGAGAATTTTATTGTTTTATATATTTTTTATTATTTTATTGTTTCCCTTCAACGTGACTTTACCGAAAGAACCAAGAATATGACTCACTGCAGTCACGAAAGCTTTAAATCAAAATTTACTACAGCTTTTGTCTGTGAAAACACAGCGGCTGCCTTCATGAGAGTCGTCCGATATAAGAATGGCATGAACACCAACTGTACTAAATTATTAATACTACACGTGGCAGCTCGACGGGTGAGAAAATTCACTTCATGGCAGTGGTCACGTGGGGTTACGAAGCAGTTTCGTTTTGTCTCAACCAGTGTTCACACGATAGGGATATAGGGCTCCACACGCAGCTGCTAGGGGAACGTAGACAGGTGGCATGACTATAGGGCAGGGGTGGGCACATTTTTTGACTGGCGGGCCACAATGGGTTCTAAAATTTGACAGAGGGGCCGGGCCAGGAACAGATGGATGGAGTGTTTGTGTGAACTAATATAAATGACATGTAAAAATCATTACATGAAAGGATCTGGCCTTTAAACAGGTAGCAAAGCATTTATTTGCAAGGCAATTGAACAAATTGCACGAACATGAACACTACAAAAACATGTCGTAACGTGACTGATCAAACATCATGAAAACATCTGAGGCCTGCACCCAAACGAATTACCTCACTTGAACTTCTTTATTATCTACATTAACAGGTTAGAGCAGCCACGCAGGCTGTGTGTCGGAGATTTGGCTCCAACCTCGCTGCAGCAACACATCATCACTTTCAGTTTCAGTGGGAACAGTGTTGTTGATCTCCCATTGTTGCCAGTGCATCCAAGTCTGGAGTTAGGTTGGTTGTGGAAATTCTCAGGATAGATCTGAGGTGCTGATCCGTTAACTTTGATCTGTGACGGGCTTTGTTGGCGTTCATGACGCTGAATGTCTACTCACACACATAAGTCGAGCCAAACAAAGTCAGCATTTTCTGTGCAGTCCTCCGGAGGTTTGGAAACGTGGCTTTGTTAAGTGAAGCATAAAAGTCATTCAGTTTAACAGAGTTGAAGTTCTCCTTTAGGATGGAGTCAGACTGAAGATCCATCAGTTCCAACTGCAGCTCCTGTGGTGCTGTTTCAGAGTCTTGTGACAGGGGACAGGACACCAGCTTAAGTGACTGTTCAATGTTTTCGAAATCAGAGAACCTATGGCAAAATTCTCTGTGCAGGTCCTCAAGTGATTCGCTTTATTATTTTTTTGCGTTTCGCGGTGCGTCTTCCTGCATGGCATGTGTGGGGGAAATGAGCAAAATATTTGTTCGCAATTTGTCTGGAGAACAAAGTGAGCTTGGATTTGAAGGCTTTCACATGTTTGTACATGTCGTGAACAAAATGATCTTTCCCCTGCAGTTTCACATTCAGCTCATTCATGTGTGAAAATATGTCCACAGCAAAAGCAAAGTCACTAAGCCAGTTCTTGTCGCTTAGCTCAGGGAATTCGTCAGATTTCCCCATCAACTCCAAAAATGCGATGATGTCCTCTTTCAGCTCCCACACTCGTTGTAACACTTTCCCCAAACTTAACCAGCGGACACGAGAGTGGTACAGCAAGTCTTGATGATCCGCATCAGTTTCCTCCAGGAACGTTATAAACTGACAGTGCTGAAGTCCTCTTGCTCGTATAAAGTTAACAAGTTTTACGGCTGGATTCACGACATGATTAAGCTGCATTACAGACTTACACAGGGATTCTTGATGGATGATGCAGTGAAGGAAAATAAGATCCTGGTCAGGGTTTTCCTCTTTCACTTTATTCTGGATTCTTTTTAGCAGCCCAACATTTTTTCCAGTGAAATTTGCCGATCCATCCGTTGTGACATTGACAAGTTTACTCCAAGGTAGCTTCATTCTTTTGATGACAGCAGACACCTGGTTATACAAGTCCTCTCCCCGCGTTGTTCCTTTCAGGTACTCCATGGTCAAAAACTCCTCTGTTATCGCAAAACTGTCGTCAATGCCTCGGATAAAAATGAGGAGCTGAGCAGTGTCTTTTACGTCCGTACTTTCATCCAGTGCTAGTGAATATAACTCAAAGGAATCAGACTTTTTGTTTCATTGGCTGGCTATATTTTCATCAATCAGTTCCACAAGGCGAGTCACAGTCCTGCGTGATAAACTGACTTTTTCAAATTTGCTTTTGATACCCTGACACAAGATGTCTGCTGTCTGTACCATGCATTCTTTTACAAACTCGCCTCCGGAGAAAGGCTTGCTAGCCTTTGGTATTTCGACTGCCACCAAAAAACTTGCCTGGTAGTTGACTCTTGAATCGCAGTTTTTTCAGTGAAAAAAATGTTGCCGAGTCTGTAAATTAGCCGCCAACCTCCGAGCCGTAGCCGCCCGTTCTTGCGTTGACTGCTTGCTAGCGTAGTTAGCGTGCATCGTAGCAAAGTGACGGCTGATGTTATACTCCTTGAAAACTGCGACAGTTTCTCGGCATATCAGGCATACACCCTTCGATTGGACTTCAGTGAAAAAGTATTTTGTTGTCCACTCCGTGTTAAACACTCGGCACTCATTGTTCACTTTTCGTTTCCTTGATCCGCTCATTTTACAGAAGGGCTCACAGGGCAAAGCGAAAAAGTGAAGGGAGCACCGTATCTAACTCAGCAATGTAAACAAACCCTGAAAATGGCGCTGACGGCCCACAATGCATTGCGAGATCATGTGCCCTTTCGAGCCCTATACACCACACTCCCGGTCAAAGTTCGCCATCTAATGGGGAAATGGGGGCATTACAGGAGAAATGTAAAATTTTATTTAATAATATTTGGACAAGTTCGGCAGGCCGGATTAAAAAGCCCAACGGGCCGTATACGGCCCGGGGGCCGTACTTTGCTCATGTCTGCTATCGGGGCACACAAGTAGTAGGGGGTAAATAAATAGATGATGAGCTTTTTTACGGACTTTACATCAAAAGATACATCGAAGAATCGCCACGACGCAGCAAATCTACAATCGACCCACACAGGCGGATTGTGGGTAGCAACACCCATACTAAAAAAGCCACACAATTCCCAGCGTCGCACCTCTTGCTGGGGGCGTCCGTCACGGCGGCGGGCTTCCACGTGTCGCACTCCGAGTAGCGCTGCAGCAGCTCCGCGTCCGAGAGCGGGCGGCCGTCGGGGCCGTCCGCACCGTCGAGCGCAAACACCAGGCACAGCCCCGGGTAGCCGTAATCGTTGGCCGTTATCTGACGCACAGCAGCGCACCGCCACACCGCGCCACAACGCACCGGACACGGTGCCGTGCCACGCAACACACCACGCAACGCGTCACACCACAGTGCCAAGCCTTCGTACAGCAATTGATAGATCACGGCGGATGATGATTCGCTGCTCTCACCTGGACGTGCAGGCGCACGGCCTGCGCCCTGAAGCCCTGAGGAGCGGCGAGCAGCACCGTGGCTGCCATGTCCTGCTCGCCCGCCTGCAGCGCTGCACAGGCAGGACGGCACACGAGGTGTCAGCACCAGCAGAAGCACCGCTGTTGCTTGTGTCATTACCACAAGCAGCAGCACAGCAGCAGGATTGTCGGGAGCATCAAACATCACCAGCATCATTATCACAGTTCGACCTCCAGAACCAGCACCAACAGAAACATCACCAGCAATAGTAGAAACAGCGCTAGCATATCCGCAACATCATCGCGAGCAGTAGAAGCATCATCATTAGTACCAGCAGCAGTAGCACCAGCAGCATGGATATGTGCTGCACTTTTTTCGCACCGTACGTAGTCAAACATGTTAATGGGGGGTGCAGCAGTACCAGCAGAAGCACCAGCAGCAGTAGCATGACCAGCAACATCATCGCCATCATCATCAGGACCAGCAGCATCATCAGAATGACCATCACCAGAGGTCAGTGTTATAATGATCGTGTGCCCCAGGTGCTGAATGTCGTTACGATCCCACAGAGAGGAGATTGGACAATTGCAGCCGCCCGAAACCTTCTGGAGCTGCACAGTGAATGTATTATTACACATATAGTAGGCGTTCAGCAGCCACTATTACGATTCATGTCCACGTATCATTTGCCGAGATAAATCAGAATTAATGTGTAAAGGTTAAGATCTAGTTTAAATAGGATTGGCTGTCCTGGTGATGTCAATTTATTTTGTTCCAATTTTTTTTTATGCAAGAAGCCAGGTCAGGTGACACTGTTATTCCAACTTCCTGGTTTGCTATTCTGACTTCCTGGATCTCGTCCGGATTCTGTTTGACATAGTTTCAAACTAAATGTCATGTATCTAAATGCTGCTAAATTTGGTCGTGAGAATCGTGCTTCAACTCCACCAGTGAGCGTGCCAAAACGATAATAATTGGCGCGTCATTTAAACGCTTGTACACAAGGTGGAAATTTAATTGATTAGGCAGTGTCAGGGGTTGAAGGGTTCTTAACGGCAGAATTTGGCCAGATCATTAATTGGCCTAATGCAAAAAAAATCAATGATGAATCATGTATTGTTACAGACAATGATCATGATGATAATGACGATGATGATCGAGTCGCATTTATTTATGTCAAGCAGGTGAGAACTCAAAAGACGATTCTGATAATTGATCGTTGTGTGCGTCAGTGTGACACCTCCGACGTTCAGAGGTCCGATGAGGAGGTCGTCGGTGTCCGAGATAGGGCCACTGTCCCCAAATGACCAGCAAAGCAGCTGTAGAGGCATGGGATTGCCTGTAACACACAACAAACACAGACAAAGTTCACCCCTAGAGCCTCAACAGGCTGTCAGCAGGCACCGATGGCGGTCGGGTACGGCCAATGAGGGGGAGGTGTGGCCAGCACCACGTACGGCCGCCTTTGTCTCCCCAGCGGGCGATGTTTACACACCAAATCAGGTACTAATTTAAGGCTGAGTCGATCTAGGGGAGGCACAAGACCGGTTCAGGAACGGATAATTGATAACCGATGTTGGCCATGAGCGGGAATCGAACTTAGTTTGCTGGGTTTGCGGCGCAGTGCGCTAATCACAACACTGCCGCTCCCCTGTAACAACTAAAACAACAACAACCATCGTCACACGACTAGCATACACCACACAAATATACTATATACTCACCAGCACACACATAACAATAATACTAAGAATGTTGTGTTTCAAAACGGCATCACAGGCAAATGAAACCTGAAAATGCTGTAAAATGTATAACAGCCACAGTGATAATTATAACGATGATAACAATGCTGTCATAAGGATGGTAATGACAACAATGACCACGATGTTGTTAATCAAAATGCTTGTGAAAATGATGACAATGCCGGTGATACTGATGACTGCTGATGGTGGTAGGTAATGATCATGAAGATATTGGTGATAAGGATGGTGATGACGACGGTGATGACAATGATCACGATGATAATGATCACGATGACGATAATCACAAAGATGATGATAATGGTGATGACGATGACGGTGATGATGTGAAGCACCCACAGACGCGACGGGCGTGCCCGGCCAACGAGGAGCGCAGCGCCGTGAGCGCCCACCCCGCGTCGTACTCCTGGCGCTCGCTCTGCACCACAAGCGCCAGTGCCTGCAGCGCATGGGCCACGTTGCCACGCGCCAGCGCCAGCGCCAGCACATCCAGCTTCACCTCCCCGTCGGGACGGCGCCTGCGGGGACACCGCGGCGGAACCCCAGTCAGCGGTGCCGGCAGCACCAGCGGCGGCGATGCCCTCGTCATCGTCATCATCATCGTCGCTGGCAGCAGTCGAAGCAGGTTCATTGTTGTCCTCATCATTGCCATCGGCAGAAGAGCAACAGCAGCAGAAGCAGATTCATCATCGTCATCGTCATCATCATCAGCAAGGGCAGTCTTATCGTCATCAACAGCAGCTGAACGAGCAGCAGTACAAGTGGTCTCATCGTCTTCATCACCAACAGCAGCAGCAGCAGTAGAAGCAGATTCAGCGTCGCCATCAGCGGCAGCAAGGGCAGTCTCATCATCATCGTCGTCATCATCATCATAATCAGCAACTGAATGTGCAGCACCATTTTATTATATATATTACGTGCGCTTACCCAGGATAGCTTCACCGAGTCTCGTGACTCTCTCTCACGAGGGTTCTGCCACGTTTGTGCACAACAATCACCACCATCAGCAGCATCACTACCATCACCAGCACAACCAGCGCCACAATGACCAGCCCCCCATCAGTACCAGCAGCAGCAGAAACATCACCACCACCATCAACATCATCATCATCACCAGCAGCAGCAGCACGCCCACCGCCACGACGACCGGCACCACCAGCACCAGGGTCACCTGTGCAACGTGCCGAGCAGCTCGCCCAGTCGGTGCAGAGCGGAAGCCACGGCGTCGTTTGGCGCAAGGTCCATGGCCGGCAGCAGCGCGAGCGGAGGCAGCTGCCGCAGCGCCGAGCTGCATGACACACGCAAGGTGAACCATCGCTGGGGCTGCCTTCATCCTGAACGTCCTCTTAAACAAATCCAGCAATTATCCAAAGTAGCACTGAGAAGTGCCTCCTTTATTCATATAAAAAAATAATAATCCATTTGTTTGTGACTTATTATTTAGTAAACATGTAATGTCACTATTCCTTTTATTGGTCCCTGAATAACCCACACAGAGCTTGCATGCACCTGTACCTAACTTGTTTTTCTGGTGCCTCTTGCTCTCATTACACTAGCACTGCTTTTTTTCCCCATTCACGAGTGTTTCATTTACGACCGTTAAAACAGCTTATTATGTTTGTTGTGCAACAAAGGACCCGGTACTCGTTATCCGCAATGTCGACGCTATTCTATTTTGTTTTTGTTGCTGCTGCTGTGCTCACGCTCCACGCATCTCCATCGTAATAGCTGGACAACTGCATAAACGGCACCATCATCCATGTAACAAATTAAATAAACTAAAACTCAAATAAACTCCGACTCAAGATGCCATTAGACGTACGTAGAGACCCATCACCTTACACTGAGATTCATAGACTTACACATAGATACAATGACTTGCACAGTCTCATATACTTAGAGACCCACAGACTTACAAAGAGACCCACAGACTCGCCAATTAAGGAGGCGGTATTCCTATTATGAACCATGATTTCCCCCACATTCCTTTGACATTGCAGATCGCAGATTTTCCGATTGAGCCATTCTCAAGAACGTAACCCCTGCAATGAGCAAGGTTTTTGTGTACATATATTTATTTTTCCTTTTGAGGCCACAAACTGTGTTATTGACAGATGCGTTGAGCGTTTTTGTCAACTGCGTTTGTGCCCCACTGCCAATGCAGCAACAGCAGCATCACCAAACAACTTGTTTTCATTACTAAGTTCAGTTTGCCAAAAAAGTGCTCTTCCACCCCCTGCTTGTACACCTCGATGTCACGGTTCTGATCCCGGTCCACATGAAATAAGTGCCCTAGGTGCACATAAAAAGACAAAGGTCCCCCCTATAGCCTGAACAGACTGTTGGGGCAAGTGGTGTTAGCGAGCACCTATAAAGGCCAGCAACGGCACACGAGGGGGTGGGTGGCCAACAACACGCCCGGCCGCCTTTGTCTCCCCAGTGGCGATGTTTACACAATGCACCAGGTACTCATTTAAGGCTGAGTCGACCTAGGGGAGGCCCAGGACCGGTTCAGATAATCGTCACTGGTGTTGGCCATGAGCGAGAATCGAACTCGGCACGCACGCCGGGTTCGTAGTGCAGCGTAGCGCTAACCACGTGTGTGTGTGTGTGTATATGCACACACACACACACGTGCTCTCTGCTTTGGTTTCTAGGCTCGTGTCTGCCAAAGGAATTAGCAGCCAGAATGCCTGAGCTGATGGCAACCTTGGCAGTGTTGCCTTGTACATACTGATCAATAGTTATTTCCGCAGCCATTAATATTTAGCAAAGTAGATATTAAACGGAGGTAAATAAATATATTTACACAGAATTCAGGTACAAATTACACTGAGGCACAAAAAAATGGCAACACGTAGATGAGAGAACGTAAGAAAGGCTCAAGACATCACACTGACTTTAAAGTAGTGACTGAACATGGGCAGTACCGAGTGCCTTAACTACAGACGTGACACCCACCACACCCATCACCTTCACCTGAGCTGTGTGGCGAGTGCGTGGGCAGCGTCGACGCTCTGTTCGGCGCTCTGCGACGCCTGAAGGGCCAGCGTGACCACACAGTGTGCCGTCACAGCCTCGATGGCCGTGGAGAGGGGGCCCGGGCCCCTTACGTGGCCCCCCACCAGCAGCCCTCGAACCCTCATGCGGCCCTCCGGGAATGAGTTCTGCACCATCTCCAGCTTCACCACTGCTGAGACAAGGGGGAGACGCACGGAGGGGGAGAGACACGGGCGGACACATGGGGGAGAAACACGGGTGGCAGACGGGGGGGGGGGGGGGGGAAACACGGGGAAGCGACATGGGGGAGGAGAGGTAGCTCCATGATATCCTCTTCCTTGGGTCATTTCTTCATTTCTACCATGAAAGGTCACACTGCTCTGCTGACATTCTGCCAAAAAAATAAGTGCCCGGCACTCCCTCCCCCTCTCCCTTGCACTCCCTCCCCCTCTCTCCTACTCCCCCCTCCACTACAACCACTCTTCTGCTCTGCACTACCACCTCCACTCTTCTGCTCTGCACTACCACCTCCACTCTGCTCTGCACGACTGAACCAGTCTCCCTGTGCTCCCGCCCACTTCCGCAACCGTAAAATCATCCCGCACTCCCGTCGCCCTTCTTGCTCTGCACTACCGCCCCCGCCCGCCTGCACCACCGCTGCACGCAACCCACCCTCTGCGCTGATCTCCTTCCCCTGCAGTAACTCCACGTAGCCCGTGCTGGCAAAGGGGACGAGCGTGGAGATGATGGGCTCCAGGCGCCCCGGTCTTCCCGCCAGCACCTCCACTTTGGCCGGTATGCTGGAGCCGTCTCCTGCCAACACGCCGAGGGCCAGGCGCGTGATCACCACACCGGGCCACGGCCACATCCTGCCGAGTGATTGTGTACAGGTACAAAAGGTGAGAGACAAAGATCTCCCGCTTGGCCTACACAGACTGGTGGGGCAAGTGCTGCTGGCGAGCACCTACGAAGGCCCGGATGGCGAACGAGGAAACGGTGTGGCCACCTCCCCCCCCCCATGCCCCACCGCCTTTGTTTCCCCAATTCTGACGTTGGCACATCGCACCAGGTACTCATTTAAGTTTGAGGCTCAGGACCAGTTTAGATAAATCACCAGCCGTGGCAGGGAAAGGAACTCTGTAAGCTGGGTTGGTAACACAGCACGCTAACCACTATGCCACTGCTCCACACACACACACAATGAACACTAAAGCTACTTAAGTTGAAACAATTAGCTGTTCAAGTCGACTCCGTAAAGTTTAAAGTGCAGCCCTGCAATTGCTTGTTCAAGTTCCCCACTCTCACACGCTGGCCGGACGTGTTGAAACGAGGTGGGCGCACCCACACTTTACCCCACCACGCTCGATCTGCCGATCAACTGTGGGAGACTCATTTACGCTGCCGGATGGACAGAGGTGGTGGCAGCCGCCTTTATTCCTCAGTTAACGAGGTGAACACATCACATTTGGTGCTCGAAACAGTTCTGTACGTGCGACAAACTGTTTTTTCATTCAGGCGGTTTACCAGGAATGCAAAAACTAAAACATACGTAACCAGCATCGCCATCACGCACCCGATGGATAAGCTATGCTCAGTCTGCCAGAAGGTCTGCAGTGTCCCATCCGTGAGGTTCTCCAGTGTCAAGTTGTTGCACGATGCCTCCAGGCGGCTGAAGCACTGGGTCAGCAGCCTTCTCCTCCTCCCAGCGCCAGCGGTGGAAGCATCATCACCGTCCCCTTCCATTAACTTGGCCCAAGCATCGACCTCTGTAGGGCACGCGCAGTGGGGAGTGTGCAGAGGTGTGTCTTGATTCGTCTAAAAGTGTGGTCGCAGCTTTAGTTGTACAGTAAGGTGCTCTGGCTGGGGCCACCTCAAAGTGTGATGTGGTGGGTGTTTCAGTAAGTGTGGTGTGACAAATGTCCCCCAACGCTGTGGTGTGGCCAATGTTCAGCGGCGTGGCCGTCGTTGTGGTAAGAAAATATTTCACCCAAACGTGCCGTGCGGTTGGCGATCAGTAGTGTGATGTGGCTTGGGGCCATGTACACATATAGCGTGGCTGACACCGCCTACACATGTTGTACGGTGTGGCAGGAGTTCAGTGGCGGTGTCCCGGGTACCCTAGCCACCGCCACGACAACTCGGTCTCCTACCGGCCTGGTCGAGTTCGGCCTGCGCCAAGGTCTCCTGCACCAGCGTGGAGCGCACGAGCCACAGCGTCTCGGCGGCCGTGGCCGGGGCCCACTGCGAGCCAGGGCCACGGGGAGCCACGTGGTCGCCGGGTACACGGTGCTGCCACAGGGCCTGCGCCATGCGCCCCACCAGCTCCTCCCGGAACGTGGTGGTGCAGTCCTTCCCGTACACGTCCACTAGGCCTGAGGGTGGCATAATAATGGCAGGCGTCACACGACGTCAGATGCACTCGCACCGCGCCGGACGAACCCGCACCGTGTCACTCTGCGCCGGCGACAGAGCACGTCACACACCCTTGCCACGCCACAACACGCCACCGTCAAACAAATGGTCTTTGTTTTTAACGCATTCCAAAGAAGATTGAAAGTGTCATTGCATTCGCTCTGTCCATCTGTCTGCCATCCTGAAGATGTGTACGGGAAGGACTGCACCACCACGTTGCGGGCGGGCTCATGAGAATTCTCTTAAAAGATGATCCAACATCAATAAAATTTTCGTAAAACAAAAATTATATTTCTATTTAGAGCTTACCCAATAGAAAACTGGACAAATTGATCAAAAGGTTGTCTAAAAAAATTGTAAACGCGGGTTGACATACTTTTGGATAATATGCAAACATACTTTGTGCTGACAGCCACCCGTCAGCTTCAGTCATCCTAATAAAACACTTCCGAGGACTAACACATGTTGGGGTGTGTTACAGAATCCGTGCGTAATCAAAAGTGAGTGTGCTAGGGCAGGACGTGCCATGCCTAAAAGTAACGATGGTCCGTGCCCAAGATGACATCCACAGCACAGATGGAGCAATGAGAAATGCTCCTGTAGAGAAGGGAGATGGATTTTGATTTTCGCAGGACTCTAAGTCGTTTGATCATGGCTGACGATTACAATGCTGAAAATGTCTAATTATAAAAATCCATCCCTGTAAGAGACTGTGCGTGCCTATCGGTGCATTACTTCCTTGTGCACTCTGATTTGATAATCCATCCGGTGCCTTAGCAATCGATATTCGAGTCCGAAACCAATTACAGTATCGACTTGTCAACAACTCTTTAACGGCCGTCGTCCCTGGCCGCAGCGCCCACCGGTGGAGAAGCTGGCGCGGCTCAGCATGGCAATGGCGCGCTCCTTCTCCCCCAGCGACGTCGTCTCGTACGCCATCATCATGGCCCCGTACAGGGCCTGTATGTCCACGCGTCCCTCCAGCTCCAGGTCAAAGCTGCTCAACGCCTGCGTGGGCACAGAGAGACATGGCTCCGATACCCACAGCGCTCACACCCAAGACGCAGAAACTACCCCCCCTCTCTAACACAGACCTGGGCCTCATTGGTGAAGTGTCCTCTCCCCACATGGATGGCCTGGTAATCATTGGTGGTTACGCTTAAGGTGGCTTTCAGACCGCATCCATTATTTTTCGTCTCCCCCCTCCTCTTTTCCGAACATAGATGGACTCGTCCATCTGAACAAACTGTAAAATCGCTCTCCGTGGTGCTAACGTTAAAAATAACACCCCACTTTTTTCAAACGTTCTGGTTGTGGTTTTCGCACCTGATGATGATTGCTTGTGTTGCAGTCGAAACGTCTTGAGAATTTTATTGTTTCATATTTGTATTATTTTATTGTTTCCCTTCTACGTGACTTTACCAAAAGAACCAAGAATATGAATCCCTGCAGTCACGAAAGCTTTAAATCAAAATTTAGGCCCCAACCCTTCATGAGATTAAGATGCCTTGGGACTACTTGGTGAATGAGGCCCCAGTGCCCCAAAGACTGCCCTGGGGGTCACTCATGCTGCCCTCGGGGTCACTGGTGCTGCCCTCGGGGTCACTGGTGCTGCCCTCGGGGTCACTGGTGCTGCCCTCGGGGTCACTGGTGCTGCCCTCGGGGTCACTGGTGCTGCCCTCGGGCTCACTGGTGCTGCCCTCGGGCTCACTGGTGCTGCCCTCAGGGCTCACTGGTGCTGCCCTCGGGGTCACTGGTGCTGCCCTCGGGGTCACTGGTGCTGCCCTCGGGGTCACTGGTGCTGCCCTCGGGGTCACTGGTGCTGCACTCGGGGTCACTGGTGCTGCACTCGGGGTCATTGGGGTCGTTGTGGTTTTTGTTGATGCAGGGCCCCAGTTGCTTTGCCTCGGGCTGTATGGCGGTGTTGCTCTCTTGCTACATTATCATATTGCACTGTCCTCTCCCATGCCTACCCCCCCCCCCCTTACACCTAATGAGAAACAAGTTTAATCACAACTATGGGTCTCCATAAGAGTTATTGGTGATCAGGCTGATAACATCTTGAGAACCTGGTAGTCAAGGGTGGCGTAAACCCAGATTCAAATCCAGCTGCTCAGCAAAGCCGGCTCAGCTTCTCAGACCAGTGGGGCCACACAGTCACCACCTAATTTTCGTTAAAACTTTTCTTAAATATTAACTTCATATTAATAAATATCTGATAAATCACCATGCACGTGCCCGAATCTCGTCTCAATACCAACGAGGCTCAAAAATCCTGATGGGTTCCCGCGACCTGACCGAGTCTGGAGCAAGGATTTCCAGGTCGATTCGAAACATCTGCAGCATGCGCCAAGCGCATGGCCAAAGGTGGCAGGCAGCAGGGCGTGCTTCCCCGGTCTCGGCAGGTCACAGCCTCCTCGCCCACACAACCCGAGGGCCTTGGGTAACATTTAATGAACTCGTTTGACTTGCGCCGACTGAAATAACCATCGAAGGAAACGACACCGACAATTTGTTTGAGCCTGCTGCGTAGGCATTCACAGTTGCGCTCCTGTGTAGCTCTCAGACGTGCTTACGTGTAGTTGTTGTTGTTGATCTAGTACCGCAAGTTGATGGTCAGCACGATGCCTGCTGACGTTTAGTTCGACGTGCCGGGGGCCAGCTTGCTCGCGAAACTGAATCGCATTCTTCTGAAATCAATGGTGCCACGATCCCTCTCATCCACGTGTGTCCCCCTCACATCACCCTGGGGTGCCCCCCTTAGCTTGCTTAGTCCCCTGCCAGGTCCCCTCACTCCCACCCTTGGTCCTCTTAGTGCCCTGGAAGTGACAAGCCTCCCAAATCAATCCCTCGATCTTCAGGAGGTGAAAGGTCATCCTAAGTGACAAGTGGCCTTTCCCCACCACCCCGTGTGTCCCTTCAGTGCCCCTGCGAGTGCCCTCTCTAAGCCCACCGAGGTATCAACTTGTTTTTCAGAAGCGACCTGGTCATAAGTGATAGCCCATTAAAGTGGCCTAAAGATAATAGCGGCAAAAAACATCTAAATAACCTCAATGCATTATTATTTTATTATGTTTAATTTGTATTACTTTATTTCCCTTCTACGTGACTTTACCGAAAGAACGATGAATTTTGAGGTAAACTAAACTATTTTAATGTTACATGACAGCCCAACAAAGTGGCTTATCACGTGCAACTTTACAGCTGCCACACACTCTAAAAGGCACGTTTGTCAACAAGGGGCAAACAGTGGAAGGGCCACGGCGAATAAGGCAACACGCAAAACTCCTCTGGCAGACCACGCGAGAGAATGAACGTCTCCACGCACACCGTGGCGGTGATAGCAAGCGTCTCTCTCTCTCTCCCTCTTGCTCCCACTCTCTCACCACGCACCTCTTCCACGTCCCTCAGCTGCACTCGGTCAAGCTCCACGCTCCTGCACCGGCCGAGGATCTCCCGGAGCGGCAGGGAAACGCGGCCACGTCCCAGGGCCTCGTCCAGCAAGTTGCGGACGCCGTACTCACGGCCCATCGCGAAGAGCAGCTGCTGCGACACGGGCCGCCCGCCTCGCAGGCCGCTCGCGTCCTTCAGCCGCAGAGCTCGGCGGGCCAAGTTCGTGTCCAGTGCCGGGAAAGCGGCGGGCGAGGCGGCCTCGTCGTCTTCACCTTTCGCGGCGTCGCCCCATTGCCCCGGTCCGCGCTGCCACACGCAGCGGCGGCTGCTGCGGCGGCAGCGGGGACGGCGGCTGTCTGCGCGGGCGGTAAGCGCGCTCTCCGAGGAGCCCATGATGGGACGGGAACGAGCGAGCAGACAGAGGAGGGACAGAGCGAGACGAAGGCGGCCGCGGTGTTTTAGTGACAGAGGCGGACGGGCGGCGACCAACCCACGGGGATGGGCGGGGTGGGGGGGTCTTGTTTGGTGTGGGGCCTGACGTCACGGTGGACATGTTGGGTGGGGGTTGCGGTCAGCCAATGCGGCGGCGGTGAAGCTGTGGTGGCCATATTGGGTAAGGAGAGATCAGCCAATGAGAAGGCAGTGAAGCCGTGGCGGCCATGTTGAGTAGGGGGGGCCGCGCGCATGCGCACGGGAGTTGCAGGATAAGCAGTCTGTGGCATAATTTGTTGCCTTTGTTAGTTCATAAAATTAATGTTCGATGTCTCCGGTATTTAAGGGCATTAAGGTATTTAATGACGTCGATAATTGAACATGTATTGAAAACGTTTTAAATATCGATTATTTGGTTATTTCGGTAAAAGTCACGTAGATCGAAAAATAAAAATAAAGTGAATACAAAAATAAATAAGTAATAAAAAAGCACGAATGTAGACTGTCGCCTGGTTGTATTGTCCACCTCCACCGTCAGCAGCAGTGTGGGGTGTGTGGAGCGAGGTGCAATGCTTTGATTGGTGTAGACCTCCTGCCGGGTGTCGGAGCCTCCTCCCACATTCACATGAGCTGCCCCGCCCACCTCTAAACCTTTATTATAAACTGTAATAGATCACGACGTTGCGATCGCAACACAAGCAATCCCGCCTGATGACGGTTCATCTTCGTTGGTTCTTTCGGTAAAGTCACGTAGAATGAGAATAAAATAACACAGTAAAATTCTCACGACGTTTCGGCTTCAATTTGAAGCGGTTGTCCCGACAGTTCTGTACCTTTCACCTGAAGACGGCCGCTTGCGTTGTGGCCGAAACGTCGTGAGAATTTTATTGTGTTATTTTATTATTTTATTCTCATGCTACGTGACTTTACCGAAAGAACCAAAGAGTGTGGATTCCTGCAGCCACGAAAGTTTTAAGTCAAAATGTAGCCTGGTTCTTAGTCGGAGTGAGTGTATGGACAGTCTATAATGTAGACTGTAGCCTGGTTATTAAGCTGGGTGAGTGTACTGGCAGTCTATAATGTAGACTGTAGCCTGGTTCTTAGTCGGACTGAGTGTACTGGCAGTCTATAATGTAGACTGTAGCCTGGTTATTAAGCTGAGTTAGTGTACTGGCAGTCTATAATGTAGACTGTAGCCTGGTTCTTAGTCGGAGTGAGTGTATTGACAGTCTATAATGTAGACTGTAGCCTGGTTCTTAGTCGGAGTGAGTGTACTGGCAGTCTATAATATAGACTGTAGCCTGGTTATTAAACTGGGTGAGTGTACTGACAGTTTATAATGTAGACTGTAGCCTGGTTATTAGTCGGAGTGAGTGTACTGATAGTCTATAATGTAGACTGTAGCCTGGTTCTTAGTCGGAGTGAGTGTACTGGCAGTCTATAATGTAGACTGTAGCCTGGTTATTAAGCTGAGTGAGTGTACTGGCAGTCTATAATGCAGACTGTAGCCTGGTTTTTAAGAACCAAGAATATTTGCGAAACACGTTCAATTAAGCATTGATTTTTTGGTATTTTTAAATGTCAGTAAAAATGTTGATTTTAAAGTTTGAGAAACATTACATCAGTTTTATGACTGTCAGATTTACCATATACTGTACAGTACATTCATGACGCCAATATAGAGTGACTCCTCTACTTACGAACATTCGATTTACGAACTTTCAGAGATACGAACAAACCTGTCCGTATGTCCAGTTGCCTGTTCGGACCGAGAGTGGTAAGTTCAACCGCCCGCGCAATAGATGGCATTGGTGACATCCACATCTGCAGAAGATGAAGAACCAGTGCCATCTACACATACGGGAGATTACACAACCTTTAAAGCCATTTCCCCTGTTTCGTGTACGTGTTTGGAATTGGCAGGAGTAAAGTTGGACTTAGGAACAAATGTACTATTGATTCCTAAGTAGAGCAGTCCCTGTAAGCCCACGATCGATTTACGACACAGAGACGTCATTTACGACCCATCTTCCAACACGACTCCGAACACATTTGAACAGCGGTGTTTCCACCGTGCAACGTCGTAGAAAGTCAGTGATTTTTCTTTTGCAAAGGGTCAAGTCACTTCAGCAGAGGAATGCAAAATGCAAGGTAAGAAGAAATATTTTGGACGTAAAAATAGATTTGTGTCAATTTCAATAATAAAATTCCTGCACACTTTGCACTCTTGGTCTATTGAGAGCACTAACGGACTGTTATCCAGGGGGCTGGGGGGGGGGCACAGCCCCCACTGAAATTTTGGGAAAGTCGGTGATCGGGATAACCGGATATCTGGCTGCTGCAAAATGCTGCAGGCTGCCCCCTTGTGCTGCCCTGCAGGCTGCCACCTTGTGTGCTGCCCTGCAGGCTACCACCTTGTGTGCTGCCCTGCAGGCTGCCACCTCGTGCTGCCCTGCAGGCTGCCACCTCGTGCTGCCCTGCTGGCTGCCACCTCGTGTGCTGCCCTGCAGGCTACCACCTTGTGCTGCCACCTTGTGCTGCCCTGCAGGCTGCCACCTTGTGCTGCCCTGATGGCTGCCACCTTGTGCTGCCACCTTGTGCTGCCCTGCAGGCTGCCACCTTGTGCTGCCACCTTGTGTGCTGCCCTGCAGGCTGCCACCTTGCAGGCTGCCACCTTGTGTGCTGCCCTGCAGGCTGCTACCTTGTGTGCTGCCCTGCAGGCTGCCACCTTGTGTGCTGCCCTGCAGGCTGCTTGAGCGGCAGGCTTGCGAACTTATCGAACTTATTAGCCACATCAGCGGCTCCGACCTATTAATAAACTCCGCGTTCAAATCCTATAAAAATAGTTTTATGCATTTGTGGCGCCCACTGGAAAACATAAACACTGGATATCTCAGAATATTGAAGTCAGCCCCCACAAAGTCAAAATCCTGGCTCCGCCCCTGCTGTTATCTAACATGTTATTAAGAATGGTTAATACGTTGTTTTTAAATTAAACAAAGATTCCTCAATGCTCTTGTCTTTTCATGTTTTAGAGTAGGTTAGATGTTACTTTTGCATACCTCCGCAGGACCGAGGAGATGTGAGGGCTCATAGCGCCCGAAATCTTCAAGTTACTGTCATGAATAATCTTTATTTTTCTACCTACGTGACTTTACCGAAAGAACCAAATAGTATGGATTCCTGCAGTCACGAAAGCTTCAAATCAAGATTACGGCCATGCAGTTGTTTTTGTTTCGTTTCTATTTTCCTCATTGCTGCACTTTATTTTGTTGCTGTTATATTTTATACTTAACCTCGGTCTCTTGAAATCTCACCTAATTAAACAAAATCATCTCGAATTAGATTTGTTTTGGTCAGTTACTCTGCATGCTTTAAAAAATTTCTGCTTCACCAAACACCCTACAACCCAAAGGCAGGAAACCCCCTACAAGCCACTCCCAGTTTGACACGGCTGATGATGCCGATGGCATCCCTAAGCCCCAAGTATCACCCCCCGTCCAGTGGCACACAACTATTTTAACTGTTATCCCATTAGTCTGGTAATCAAATAGATGCTCCATAGAGTCATTGATAACTTAGACATAGACAATGTTTTGATTTAAAGCTTTCGTGACTGCAGTAATTCATATTCTTAGTTCTTTCGGTAAAGTCACGTTGAAGGGAAACAATAAAATATATATAATTTTTATTGTTTTATATATATTCTATTATTTTATTGTTTCCTTTCAACGTGACTTTACCGAAAGAACTAAGATTATAGACAATGTTATTTATGCTGGAAAATCCCGATGAGCTGTGGAGATATTTCCACAGGAGTGAAGAATTCAGCCGAACTCCTTTTACACATTATACATGCAGGATTCCTAATACCTGCTGAGCTTTTTGAGATTCGACAGGCTGATTTGGATCAGCTTAATTTCAGCCGGGTTTGTCCGACTCACTGGCCCCTGGTCCTGGTTTGGCTCCCCGACCCAGATTGAGATGTCGTTGTGTGGGAGCAGCGCATCGCGGTTGGTTTCGTTCTGGTTCGGCAGGTAAAGTAACCAGTCGAAGTCAACCCATGCCGTTGGCTCTGCTCGGATGTGCCGGTGGATAAGGGTTTTGTACAGACGCACGCACACACGTGGCTTCAGGTTAATGCGTGTAGGTTTATTAGCGTCAAACCAACCGACTAGACCGCACCACCGAATCCCACCGCCCACCGCAGCGCAAGCAGCCGACTCTGCCACAGACCACTTTCACAATCGCGGAGCACCGGTCAGTCCGTGTCAAGAACGCGACAGAAGTGAAACGTGAACAGGAAGGGGAGGTGGGCCCAAGCGCCAGTGGTGCGGCTGAGTTAGGGTTTGGGATAGGAGTAGCATTAGACCCTGATTGACTGGTTAGCTCGTGTGGATAGAGCTCAAGGTATTCCCAGTGTCTGATTGGCTAGCGTGCTCCGCACCCTAATTGCTCGTCCCCTCCTACTGTTTACCAGCTATTGACGTTTCACTGGAGCTCTTTTATTGCTCTTCGCCTTTCAGTGTTTGGTGGAGACGTTGTTTGATGTGCGCTCCAAACGTGGTCTAGTGGGGGCGCGGCGGGGCGGGGGCGCAGCCGTCGGTGGTGTGTGGGGACTAAGGTGCCCCCCTTCCTGCCACGATCGGCGTAAAACCTGTCACCCCTAACCCCGGACATGCGGACACAAGCACGTAGTGGATATTAGCCCCAAGTGGAAAGGAATTACACATTTCGCTAATGTACATGCTGCAGGGAGCCTTGAGCTTTGCGTTGTCGAAGGAAAACTCGGGTGGCGTTCGGAGTGTTTGGGTTTTTCACGTTGCGTTCATTTGATCGATCTCCGCACGTTTTTCCTTTGTTCGTGTAAAAAAAAACGGGACGACGGCTCGCGGTCAAAATCCGTTCGCCGCTCATCCCATGAGGGTCGACGAGAGCGCTGTGGAAAACACGCACACACAACAGAAAAACAAGGTCATCGTCCAGCCATCGTTCACGCCCGTAATGCCACAAACGTTCCAATAGGAGGTGACAACAAGAGTGCGTCCCTAACCCTAACGCATTGATGTAAGACCCTCCCCCCTCCCCCTTGAGTGTACCCTGGGTATTGCAGGCGTGCGTCTTACAGCAACAAGGACCTTAGTTCAATTCCTGATTTGGGTGCATTTCTGCGTGCTGTTAGTATGTTGTACCCCTCTCCTGCACGGTTTTCTCTGGGTTCTACGGCTGCCTCCCATAGCCAAAAACGTACAATGTCCTTGGTGATGGCCAAACATCCCAATGCTGGACCCTCCTGAAACTTGAGTTTTCGGGTTCAATGTGGCTTTCCTGGGTAGATGAGTCATTATTTTAATAGAGTTACGATACTAATTGTGCCCGTGGTCTCGGGTCATGATACGAAATGTCTGTTTGAAATTCGATCAGTGAGCAGGGCATCACCCCGTGCAGTAGAGAAAAGCCCGCTGAAGCAGATATCACAGAACTGCTTCTGAAATTCCTTCGAGATGGTGGTTAAAATGTAATATTTTTTAAGTCTCAGAGCCAGATTAAGTGACAAAGCAAATTACATATTATTTTTTTGGAACAGTCATTGGTGACCGGACTGAAACCATTAACTCCACTACACTTGAGAATTCAATTCAACCAGAATTGGGCCCAGATCTCAGCTGTGCCGGCTCAGCATCTCTGACCCCCAAAGCCACACCCATACAAAATTACCTTCAAGTGATGCCCTCTTTAGTTAATAAAAATAATCATCACATTCGTCAGTGTTTAGTTTCAATGTTTGCTGGTTTACTCTTTTGTCCCGGTGTTCATCTCACCGTGTCCACCTCCAAAACTGGTGCTCATGCTGCTGCTGCCTCCACCGCTGCTGTAATTTCCGAAGGAGCTACTTCCAGCACCGCCGCCAGAGCTGAATCCACCGCCGCCAGAGCTGAATCCACCGCTGCCAAATCCACCGCTAAATCCACCACCGCCAGCACCACCGCCAAATCCACCACCGCCAGCACCACCGCCAAATCCACCACCGCCACCACCCAATCCGAGACCCAGCCCGAATCCGCCAGAGCCGCCACCGCCGCCACCACCACCACCACCACCGCCACCACCCAATCCGAGACCCAGCCCATATCCACCACCGCCACCGCCACCACCACCAGACATGGTCGTGGACTTGGACATGGAGATGGTGATGCCGCCCCCGCTGCTGATCCTGCGTGGCCACAGGGAAGGGTGCGGGTTAGCAGGAACAGTGGTAGTGGTGGAAAGTGAGTCGGTTGTGCACACTCAAGTCGGGGATAGCAGACTGCATTGATGTTGGGTCACAGTACAATACAACAATGGGATTTGCAGCACTGCCCTCTGCTGATAATATAGTCCGACAGAACATCCAAGCGCTACTCAGGCTCAAGCCTGTTAGCTTCCGAGGTCAGATAGGATTTCGTGCATTCCAAGTGATTTGATCACAGGCTATCAAAGAATGACGCTGCACTGGTGACAATTGCAACGCCTTTGTCCACATCTGAGTGAGCAGTTATGCAACCAGATAACTCTGGAAATCACACAACTCAATCATCGCCTGCAACCGCTTTGTCCGCGTCTGAGCGAGCGGTTGCACAGCGAGGAAATTGAACAGCCCATCCAGGATCATGACGACCAATCGTAGTTCGCAATGTCACATGACGATGAACTGCAATCGATGCAAATCGCTGAGCAGATCGCTAGGAAGTGGCCGCTCGGCAACTGTTTTGCAGAGGCAACTTGGTTGCATGCAACTGAGTTATACATGGTGCAATGTACATTTTTATTACCGTTTTAGTTGAAACGCAACAAGAATCTGGACATTGCTGCTGGTGAGCTGGGTGGCCAGTTTACTATTGGTGTCAACACTGCCAGTGGAGCTGACTTTTACTTGAAGACAGCAGCAGGAAGAGCAGAAAGATTCACAACAGCAGGGACGCGTCACCACGATAAGGTCGTCAAGGGGACCTCACCTCGCCTCCTCGCTGTCCAGGAGTTTCCTGTAGGCTGCGATCTCAATGTCCAGCGCCATCTTGTTCGCCAGCAGTTCCTGGTATTCCTGTGCGTACTGAGCGATTTGCTGCAGGTTGGGGGGGGGGGGGGTCAGACGTCGCGGAATGCCGTTAGACAAAAATGTAAAAAATCTACAAGTCCAAATTGGATAGTTATTCTATGGGCGTGTGGCGGTGGTCACCCGGCATGAAGTCATCACTCGCACTGCACAAGCGAAACAGCCCCGTGCAAAATGGGTAGTGTGACGTCACTCGTGCAACATGGCCGCCGGGACGTCATTGTTTTATGCTTCAGCCAGTCTGTGGCTGAGGTAAGTACATTTGCGTTATCAATGTTGATCATATTCGTCAATAATAATTGGTAATAACATGAATAATCACGAACTTTTATTTATTACCGATTAACTTTTTAGCTACTTTCGACACAAGAGTGGTCCTGACCACTCCGGGGTTCTCTGCTAGTGTCACGAGCTTCATTCGTCTTAACTCGCGAAAGGAATCGGAGTTGTAGCAAGTCGTCCCGAGGCTATAGCGCAACGGGCAAAAGTTATGCTGGTTGTCGCAGACACCCCTGCTCACCTTCTTGATGTCGTCGAGCTCACGTTTGAGCACGGCCAGCTTGTCCTGCCACTGCTCCAGCTGCGCGTGGCCGTTCGCCTCTGCCTCCTGGATCTGTGTCTCCAGCTCCGCGTTCTGGTGCACGCGGCGTGGAGACGGAATCGGGATTGAGAACCGAGATCGCCAACGATCAGGATGGCAATCTAAACTAAACTGAAAACTAAGCTGTTTTTACTTGACCAGCTAATGCCCACTGAACTAGATGGCTCTTTTTCAGAAGCGACCTGGCTATCACAAAACGATAACTCCACGATGTGGCTTATCACGTGGGCAATTCATAGCAGCCAAATATACAGCAGCAGGCGTAAGGGTCGGGATCGAATCCACGACCTCCTGCGTACCAGGCGAGGTAGTTAATATCTCCTAGCCACCGTGGTGCCGAAATCAAGACTGAGATCGGGGGAGGTGGGGAGTGGGGAGATCGCGCACGTCAAAGCGACAGCGAAGGCATTGGGCCACGATGACGCACGGTGGCGCAGTCGGCTGAAAAGGTGTCTCGGGCCATTTCCTTACCGAGGGCTGAACGGGACTTTCAAAATTGGCCAAGCTGTGTGACCCTATATTGGGATGTTAACGAGGTGTTTTATGCATGTGGGAGAAAACTGCAGTTTCCAGAGAGAACCCCATGCATGCCGAGGGGTGGGGGAGGGGGGGGTAACACTCAATTCCCCTATATATGGAGTGCAGATGGAAATTAATCCACATTCTGTACTGCCAAAATGTCCCTAGCCAGCCAGGAGGTGGCGACCTCAAGTTTGAGGTGTGTGATCCACCAAACCTTACTGCATTCACAGTGCTGGAATACAGGCCACGCATGGCCACCACATTAACACACACACTTAAGTCACTTCTGTCACTGCTAAGAGGCCCTTGCAGATGTATCTGCTGTTTGGTCAACACGCGAATCTGGCCTGAGATACTTTTATTTTGGGGCTAATTCCATTGTTTATTTCATTATTCGCAACATTAGAAACCTCGGTTGTTCGTGTACGAGTCTGACGGTCAAAGCCCCGGTGCTTAGGCAATTTTCAACGGACAGAATCGAGTAAAATCGCGTTGGGACTGCAGGGAACTATGGTACTGAATATGACTATTGTACTTCTTACGTTCTTTCACCCGCGCCAAAAAAACCCAGAGAATGACAATTTTTCGCGGTGCCGATCTTATGCCGTTTTTTGTTTGTTACAATTCTCTTAAAACTGCCGTGAGAAGATAATGACGTTTCATTTTACAAGTGGCTCAACGACGGACGACCCCAGAAGGGACGATTGTGGAACGCGTGTCTGGTCTCGCTTGGGAAAAGGCGCGCTTACCGCCTCCCGGATCTTGTCGATCTCGCGACGCAGGCCATCCATCTGCATCTTGAGCGAGCGCAGCTCCTGCTTAGCCTCGCCGAGGGCTTGGTTTCCGGGCTGGACGGCGCCGACCACCTGTATGATCTGCGGGACAACGGTGGTGACAGCAACAGCGGGGAGGGGGTAGGAGGAGGGAACATCAAAACGGGCAAATGGACGAGACGTGAAGCGAGGTTGCACGGTGGCGGGAATCCCCCGTCCGTTACTGAAGCAGCCCTGGGGTGCGGCCTGTAACACGGAAATGTTAAACTGGGACATCCAGATTTTTACAAAGCCTCATGGGGGACAGACGGATGGACGTCCCTGCCAAATGGAGATGTTTGGCAGCTTTGGATTCAAGTGCAGAATCTAGAGGCCCTTATGTTTCCAAGTGTCCTGGACAGCGAAGATTCTTCGCGGCTGCACTTAACAAGGATTTGAAAGTGCTACCCCTCATGTCCCTGTGTCCCCATGTCTTCCCGTGGTGTCTCTCCATGTCTCCTCGTGTGTGTGTGTGTGTCCCGTGTCTCACCCGCGACTGCACGGATGAGAAGGCGTCCTCCTTGCTCTTGGAGGCCAGGGCCTCGTAGTGCGCGCGGACCTCGTTGAGCGCCGTGGTGAGGTCCAGCGCCTGGTTGTAGTTGTCCACCGTGATGGAGACGGCGGCGTTGGTCGAAACGCCCATGAAAGCTGACTGCACCTCCTTGACGCGCTGCACAGATGGATTGAAAGAGGAGGAGGGGTTTCAGGAGGAAAATGGTAAAGGGGGGGGGGGGGGGGGGGGCTTCGGGTGATGATGATGACTATGATCTCATTCACTACTAAGCAGATAATAAAAGTAATATTTACACATCTCATCAGCCACTTGCTCGTCTGGGAGTGCATAATTTCAGAAGAATTGGTTAAACAAGCAAACTCTAGACCAGTCTTGACACTCAGTGTCTCATCAGCAGGGTCTGACTTGCTTGAACCTTCGCTGGTGAAAGTCCCTTGCTTATAAACATCTGGCAGTTTACCAGCACTGGTTCAAGCGAGCCTCGCGCTACTGTTTACTGCATGACTTTGCTTTTCCCCAAGCCTTCAAAAGGATACGTGCTTCACCCGGTTACAGAATAGGTGAACTGTGAGATGATGGCGATGATTGATGATGAAGGTGGTGATGCTGGGGACGAATCTGGTCACGATTATGATAATTTTGGTGATGATGATTGTGTGAGGCTTCACAAACCGCGTTGTAGAGTTTCTTCATGAGGTCGATCTGATCCTCCACGCCCTGCACCTTGGTCTGCAGCTCCACGATAGAGAGGTATGTCTTGTCCACCTCCTGTGTGGGCACCAATGCAGAGCAGTGCATAACGAAGTCCACCACTATCATCAACAACATCGACATCACCTCAAACATCGATACCTTCATGTCCACCCCAACCTATACATCCACAAAATATCCATCACCACCATCACTTCAATCATCAGCACTTCCTTTTCTATCACTCCCTTACAACCATCTCGACCTTCATTTGCACCACGACCATCTCTTTACTCCACCGAAACTACCATCACACAACCTCCTCCACCACCTTCACCACCATCTCGTCCACCACCACCACCACTACCATCATCTCCACCAACGCCACCGTTATCTCCACAAACACCACCTCCATCACCTCAACCAGCACCATCCCAACTTCACCATCACCTGCACTTCACTATCACCACCACCTCAATAATCACCATCTCCACCACCTCAATTATCATCACCACCTCCACTTTCTCGGTGCTCACATCTTTCAAGGTGTTCCACTCGTTCTCCAGGCTCTTGTTTGACTCCGCCTCCTCTTCATACCTGGCAGCAAGGATGAGGTAAAGAATAATGTGAGCTCCACAAACCTCTCCTTCATCCCCATACCTTCCACCCACCGCCCTCTTCTCACGGGGACCAGGGTTATCTCCTTATCTCCAGTGGCCAGGTCAGAGCGGGTTTACAAAGTTCACCCAAGTAAGCACTTAAGTCACACAGGAGCACGTTTTCAAAGTACATCCAGAAATATTTGAAAATTGCCAAGAAATGTTGATATGGCCACACCCATTGCGCATTGGCAAAGTGCACCCAGAAATATTGGTACGGCCACACCCAGTGCGCATTTTGAAAAGTGCACCCATAAATATTTGATTTGATCACCTTTTATGTGGATTTTCAAAGTGTACCCATGAATAAAGGTATGGCCAAACCCAACAGCACGTTTACATAGCTACACATATATATGTAAATGTGTGGCAACTACGAATAACACATCTTAAAAGCATACCCAGTATGGTATGGTTATATTGGAGAATGTGTTTAAAAAGTGTGCATTTTCAAGGTGCATCCAGAAATATCGGTACAGCCACACTTACACAAACATGTGCATCATTTTCAAGGCTTCTTGGAATTCCGTCATTCTAAGTGGCTCTATTAAAATCTAAGTTGAATTTTACGAGGCGTTTAATTTCCAAAATGCACTCCAAAAACATGCACTTCAACACACTGAGGCTCCATTTATAAAATACACTAAAAAAAAAGAAAGTTATGACCACGTCCAAGAGCTCGTTTTCAAAGTGCACCCAGAATTCCACAGCCAATGGCGTATTTTCAAAGTGCACCCAAAAATAAACCCGCAGCCACACCTAAAAGCTCGTTTTCAAAGTTCACCCAAAAAGGAAGCCATGGCCACATCCGACATTTGCAAAGTGTACCTCAATAACTAAGGCACCCGCAAACAATACTACAGCCTGAACCAAGAGCTCGTTTTCAAAATGCACCCAGGAATATCCACACCGAAAAGTACACTTACAAAGCGCGCCCAGAAATAACTTAACAAATAGAGGCGGGAGCACATTTCCAAAATGCACCCAGAAATCAATGGTGCAGCCACACCCTAGTGCACACTTACACAGTGCACCCAGACATCATTTTACAGCCGCGGACAAGAGCACATTTTCAAGATGCACCCAATCGGTGAGTGTGCGGGGCTCTTACTTGGCCGTGTACTCCTGGATCACGCCCTTCCAGTAGTCGATCTCGGCCTCGAGCGCCGCTTTGAGCTGCCTCAGGCCATCGATCTGCGAGTTGAGGGCCCCCGTGACGGAGCCGATGAGCACCGTGGTGTTGGCCGGGCCGCCCGAGTCCGTGTTGGTGTACATGGAGATCTGCGCCTTCAGGATCGCATTCTGCTGCTCCAAGTGGCGCACCTGTGGGACGACGGGCGGGTGGGCAGGGGTGGCAACCGTGGTAATGGTGGTGGCGGCATGGTTAGAGATGTGCGGGTGGTAGAGATGATGGCAGTGGTCCTGTTTATTTAACACGTGAATATGATGGTGGTGATGATAACGTATCCTGGTCAGCACACTGGCGGAAGATCCGTTTCTCACAATTCATCAGCTGAGTCTCGCATCTCGTCGCGGGCATCACTTCACCATAACTCCACAGTCTACCAAATCCTCAACTAAAGGGGGCCCTGATCCCCGTAATAGCTCGCCACAGGGGTCATTTCATGCCCTATAGTTTGGAAGGGGGCCTTTGTGGCTGTGAGATTAAGGGATTACTGTGGAGATACTGAGAGGTCACCGTTACTGGGAATTCAGGGGTCCCTTTATTTGAGGAATTCCTGTGACTGAAAAATCATGGGGACCCTTATCTGATCTGGGGTTTCAGGGGTGCGTCTATGGGATGCGTAGTCCGGCGAGATCAAGACCCCCGAGTCTGTCCTATCAACGTGGCCACACGTCCCTGCGGAGTGTCTCGCTCGTCTACTGCGTGGAGGATGAGCTGTAGCCGAGGGGATTGGAGATAAACTACAGCCGAAGGGCTAGGACGCCCAGGTGCCCCCCATCCCTCGTACCTTATCCACGAACCCGGCGAAGCGGTCGTTGAGGACCTGGAGCTCCTGCTTCTCGCGGATTCTGGTTCCCTGCACCGAGTCGATGGAAGGGAACGAGGCCGGGTCCACCTCCACCATGCCGGGTCCCGCGCCCAGCAAGCCAGAATGCACCGACGAGACGGTGTGCGAGGTCGACTGCAGGAACGAGGGGTTGACCCCGTACGTGCCCACGTTGATGTTGGCGCCGACGCGGTTCCTGAAGTTGGTGGACAGCAGGCGGAGAGCGGCGGACGCACCGCCCCCCCTCGCTCCGAATCCGCCGGCTCCGAAGCCACCCGCTCCACCGCCACCTCCTCCGCCGTAGCCGAACGAGAAGGAGGACCCGCTGCCGTAGCCGCCACCGCTGCCGTAGCCGCCACCACCGCCGTAGCCGCCACCGCCACTGCAGTAGCCGCCGCCTCCTCCGAAGCCGCTGCCCATCCCGCGAGCCAGACCTACGCCGCCAAACTTGAAGGAACGGGAGCCACCGCCGCCGCCAAGGTTGGACAACACCCCGCCAAGGCCGGCACCGGAGTACTGAGCTCCGTAGCGCACCGAGTGCACCGTGCGTGAGGAACGCGCCTCCGACATCGTGGTGGTGGTGGTGCGAGGGAGAGAGGGAGAGAGGTCAAGGAGGTAGCGGTGCTGGTGGAACTGGTGGTGGTGGACGATACGGAGGTGCCACTGCTAACTCGGGTAGAGATGAGGGCGCCACTGCTTGTGCAGTTGGCTGAAGAGGAGGAGGAAGATCGAAGCCGGAGGAAGATGACGGAGTTGATGGAGGGGAGGTGATGGAGCAAGGTAGAGCAAGAGAGACCCACGAGTTGTGTGGTCTCGACCCCGGCACCTTTTAAAGGCTAAGTTCAGCCCCAGGGAAGGGGATGGGCTAACCGCTGCTTTCACGGGCGGGACATTTATTTATTTAATATTAATGCTATTTTATATATTTTTTTACCTGGTGTTTAACCAACCCCAGTTATTTATTTTTTACATGTCATTATTTTCTTGTCCGTGTAGGAATGCGCGGTGTCTATGACAGTGCACGTGTGTGTTCGCCCGTGCCTTCACTGCGCTACCGCCACCCGAGTTCGATTCCCATTCACGACCAATGACGCTGACAGTTAACATTTGAACCGCTCCTCAAATGGATATCGTGTGCGGTGTAAACATCGCCTTGAGGGAAACAAAGACGGCCGGGCGTTGTGCTGGCCATCCGCCCCCTCATGTGCCGGCTTTCATAGGTGCTCGCTAACAACACTTGCCTCACCAGTGTGTTAAAAGCTATTCGGGGGACCTTTGTATTTGCACTTTGCAAACTGCACTTGCCCAAACAGTCTTGTTATGTGCAATGATTGAATGTGTGTGTTTGTGATTGAATGTGTGTGTTTGTGATTGACTGTGTGTTTGTGATTGAATGTGTGTGTTTGTGATTGAATGTGTGTGTTTGTGATTGAATGTGTGTTTGTGATTGAATGTGTGTGTTTGTGATTGAATGTGTTTGTGATTGAATATGTGTGTTTGTGATTGAATGTGTCTTTGTGATTGAATGTGTTTGTGATTGAATGTGTGTTTGTGATTGAATGTGTCTTTGTGATTGAATGTGTGTTTGTGATTGAATGTGTGTGTTTGTGATTGAATGTGTTTGTGATTGAATGTGTGTGTTTGTGATTGTAAACGTGGGCGCGCCTGCATTTGTGTGGGGAGTGGCAGCGTGGTGGTTGGCACGCTGCGCTGCCAACCCGGCAAAAGACAACCCGAGTTCGACTCCCGCTCATGGCCAACGCCAGTGACGAGCATTTGAGCCGATCGACTCAAATGCAGCGCCTGGTGCGATGCCTTCAACATCGCCGCTGTGGAGACAAAGACGTTCGCGCGTGGCGCTGGGCCACACACCAGCCCCTCGCGTGGCCGGGCGGTCGTCTCATGTGGGCACTGCTGGCGAGGGACAGCGGTCTCCTCTTCCACGCCGAGTGTACGTCTCGGAAGGGTCTGGGCGTACCCACGCTTTCTCCACCGCACGCGACCTGCCGATCACAGACTTTGCTGTACCCGTTTATACTAAATTACTTTTTATTGTGCCAGGCAAGGCTCACTTGATCGATATCACCTTTTTTTCAGACGCGACCTGGCCACACATGATAGCCCAACGAAGTGACTTATCGTGTGGACATTTTATAGCAGTCAAATACTCTAAACGCGTGGTGATGTTTATTCTAAATGTGGAGGGAAAATCCGGAGGACCCGGAGAAAAATCCACGCCACCACGGGGAGAGAGAAAGAGAAAGACACGCAAACTCCAAATACACAGCAACAGGCGTCAGGGTCGGGATCGAACCCACGACCTCCTGCATACCAGGCGAGGTAGTTAACATCTCCTAGCCACCGTGATGATGAGAGAGACACGCAAACTCCAAATACACAGCAACAGGCGTCAGGGTCGGGATCGAACCCACGACCTCCTGCATACCAGGCGAGGTAGTTAACATCTCCTAGCCACCGTGATGATGATGAGAGAGAGAGACACGCAAACTCCAAATATACAGCAGGTGTCAGGGTCAGGATGGAACCCACGACCTCATGTACACCAGGCGTGGTAGTCAACATCTCCTAGCCACCGTGGCGCCCCATGCTACTGGGTGGATAGAGGCGGGGCTGGAGATGTAAGAAACTTGGCACATTGTTTCAGCTACCGCGCCAGGAGATGGAATCGAGCGGGCGACTCCAGGATTGTGTCGGCTACCTTAATTTATTCGGCTAAATGTAAGTTTTTGCGCGTGCGTCAAACCGGTAACCGTGTAGACCGGGGGGGGGGGGGGGGGGTAGGATATACAAACTCCACTCGCACACACGACTGCAAAGCGGGGCGAACATACAATCTCCACCCATAAAGGCGCTTGAGTCGGGAATCGAACCCGGGGACTTCTTACTGTGAGGCACGAGCGTTAACCACTGCTCCTCCGCGCGTGTGAGTGAATGCGTGCGCGTGAGTGCGCGTGTGAGTGAGTGCGTGTGTGAGTGTGTGCGCTTGAGTGCGAGTGAATGCGCGTGAGTGCGAGTGAGTGCGCGTGTGAGTGCGTGCGTCTGTTTTGGGCGTGGTGCTGGCCACCCAACCCCCTCGTGTACCCTTCAGGCCTTCGTGGGATGCTCGCTAGCAGCACTTGTCTCTCAAGGCTATACGGGGGGGCTTTGTCTTGTGTGTGGGGAGTGGTGGGGCTGTAGTTAGCGCTTTGGGCTATAAATCCGGCGATCCGATTTTGATTCCCATTCGCAGCTTTTATGAGTGATGTTTATCTAAGCCGGTCTTGTGTCCCTCTAGGTCAACTCAACCTCAAATAAGTACCTGGTGCGGTGTGTAAAAATCGCCAATGGGGAGACAAAGGCGGTCGGGCGTGGTACTGGCCACACCAACATGACCTGGTGGAGCCTTCCAGAAATGTGGAAGCTTACTTGAGTTAGGACACACTAAACATCGACACCACATTCACATCGACACCTACACAAACACAACCACGATTCGCCACTAAGTGACTGTGACGTCACCACGGCGCCTGTGCCAGGCCAGGTACACTTTGAGGCTCGCTGACAGGTTACGAGACAGACCCAGCAGGTGCCATGGGTTGGATAAGATGACTGGTAGATGCACCAGCTTGACCCCCTACTGTGCCAACTTACTGAATTTTTGCCGCCCGGCGCTCCGCTCGTTGTTGTGAACGTCGCTCTACCTTCTGTTGTTGTTGGAGGGCGACTGCCTCCAACTGCGCAGTAGCGTCCTTCACGAGCCTCCTCCACAGAGGACGATCTTGACACCGCTGGTACCAGTGATCGGCAAGTGCACTCAGCTCCACATCCTCCTGTACCGCATCAGTCCATCTCCAGCCCATGTCGTACCTGTTTAGCCCCCTCTATGCGGCCAAACAAAAGCTGCTTGGGCATGCGGTGGCTGGGCATGCGGGCTACATGGCCCAGCCAACGCAGCCTTGCCTGCCGGAGGAGCTCACTGATGGGAATGTGTCCAAATCTTTCAAGCATTTGTGAGCTCCTCACACAATCCAGCCTGGTTAAACCCAGGATGGATCGTAGGCAGGCCAGCCTAAATGTTTGTAATCGGCGCAGATGTTCCATTAGAGGGGTCTTCGTTTCACAAGCATAGAAAAGGGAGGCCATGACTGGCCGAGAAGACCCGAAGCTTCGTGCCGAGTGACAGACCAGGTAGCTTCCACACATCGTTACGTAGCCGATGAAAAGTGTATGCCGCCCGACTGATTAGGAGTGAGACTGCTGTCAAACCGGAGCACATACACACACACGTATAGACAGCACATGGACACAATACGTGTAGACACAGCACAGCCATAGAATGAACGATGTAAAGTCAAGGACACATTGCGCATAGACAGCATATATATGAAGTAGACTGCACAATTATACATAGCACACATAGATTGTTGTCCTTTCCCCCGCACCTACGATTAACACCACGGTTGGCTACGTACGATGTGAAATAAGTTGAACATACATACATACAACACAATATACTCAGCATAGATACAACACACAAATACAGCACTGTATACACAACACACAGCACATAGACACAGCGCTCAGACATAGCAAATACACACAGCGCTCAGACACAACACAGAGAGGGCAGCTCGAGACCAAGTGTCTTTATTTGTCACGGGTGGGGGGCTCACAGGGGGTTCCAGCAGGGGGCCCACGTGGGTACAGGAGGGCCGTGAGTATTGGCAGCGCTGGGAGCCCGAGAGCTTGGGGGTGCGAGGCAGGAGGAGCATGGGGGCGCGGAGTCCCTCGCTAGATGAACGTGGAGGAGAGCACTGTGGGCGACAGTAATTAACGAGCAGGGTCACGTGGTGTGAGATTAATTAGCATTGCTTACACAGTGTTCGATCGTCATGGTCAGGTGGGTGTGCGATTGGTTTTGGTTACGTTCAAGTATAGCGAGTAACCACCACACACGGAATCATTCAAAGTCGAAGTGATTTCCTGCTCAAATGAGCATTGAGGGGCTGCTTATTTCCTCAATTACAGCCCAGTGGCGGAAATTCCATGTTCCTATGGTGGCAGCGAGTATATTCATAGGACAAGCACCATTGACTTCCTCACAAAGTAGTACTCATGTTATCGACCCCGGGGGTATGATGAGCTAAGTTAACTCCCAACCATGCCTTGAACTCAGAAACCTGTGCGGAATCACAGAAACCCATATTTACATGAAAAACACATACAGTACATAGATATCCACAGACTTACATAGAGAACCACACTCATGGGGTGAGTTGTGGTTAAACCGAGTTTTCAAATGTAATGAGTTGATGATCTCAGCCTGGTCACATGATTGCAAGATAAAATTTAGATCTGCACTTAGTTTTGGCAAAATTCTCTCTCTCAACATTAAAAAGACATTCCTGGATTAAAGGTGGTCTGCCTGTAATCCAGCACTGTGGATGAGGAGGTACAGCAAAAGTGGACCCAACCTGTTCCATCTGTATGGAATAGAGCATTGTACCCTTACGCGCTTAGGTTTTTCTGGGTTTCCTCCCACTTGTAAACACCCAATTAATTGACTGAAATCATCTTAATATATAGAGGACTGCAGAACTTGGACAATCGTTGGTAGCGCCGGCTCACCGCCTGGCTGGTGCCTTCCCACTCGTCTGTGGTTCCACACGCGTCTTAAGTCGTTCACTCTTTTCGAGAGCGAGCAACTGCTGTGGTGCATTACAATTCTAAATGATTTCGCGAATATTTTATCAGAAAGTAGAATATTCCAAAAGAGATGACATAATCAGCGATAATAACGACTTAATAATATTTCGCAAACCGGACGATTTGATTATTGTGCGCCTTACTTTGTACCATCACCATATCGTGACAACGCAATCGGAAACGCTGCGTGACCTCAAAACGATGACGGGAGACTCGTCAAACGCAGACCATTGGAACTCACTGGAGTTGCTGCCTCCTCCGTAGGACGTCCCAGCAGACGATGAGATGAAGCTTGCTCCACCCCCACGACCGCCACCACCGCCACCACCACCACCGTAACCACCTCCCAGCCCAATGGCTCTGCCAGTGGAGCCACCGACGCCGATGCCACCGCCGATGCCACCGCCGATGCCACCGCCGCCGCCGCCGATGCTACCAAAACCATACCCACCACCTAGACCATAAGCACTGGACGCTGCGCCTGACTTAAAGCTCTTGCTAGCCATGCTGTACCCCCCTCCAAGACCCCCCGACGAGTAGACGCCTCCAGCAGGACCCCCTAGGCCGCTGTAGCCGCCCCCCAGGCCGCTCATGCCAAAGTCCCCGCCGAAGGACCCCGGGGCGCCCCCCAGAGGGATCCCGTAGGCCCCGTGGCCCAGGGCTCCGTAGCCAGGGACCATATTCGTGGTGGAGGCCATGGAGACGGTGATGCCGCCACCGCTGTTGATCCTGGAGGGAAAGTGAGTGGGAGAAGAGGAGGGTTACCATTATGGCACTGGTGGTGGTTATAGAGGTGGTGGTTGATGATGAATACTGATGATGATGTTAGGGGAGGAGGTGTGGTAATCAATAATAAGTGGTGGTGATGGTGATCATGATGATCATATTGATAATGTGGTGATGGAAGATATGGCTGTGGTGATTATGGTAGCAATGGTGGTGGTGATGATATAACAAAGACAATGAAGGTGGAGATAATCATGATCTTCACCATGGTGCTAGACATGGTGACAACGATGATGATGTAGTGGTGGTGAGCTGCAGAGAATCAGATCGCAAATCGATTCAGTAACTCGTGGCGTGACTCGGTCTCACCCACACACACAGATCTGGGACCTCACCTCGCCTCCTCGCTGTCCAGGAGTTTCCTGTAGGCCGCGATCTCAATGTCCAGCGCCATCTTGGTGGCCAGGAGGTTCTGGTATTCCTGCGAGTACTGCGCGATTCTCTGCAATGTTAATTTTCAACGTTAATCCTACATCACACGTCCACTTTGGTGAACAAGAGGGTCTCAGAGCAGAGCCGGATTAATCCACAACCTAAAAAGACCTTAGGCCCTCATATTTTGTAGGCCCTCCTTTAGGTCCTCCGTGCTGAAGTAACAGCTGAGCGATGGTAGCGAGGCCCTCGGAAATATTTTGTGTTTGAATAATGATATCATTAATGACTTTTCCCCAGCTAAAGCTTGAAAAAATGTTATTAGTTTGATTAAATTGGTGTAGTGAGTGATTTATGTTTGATGAATTTACCTTGAGTTGAATAAATGTGTTAATTTTACATAGGTAAATTAATATTTTTTTATGAGTCTATCATTTTTTTACAAAACGTAATACATAGGCCCATCCCTGCTATTAACCTTAGGCCCCTCATAACAGAAATCCGACTCCGTCTCAGGGTCCCACTTGAGACCTCACCCTGGTTGTTAAATGTCAGGGCCTCGCCTTGTCCTCACGTCGAGGACCCCCAGCCCCTCACCTTCTTGATGGTCTCGAGCTCCGTGCGCAGGCTCGTCACACGCTCCTGGTACTGATCCACGTGGGTCTCGCTGCTCACCTCCGCCTCCGCAACCTGGATCTCTATCTCCGAATTCTGCCGGGGAAGCCGGTTAAATATCATCATCGTTATCATTAGCGGCTGTGATCAATCAATTGCTGAAGACCTCCCCAAAGCCTTCGCCTTCCCTCAAGATCCCGCGATGTCAACATTCATATAGCTCTTGCAAATCAGCTTGTTTCATCGCTCCATCTCTGTGATGTATTGTACTTATATGTTCATGCTCCCTGCCTTTATTGACCTGCACCGACCAGCGTGGTGAAGAATTGTCCCAATTACCCCCACGACCTGCACGATGTGGGAAAGCCTTCATCCAGCAGTGGCTTGACATAGGAACTCAAGAATAGAGGGAGACAGAAGGGAATTCTAAAGATGGACCGATCCTCGGACCACCTGACCATCCCTCGGACCATGTGCGATAAGGTGGGATCAGGTGAGAGCAGGTGGTAGCAGGTTAAATCAGCTGGGAGTAGGTGGGATCGGGTGGTAGTAGGTGGGATCAGGTGGGATCAGTTGGGAAGGTGGGAGTAGGTGGGATCAGGTTGTAGTAGGTGGGATCAGGTGGGAACCAGGTGGTAGCAGGTTAAATCAGCTGGGAGTAGGTGAGATCGCGTGGTAGTAGGTGGGATCAGGTGGGAACCAGGTGGTAGGTTAAATCAGCTGGGAGTAGGTGAGATCGCGTGGTAGTAGGTGGGATCAGGTGGGAACCAGGTGGTAGCAGGTTAAATCAGCTGGGAGTAGGTGAGATCGCGTGGTAGTAGGTGGGATCAGATGGGAACCAGGTGGGATCAGTTGGGAGCAGGTGGGAGTAGGTGGGATCAGGTGGTAGTAGGTAGGATCAGAACATGGGACCTTTCTTGCCAGTATCTAAGTATAAGAATAGGTTTTACCCTTTCAGGAAATAAAACAGGTGTTAAACTGTGCAAACACCAAAAATACCTTTTGCAAGGAATACTATCTGCATTAACCACACACAGTGCTTGTGAACATGCAAACACAAACATGCTCTTGCAATATACGCATTGTCTTTGAAACTGATTGGTCTACACCAGAGACAGCTTTCTTTAAGGTTTTTGTTTAGTGTTTGAACATCTTAACGCCTGTCAGGTGGGAACAGGGGGGAGTAAGTGGGAACACACGGGAGCAGGTGGGATCAGTTGCGAGCGTGTGACAGCAGGTGGCAACAGCTGGGATGAGGCGTGGGACAGGGCCCCCCACCGCCCCCCACCGCCCCCCACACCTGCACGCGCAGGCGTTCAATCTCGCGCTTGAGGGTGTCCGTCTGCAACTTGAGGCTGCGCACCTCCTCCCTCGCCTGCGTCAGGGCCATGGAGCTCGTCTGGGTTGTGCCTGCCACCTGGTGGATCTGGGCGACAACGATTGGGAGCAGAGGGGGTGGTGGTGGGGGGTGGTGGGGGGGGGTTCATTGAGAGGGTTCGCAACAGACCGGCGGGGCCCACGTCGGCAACTCTTCACTCGACGGACTCGAACGAAGCCGCCGTCTCTCCACCACCGTCCATCCACTCAAGCAGAAGGGGCACGCGCGCACGAGATTGTAATCAATAAATGTATCGATGAGTCGCGCGTGGTGGGGTAATGCGTGGGAACCCAGCTCTCCCAAGAACTCTGGCCAGCGGGGAAGAGTAGGCCAAAAACGAACTTGTCTAGAGCTCCTAGCGGAGGCCCTTCCACCAGCAGTGGCGTGAACAAGAAATCTCAGGGCTGCGCCTTTACTGACTTGCTTTTACGTTGCGAGCAGGGGGCTGCAGAGCGAATTACACTGTTGTACTGTACTGCTAAGCCGCCACGACTGCTCCCTGAGCTGCTCCAACCCGTACTCACCGTGCACCCCCATGTCTCTGCGTGTCCCCCTCGTGTCTCCCTCATGTCCCCCTCGTGTCTCCACTCATCTCCCTGCGTCACCCCGAACACCTCCGTGGCCCCCCTCATGTCCCCCCTCATGTCTCCCTCGTCCCCCTCAGCGCCCACCCCCCTCAGCGCCCCCCCCCCCTCAGCGCCCCCCCCACCTCAGCGCCCCTCCCCCTCAGCGCCCCTCCCCCCCCGCAGCGCCCCTCCCCGTGTCTCACCCGCGACTCCACGGTGGTGAAGGCGTCCTCCTTGCTCTTGGCGGCCAGGGCCTCGTAGTGCGCGCGGACCTCGTTGAGCGCCGCGGAGAGGTCGAGCGCCTGGTCGTAGTTGTCCACCGTGATGGAGACGGCGGCGGAGGAGCCTCCGGCGAGCGCCGCCTGCACCTCCTTGACCCTCTGAGGCGCGCGGGAGACGGTGCACGCGCAAAATGTTCACGATCACGCACACAGTGCACACTACTCTGTGTTACACACAACACGCACTACAACATCACGTGCGGCACACGCACAGTACACAACTATATATTACACACAGCATGCAGTACACATCAGAGTACACACGCACAGTACACAACTATATATTACAACATGCAGTACACATCAGAGTACACACGCACAGTACACAACTATATATTACACACAGCATGCAGTACACATCAGAGTACACACGCACAGTACACAACTATATATTACAACATGCAGTACACAGAGTACACACGCACAGTACACAACTATATATTACAACATGCAGTACACAGAGTACACACGCACAGTACACAACTATATATTACACACAACATGCAGTACACATCAGAGTACACACGCACAGTACACAACTATATATTACAACATGCAGTACACAGAGTACACACGCACAGTACACAACTATATATTACACACAACATGCAGTACACATCAGAGTACACACGCACAGTACACAACTATATATTACAACATGCAGTACACATCAGAGTACACACGCACAGTACACAACTATATATTACAACATGCAGTACACATCAGAGTACACACGCACAGTACACAACTATATATTACACACAGCATGCAGTACACATCAGAGTACACACGCACAGTACACAACTATATATTACAACATGCAGTACACAGAGTACACACGCACAGTACACAACTATATATTACAACATGCAGTACACAGAGTACACACGCACAGTACACAACTATATATTACACACAACATGCAGTACACATCAGAGTACACACGCACAGTACACAACTATATACAGTATTACAATCGCCTCGTGGTGGTTAATTAACGTGGTCACCCTCGTTAGCCCCATCACGGTAGCTAATTACCTCACGGTAGTCGCTTCGTGGTGGTTAATTAGCGTGGTCACCCTCGTTAGCCCCATCACGGTAGCTAATTACCTCACGGTAGTCGCCTCGTGGTGGTTAATTAGCGTGGTCACCCTCGTTAGCCCCATCACGGTAGCTAATTACCTCACGGTAGTCACCTCGTGGTGGTTAATTAGTGTGGTCACCCTCGTTAGCCCCATCACGGTAGCTAATTACCTCACAGTAAGTCGCCTCGTGGTGGTTAATTAGCGTGGTCACCCTCGTTAGCCCCATCACGGTAGCTAATTACCTCACGGTGGTCGCCTCGTGGTGGTTAATTAGCGTGGTCACCCTCGTTAGCCCCATCACGGTAGCTAATTACCTCACGGTAGTCACCTCGTGGTGGTTAATTAGTGTGGTCACCCTCGTTAGCCCCATCACGGTAGCTAATTACCTCACAGTAAGTCACCTCGTGGTGGTTAATTAGCGTGGTCACCCTCGTTAGCCCCATCACGGTAGCTAATTACCTCACGGTAGTCGCCTCGTGGTGGTTAATTAGCGTGGTCACCCTCGTTAGCCCCATCACGGTAGCTAATTACCTCACGGTAGTCGCCTCGTGGTGGTTAATTAGCGTGGTCACCCTCGTTAGCCCCATCACGGTAGCTAATTACCTCACGGTAGTCACCTCGTGGTGGTTAATTAGCGTGGTCACCCTCGTTAGCCCCATCACGGTAGCTAATTACCTCACGCTAGTCGACTCGTGGTTAATTAGCGTGGTCACCCTCGTTAGCCCCATCACGGTAGCTAATTACCTCACGGTAGTCGCCTCGTGGTGGTTAATTAGCGTGGTCACCCTCGTTAGCCCCATCACGGTAGCTAATTACCTCACGGTGGTCGCCTCGTGGTGGTTAATTAACGTGGTCACCCTCGTTAGCCCCATGACGGTAGCTAATTACCTCACGATGGTCGCCTCGTGGTGGTTAATTAGCGTGGTCACCCTGATTGGCCTTGGTTAGTGAAGGGCACTAATTGGCGGTGCGGTGAGGAGGACGGCGTGTGCTCACCGCCGTGTAGATGTTCTTGGTGAGCGTGATCTGGTCCTGCACCGCCTGCACGTTCGTCTGCAGCTCCACGATGGACACGTACGTCTTATCCACCTCCTGCGGGGTGGACACGGCGTGTCGGTGGTCAGCGGCCTGCCGGATTCGATCTCTCGGCGCGGCAGTCAGTTTGAACAATGGCCCAGGTTTGTGAATGTGTATCTGGTCCACGTTAGGCATCAGTGGTGGGGTCCAGTGTGGGTGTTGACGCCTCTTCCAAGACCGCCTGGCCAGCGTGCAAGAGTAGGCCAGTAGAGGTACAAAATAACTTGCTATTGTTCATATTAAAAATAAACGATGGATAATCGGTTCTAAAATGACCAAAACAATACTGGCGAATCGCCTGATGAAGCTGGTTATCACCAACGAAACATTGCACTCGAACTGTAAATGTGATTTACTCTCCAATGTACCGGTGTGTTGAAGTAGTTACTAATTGGCACGTTTTATTTACATGTCAAACCTTAATAATTGTCTGTCAGGTGGTGGGTTTAACAACATGTTTAGACGATCTGACCCAAAAAACTTTATTAGACACTATCCCCATCGTGCTGGGGCTTCAGCACGTGAGCTGTCGTGCTATTAATATCGTGCTCGTATAATGGCTACAGCGCAATCACGTACGTCCTTCAGGGTGTTCCACTCGGCCTCCAGCGTGCGCGTCACCTCGTTCTCCTGCTCGTACCTGTGCACGGTCATTAGAAAAGGTGGGGGGGGGGGGCATAATTACCACAGGGTGGGGGGCCAAACCAACACAACCCTGACCCTAGCTGAAACCATGACATCAGCTTTACCCAAACCGTGACCCTAACCCTGACTGTAATCTTGATTGATCTCCGATCTAAACCCTGATCCTCAACATTACCCAGATTCTAACCCTGACCATGACAATAATTGTGACTCTACCGATGATCATAACCCTTACCCTGACCTCAATCCTAACCCTGAATCCAACCCTGACTGCAATCGTGACCAAACAACGGTCTTATTCCAAACTCTGAATCTAGTGAAGATCTTAAACCCTGACCCTTATCTTTAACCCTACCCTGATGATAATGATAGCAATGATGATGATGACAATGATGAGCCGAGACAAGCCAATTTAATTACAGGACTTTTTTAAGGTAATTTACTGGGCTGAATCCAACAACTTGCTCCGCTTGAAAGCCCGGTTTAATAACGGCCGGCTAAAACCCAGGATCTCGATGGTGCCAGATCAGCATCTGTCTCGGACATGGCCATTGTGAACCCCCTGGGGCATGAGGCCAATGCAGCTGTTTGTTGTTTGGATTCTGTATTTTTTTTTAGCTGCCACGGTTGAGACATGAGTATAGATACATACCTCGAGTAATGGGGCTTGGGGGGGAAAAAAGATTCGGACAATATTGGCTGGTTGGCTGCTTGCTGGGTGGTGTAGGAATGGAAACATTTGAGAATGTTTAGGTCAGTTTTTTAACGCTTTCTAAGTTTTACAGTGTTTATGGTAGTATGGACTCGCGTTATTAAAAACCGACTACATTGATCAAAGGGTTGCCCAAAACTTTGGAGATGCAAACCAGGACAAAGGACTATTTAAAAACCTGCGAAGGCATTTTGCCCTGACTGCTTTCCACGAGCTACCACACAGCTAATTTAATATACTGCCGCTGATGTTGGAAGGCATTAACTTAATCGATGAGCATGAAATATGTATCCTAACTTGTTTAATCTGGGACCATGCTGCGTTCCCACAGCCACTTGAAATTGGCTGCCCAGGTTGGTGAATTGGCACGGTGTGGCCGGCCTTGTTTCCTGTAATAGCCGGTCGCCTCATTTACATGAGACGGCCAACACGGGTTGAGTTGATTTCTCCCAGAATTCTGAGTTGCAAGACAATGGGAGTTGTTAAAAAAACTAAAAACTTGGTATTTACACGATGTTTTAAAGTTGACTTATTCTAAAAGTTTTGGCAAGGCATTCCCAGGAATATTTATGAGTTTTCCAGAAAATAATGCCAAAATGTAGCAAAAAATAAATGGCAACAAATTACGTTTTAATTTTAGTTTGGAATAACAAACTACCTCAATGATCATGAAACGGAGTAGATTTTTTCAGATTTATTTTCACTTCCTTCTGGCTATGGAGAGGAAGGAGAGGGATGGCCCAGCCATTACGGACGGGAAGCCCCAATCCCAGCCGGCACAGCTTGGATCTGGTTTCGAATGGCCATGGAAACACTGCATGAGAGAACCTGACTTAAAGGTACAACTTCATCGTACAAGGTAGTCCCTGAAGGCATTCTTCTGGCAACAACCATGCTATTTTCTGTAATTTTCACGAGCCATCCTTGAAGTTGTGTAAAGCTTTCGAGGCGCTTTGTTCTCGGGTCTTAACTTGAACTACATTTGTCCAGGCCGGTGGCACAGAAAATATTCCCCACTCGACACACCCCATCCAGTATATCTGTCGCTATGGCTCTGGCTGTGAGCCGCATAGTCCTTCTGCAGTCTACCAGTGACAAATATTCCCACGACAAATTAAGCCCTCTCTCTGGTCACACATTTTCTGCATCTCTCACGGCTTTGCGTCCCAGTCGGCCGCCCCTCACCACCCACCCCCCAATGTCAGACCAATGTCCTCACTTGAACGTGTACTCCTGGATGGCGGTCTGGAGGTGGTCTCTCTCTGACACCAGGGCCGTCTTATTGGCAATCAGCGTGTCGAGTTGGCCTTGGTACGAGCTGGTGATGGCCCCGATCACCACGGCCGTGTTGGCGGGGCCCGTGGGGTCCGAGTTGGTGTACATGGTAATCTGGGCTTTGAGGATGGCGTTGCGCTTTTCCAGATCTCGCACCTGACTCGCACGCACGCGGTGAGGGAGAGTTAGGGTCAGCATGGGAGGGGGAACGCCGGGCATGCTGCGTGTGTCTGTGTAAGGGTTTGTATGTGTGTGTCGGTGTAAGGGTGTGTGTGTGTGTATTGGGAGCGGTGGCACAGTGGTTGCCACTAAGTGACACGAATACGGCCACCCCAGTTTGATATCCGCTCACAGCCAATATCAGTGACGAATATCTGAAGCGGTTCTAGGTCTCCAATCGGTTGACCCAACCTTAAATTGTGTGGTGTGTAAACATTAACACTAGGAGACAAAGGCGGCCGGGCTTGGTACTAGCCACACCATCCCCTCACAAGTGTGCGATTCTGACCTTTATAGGAGTTCACTAACAGCACTTGCCCTAACAGCCTATTAAGGCTATGTGGGGATTTTTTTCTCTTTGCTTTTGCTTGTATGAGTGTATTGGTGTCTGTGTGTATTTGTCTGTGAATGTGCGCGAGAGTAATTGTGTGAATCTTTAGGTGTGCATATCTATGGGTGTGTGTGTGTGGCACAAGCGTCGTGGTGACGTCACCGCCACTTAGTGGCGAATGGCGGTTGTTATTGTGTGAACGTGTGTAAGTATGTGCTCGTGTGACGTCGCGTATGTGTGCAAGCCCCTAAATGTGTGTGTCTGTGAATGTGTGTGTGTGTAAACGCGTGTGTGTAAATGTGTGTGAGAGTGCCTCTGAAGTTCACTGTCACTGCACGTCCTGCGTTTCTCACTCGCTCAAAGGTTTTGTAACAAAAAATTTGGACAAATCGCAGAATTCACAAAACCCATGACTGAGCCCCCAGCCTCATGCAGATGCTAGTACCCCCCCAGGCACCACTCCCCTCGCTATGCACATAGATGAGTGCAGCACACGCTGCAAAAAAATACAAAGATCCCCAGTATAGCCTTTGATAGGATTCTGGGACAAGTGATGTTAAGAAGCATCAATTAAGATGCACACATTCACACACACGCATTTAAAGTCAAATATCCCCCTTATAGCCGGCTGGGACGATGCACCAAAGGTTGTTGTGGCCAACACCACGCCCAGCCTTTTTGTCTCCCCCTCCCCCCCATTGCTAATGTTTTCACACCGCAGCCTGAGGCGACCAAAGTTAAGCCCAGCATCGGTTCTGATTTCACTTTCCACTAATGTTAGTTATGGCCAGGAATTAAACTGGGGATCTTCCAAATTTGTACCGCAATGCACTCACCACTGCTCTCACACGCACACACACATCACCAGGGCAGTTGTTGGGAGTGGCACCCAGGGGTCAGTGACCAAGGGGAAGAGAAGACCCAAAGCTAGGTTGTGGCGATTGGACCGTAAGAGTCATCGTCCTTAAAGGACTTGTTAACTTGATAACAAGGTGAAGAGCCAGAGCGAGATGGTGGCAGCGGTGGTGGTAGTGGTGATGATGATGCTGGGGCTGTAGGAACTGTTCTTGGAGGTCACACGTAGACTGTGCAGAAGGAAGGAAGTGATGGCGAGGTATTGTGGTGGCTGCAGTTTTCACAGATGGCCTCCAGACGTTGGCCTGCACAGAGCTCCTAGCCTCACTCCTGGTGGCTCTACAGCTCCGCTCAGTCAATGTGAATATGGCAATATTATTGAGTTTTTTTTTGCCAGGTAAACCACGAGTTTAAGCTGTTAGATAATTTTCAGAGGCGATATTGGCCACACGTGATAGCTCCTAGAATTTGTTGATATCATCACACCTGGGAATTTATAATAGCAAAAATAATGTCTACGCATGTGTACAGTGTATATGAGCACACCTGTACATGTAATGCTGTGGAGTGACTAAAACTGTGAACTTTTGTGGCACTTTTCAGACAACGGCATACATTTAGCGATGCCCTCCCCCATTGACTTAACTATGAGAATTTTCATAATTTCAATGGCACAAGGGCAGCATGAGCAGCAGCAGCAGAAATTAGCGTAATTGGTTTAATTATAATTTTCACCATTCCAAGAGCACAAGGCCATCATGATGGTGATATGTTTCACAGACGAGCATCATCTGCCATTGGGACACAATGTTGCCCATGTTGTTTTACCCAATGATGTAATTTTCTGGTAGCTTTCTAAAACTTTCTTGGAACATTTTGACCATGACACCGGCACATGTCATGGGATCTTTAACGTCCGCGTGTGAAGCAGACGGCGCGTAATATTTTATGATTCACACCCGCGGTATTAACCAGGGCAGTTGTTGAGCTCGACAAGTGGCGAACATGCTACCGCTGGGCCACGTCAGTGCCCCAGTGTGATGTCACGGTGACGAGATATAACTACCTGGTATACAGGAGGTCATGGGTTTGATCCCGACCCTGACGCCTGTTTTATATTTGGAGTTTGCGCGTTCTGCCCGTGGTCCCGTGGATTTTTCTCCGGGTCCTAAGGTTTTTCCCTCCACATGTAGAATCAACATGTGTTTATAGTATTTGGCCGCTATAAATTTCCACACGATAGGCCGCTTCATTGAGCTGTCATTTGTGATAGCCCTTCTGAAAAAGAGCTATATAGCTCGGTGGGCCTTACCTGGTGAAATAAACATAGTAAAAAAATCTATAGTGTCCACTCAGACGCCGCCTCACCCTGTCCACGAAGCCGGCGAAGCGGTCATTCAACTTCTGCAGCTCCTCCTTCTCACGGAGACGCGGGCCTTGCACCATGTCCAGTGGCGGGAAGGACGCGGGGTCGATGTTCGGGAGCCCCAGGGTGGTGAAGCCATGGGGGGCTCCCCCGACGGGAGCGGCTCCCCCCAGGGGCGTAGACCCCATGGGGACGATGCCCGCGGGCCCCCTGCCCGGTTGGTCGCTCCCCCACGAGGGGTTTACGCCGTAGGTCCCGACCGAGATTGGCCTGCCTAAGCGCGACCGGAACGGCGCGGTGATGTTGTGCAGGGCGCTGACGGAGGCTGTGCCCCGCGATCCGATCCCCAGGCCTCCCGGCACGATCCCCGCCGGACCGGACCCCAGAGGTCCCAGCTGGCCCGGATGCATAGCACCGATGTACCCCCCAAACAGGGGGGCGGACCCAAACCCTAAGCCATAGCCACCCGTGACCCCCAGACCGGTCATGCCGCCACCTCCGGCGACTCTGGAGAGGCCAATGCCGCCGCTGCTTCTGCCGGCACCGAAACCGGCGATCCGGGATGCCGTGACCCCGGCGCCGGTCCCCAAGGCGAATCCGCCTTGTCCCGCGCCAAAGGATTTCTGCCGCAGCGTAGCGAGTCCCTTGCCCGTGTAGACGGCACCTTGACGCACAGACCGCGCGCTGGCGTGCGCGGCCGTGGCACCGGCACTGCCGCCGGCACCGCCGCCAACAGCACCGATCAGTCTGCTGCCGCTCGTAGCACTGCCGATCGCAGCACTGCCGATCGCAGCACTTCCGACCGCGCTGCTGCCGATCATGCTGCTGCTCGCGCTGGCGCTGCTCGCGCTGGCGCTGCTCGCGCTGGCGCTGCTCAAGCTGGCGCTGCTCAGGCTGGCGCCACTCACGCTTGCGCCGCCAGCAACGGCGGTGGCGACCCTCTCCATCTCTCGGAGGTGGCGAGAGATCACAGGAGGCACGGAGAAGTGTCTAACCAAGGTCCGATGGGAGGGAGATTAGAGATGCGGGACTGCCGGACCGAGCACCAAGTAAGGGGGGCCACAGAGTGCGGCCGCATTTATATCGGCGAGTCAGTGTGCGAGGGGGTGTGAGTCGGGGTGCATCGCGGTAGCCACCACGGGGGCCGTGGGGTGTGCGTGCAGGTGGCCTTGGCAGGGGTGCGGGGAATTGTGCGATTAACATCCCCACGTGCGGTTGTATTTGCAGGTGGGTTCAGGGGACGCGTGATTTGGAACCCTCGGGCTAAATTTCCCTATGACATGAGGCCCAAAAAACCATGGCATCATCGCCACCACGCCATGAAATAGTTTGCCATTTAATGAAACTACAAGCGCACGTATAAATTTTGCTCAACAAATGGCACGGCGACCCGTGTAACTTCACTGGACTGTCAACGTATCGGCAAAGCTCGGCAGAACTTCGGCGAATGCTGCTTCTCGACATAATTTTTCGTAAACCCGTGCCGATGTCTTCCATCGGTGACAACGTGGCAAATCGAGCACAGAAGTGTTTAAGCCCTTATTATCATGAATCGGAACGTGGTGCCTGGAATTCCAGTGTGATTAAATGTAATGGATTTTTCTGTCACCGAGAGGCTTCGTCAACGTTCCTGAATACGGCCAGTGAGTAAAGTGGCCTCCCCTGCATTCCAGTCTCGCAGAACCACGATTTTCTATGATCGGAAACCTCGTCAGGCAAAGCTGCAGGCTTGAGGTATTAGTAGAGAAAAATGCAACCCAAGGTGAATAAGGGTGGACATTGTGCATACGGTGGCCACTCAGTATTCGGTGTTCTGTTACCTGTATATGGCAGCACGTGGTGGTCCTGCTACGTTGATCTTGACAGAACAGTGCAGCGATTTTATAAATAACAACTGACCAGCCGGACAAAACTTTTATTACATTTTTTTATATTTGTGTTCGTTCATTATTTCAGAATGTCTTGATAAGTATTGTATTGCACCGTAAAATATTTAAACTGTGATTGCCCATTTGTATCTGAAATATATCACTGTAGTGTAAACAATGTTTACAGTGGGGGACGTTTTCATCTCGGGTACAGGGTTATGGTTGGTGTTTGGGTTAGTGGAGCTCAGAGGCTCATTACTCAGTCCAATCCACAGTCATGAACCATCCAGCCTCTATCGTCCACTGCTCCAGGAAGACCAGCGTGTCTTTGTTAGTCTGGAGCAGGGGTGAGCAACCTGCGGCTCCGGAGCCGCATGCAGCTCTTTTAAGGACTGCCTCGTGACGTTATTCACATGCATAAGATATTTTTTGGGTTAGATGGCATAAATATAAATGTGTCGTTAAACCTGCCACCACCCGATACAGCCAATTAGTAAGGTTTGTCACGTAAACTAAACATGCCAGGTGGTGGCGGGTTTAACGACGCATTTATTTTTACAAGATCTAAAACCAAAAACATCCTATTATGAATATTTTTAGCAAAATCCGAAGTGTTATTCACATGCATTTCGGCTCTTGAAAGAGGTTTTTTTTTTTACAAATCCTAAAAAAAATGGCTCTTGTTATTTTGGTTACCGACTTCTGGACCACAAAAAAGCCGACGGTCCTCTTTTTACAGAAAGAGCATGCTACACACGGCAGAGACGATAGCTAACGCTGCTGGGAGAGTGGCTCCCTCCCTTGCCCCTGTGAATTGCCAGCTTTGTTGTAGGCCAGTGAGCGCCTGAAGATGGAGGGTCTTTGGGAACATTTCGAGTGGGCTCCGTGGAGCGCGAGCTCGATCGGGCGTGGCCGAGTCCAGAAGGACTCGCACCTGGGCAACAGACGTCACTTAAAGGACACCTGCACCACTGTTCACGGAATGTATTCAAACAAGGAGACGGACGCGCGATTGTTTTGTCCTACGCACGCGCGCACGCACGCTCGCTCCATTTGACTCCTTAATGTGCGGTCGCGTTGTCGACTTCTGTCAGACACCGAGCTAGCACTGTCGAGATCCTCGGTTCGAATCCGAGGTTTTGGTCGACTTGACTGATAAACTGGGTTCTCGAGTGAAGCAACTTGATGGTCACAGTCTAAGTCGCCAATGATTTGTGTAAATACTCACAGGCCTTGCAGACAGACCCCATATACTTGCACAGAGACCCAAACATGTACAGAGGTGCATTACCTGAAACAGACTCATAGCCTTCCACAGATTCAAAAACTCACTCAGAGCCCCATAGCCATTCAACTTATTTGGGGGTGGTGCTGCTGCTGTATTGGCAGTGGTGCACAAGCACAAATAAGATAATTCAGCACATTTGTCAAAAACACTGCGGCGTTAAAAAACAAAAAGTAATATATTAGTTGACGTTTTAGGCAATGGTCCTTCACAGCATGTAGAGGCTTGAGAGGAAAAGTGGACCATCGCGACACAGACCCACAGACTCGCGAAGAGCGACATAGACTCACAGAGACTCATAGACTCTCGTAGAGACACTTGCATGAACCGACTTGCGATTCAACCGGATTCCCAAGTGTGACAGTTTATGTTATTTGGTTGCCAAGCGCAAATGACACAACAAACTCAACACATTCCGTGTCAATATCACTGTATGGCCTTAAAAGGAAATAAATACATATAATAGGCAAAGTATTTGGCAAATAGCCCTCCGCCACAGCAGATAACGGGTACTATGCAAGGATTACGGGCAGTTTTCAAGGGCAGTGCTACGACGCTTGTCATCAGGTTCAGTTGTCCAACAGGACATGCAATCGCCCACCTTTGTTTTAGCTTTATAGGTAGCTGCTTAGCTGGCTGCATAGCTAGCTGTAGAGGTAGCTGCATATCTGGCTGTAGAGGTAGCTGCATAGCTAGCTGTAGAGGTAGCTGCATAGCTGGCTGTATAGGTAGCTGCATATCTGGCTGTAGAGGTAGCTGCATAGCTGGCTGTAGAGGTAGCTGCATATCTGGCTGTAGAGGTAGCTGCATATCTGGCTGTATAGGTAGCTGCATATCTGGATGTATATGTAGCTGTAGAGGTAGCTGCATATCTGGCTGTATAGGTAGCTGTAGAGGTAGCTGCATATCTGGCTGTAGAGGTAGCTGCATAGCTGGCTGTAGAGGTAGCTGCATATCTGGCTGTAGAGGTAGCTGCTTAGCTGGCTGTATAGGTAGCTGCTTATCTGGCTGTATAGGTAGCTGTAGGGATAGCTGCGTAGCTAGCTGTAGAGGTAGCTGCATATCTGGCTGTAGAGGTAGCTGCATAGCTGGCTGTAGAGGTAGCTGCATATCTGGCTGTAGAGGTAGCTGCATATCTGGCTGTAGAGGTAGCTGCATATCTGGCTGTATAGGTAGCTGTAGAGGTAGCTGCATATCTGGCTGTAGAGGTAGCGGCATATCTGGCTGTAGAGGTAGCTGCATATCTGGCTGTAGAGGTAGCTGCATATCTGGCCGTATAGGTAGCTGCATATCTGGCTGTAGAGATAGCTGCATATCTGGCTGTATAGGTAGCTGCATATCTGGCTGTAGAGGTAGCTGAATATCTGGCTGTATAGGTAGCTGCATATCTGGCTGTATAGGTAGCTGTAGTGGTAGCTGCATAGCTAGCTGTAGAGGTAGCTGCATATCTGGCTGTAGAGGTAGCTGCATATCTGGCTGTAGAGGTAGCTGTAGAGGTAGCTGCATAGCTGGCTGCATAGCTAGCTGTAGAGGTAGCTGTATAGCTAGCTGTAGAGGTAGCTGCATAGCTAGCTGTAGAGGTAGCTGTAGAGGTAGCTGTGAAGCTCAAGGACTCTGCAGAGATAACATCTGGCACAGGGTTGGGACAACTCTCCCTGAAGCCTCTGATCTCACCATGACGTCCCACGCACCGGCCAGAGAACCAAATGTTGATAACAATGAGATGAGAGGAGGGGGGGGAAGGTCCTAGTGGACTTCAATGGTGGACATGGCAGAGGCGCTACCTCCTGCAGTCAACCGGGGTTTAAAGGACAGCAGACCAAACCAATGGAAATCGTGAAGCTCGAATTGAATGCCTTAATGGGACTTGTGATTTGGAATCGTGAGTTGACGATCTAGGTAAAGTTGTTACACTGCTTGGACAATCACCAACTGTCCCTGCGGGTGTGACAGGATTCATGCGAGTGTCCATTTCCCAGGGCTTACCCACACAACTCTTGACCGATTTTACTTAGACATTGTGGGATAAACTAAGAGAAGACCATGCTGGGATCAGCTACAGATGAAGGGCAAAAGCTCACACGGAGACCCACAGACTCGCACGGCAATCCAGACTCGCACGGAGACCCACAGACTCGCACGGACACCCACAGACTCACACGGAGACCCACAGACTCGCACGGAGACCCACAGACTCGCATGGAGACATCACTATGGACACCTGGCACTCCTCGTCGATCTTGCCATTGGCTGCCCTCGCCGGGGTTTAGTCCACCCGAGCAGAACGGTGTATGGGGAGAGTGTCCACTGCCACATACAATGAGCTACTTGTAACTCCACTGGAACCTCCGAGTTGTGGTGTGGCTGCCCTGAGCCAGCCTGAAACAGGTCGGGGGAGCAGGGGTTGCTTTTCCACTGCACAAGCCTAACCGTCCCACTGACGTTACAAACACTGTGTGGTGAAGTCAAGATGTGCATAGATGCGGCGGCGCTGTTTGGAGTTTAACCGACTTGACGTCACACACATTGTAGATGTCATTAGCCCCATCCCTTGCCCATTTTGGACCAGAGCCAGATTCATGTAAAGTATATTGTATAACCAGCTGAGAACTCAAGGGACCAGGATGTCTCATTTGCAAGACAGACCTGGGGTGACCCGGATGTCTTGTAAGGCTAGCTTCCGGCTTGACCTGGGGAAATGCAAGTGGAAAAAACACCTGTGCCGTGCTTTCCCATGCTGCCATTGCTCTGATGCGAAAGTGGGAAAGTGGTATGAGAAGAATAGGCGACAGCGGAGTACCAAAGCCAGTATGGGGTGTATATGGAGTGGCACCTTAGATTGACCGCGCCTACATCCTGTGGGGTCACTTTGGAGGGCATTTGTCTCAACATTGACGATTACCAAACCAGATGAAACCCGCACGTGGTCCTGTAGAGTCGGGAGCGTGTCTTTAATAATTAACATGTTTTAACAGTCAAAAAAGATCTCACTTCAGGGTCACAAATTCATATTTATTTTTTCTATTGAGTTGAATCTGCAATAGTTACATAAACGTATAAAATATACAATGGTGTAAACGTACAAGATTATATTCGTAATATAAAAATTACCATTTCTCAATCCACTGCTGGATGAAGGCCTCTACAACTGTCGGTCATGAGGGTTGTTTTGACGATGCTTGACCGCACTAATCAGTGCAGGCTGGCGAAGGGAGACGAGATTCAGGACCGGTTCGGAAGTCACTTGCCACTGATGTCAGCCATGGCTGGGTAATTAACACAGGTCGTCGTGTTCATGGCGCAGTGCTCCACCGGCTCCTCACACTGCATATTCATTGCGAAATAATGATGATTGCAAGTATGATTCAACTGATGTATCATGAATGTCAGAAGTCATTTTACTGAAAGAATTAGCATAGCGGCATCTGCATGTAACCGCATCTCAAGACAATACAGAAAGTAAGTTAGCTTATATGTTTGGGAGAGGCAGTCGATCATAGGCGGAGAGAAAAGGGGATAGTCTTGGACCTGGACATAAACAGGGAGTCGATAGCATAGATGGCTTGGGGAAGGGATTTCCAGACTGGGGACAGCAGAGGAGAATGAGCGACCTCCCACTGAGAAAAGATGAGGGGGTAGGAGAATGTTGAGGGTAGTAGGGCAAGAGGGGAGGGGTAGTAGAGTGTGTGAAGGGGAGCAGAGTGAGATGAGAGTGGAGGGGTAGGAGAGTGTTGGAGGTGAGTAGAATGAGAGGGGAGGGGTAGGATTGAGTGAAGTGTAGTAGGACAGAAGGGGTAAGCGAGTGTGTAGAGGGGAGTAGAGAGAGATGAGAGGGGGGGCATGTAGGCAGGTGTGAGTGCAGGGAGGATTTTGGACGCTGGGACTCCTCAGCGCCTCGAGGACACGTCGCATTCACCGAGGGGGTTTCCGGATCCCCTCCCACACGGAGTACAACACAACTCTCACACTTGTTGAGAGCCCGCGAGGCTTCCTGGATAAATAGACATTACAAATAAAATACATTATTAATCATTAGATGCTTTACGGATCCAAATGATACTGTAACATTTCTTGTAATGGTACAATGGTCCCCTTTGGATACCCTTGGGGGGATCATTGGCACTGCCCTGGTTGCCCAAGGGGCTCGTCGTTGTGGTTCTTGTTGGGCTCATGGTCGCAGTGCCACGGTGTCGCCCTCCTTCCCGTGTTTTCCTGCCCTGGCTCCCTCCCTCCCCACCGACACCGCCTGCCACCCGAACGTAGTTTTTTTGATCAACTATGTTGTTTAAGTTAAGGGTCTCAAAAATGCGATTGCATGTAGACAACCCATACGTTCCAATTATTGTTTACTTAACGCAGAGGTTTTCACAGCCAATATTACCATTTCTAATATAGTTTTGGGTTAAGGCCACAAAGACTTTGCCAGAATTCCGGTCTTCAACTCTAGCGGAATCAATAATAATTGGCGCATCGTTCAACGCTTGTACATCATGTGACCGTTTAAATCGTTGGGTGGTCAAGAGTTATGCAACAAATTGGACCAGATCATTCCAGTACATGGCCTAACCCAAAAATATAAATTGTAAAATTATTATTGATGTTGATGTGTTCAGTGATCGGCCTTCGCTCGAGTCCATCTCCTGGCCATACGTCCCCGCCGTGCCGACAAAAGGCTCCGCTGCGTGGTCACTCGGCCTCTACTGGCGGAGCAGGTGCAGCACAAGTTCCTCGTCTTCGGCCAGAGACAGCCCCGTGTCCATCACCCTCCCGCCAGCATCATCATCATCGTCGTCGTTCGACTGTGCCCGTCGCCGCTTGCAGAGAGGGGCCATGCCGCGGCGGTCCCTGCTCGTCGCCATTGGCGTCTTTGGCTCTCCACCATCCTCGCCGCTCTCCTGCGACGAGCTGCGGTGGGGGAGGGGCGAGCAATAGGTCAGGACACGTGCAAGGAATCCGGCCAAATTTGTGTCGTAAAGACCCTACACGGCCCCGACACGGTCAACAGACTAAATTGTCACCTTGCGTGCGCAAGGGTTTAATGATGCACCGATTATTATATTATCAATTCAGTTCACTCACCGGTGGAGTTGAACAATTCTCACATCCAAAGTTAGTAGCAGTTACTTTTAATTGACATGTGGTTGTCCGATAGTGTCGGGTGGAGGGGAGGGTCTTATGAAAAAAATTTGGCCAGATCATTATGGCGTAACCAAAAAAAACAATAATGACTCAATTCTTACTGGCTGCCAAACCCTAAGTGTTAGGTTTATACAATGTGGTTTTAATGTGGAGTGCTGACAGCTCTCTCTCTGCTGGCTCGATGGCATGCGGTGACTGGAGTAGTGGCACGATGATGTTAAGAAGTCCCACATACATCATCAGACATGGTCAATCCACTGCTGGACGAATGCCTCTCCAAGCCACCGTCATCCCACAATCTTGCGATGTCTTAAATCCAACTTGCGACTGCCCGCAAACTAATCTCACTGCTCCATCTCCTCCACATGATGGACGTCCCCTCGGACGCATTCCATTCCTTGGCTACTACTCCGTTGTTAATCCTGCCCCAAGCCCACTCGCTTTGCTCAATAGCTTAGAGTAATGCCACTGTGGCCATCAAAGAAATGTAATATACAATCGGTGACGTGTTGGGCAATGGCCCTTCTTCATAGCACATCAACCAAGAGAGGCTAGACAGATGGAGTGGTTAATAAGAGTTGGAGACTGCAATTATAAACACTATGGGTGACAATATTTGAATTGTGCATATGAACATGTACTCAACAGTAGCTGTTGGGTACCACACACCCTTCACTGGTTATGGGGCAACGTAGCTCAAAGCAGAGGACGGAAAACTAAATCCATCGCACATCTGTGCTCCCCACCTTCACCGACCCGCGCTGACCAGCATGGTGAAGTATAGTCAAATAACTCCCCGCGACACGAGCGGCATGCAGAAGCTCTCATCCAGCAGTGGATTTGGGAGTTGCTACGTGCATACCTGTCGCCCTCCTCGGCGACTCCACGTTTCTCCCCCTCCTCATCGCGGTACTTGTCGGGGTCAGGCAGGGTGCTGGGGTCAAAGTCCTCTCTCTCATCGTCGCTGTCGTCGCTGCGGCCGAGGACAGCGGTGCCCTCCTCATCCTGCAATGCACACGCGCGCAGGTAAGTAAAGGTACAAAGACACCCCATATAGCCTTTGACAAACTGATAGGGCAAGTGCTGTTATGGAGCACCTATGAAGGGCGACATAGCACACAAGGGGGTGCTTGGCCAGCACCACCCCTGACTGTCTTTGTTTACCCAGTGGCGATATTTACACACCACATCAGGTACTCAAATGAGGAACGATTCAGATAATCATCATTGGTGTTGGCGGTGAGTAGGAATCCAACTCAGGTCACCAGGTCACCAGCGCAACACACTAACCGCTACACTCTACAGAGGTTACTCAAACACAAGTACACAAAGGTATGCAAAGGTACATACATATACACATCTGTACATGTGACAGATCCCCTCCCCCCCGTGTACTCTAACAAGCTGTTGGGGCAAGTGCTGTTAGTGAGCACCTACAAAGGCCGGGACAGCGCACAAGAGGGAAGGGTTTGGCCAGCAGTATGCCTGGCCACCTTTGTCTCCCCAGTGCTGGTGTTTGCACACCGCACCAAGTACTCATTTGAGACCGAGTCGACCTAGGGGTGGCCCAAACCTGGTTTCTATATCACTCTCCCAGTGTGGTTAGCTGTGGCTGGGAATCAGGTGTCCAGGTTGTAATCGGAGTGCGCTAACCACTACACACAGACTTAGGTACGTACTCGCACACAAATAGGCATGTGCACACAAACAAAGACAGATCCTCCGCATAGCCTTAACAGAATGTTGGGGCAAGTGCTGTTAGCGAGCACAAAGACACACGAGCAAATGCAAGGACAGATCACACTCGTCACTCGCATCACGCGTTCGTCTCATCACACGCTCGTCTCATCACACGCTCGTCTCATCACACGCTCGTCTCAACTCGCTCGTCTCACGCCCACCACACTCTCCACGCTCACTACACTCCACGTGCGCTGGGCCGCACCTAGGGAGCGGTGCATAGCAGAGCGCAGCGGAACGCACACCTCTTCGCCAACTCCTCAGGTGCGGAGGAGAGCGGATAGAAAGGGGAGGGGAATAGAGCAGAGAAGAAAGAAGAGGAGGGGAGGAGAGTGTAGTGGAGAAGAAAGTGGGAACGAGGAAAGGGGAGAGATGAAGGGGAAAGGGGGCGGTGCAGAGGAGAGATGAGAAGGGAGAGAAGGAAGAGTGAAGGGGAGGAGAGTGGCGTGAGGCATGTGTGGATCTGTCTCGCCCCCAGGTAGGGTAGGGGATGGGACAGGAGGGGCGGAGAGCGGAGGGGAGAGGGCAAGGGAAGAGGGGAGTGGAGCAGTGGAGGAGAGTGAGTTAGAGAAACAGAAGCGCGAGTCCAGTGTGCATCACACGGGGAGGAGAGCTCATCGTTCTCGGACCGACCGAGTCCCCTCTCGCCGAGTTCCAGGCTAGGGTCACTCGGAGCGATGCGCTCCGTCAATGAGCACTGGGAGGGACCGCGCGACTCCCACGCACACCATGTGGATTCTCACTGCTACATTGTAGGGTTGCGAGAGACGCTCACAGCTTAGGGAGGCCGACAACCAGCAGTGGATTGGTCATGAGTGACGACGATGATGAAGATGGTCATGATGCCACCCCATCACCCCCATTTCTTCAGTATGAATTATTTTTTTGATCGGCTGTTAAAGTTGCGCGAGGTCAAAAAGCATCGCCAACTACGTAAAACATTTTTTAAAACCAATCAGGTCCCCAATTGGGCTGCTGGCATCATCACATGATATAAATGCGTTTTCTTTTGGACCACTTGCAGTAAGCAGTGCACCACTTAGAATTTGCACAAGTTGATATCGGGTTTGCATCGAGTTGGGTGAGCCAGCATCCGTACCACAGCTTATTTTTATAACGGTTGCTGAGCAAAGGCCCAAAGCGGCCAGCAACAAACAGCACTATTGAAGCTGCAATAGATAAAGAGTTGCTACGTTTCTTGAGTACAGCAAGGTTATTATGAGGCGAGAGAGTGTTGTGACCTGCATTGCGGTGAGCGAGTGGATAAGTGTGCTGTTGACCTGAGTGTGGTGAGTGAGTTGGTGAGTGTGGTGTTGTGACTTAGTGTGGCGAGTGAGTGAGTGGGTGAATGAATGAGCGAGTGGGTAATTGTGTGTCTGTGATCGGAGTGTGGTGAGTGAGTGGGTGAGCGTGTTACTGTGATCTGCAGCGCATTGGTTGAACCGTGGTGGTGGATTAAATGAAATCATCAGTCCTTAACACGAGTGGTGGAATCAACAAGCGAAGTTCACGGGAAAAGCAACCACTGTAGTAGCAGTAGCAAAAGAAGAGTAACAAGGAGGTGACTGAACACTGTTAAGCGAGCGCAGTGGATGGAGTGAATCGGTGAGCGTTGGATTGTCAATCCATGCCGGGCGTGTGAGCATTTGGGTTTTAGGGGCAATGCCATAACATTGTTAAAAATTATTTATGTTTTAATTAAACTTGTCTACACATGAACAGGGCAGGGTCCCCCACCACAGTAACTCACAACGCTGCCCCCACAATGCCGCCCTGATTTACATAATTGGCTTGTATCCAATTAACCCCTTCCACACCCAATTATTTATCACAATTAGATTTTTATATTTGCCACTGTGGTCAACAGGAAAGACACAGCCCTGCAATTGCGCGCTCACGCCACTGCTGGCAGAAGGGCCTCGACCAAAGGGAGCCTCTCTAGAGATCCCCTCATCTTCCACGCTGGCCAAACATCTTGGAAGAGGCGGTAGTACCCACATTTTACAACATAAAAAACGTCATTCACAACTAAGTGGCGATGACGTCACCACGGCGCTTGTGCCAGGCTAAGTGCACTTTAAGGCTACATGAAGTGTCGAACGCTCGCTGGCAGGTCACGGGACAGACCCAGGTGCGATGGGTTGATTGACTGAGATGACTGGCTGATGCACCAGCTGTGCCCCCCACTGTGCCAACTTGCTGTGTTTTTGCCACCCAGCGCTCTGCTCATTGTTGTGAGCATCACTCCTCTGCCCTGCGTCGTTGCTGGAGAGCCACTGCCTCCAACCGCCCCGTAGCGTCCTTTATGAGCCTCTACAGCGTAGCATATGCCGGAGATGGGCTATGTGTTAGGATCGCCTATGTGTAGCTGCGTTACGAAGTATATCGCCCCGTGTGCTCTTAATAAATAAGCCTTCTACTCCACATGTCTCGGAAGTCAGTCACGACACATATAACATGGTTGACCAATCGGGAGCCATCCCTTGACCACAGCTGGGCATCGATCAGCCTCCTATTGTATCTGTACCAGATGGAGATTCCTCCTGGTCGAAAAAGATGTTACATGGGACCCAAAGGACATCTCTGGTCGCACCCCAAGGTGAACAGGGAATGGCTCCGACTTCTGGCCACGTAGTTTTACCTGGGCCTGCCCACAATCATGAAGGTCCTTAATCATTGTAAGCAGAGAGACAGGGACTCTTAAAGCTTGAATAACAAACCAGAGCCCAGGCATATTGATGGTATCAGGCCTTGACCAGTCCAATAAAGACGAGATGTAGGTCCTATTGGAATTCCTGACATCTGCTATCGCAGACGGACAAAATATGACCGCCCTGGCCTGAAACCACACTGGGGCTCCGCAAGCCTCTCCTCAGCATACCTGGCAAGGCAATGTTGAATAATCCTTGCCAGGACCTTTCCTGGCACACTGAGGCGGGAGGTGCCCAAGTAGTTGTTACAGTCTGTGTGGTCCTCCTTAAAGAAGGGGACTACCAGGGCATCCTTCCAGTCCTGCGGAACCTGTTCAGTGGTCCAGACTGTTTTTATTGTCATATAGGGCAGTCTGCACACCAATGCTACCCTTTCCGAAGCATTTCGCTTGGGAAATCATCTCTGCCCAGTGTTTTTTCTGGTCTCAAGAGTCTGGATCTCTTTCTGTACTTCCTCAACAGATGGCACTTCAGCCAGCCACTCACAGGGGGTGACTACTTCCAATATTTGAGGAACAGCAGCCTCATCAGGGTCATCCCCACTTTGACCCATGACATGCAACCTATGCTCCTGGGTAGATAGTGGTTTGCCTGTGTTTGAACTTCCGTGATGGGAGATAAAACGGTTGACTATGGAGCAGATACAAGTTATGATGGCTGCAGTTTTTACAAATATGCATGGTTTACGGGAACTAATTACATGTCACATCAGCAACCATGAACTGTGATCTAATCACTGCGGGATGAAGGGCATCCCCAAACCTTCTCAAGGCCCTGCAAGACAACAATCCATCTACCGCAGCTGATTTCATCGCCGCATCTCTGCAATGGACGGCCTCTCCGGCAAATCCCCCCCCTCTTTTGGGTGTCACTGTTGTTGGTCTCGACCACCACAGCCACCATCCCTTGCAGCGACATCATCTTTCTGGTATTTACCTCACACCTGAGGCCTGCTCCTCTTCCTCCACTCCTTCCCTTACTGGTCCAAAATCTCCACCTCATCTTGGCCTCTCGGTCTCCGCCCTGGTGCTTCCAGGTTCATTGCCTTATTCCAAAGTAGCTTTCATTCTTCTTAAGACACTTCCCCCCAGCCAGCTGAGAGGACTTCCTCTCAGCATGCCTGAGATGGACACCACTAGCCCCTACCCCACTAACCCTAACCCACCAAACCTAACCCATTAATCCCTAACCCACTCATTCCAAACCCCGACTGATGCGTGCAATTAAGCGCACGATTGACATTTCTGCGTTGTTACATGCAGCCCCGTAGCATCGGTGCGTAGAATTAAGCGACGGGCGTTGCAGCCTTTGCTAATGCACACATGGCGTGGGAGGGGGGTGAGAGGGGGGTGAGAGGCGGAGCGCTCCGCAATCCATGCTGTTCACCGTTAAACCTGCGCTCCAAGTTCAACTTCGCCGGTGTGCCGTCTGTGCCCTCTCTCCCCCCCGCCAAGTTTGTACCATGGACACCCTTTGCTGGCGAGACGTTCCATCTTGAGGGATTTCACCAGGTCGAATAATTCATGGAAAAGTATGATCACACGTGCCCCCCTCCACACCTGGCCCTCCCCCCTCACGTGAAGCCGGCTCGCGCTACAAGCCTGGGCGCATGCCTGCGGCGCTCGCACGTCCTTCGTGTATTACACACGACGGCTAAATTACCGAAAATTACGGCTTGCGACGGGGCCTGCGTGGGGTCGTGTGGGGTCGCGGTAATGCGGGGGGGGGGACGGGGTATTTGGCACGTCTTGTGACCCGTGTTTTTGTCCTTTTCCCAAATTTCATTAATTTGACTGCGTTATCACCGTCGCGAAACACCAAGCGTCCGTCCAGGGCCCTCGCGGTTGAGCGAGCGGTGCATCGCCCCGTGCGCCAGCGTATGGGTGGGCGGCGCAAGGCGACATCGGAGAAGTGACCTCTGTCAATCACACATTGGGGGCGCTGCGCCACCGCCACCACTTGCCACCTGGCTAGAGACCCGTTCGTGACACAGCAGTCACAATGTTAACTTTTGGTTCTTCGAGCAGGAATTTAGCCAAGTTAAATGCGACTTTTTGCGTGCAGCCATTGGTTACCTGGCCATGGACATCAATTCGCTACACACTTGTGAACCTGGTTTATAAGTCACAAGTCCGTCTATATGGGTCTGTAGGTCTCTACGCAGTTTGAGTGTTTTATTATGTCCATGGATGTCTAGGCGAGGTTATGGATCTCTAGGCGAGGCTGTGGATGTCCGTTTGAGTGGATCTCAACGTTGCCGGCTCAGCGTTGAAGAGCTTTGCAGAGCCAACCCGGTCACCTCCAGATTCAAGTGGAACTCCCCCTCTGCTGTTGGAAATCAGGCTCTCGGAAAGGAGTCAATATTTTTAAAACATTTCTTCTAATCAGCTTCGTTCCTCTCTGGATCTCACTCTGCCACGCGGCTCCGTTATTATCTCTGTCCCATTCACACACGTGGCGCCTTGAGAAGCTGTGAAAGGCGCCCGTTAAGCGCAAATCATTATTACTACGTTTGAAACACACCTTGTATCAATGGTGCATCTATCGAGTGTGCAAGCGGTTTAACTGCGCCAGGGCCCCACTCCCTCCCACCTCTCCATGGTAGGCCTGCATGCGCTTGTGCTCACCTTGTTGCGTCCACGCTTGCTCAGCGCTCTGCGTTCCTCCTTGGCTCTCAGTCGTTGTTCCTATAACAAAACAACAAAGCACGGCGCCGAGTTAGAGCACCGAGTGTGGCCGGTTTATCGACTCCGATAAAAATAATACTGGAAAATATATTTCAGTACATTTGATATTCACGCCGTTCGTACAGCGCGAGGCTCTCGCGAAGGAAGGCGCTGTGGTGTTTTGAAGTCTGCTGTAGTTTCATGGTAGGGGGACCGTGTTGCGATGTGTACTCTCGTGGTGCGGTTTTTCACATTTTTGGCAAATGTGGACCATAACGCCGGCACACGACGATCTCGTCTCGAATGACATCACTGTCGGTTGGGCGGTTTACACCGTGATTTCATGAACCACGGAACTCGTGTGGCCACTCAAAGTTCCAGCACCTGCAGCAGCACCCGCACCACCACCCCCCCCCCACTACCCCCCCGTTCCACTGTTTGCACCAACTCGGGCAGGGGGCTTTAATTTTCTGGCCCGATTTTGGTCTTGACGACACAAATTTGACAAAATCATTATGTGGCCTAACGAAATCCAGCGTCGTGGTTAACCGTTGCCGGTCGATTGTTTGTGTGTACCTTGGCTGCCGCTGATAATCCAAACTAACCACTCGGTAAGCCCTCGAAGCCGCGCGCTTGTTGGCATGTGCACCATGCCCCACCGCTCCACCAGTGTCGCCTCAAATAAAAACGATGGTGGCACCACCAAGCTCTCAGTTTAAACAAGTTTAAACAAGCTCGCGCCTTTAATGGCCACGAACCGCGATCTACCCACGGCTGGGTGAAGGCCTCCCCCCCCCGTCGCCATCCCTTCCTAACAGTGAATACAATGGCTCTAATCTGCACACACGTTCTGTCGTTCGTACAGTCCCCCTGCCATCTTTTAACGCGATTCCATCAAACCATCTACGTAGCAAACGGAAACGCAGGAAAATTATAGTGTACTTCTATGCTGCCATGTCCACGCTCTCCACCTTCACTGATTGCCACTGACCAGCGTGCGTCTACGTGCAATTTCAGCTCTTCCATTTTATTTGTGAACGCCCGTCATGGCAGGTAAAATGTAGCCTGACGAGAAACCTCCGCTCGGCACATTGCAATGCCGATTTGCCATGTGCAGAGCTATTGTATATATTGCAAACAGCCGTCTTACACGCACGCACAGGCATGCATGCATGACTGTAAGAACCGATTGGTGGGGCGCAACTGGCGCAAGCAACAGTGCCCGTTCCGAGTCGCCCCCCCGGCTCGACTGGTCGTCCTCCAGCCTCTCTCTTGTGAACCGCGCCTGGCGCAGCGGAGGGAGAGGAACCCGGCGCCCGATTTGGCAGCGGCGTGCCCATGATTTGGCACTGCCACGTGGCGAGCACAGTGGAAACGCCCGAACCTGCCATGCCGTGAGGGGCGAGGCAAGCCAACCGCCGTGGCACCGTGCCACGGCTGCTACCTCTCAGCCACCCACCAGTCAGCGCCACCGCCCATACCAGATTGTGGCCACTACACACGGTCTGCCGCGGCCACTCCCTTGCAACTTGCCACGGCCCTTGCCTACAGCAGGTAGTGGTCACCAGACACTACTTGCCAAGGCCAAATACTTGCCATGGTCACTCATACTTCCCAAGGCCAGTACCGAATAATACTTGCCATGGCTATGGCCCACAAGAGGCCACGGTTACTTGCTAATGCCCTCCACGGCCACGAATACTCTCTTCTTGACAAAGCCACAACAGATAATATCCACTGACCGCCACCAACCCAGAAGCCCGATCTTAGTGCCCTAATATTTGAGTGCTGAAGCATTTTGGTGGTGCCATGGCGCAGCAGGAAGGGCGTTGTGCTATGAACCCGCTGATCTGGATTTGATTCCCTGTCACTGCTGACATAGGTGGCGAGGGTGATGCCTAAACCATGATGGTGAAGTATGGTTAAACAACCAGTACCCCTCTGGAAAATCGGGGGGAAAAAGTTACTCGACTCAACTGATAACGAACAAAAAAAAGCACGGCGAGTTTTATTTGCCGATCGATCGGATCTCACGCGACGGCATCCTGAAAAGATGATCCAATAAAAGGGATTTAATCAAAGTCAATTAGGCGGCGACGCGCCGAGTTGTAAAATCTCTGCCGTGGGGTGGCGGATGGAGCGGAATGAAACGAGACGTTTTGCAAGGGGTGGGGAGCACAGTCTGTTGTGGCTGCGATGCCCGGGGCCCGGCACGCCAGTGCACGTGATGACAGTGCCGTGCTAATGCACACACGCACTAAAACACACACACACACACGCTAACACACACACTAAAACACACGCTAACACACGCACTAAAACACACGCTAACACACACGCGCTAAAACACACACACGCACTAACACGCGCTAAAACGCACACACATACACGCACTAACACGCGCTAAACCACACACACATATACACGCACTAACACTAACACGCGCGCACGCTAACACACTCTGGTGCTTGACGTGGTGACAGTGCCGTGCTAACAGACACAAAGACAAAAATCCCCCGTATAGCCTTAAGACTGTAGGGGCAAGTGCTGTTCGCGAGCACCTATGAAGGCCGGCACGGCACGCGAGGGGGTGGGTGGCCAGCACCACGCCTGACCACCTTTGTCTCCCCAGTGGCGATGTTTCCACACCGCACCAGGTACTCATTGAAGACTGAGTCGACCTGGGGGACGCCCAGGACCGGTTCAGATAATCGTCACTGGTGTTGGCCGTGAGTGGGAATCGAACTCGGGTCGTCGGGTTCATAGCGCAGCGTAGCGCTAACCGCTACACTACCGCTCCCCACCTAACACACGCTAATACACACATACACGTGCTAACACTAACATGTACACACGCTAACACACACACACAGGTGCATGGCGGAGTGATAGCGCTGTTCCAACACACACATACGCTGGCACAAATACACACGCTCACTCGCACACCCACTCAGCCATACATGCGAATATAACAAACACACAGGCACCTATATCTGACACCAAAGACAAAGATCCCCCATATAGCCTTAACAGACTGTCAGGACAAGTGCTGTTAGAGAGTCGCACCTATGAAGGCACACGAGGGGGTGGCCAGCACCAAGCCCGGCCGTCTGTCTCCCTAGTGGCGATGTTTACACATCGCACCAGGTACTCATTTGGGGCCGAGTCGACCTAGGGGAGGCCATCACCGGTGGTGGCCGTGAATGGCAATCGAAGTCGGGTTGCCATGTTCGTAGCGTAGCGCGCTAACCACTGCGCCACCGCTCAGCCTTTATCGGACACCACACACACGCTTACACCCATTCTCACACGCGCCGACCCCGACACACTCGCACACAAAGTATGTATAAAATTGGCAGGGCGTGGTGGGCTATCCACGTGGCCTGTAATCTTGCACTGTGGAGGCGAGGGGAGGGTTGGTGGATCACAAAAATGTTAACAAAACTCCCACCCCGCGCGACTGCTGCGGCCTACCCGCTCATCTGCGATTCCCTCTTCATGTCTCCGAGTCGTCCTCTCTTTGAGAGCGAGCGAACACTGAGTGGCGATGCATCGCAAGTCGATATTATTGTTAATTCACCATGGGACACGGTGAACGTGTGTATGCATGTAAGCACGTATGTACCATATGCACGCACATGCTTACATATATTAGAGGCGTGACCATCAAGCACAATGTTACACACAAACACTCGATTTGTGAATTGTGTGGGGGGAGGGGGTTTGTGGGTGGGTGGGGGGGATGACTCCACCCCTAGCCCAGTTCACCACCTGCTGCACCAACAGCAGCGCCATCTTCAACACTAGAACCACAACAACAACCGCCATTCGCCACTAAGTGGCGGTGACGTCACCACGACGCTTGTGCCAGGCCATGTGCACCTTGAGGCCACACTAGAACCACCACCTGCTGCACAAACAGCACTACCATCTTCTACACTAGAACCACCAACTGCTGCACCAACAGCAGCGCCACCGTCTTCTACACTAGAACCACCACCTGCTGCACCAACAGCACCACTATCTTCTACACTAGAACCACCACCTGCTGCACCAACAGCAGCGCCACCATCTTCTACACTAGAACCACCACCTGCTGCACTAGAAGCAGCACCACCGTCTTCTACACTAGAACCACCACCTGCTGCACCAACAGCAGCACCACCGTCTTCTACACTAGAACCACCACCTGCTGCACCAACAGCACCACTATCTTCTACACTAGAACCACCACCTGCTGCACCAACAGCAGCGCCACCGTCTTCTACACTAGAACCACCACCTGCTGCACCAACAGCAGCACCACCATCTTCTACACTAGAACCACCACCTGCTGCACCAACAGCAGCGCCACCATCTTCTACACTAGAACCACCACCTGCTGCACCAACAGCAGCACCACCATCTTCTACACTAGAACCACCACCTGCTGCACCTGCTGCACAAACAGCACCACCATCTTCTACACTAGAACCACCACCTGCTGCACCAACAGCACCACCATCTTCTACACTAGAACCACCACCTGCTGCACCAACAGCAGCGCCACCATCTTCTACACTAGAACCACCACCTGCTGCACTAGAAGCAGCAACACTAGCAGCACCGCCTGCTACAGTAGCAGCAGAACTCTCACTCTCTTCTGCACTTGCAGCACTAGCGCCACCATTTTCTGCACTAACAGCACCAACACCACCACCTGCTGCACCAGCAGCAGTAGCAGGCAGCACACTCACCCTGTGCTTCTTCTTGATCTTCTCCCGGTAGAGCTCCTTGTCCACCTTGTCCTCCCGGTGCAGCCGCTTCCGCGCTTGTTGCACGTCGATGCCTCCCGGCCCCCCATCGTCGTCGGGGTCCTCATCGTCGTCAAGCGCAGCCATACTCTGCATCGGCGGCCAGGCCTGCACCTTCTGCACATGTGTGCACACACGCGACACACACACACTCATTGTCAGAATGGCCACCGTACGTTTTAGTCGGGGAGGCTCGTGTAACAACAAAAACACCACCACCATCAGCACCAAAGACAAAGATCCTCCCGTGCAGCCTTTAGAGACTGTAGGGGGTAAGGGGCTGTTAGCGAGCAGCACCTATGAAGGCGGACACGGTACACAAGGGGGCGGGCGGCCAGCACCACGATCACCACCACGATCACCACCGCAATCACCATCATGCGCAGCATCACCATGATCACCACCACAATCATCGCCACCACAATCATCACCACAACCACAGCCACCAACACAAGTGGCACCACGAGCTGCAGGAGCTCCCTCGTGTTGTCGTTTCGTGTTGTCGTTTCGTGTTTGCGAATGTTTAAATGGATCCCTGCACATCGCAATGCGACGGCGCTGGGCACGCACCTCGCCCTCGTCGGTGAACAGGACGCGAGTGTTCACTTTCAGCTTCTTTTTGAGCACGCGCTTGGCCTCGCGCACGCGGCTGTTACGGCCACTGCCGCCGCCGCCGGCCCTCCGCTCCTTCTTCTGCGATGCCACCTGGAGGTGAGGGGTGGGGTCGCAGGGATCAATAAATGCAATCAAGCAACGGTCTTTATTTTCTGTGACAGTATCGGCCTCATTAAAGTAGGCATCGGGGCAGATTACAGCAGAATGCGGAAAGGTACAAGGGCACACAGCAACAGGAATGAATAAGGGAATGAAAACTGCAATGAAAATAGGGAAAAACACAGCAACAGGGGACGTGGGGGAGGTCGGGCTCGAGATGCCATCGCAGCCAAAGCCGTCGACGCGACGACGTCATCAACGTCGTCCCTGCCGGTGGTCGGACCCCGCAGCGGCTGCGCCGTGGGCGCTGCGACCTCCGAGGTCTGCCGTCCTCGCAAAAACCCCCTCCACGCGCCCTCACACCAACTAGCACCGAGAACCACAGACCTGCCCGATCAGTATCAGGCCTGAGGGTCTCCTCTTCCCGTTGGTCGCCGGGACTATTGGAGACCACTCGAACGGGGTCAACGCTGGCCGCTAGCTCACGCGTACTGCGTGTGTGAGACTCGAGATGCACAGGTGCCGTGGGGTGATGTCACCTGTTGATGCTGAACTACACTCCCATGTGGCAGGGTATATACATAATGCTTTTAAGCATATGGATGTATATAGACAGACGGAGATCCCCTGTGTAGCCTATAACAGATTGTTGGGGCAAGTGCTGTTTGCTAGCACCTGTGAAGGCCGGCACAGCACACGAGGGGGTGGGTTACCGAGACCACGCCCATCCGCCTTTGTCTCCTTAGTGGCGATGGGTACACACAGGTACTCATTTGAGGCTCAGTCGACCTAGGAGAGGCCTAGGACCAGTTCAGATAATCCTCACCGGTGTTGACCATGAGTGGGGATCGATCTCGGGTTACCAGGTTTGCACCCACACACACTCGCATACATTGCCACACACACACACACACCCGTGCATTCACACGCAGGAAGACACACACACACAAGACAAACATCTACAGTTTCCCCACAGACAGTTGGGCTAAGTGCACTACGGCGCCCGAGGGGCTGGTGGTGTTGTGGCCAGGACCGCGCCCAGCTGCCTTTGTCTCCCCAGTAATGAAATGTATCTGTACCGGGTACTAATTTCTGAAAGAGGTGACACAGGGAAGACCCGGGTCAAGGTCCGATTCCACTTTCCACTCACTCATGTTCGCTAAGCCTGGGTATCAAACCCAGGTCATCGGTTCATAGCCCATTACGCAAACCACCGAAGCCACCGCTGACTACCCATACAAAGACCCCCCCATACAGCCTACAGAGACTGTTGGAACTCAGTGCTGTTAGCGAGCACCTAATGAAGCCGGAACGGCGCTCCTTGGGGCTGGTGTCGCCAGCACCATGTCCAGATGCCTTTGTCTCCCCAGTGCTGATGTCAGCACACCGCACAAGGCACTCATGTAAGGCTGAATCGACCTAGGGGAGGCCCAGGGTCGGTTACGATATTCGTCACCGAACCCGGAACGCCGGGTTCGTAGCGCAGTGCACTGACCACTGCGCCACCGTTCCCCCACAAAGCTACCCAATACACATCCGCACGGACACACATACGTGCTAACCCACATAATACGTCACGTGAAATCAACATTCAGATCGAGCCTTCAATCAAAAAAACACTCCAAGGCACCGAAGAGTCAACCTTGACACGTGCATCATACATCACAATTAAGTCAAGGTGCAACCCTGCAATTTCTTTACCGACTCACGCCAGTCTTTGGAAGAGATGGGTGTACCCACACTTTACCACACCAAGCTGCCTCTCCACCATCAGTCTTAGCCAGTGTGCTTCCCGGTCAACGCGACGTCCCTCTCAAGCTGCGTACATTCCCTGGGCCCGTGCATTCCTCTTCCCGTCTCTCTTGAGCGGAATTCCGAGCAGGCACAGAGCAGCGATGGAACCAGCTGGCGTGCGGGCGCTATGGACGCCATAGGACCGTGAAGAGATTGAGACAGCACAGGGAGGTATTCACCTAGCAGCGGACTGATCACGGCCGATGTTAACGGCGGAATCTTTGCTCTCCGCCAACAATGCAGTACGGTGGGATAACTTTATCGACTACTCACAACGGCTTTGGATGGGGGCCCTCATCCAGCAGTGGATTGACGAACGAGACAGTGCGCGCGCCAGGAAAGACCGGTGGAGGCCGTGAGGTCTAACCCAAAATCGTGCGCCTTACACCAAACCCCCCGACGATCACTTAGAGCGGCAGAAAACAAAGTGCAGAGGCGGCCAAACCTGTTTGAGCCACACCAAGACGGTGGAAAAATGTCCCGGGCTTGCTGGAGTGAGAACACGTGAAACACTGAAACTTCGCCATATTAATCATTAACCGTAATAATAATTATTCTCACCCCCCTCCTCGTACGTACGTATGTTGAACTTCTTTCGCACCATATGTAGCCAACCGTGCTAATCGGAGGTGTCGTGTGTGTGTATAAATGTGTTGAAATTCTTTTCCACCGTACGTAGCCAACCGTGCTAATCGGAGGTGCTGGGGAAAGACAACGAAACTTAACACAAAAAAGCAGTTCGCTGCTTTGACCCTACACGGTCAATCCACTGCTAGATGAAGACTCACCGTGCTGGGTCAGTCACGGGAGGTTGTTTGACCACAAACCCGTAACACCTGGGGGGTCTGCCACGTGACCTCCTGCTTGCGAGCCTTTGGCACCTTCACATGGGCTCAAAGTGCACCTCAAAAGGGCGCAAAAGCACTGTGCTGACACTGCGGTCACTTCGTGGTGAGCGGAAACTAATTCTTGTTGTTGTTTGACCATACTTCACCACGATGGTCATGGTGGGATGGTGAAACTGGTGGGGGGGGGGGGGTGTTGTGGACCTCGGGACCCGTTAAAAAAGCTTACACATTTCTGCACGGCTTACGCGGATTTCTATCAAGACCCCTTCAACAGTGCAGCCCGGGGCGACAGGCTCAACCTTAACCGCGCGGTGACAGCAGCAGCAGCGCCCAGCCAACCACCGTGCTGGCATTGGCATGCCGGCACTTGCGCTGAAACACGCTCGTTAAACGCAGCTTTTCGCCCCTCCCACCGCGCCACCACCACCCCCCCCCCGGAGCCACCGCGAGCCTTCTCGTGTTACCGGCGGCGGCACGGTGCCAGCATCAGGGCGCTGGCATCTTTGGTGCCAGATACCCGGCACATGCTGGCTGGTGGCCCATTAATTATGGGACGACTTTAAAAGGAGGCTTGGGTTGGGCTGGGCTTAGTTGGTCAGTGGGTCGATCAAGCAGGCCAGTGAGCTAGGCTAATCCCAAGCGATTGGCGTGCGCAACTGAGTTGCGTGCAACTGAATCGCATGTGTGTAGTGGTGTCTGCACCCAGGAATGAGCAGTTGCACAGCTGGTTGCTTAAAGGCTCCTCCTCTCCTGTCAGGCTCTCCTGTCACGCGGCTTGCTCAGGGGTGTGCGGCGAAGTAAGTCCATGGTCACGTGACGCACTGTCCAACCACGAGTAAAACCCCACTCGATAACGAGCAAGAGAACGCGCCGGCGGTTTCCTGCACGATTTCAACATCGATCGGTGGTAGCGAACGACGCCGCCGCCGTTAAAACCGGACCGACGTGCACCGAAGGGGGGGCCAAGAGTCAGACGCTGCAGGTCCCGGCATAAACTCCGCGCACTCCTAACCACACGGGAAATAAGCTCAAGACGCGGTTGCGAGGGCGAAATGGTTGCGCATCCCGATCGCTCAGCTGCCGCTTGGTCAGGTGGGGGGGGGATGTGTGGTCGGTGGATTCGTACCACCAAAGACAAAGATCCCCCCTCCCCTCCACCGTCCACAGTCTTAACAACAGACTGTCAGGGCAAGTGCTGTTAGCGAGCACCGCCGCACACGCACAGAGGGCAACGCCCAGTCCATTCAGACGTGGCCCCCGCAGCAAGGGGAAGTCTCGGCGCATAGCGAGGGAAAAAAAAAAGAGGATCGGTGGAAACGGCGGAGGAGCGGCGGTGGCCGGCCCCCCCGAACGCCATCGATCACAAGCGACGACGCGATGGCGTCCTTGCCACGGGGCCGCAATGGCGGCTTGCCGCGGGGGCCCAGCAATGAACGGGCCTCTGTTTCGCGCCGCGTCTGCTGTCCGTCACTGCCCGTGACCCCCACCTCCCGCCCCGGGGGGGAATCCGCGGTCACGGCAACACGATGGATTGAGAAATAACGCCGGTGACACTTTCGAGCGGCGAGCAATGCGCGCGAGCCGTCCGCGACGAGCCCCGAGCGGAGATGAGCGACAAGAAAAAAACCGTACGCAATTCTACGTTGTTGCGCAACCGCTCGCTCAGAGCTGGACAAAGTGATAGCGGCGGTGGACTTGAGAGAGATCCGCGTGCACCCGGCGTCGTGCCCTCGAGCTGCCGAGCATGCACGGCTCTTTTGACCCCCCACCACCCCCCCGCCCCCCTCCCACCTCACCATCCCCGCCACGGCCCCCTCCCCCCCGGTCATCTCGACGCTGCCGGGGGGGAGGGGGGGGGAATGGGAGGGGGGGGACCGCACGTTCCGTGTTTTCCACCGAGCGGTTTACATCGAAATGAAATCCGAACGCGGGGAATGCGATAAACCGCACGGCATGCTTGCGGTGGATATGAACTTTTGAAATATTTGACAATAGAAAATAAATAAATCTAAATGTCTCTTCCCCCAGGGCAGAATGGTGTCCCGGTGGCCGCCATGCCATTCCAGCTCCGCAGAACTCACCTCGTCATCCACCTCGTCCTCCACGTCGTCCGTCGCCTGCGACGCCCCCCGCACCCCAAACACGTCGCGCCGCTTCACGCTCAGCAGCTCCGCGCCCTCTTCGTCGTCGTCGTCCTCCTCCTCCTCCTCCTGACCCAACGAGAACTTTGGTGGACGGGCAGCGTCGACTGCCTCTTCATCGTCCTCCTCCGTGTCACCCCCTTCCTTCTCATCCTGCACCACAACACCAACATCATCATCATCCATGTCTCCCGCTTCCACCTCATCATGCACATCATCAGCATCCCACTCAGTGTCTCCCCCTTCTACCTTATCCTACACATCATCATCACCATCCCACTCAGTGTCTCCTCCTTCCACCTCATCCTACACATCATCATCAGCATCCTACTCAGTGTCTCCCCCTTCCACCTCATCCTACACATCATCATCAGCATCCTACTCAGTGTCTCCCCCTTCCACCTCATCCTACACATCATCATCAGCATCCTACTCAGTGTCTACCCCTTACACCTAATCCTACACATCATCATCACCAAGCGCGCGAGAGATTTTTTATGTTCCTTGACGAGCACTTCATGTGTAATGAGTGCAACCTCAATGTATTCGTTCAGCAACCGTAAGCCAATGCAGCTCAGCGAGCACTGAACAGACACGGTCAGATCTTGCAGAGTACCCATCACGATATGTACCCCCCCCCTCACAGACGGAGCGAATGCATCGCCGCTCTCAACCTGGGCCGCAAAGCGTTGGCGCGCAACAAACGTCGTCGTGAGTCGCGTGGCTGTCGAGTGCACCTCTTCGCTGGACGAGGAGGAGTCTTGCGGCGGCGCCGTCGTGGTGGTGGTGGCTGGGCCGCCCCTCGCCGAGTGGCCCCGCTCCGCCCCCTGCCGCAGGTGCTCGCGGAACGTGTTCAGCTCCGTCTCCGAGTCGGACGCCCCTTCTGAACGCGGCGACGGGAACGGGCGACGCAAGCGCTACTCTGTTAGCACGCATGGCGCGCGATGATTGCAATTGATTATAATAACGTCAAACACACAGGGAAGGCGGCAGCAGCCAAGCGGCGCGCTGGTGCCAAATTCCGCCCCCAAGCTCTGCGGTCCTCTATATATATGAAGGTGTGGGCCAATTCACGAGCGATTTCAGGCGGGTGGTCGCATTCGGCGATTGGAAGGGCATCGGTTTAATCGTTTCAAGTCACGACAACGACAAATTGAATTGGCTAAATTCCAGTTCTGAGATTTTTTAAAAATGTTGATTTGATTGACGTGCCATGAACCGTGCTCCGCTGGGCATGAGCGGGGGAGCAGGCAGCGACGTCAAGAACCGCGACGGAGCGGCAGCCACGGAGCGGGGCGCCAGGAGAAGACGTCCACCAGCAAGCAGGTGGCGGCGATCAAATCAAGTTGTCTGCAGCTACTGCTGCTGCTGTTGCTGGGCGGATCGTTACGGCGCAAGGTCGCGAGAGATGGCGGCCACGCCTTGGGGAACCCTCCATCCAGCAGTGGAGTTGGCCAAGACTGATGATGATGATGACGATCATAACTTTGTTTTTTTATACGCATAAAACAGATGAATCGATTATAACAAACAAATAGATTTAACCAAATTATTGTATAAGCTCAAGACAAGCCCGTGGGGTTGAGCACGGCACACTTCATGGCCGCTAATTCACCGTACTGAAGCCAACACATTCTTAAAAATGGATACATTTCAAACAGTGCAACGATTGAAAATGTCAATACTACGCCACAGCTCTGCTGTAAATAAGTCGCAAACAAATCGTGAGACTGGGAAACCGAGGCGTGGCACCTTCTGCCGCTCTCCGCTGCGGCGCGGCCTTCGTGCTGGGGCCCTCCGTTCCCAGCGTGCACTGGGCGGACCCTTTTGCGGCGGCTGCCCTCCTTTGCTGCGCTTCCCTCTGCAGGAAGCGGATGCGGGGAGCCACGGCAAGTCCCAAAGACCTGCGCGAGAGGCGTTCAGAGGTCATGGCGGTCGAGTCGGTCGCCCCCTCGTATCTCTATCTCCGTTTGTGAACCGCGGCGCTGCGTGTGCGCAGGAGCGAGACGGAAGGCCTTCATGCGGCAGTGGATACATCATGGTTGACGATGTTGACAGCTCACGTGATCAGACATGCCAATCCAGTTTACGTGGCTTTGGGTGGCCAATCACTGGTTTGCACAGGGAATGATCCGATGTTTAATAAAGCATCAGTCATCGCTAATGCACCTTCAAAGAGAAGCGGATTAAAACTAAGACAATTATTGAAAAAATTATATAAGATATTAGTAATTTAATAAAAAATAGAAAACCTTCATGCGATTTTTGGCAAATCAACATCCGCGGTTAACACTTGAACAAACGATTTAAAACACACGAATGAAGAATGATCTGTAACATCAGAGGCGTCGCATGAACATTTACGGAAAGTAACAGCGGCTTCGGAGAGGACGCGTCCGTGGCCAGAAGGGACGATGGCCGGTGGTTGAGACTAACGGCGGAGCGGCAGCCCAAGTCGGGATCGCGCCCATGAGGACGTTGCACGAAGACGATTCCCCCCACCCCCCCCCTTCATCTTCCCAACGCAATACCTCAACAACTTTTCTCGTGCCCCAGCCTTCCGTCGCCCCCCACCCCACCCCCGACCAGGCCGACCCCGAACCCCTCCTTGACACTCCCGCCTGTTCTACTGTCACTAAAATGTCACCACCCCTTTAAGTAGCCCCATTCTTCATCACAAAAAACCCAATACCATCGTATGTACATTGTTATAATAGCTGTAACGCGCCTTGGAAAAGGCGCAATATAAATTTCAATAAGATGAAGAGGTTGATGATGACGACGATGACGGTACGAATGCAGGAACCCGCACCGTAACGTTTACAGTGTCTGCCTCTCGTTGTCGAAGTGGTGCTGTTCATCCCGGGGGGAACTGCGGTCTGGCCGTGCAGCAGCTGCCTTGGCCACAAGTTTTGGTTTCTGGGGCGTCCACTCTCAATCAACACCCCAAGAGTGCCACCACGTTGTGCCAAGCCGACCTGACTCACGCGAACCACAGAGGCCTCCACACCTATCGTGCACCCACTTTAATTACTGAAGTCTTATTTCAGTTTCATTAGGTACGTTTGGTATCTGCGCCATTCTCACAATCCAAGCCTATCGCTGAAGCATTATGTTTCACAGCCATAGGCTGAAGTTGATTCACACAGTATTGGGGGGGTGGGGGTGACGTTGCTCTGCGAATTCCCAACCGAGTAATTAATCTGCAGTGGTAATTTTTTTTAAATTTAGACCATGACACCGGCACGCATTGGCCTGCTCTTTTCGCGCAACGTCACGGGATCTTTAATGTCCACCGAGAGCAAAGTAGGCGGCGCAAATAATTTGTACTGTCAACACACCCCGAGTGGTATTGACCGGGACTGACCACCGGGATTGGAACCGTGGAACCTCTGCGAAAAAACGGCGAACGCGCAACAGCTGGGCGGCGTCACCACCCCAAGAAGTTTTCCATCCAACTCCGCCAAACAACGGCATTTCACGAGGAAAAAGAATCCATTCGGTAATCTCACAGCGCAATAAGGGGGACGGGGCTCTCTCCTACACACTCTGCGCTGCGACCGGCATCCGTAACACGATGGTCGAACCAATATCTGTAACTGCACGTGGATGATTTGGTTAACGAAGCTGCACACTCACGTCGGACAATTGGGGACGCCGCAGGCTGTGGCCTTGGGCATGAGTTTCAGATTTAAACATTTCCGCTTGTGTATTTTTAAGGACAAATGAAAAATCTTTGTCAAGACCTTCACATCATTTTAAGCATTTCAAAGTAAAACAGAGGGAGATCCTGCTGCTCAAATGAGCACCAAGGCATTTTGCTCATTTCCTGTTGACAGCCACGAACCGGTGATGGAAATTCCACATTCCCTTGGTGGGGGGAGGGGGGGGTCTATCTGTCCGTGCGCTGAACCCACCGCCTGTAACTCGCTGGACCCACCACATGGAACTCGTTGTTGCTGAAACAACTGAAGGACGACGATGTCTCTCTCACACACCTCAAACGTGACCCGAAGACTCAACTGAAGACTCAGCCTAAGACTCAAACTGCGGCCTCGCAGCTACACGGCGGGCGAGAGCGGTGTTACGACACGACAGCGCGCTCTTTCAATGTCTAACCATCATGACTGATATCTCCGCTCGATTTTTCCAGACCGATCCGACAAACGTGACCCCCTTGGCGCGGGGGTGAGCGAGGGACGTGGCGGAGGGGTACTCACAGTGCGTACTGCGGTAGCGGCAGTCGAGTGACATCGAACACCTCCTTGTTCTTCATGAGGTAGACGGCACGGATGTACGACATGAAGCACTACGCACGCGCACACAAAGACAAAGACCCCACCCCGCTGTAGACACAAGCGCTACTTGCGAGCCCTGATGACGGCCGGCATGGCGGGGTAGGGCGACAGGACCGTGCCCGGCTGCCTTTGTCTCCCACCTGCTGGTTTGGTTGAGGGAAAACCCAGGACAGATCCAAATATACACCACTGATGTTAGCCGTGATTAAACCGGGTTCTCAAGTGCAGCGAGTTGGTGGTCTCAGACTGGTCACTGATGACCGCACGAAAAACGCCATCGAGTTAAATCTTCTTTTGCACTTAAATTTGACTAAATTCCAGCCCTGAGAATTAAAAAATATTAATTTACCGCCATGCGACAAACATGACTTTCAGTGGCAGGGCCGGTGGGGAAAGCACTGTTACCCTTTATTGTGTGGACAACAGGTGGCATGAAGAGATCTCAGAGGTAGCTCTGTGGTATCCGCTTCCACAGTGCGTTCTCTAACACTAAGGGCCGCACAGCTCTTCATCTCACAGCTCAAGGCCAATAGCACAGCCGAGATAATATTTTTGGAAAAGAAGTTTAAACACCATCAGCATAACAGGACTACACAAAGATCCCCCGTATAGCCTTGAACAGTCTGTTGGGGCAAGTTCTCTTAATAAGCAAGGCACACGAGGGGGTGGGTGGCCCACACCACGCGCGGCCGCCTTTGTCTTCCAAGTGCTGATGCTTACACACCACACCGTGTATTCATTTAAGGCTGAGTCGACCCAGGGGAGGCCCAGGACCGTTTCGGATAATCATTACCGATGTTGGCCCATGAGCGGGAACCGACAGCTCGTGGAGGGGTGCCTTCATCCAGCAGTGGACTGAACAGTGCACTCACCGCTACGCTACCACTCCCACACATGACTATATGCGCACTCACACTCGCGCATTATCTCTCTCTCCGGTGCCGCCGGGTTTTACCGCGTGCTCGTCGGCGTGACGTCTCACATTTTCGCTCCACGTGGTGGGCGGCTCATTCAGGAACTCACTAAGGCACTCTCACTTGTTCTCTCGCTCATTGTGAGACGCTGCGGTGACGTCGCGGCGACGTCACCGCGGCGTCAACGCGGCGTCAACGCCCGCCGCGCCGCTTACCCGCTGCGCCCGCTCCTTCAGTTCCTTCTCCTGCGCCAGGAACCCCTCCAGCTTTCCACGCACGTCCTTCAGTTTATCCGGGTTCACCCTGCACACACGCGCGAGCGCATCATACACGCGCGAGCGCGTCATACGCGCGTCAACCCAGTTAGTCATGTTTAATCCACTGCTGGATGAAGGCAGCCCTCCGCGTGGCACCGATCGCAGGCGATCGCATCGCTCCGAGCTCGAGTATGGTTAGTGCTGTGGTGGGAAACTGCAGGGGATACCAGGTCTTATGGGCTTGTGTTGAGAGAGGAGACCCGGAGGTGGCAACACAGCAATGGATTCATAAATCCATCTGTGTGGAGCAATGTCATTATCCTCGTGTGTGTGTAGGTGGGTATTCTCCAGGTCCTCCGGTTTCCTGCCACATGAAGCCAAACTCTAACTGCTTGCGGAGTTCATGGCCAAACATCCCGCTGTAAGAGCACCCTCTCTTGACAATGAGTCTTGAGACCCAAGCGAGGTTTTCGTGGATAAACACGGGCGTGGGGAGGCCTATGGCGAGCAGTAGACTTGACAAAACGGTTGTACATGGGACACCTGTGCATGGACGTGTGGAAGTGTAACCCAGCGGCACGAGTTCAATGTCCGGTCAAGACCGATAACAACGGTGAATATTTAAACCGATCCAGGGCCTTCTTTTCCTAGGTTGACTCAGCCTTGCGAGGTTTTGTAAACATCAGCAATGGACAGACAAAATGTGACCGGGCACGGTATTGGCGACACCGCTGCTCACTCGTGCTCCGTGCTGCCCTTTGTAAGGCGCTCACTTACAGAATGGCCCCAGCAGCCTGTGTCGACTAAACAATGGGGCCTCTGTGTGTCTGCTCGGCCTCCCCTCCCCTTCCTTACCCCCCCGCCACCCAAGTACCAGGGGTGTCGTTGGAGCGCCTGTCCACGCAGGCTCCCACCCAGAGCCCGGGCCCCGCTCCGCCACACCCTCAAAGCCGCAGGTCGACAAGGGTTTTATCGCCACGTCAAAATCTGCATTCCGACTGTGCAAAGTGCTGGAGGCGTGGCTGTCATCCCATCCATCTCCCTCGCGCTCTCCGCGGCTGCAGAGCAGCGTCGTAATTTCGCGTTTCACAATTCATTTCGTTTGCACGTTCAATGTCTCGCGAAGAGAGGCGGGCCGGAATGCACGCTGCGGCGGATCGAGAGTTTGGGAATAAAGGCCCTGGGCTGTGATCGATGAAAAATGAAAAAGGCAGAAGGAAAGAGAAAGATAATAAGATAAGAGGAATGATAAAATGAACAGCGTTGTGCGGTAATTATAATGGGGTGAACGGATGAAACGAATCAACACAAGGGGACCACACCTTCCTGTAGGCCAGATTGTGTACTCGGAGACGGAGCCCACTGTGGACATCGCGTGCCTCAGATCAGCCAGGTTGTGCTCGAGCGGCCATGTGGCCAAGCGGTGGTGCGTTCTCTGCCCTTGCTATTCCTGCGGTCGCGTGTAAATTACCCGCACGCACGCCATCCATCTGCTTCGCAGTGGAGGTTAAAGATTCCGTGACGGCATTCAAAACCAGCGGGCCACTGTATGCTGGAGTCATGGTGCCAATTTGCAGCGTTCGAGAACATTTCACACCGCAAAATACTCAACCGGGATTGCACACGGCAGCATCGCCGCCTGCTGCCCAACTACAGCAGGCGACGCCTGCGAAACACGACAGCGCGCCTTTCCCTCGCAACGATCGCCCCGCCCTATAAAAGGACGGTGCCGAAAGCAAATGTACCAAATTATTTTAATTCTTTTCAACCGCCCGAACCGCAAGGGGCACCCGGATGAATCAGAGGGGTGGGGGGGGGGGGCTAACGCACGATCAATCGCGACCACGATCGATCGTGACCGTTCCGCCGCAGACCGCGACCGGCTCCGTGTTTGTCGCCGTTGCCGTGTACGCGCCGTTTGTTTGGTCATGCGTTCGTTCCCAAAGCGGCCGCCGCCGCCGCTGGCGCTGGCGCACACCGGAGTTGGGCATTGCGCTCGCGAACCGAGAGGCGGCCGAGCCACGTGCCAGGACGCGAACACTCAAGTTTGTTTGTTCCACTGGAGAGCCGAGCCGAGGCTCAAGACCCGTATTCAGGAGCTGCCTGCATTAGGATGTCTGTCTGTATGGATGGACGTGGAACTTCCTTCGCACCGTACGTAGCCAACCGTGCTCGTCGGAGGTGCCAGCTACTTGTCTGGCCAGTTGCTTTTTATTAAACATTTACAAGCCAGAGTGTACAGCGTTTTTACGTTAGATCTGCGCGTGTGTGTGTGTACGTCAATCCGTCTGCAACTGGGAGGGTGGTGGGGGGGGTGGTCATGTTACCTCTGGTAAACGTGATCAAAGACGAGCAAAACTTTTGTGTTGCTGTTCAGGAATTAGCCCGATTGCAAACTGGACTACTTGATCAAAGCGTGGCCAAAAATATAGAGACCTAAAAGAAAATTCATTTGCAATATTTGTCAATTAATTTATCCTCGACAGCGGTCTCGTCGACTTCTGCAGCGAGAATTAAACACTTCCCATGTGCATGGCGGGAAGCCGGAGAAAACCAAGACACACAAAGACAAAGATCCCCCTACAGCCATAGAGACACTTGGGGGTAAGAGCTGTTATCTAGCCTCCCCGGTGCTGATGACTTCACAGATACATAATACGACAATGGCCGCCATCCGCCACTAAGTGGCGGCGACGTCACCACAAGCGCTTGCGCCAGACGAGGTCCACCTTCAGGCCACGTGAAGTGTCAAATTGTCAAGCTATGCTCCTCCACCCAGATACAAAAACGTCTCCACACTCTTCAAAACTGCCTCATCACTAATGGAGAGTGGAGGAGTATTTGATGACATAAAAGACCCAGGTAGGTGCTTTGTTTTTGTGGAGCTGTTGGTAAGGCCCCCACCTCTTATTGCCATCCTCCAGGTCTCCAACTCATTCTCAAAGTGAGCAGCAATGACTAGATCATCAGCATAATATGATAACATGTTTGACCAGAAGGCAGCCATCCCTTGACTGCACACAGGCATCGACAAGCCTCTCATATCTGGACCAGATAAACATTCCTCTGGTAAAGCCATGGGAATAACTAAATGGTAAAAAAATAGATGGAAACTAATTTAGGAGCCAGAGGACATTCCTGTCGCACCCCAAGGTGACCACACATAACAAAACAAAAAAGATCTCACCTATCGCCTTAACAGACTTTTTGGGGCAAGTGCTCTTAGCGAGCACCTGTCAAGGCTGGCACCTCGCCCGACGACCAGTGTCTCCCCAGTGGCGATCTTTACACACCGCACCAGGTGCTCCTTTGAGGCTGAGTCGACCTAGGGTAGGCCTAGGACCAGTTTGGTTAGTTGTCACTAGTGTTGACCTTGAGTGGGAATCGAACTCAGGTCGCTGGGTTTGGAGCGCAACGTTCTAGACGTTACAAAGATAAAGACGCCCCCCGTATAGCCTAAACAGACTTAGGGCAAGCGCTGTTAGCGAGCACCTATGAAGACCAGAAGGGTACCCGAGGGGGTGGGTGGCCAGCACCATGCTCAAACCGCGTGTCTCCCCAGTGGCGATGTTTTTACACAACGCACCAGGTACTCATTCGAGGCTAAGTCGACCTAGGGGAGGTCCAGGACCGGTTCAGATAATCGCCATTGGTAGTTGGCCGTGAGCGGGAATTGAACTGGGGTCACCGGGTTCGTAACGCAGCGTAGCGCTAACCGCTACACTACCGCTCACACACTACACACACTCGCGTCGACCAGTGCTGACACACTTCACATCCACACGCAGCACGGGCGCCACCTCCTGGCGTGGCACATCCGGCCACCTGGTTTCACCGAATCCTCCACCCGTGTCGAGGACTCGCTCTGCCAGACGACAGCCCGTTTCGTCTCATCCACCACGCTTGTGTTTAATCACCACACTGCAGCTAACAACAATACTCCCACACTCACCACACGTGGGCAGGTGACAACACTTCTCCATCTGCTTCTTCCCTCGCACGACTGCACTGGATCATTCCGTCAACCTCCCTAGCTCCACTGCCTAGCTCCACCCTACCTAGCTCCACCCTCCCGAGATCCACTCTGCCGAGCTCCACCCTCCCTAGCTCCATCCTCCCTAGCTCCATCCTCCCTAGTTCCACCCTCCTTAGCTCCACCCTCCCAAGCTCCACCCTCCTTAGCTCCACCCTCCCAAGCACCACCCTCCCAAGCTCCACCCTCACTAGCTCCACCCTCCCTAGCTCCACCCTGCCTAGCTCCACCCTGCCTAGCTCCACCCTCCCTAGCTCCACCCTCCCTAGCTCCACCCTCCCTAGCTCCATCCTCCCTAGCTTCACCCTACCGAGCTCCACCCTGCCGAGCTCCACCTTGCCGAGCTCCACCCTCCCGAGCTCCACCCTCCCGAGCTCCACCCTCCCTAGCTCCACCCTACCGAGCTCCACCCTACCGAGCTCCACCCTACCGAGCTCCACCCTCCCGCGGGTGCCGGCTGGTGCTCACCGGATCTTGTTGATGGGCACCTTGCGCTCCTGCAGCTGCTTCACCATGCCGGCCTCCTCAGAGGGCAGCAGCATGAGCAGCGCCTCGCCATCCTCCTGGTACCTGCACCGGCGGAAACGGCGGCGGCACGGGCAAGCAGACGGGCATCGCACACAGCTGGCGCATGATGCATCTGCCAGTCATCTCGGTCAGTCAACCCACGGCACCACCTGGGTCTGTACCCGTGACCTCCTGCACCGAGCCTGCCACAGTAGGGGGAGCAGCTGGTGCATCTGCCAGTCATCTCGGTCAGTCAACCCACGGCACCACCTGGGTCTGTACCCGTGACCTCCTGCCAGCAGTGAGTCTTCGACACTTCACGTGGGCTCAAAAGTGCACCTGGCCTGGCACAGACGTGGTGACGTCATCGCCTCTTAGTGGTCGAATGGCGGGTATTGGTATTGGTGCATAGTGTGGAGCAGTGGTGCAGTGGTTAGCGCACTTCGCTACTGACCCGGTGACCCGAGTTCGATTCCCACTCATGACCAAACACTGGTGAGGACTATTTATACGGTCCTAGGCCTCCCCTAGGTCAACTCAGCCTCAAAAGGAGTATCTCATGCGACATGCAAACATCATCACTTGGAAGACAAAGACGTGGTGCTGGCCACCAACTCCCTCGTGTACCGCGCCAGCCTTAATAGGTGCTCGCAAACAGCACTTGCCCCAAGGGTCTGTACAGGTTATGTGGGGGTTCTTTGCGTGCGTGTGAGGGTCGAGCTACCGGGCTGTGCGCCCCGCGCGGTGGATGTAGGTGCTGGCGTCCTCAGGGCAGTCGAACTGCAGCACCCAGCTGACAGCCGGGAAATCTGAGCGCGTGAACAACACAACGACCACATATCGACACCGTCACTCCCCGCAAGCCCAGCAGGAACCCGAACCCGGTTACTGAACGGCTGGCAGGTTGCTCGAGCCTATAACACCTGGTAACCACACGCAGAGCGGTGGTTACCAGGTGATGGCGGTACAGCAGTGGACAAAAACTCGGAGCACGCCGCATCTCGTCGCATCTCGCAAGCCCAGCAGGGACCTGAACCTACTCCGTGATTGGATGATCGACGGCCTAGGAATACTGTGGCCAGGAGATGGATGTATAGCAATGGATTCTTGAATCTACCGGTGTGGACATATGAAGTGCCATCCCGTCAAATGTGTTTTATGGATTTTTTTTTCCTACAGGCACACACACTGGTGGCCTTCACAAACCCGCACGGACCAGTTGGGTGAAGTACGGTCAATTAGCGGCCACGACCCGCACGGCATGGGGAGGCTGTCATCCAGCAGTGGATTGACAGAAGGGCGGTACGATAACAAAAACAACAAACTCTTGAAATAAGAGTCTTGAGGGTCTGCGAGGTTTTCCTTGATTTTCGTAAGCGGCGACACAAGGGCAAGACACGCAACACACGCACACACACCCCGGTGACACCTCTCGGCAGCTGCACGGCATTGTAAGGAGTGCACAAGTTCAGCAGCATTGGGTTCAACACAAGAGTACTCTGGACCGGTTTCGACATTCAGTGTCTCATCAACACAGTCGCCAGGCTTGCTTGAACCAAAGCTGGTGGACTGCCAGATGTTTATATCTCTGTTAGATGTGAGACTCCACTTCAACACGAAACTACATCATACGTCACAGTAACAATAACACAGCAGACACAACACACACACGCACGATAAGACGCAAGGGCAAGCCGGGGAGGTGGGAGGGGGGCAATAGGTGACTCATTGTCAGAGTGTAACAGCGGCGGTGGAAAGGGTTGCGTGGTGGTGGTGGTGGCGGTCGGGTACCGAGGCCTCGAGCAGCGATGTCGGTGGCGAAGAGGGCGGCCGACTTCTTGCGGCAGAAGTCCTGGTACACGTCCATCCTCTTCATCTGCTGCTGCTTGCCGTGCAGTGCCAGGATGGGCATTCCTGGCCGCAGGCGGCAGAAAGCATGGAACAGGAACTGCACCTGCGGGATGGAGCGGCACGGCGAGGGGCGCGGCAAAGTGAGTGGCAAAGTGAGCGGCAAAGTGAGCGGCAAAGTGAGCGGCAAAGTGAGTGGCAAAGTGAGCAGCAAAGTGAGTGGCAAAGTGAGCGGCAAAGTGAGTGGCACAGCGAGCGGCACAGCGAGCGGTACAGCGAGCGGCACAGCGAGCGGCGAGCGGCACAGCACAGCGAGTGGCGAGCGGCACGGCAAAATGAGCGGCACAGCGAGCGGGGCAGGAAGCGGCACAGCGAGCGGCGTGGCGAGCGGCACGGCACAGCGAGCGGCACAGCGAGTGGCGAGCGGCACGGCACAGCGAGCGGCACGGCACAGCGAGCACAACAGCGAGTGGCGAGCGGCACGGCACAGCGAGCGGCACGGCACAGCGAGTGGCACAGCTTAACAGGTTTGTCACGTGACCGACTAACGAACAACACGCAATAATAAATGTAAATATTATAATTCAGTGCTTTGCCAATCCACTTTTGAATGAAGGCCGACAGAGGAATGCGTGGATTAGTTTGGGACATTTCCATAACACAAAATGGGGGAGAATATACGGCGCCGATTATTTGGTGTCGTGTACAAGTTTTGTGTTTGACCTGCATCGAACAAGCCAGCCTCTTTCCATCTGGCAGTCCACCAGCTTTGGTTCAAGTAAGTCTGGCGACAGTGTTGATGAGACACTGAATGTCGAAACCACCCCAGAGTATTTTTTATTTTTCGATTTGAAGCTTTTGTGACTGCAAGGATTCATCTTTGGTTCTTTCGGTAAAGTCACGTAGAATGAGAATAAAATAATAAAAGAACACAGTAAAATTCTCACGACGTTTCGGCTTCAATTTGAAGCTGTCGTCCCGACAGTTCTGCACCTTTCACCTGAAGACGGCGGCTTGCGTTGTGGCCGAAACGTCATGAGAATTTTATTGTGTTATTTTATTATTTTATTCTCATTCTACGTGACTTTACCGAAAGAACCAAAGATCACCCCAGAGTACTCTCGTGTTGAACCAATACTGATAAACGTATGCACTTCCAGAATGCCGTACGGCTGCTGAGATGCGTCGTTTTTTACGTTGAGCGACTTATGAAAACGTGGGCTTGGGCAGGACGCGTCACTAGAGCTACGGCGCACTGCGGTCGTGACTCATGGCGCAGTGGTGACGCAAGCAGCTCGCACGCTAGACGGACCGTGACAGAGTGAGACCGTGACAGAGTGAGACCGTGACAGAGTGAGACCGTGACAGAGTGAGACTGTGAGTGTGAGAGTCGTGACAGAGTGAGACCGTGACAGAGTGAGACCGTGACAGAGTGAGACAGTGAGTGTGGGGAGTCGTGACAGTGGGAATCTTAACAGCGTGGGACCGCGACGGCGTGGGAATCGTGGCGGCGTGGGAATCGTGACAGCGTGGGAATCGTGACAGCGTGGGACCGTGACAGCGTGGGAATCGTGACAGCGTGGGACCGTGACGGCGTGGGAATCGCGACAGCGTGGGAATCGTGACAGTGTGGGAATCGTGACAGCGTGGGAATCGCGACGGCGTGGGAATCGTGACAGCCAGGACCGCGAGAGACGGCGATGCCTTGGGGAGGCCTTCCCGGCAGCCCAAGGAGAGAGAACGCGTCTCAGGCCGCGAGCACCACGGAGACGGAGCGATGATATCAGTTCACGTGCTGCAGCAGCAGCAGCAGCAGCGAGACAGAGCGATATCAGTTCACGTGCTGCTGCAGCAGCAGCACCGTGGAGACGGAGTGATGATATCAGTTCACGTGCTGCAGCAGCAGCGAGACGGAGCGATGATATCAGTTCACGTACTGCAGCAGCAGCAGCAGCAGCGAGACGGACGGGTAAAGCGCTGAACTGTCGGGGGACAACGACGATGACCACGGATGTCATTTATCCAGCAGTGGATTGATCATGACGCGCAGAGCGATGTGCCGCACCTGCTTGCAGCTGGAGAAGAAGACGATGACCTTCTTGGTGAGGTGGCTCTTGATGAAGGAGTAGAGCATGTTCACCTTCTGGTGGAGCTCACACACCACGTAGTTCTGCTCCAGGGTGGCTGGGGTGCTGCCAGAAAGACAAAGATCCCCCATATAGCCTTAACAGACTTTAGGAGCAAGTGCTGTTAGCAACAACCTATGAAGGCCAGCATGGCACATGAGAGAGTGGGTGGCCAGCATCACATCCGGCCAACTGACGCCCCATTCGCAATGTTTACATCCCGCACAAGGTACTAATTTGAGGCCGAGTAGACCTCTGGGAGGTCCAGAATCGGTTTATATAATTGTCACTGGATTTGGCCACGAGCGGGAATCAAACTCAGGTCGCCAGGTTCAAAGCAAGGTGCGCCAACTGCGGCACCACTCCACCACACACCACAATCCCACCTCACTCCACCTGCCTCACTCGCCTGTGCCTGCACCACACACACCTGTACTCCCTCCCGACACACCTGTACACGCCCCACACACCTGTACACATCCCACACACCTGTACCTGTGCTCCCCCCAAACACACCTGTATGAGCCCCCACACACCTGTACATACCCCACACACCTGTACCGGTGCTCCCCCCGCACACACCTGTATGAGCCCCCACACACCTGTACCGGTGCTCCCCCCGCACACACCTGTATGAGCCCCCACACACCTGTACACATCCCACACACCTGTACCTGTGCTCCCCCCCAACACACCTGTACATGCCCCACACACCTGTACTTGGCCTGTTCGTGCACCCACACGTAGGCGGGGTCGCGCAGGCTGAGCCGTGCGAGGTCGCGCACAGACTTGGTCTGCGTGGCAGAGAAGAGCAGCGTCTGCCGGCTGGCCGGGAGGTTCTCCACCACCGCGTTCACCGTCACCGCGAAGCCGAGGTCCAGGATGCGGTCAGCCTCGTCCAGAACTGCCGGGGGATAGCACCGCCACCACCGCCGCCGTCAAGTCGCCAAAATTAACAGTGACCCGCAAATTCATTCCCAATAGATTTTTTTGGGCTTAGGTCTCGTAAGAGGAATCTGACCAAATCTGTGTCGTTAAAAACCCTCCACTGCCCGACATGGCCAAACAAATGTAATTGTCACCTTGCGTGCACGTGATTAACGACACGTCGATTATTATCGTTTCAGCTTGCCGCACGGTAAGTTGAAGAACGATTCTCACAACCAAGTTTGATGATTAAATCTTCACGCTCTTGGCCGAGAAATTAAGAGAGCTGTCGTGGTGTCGCAGTGAGCACGCTGGAATTGGAGAACGGATTCCGGTTTAATGGCTGTTCCGGTTTTACAACGGCCGCCGGAGTAATCCACCGACCCTTGGTACCCTTTACCCGGCGGCAGCAGCTGGACAAAAGCAGGTTGTTAGATCACGACTAGGGTCCCATGCCCGCGGCCCCACTCACCGAGCAGCTGGAGGTTGTTGGCATAGAAGTAGCTCGTTTCGTCCATGTGCTGCAGCAGCCGCCCCGGCGTGCAGATGATGACGTTGGTCCGATGGATCCTCTCCGACTCCTCCTTCACGTCCTGCGCTCGCAGGCGAGAGACGTGGGCGGGAGACACGCACGATGCTTGCTTCAGCTGCCAGGGAGGGTGAAGCGTTTGCAAAAGCGGCGGCCGAAAACCGCGGCTCGATAGAAATGCAGGTCGCTGGTAACCTTTCTGGGCTGTAACTTTACGTGAAATGGGGAGAAATTTGCGGAAGCGGCCCAGGTGGTTCACACCAGGCAAGCAGCGCCCGACGTGCGAGTACTCCCCGAACGCTCACGCCCGCAGATTTCCAAATTCAAAACTCCACACAGCCAAAGTGGTAGGCTGCACGTGGACCCCACGGGCCATTACCAAGTTAAGTCGGGGGCCGGATACAACCGCGCATGCCGCAGGTTCCTCGCGTCATAACGACGACGTGCCTGCCGTCGGGCGAGCATCACAGACGCCGCCCTCCTGCTCCTCCTCCTCACCTTGCCCCCGATGATGAGGCCCGCTGAGAACTCGTGGTACTTGCCAACCTTGCGCAGGACCTCGAAGGTCTGGAAGGCGAGCTCCCGCGTTGGGGAGATGATGAGCACGCCCAGACCATCGTCTGCCGTCCACTGCTTCCGGTAGAGGCACTCCAGAGCCTGGGGCGGGTGGGCGGGCCAGGGGTGAAGCTTCAAGTTTAAATTTGATTTCATTTCACCAGGCGAGAACTCAGAGAGACCAGGCGAAGCCTCGCATGCCAGAGTAACTGACCGGGGTTGCATAAATAACACAGGCAATAACGTAAAACAAAATACAACAACGAAGCAAATATAAATCAGATCCAAAAACAACCAAATAAAAATCATTACAAAAGCAACCTAGGGTAGGCTCTGGACAGGTTCCGATATAGTCATCAATGTTGGCCGTGCCCGAGAATCATACTTGTTCACCGGATTCCTGGTACAGGTTCGCTAATATTGGATCGCTCTCCGAGTTACGCCTTCCCGTTTACAGACAGACGGGCCGAGCTTTAGTTGAAAAGCGTAACAAATCGTCAGCCCAGCAGTGCTGGCGGCACAGGCGGCAAAGTCGCACAGGTGGCACAGGCGGTAACGCGAGTACAGGCGGGCAGCGCTCACCGGGATGAGAAAGGCGAGGGTTTTGCCGGATCCGGTCTTGGCTGCTCCAAGGACGTCTTGGCCTTGTAGCGCCAGCCCCACCGTCCTGCGCTGGATCTCCGTCGGTAAGCGGTACTCCGCGTTCTGCAGACCTGCGACCCAAACCGATTTGACTTCATCGACACAACCCAAAGTGACAGCGGAATAAATCAATACGTCGGAGGCACAGCCAATACGGGGCAACTGCACAACCGATACAGCATTGGCGGCATACGTAGCACAACCGGCAAGCGAGCAAGCACACCATAGTAACGAGCGAGATGTCAACAGCACACGATGTGGCTTGTGCGCAACGGGCTCAGAAGCCAATCCACGTGGGTAGGGTCAAGCGATGCCCACAACCCCTGTCCCGGAATCGCTAAATCTCAATGCAATCCTTGGAAACGAACACCATTCCTGAGTGAGAGAATTGCCCAAGCGTATCCTCCGGTGGCAATCGCTTCTACTTCTTCCTCCTCCGTGTTGCCTATGAAAAGCACCTCTTAGAGATTCAGTTGCAAGTGATTTTGCCATTCAGTTGCCTTGTCTGAGAGTTGTAAATTGCAGATTCACCCACCGCGCTTTCATGTGCATATTTCGGGCAAAATCACGTTATACGCTCCATGGTTTGGCGTTCTTGGCCACAATCGCACAGTCTCAAGAGTCTTTGATTTTCCACTTATGCCAGGCAGTGGTGGCTATGCACGTGGCCTGTAATCCAGCATTGCGGGGGCAGCGAGGGCTGGTGGGTCGAACTGAAATGCTGAGAAACTCCCTTTCCCTCGGAGTTGAGTTGTTATACCCTGGCTCGCCAGAAGGCAGTATAGCAAGTGAACTAATCGCCATTTGCTTCCATCTATACGGTGATAGTATTTTCCCCTCGCGTGCGAAGGGGTTTTTTTTTCCAGGAGCCCTAGTTTCTATCCCACACGTACAATAAACGCTCATTATGAATTGGCTGAAAATAATTATTATTTTACATGTAAAAAAAAACCCAATGCAGCAGTGGCAGAACCCTCCTGAAGAAGAGTCCTACGACTCCTGGATAACCAAGTAAGTTATGTTTTATTTAAAAAAAGCATATGATATAAATAATTATATGATTACTATTCATGAATATATTTCTTATTGCACCAAATTATGAATTCGATGTCTGCATCTTTCGTGGTTTGTATGGATGCGGTTGAGCGCTGCCCATCGTCTCTGTTAAAGTATGGTGGAGGTGAGGTAGCGATTGCGGGAATCCCCATAAAGGATCCCCGATCCATATCAACTATCAACGGAGAACAAGAAATCGGTGCCGGACGATTCCTGGGCAGTTGAAGAGTCCAAATTCTGCAAGTGCAGTGCTGCGGGTCCTTGAGCCGCGTCGCCCACCTTTAAGCGTCTTCTTGGACAGCGGGAAATCGGAAAACTTCACAACGTCCGCTACATTGATCTGTAACAACAAGAACGGCGACAATTACACCCGCCACTAGCTGCGTTGCTCACCAGTCACCACTCACCCACCCAGACATTCACAATTGACAAGACACCCACACCATTAACCGCTCACCAAACTCCCACCACTCACTTCACCCGATCCTCACCTACAACTCACACACACTCACCAGACACTCACTACTTACCCGATACCACTGACCACTCACCATACACAACACACTCAATGCGGAGTTGAAAATAAACCAGTGACTGGGGACTCCAAAATGCGAGACCAGGAACCGATGACACAGGGACCTGAGATCCTCCCCATGTGCCTCAGGATTACGCTCACCACTCAACCAACATTCACCAGAGACGTGGCACATACGACTCACCAAAGCAACACACACTCACAACTCACCAAACATCCACCTCACCTGTTTCTCACCAATTACCAGACGTAACTCGCTCATCTGAGCCACTCACACCCACTCAACACTTTCCTAATACAACACACTCACTTGACAATTACCTAATAATCACCATTCACACTCACCACTCACTGGACACTCACCACTTCCCAGATAACTATCCTCAACAATTCAACCCCGGACACGGGGGACCTGGGAGTGAGACACAAGGACCCCCAACACACAATCCAAATATGTACAGTGTACTGGAGGAATCCGATGAGCTAAGAAGCTCTTTACTCACAGGGGCGGATCAGCAAGTTACAATACAAAAAAAACGAATCGGAGTACAAAATAGATAAAAGGGTAAGCAAGTCACCAAACATAAACAAATATAAAATGTATAAATAAAAGAACTGCACACAAGTGCGCTCCTCCACCACCCTCCCCAGGCCAACCCACGTGTGCCGCTCGGGACCGGCGCGCAAACCTGCGCGTATTTGTCGGTGAGCTTGGCGATGGCCTCCTGCTCCACGACGTACTCGGGCCGCTTCTCCGCCTTCCTCCTCGTCTGCAGCTTGCGCCGCTTCTTCAAATCCTTCTCCTTCCACTGCTGCAGGTCCTGCACGGCGAGCTCCCTGGACGCCGCCATCGCTGCTCGTCTCTCTCGCGGTGCGCAATGACGTCACGACGCAGAGACTTTTAAGTCGCGCCGCGCGGGACGACGACGTCACGACGCAAAGGGACGTTGACGTCACGCCGCACGGGACGGCGACGTCACGACGCGCGTGGCGGCGACGTCACGACGCGCGGGACGGAGACGTCACGACGCGCGGGTCGAAGACGTCACGACGCACGGGTCGACGTCACCGCGCGTCGTGCGCGGTCGGGCGTCCAGTGCCAAGCGCAATTTCCGGTTGGTGTTGCCACGGCGACCGACTTTAGGACTCAGAATATTAACATGACGCAATATTAAAGTGCGGAAGGAATCCGATGAGCTATAAAGCAATTGTCTTCATCAGGTGTCCAGTAGGGTCGGGTAAGGAACGCTCCAACAACAACCAATAACAAAAAAACAGCAGTGAAAAAGTCCAAGAAAGTTAAACAAGTCATCCAAATAAAACGAAAGCATCCCCACCCGACAAGGCAAAGCCCACAGAGGTATTAAATTATTTTTCAAAAGCGACCTGGACATCACAAATGAGAGCTCAAAAAGTGGCTTTTCAATTTGGACATTTATAGCAGAAAGGAGTGGTAGGGCCATGTTCTGTGACCCCAGCTGTCAACCCATGCGGTTTACTTTGTATTCTTGTACAGGGAAACTGAGTTTTCAGGTCCATTGTTTGTGTTTCTCCCTTGTGACGGGACTTTGTAGGGTGAACTTTGAGATGCATAAGGGCCAATACGGTCTGTAATATGGTAGGCACTGATAAGTGGTTCACAGGTGTATATTGTTGTATTTTAGATCATAAGTCATGCAATCATGGAACAAGTGTGAGTTTTTCGCTTGCTCCAGTCACCTTGCAATGTCAGTTAAAAACAGTTTTAGATTAAAAAATTGCGAAAACATCGATTTACGACGGTCCGAATTAACGATCCGCATGTTTTTTTTTACGACGCCTCTATCAAAAAAAAATTCGCAGACTACCTACTGGATCTCCTCTCTGTTTCAAAGAACAAATTTGACCTCAGGTCCTCGCTCATTTACCAGCTTCACATTCCCTATTGCCGTACAAAAACCGGAGGAAGGGCCTTTGCTATTGATGCCCCCAGGGTCTGGAATGCTATTCCCCAATAAACTGCAACTTGAATCACCACCTATGAGATCTTCACAAAACTGCTCTAGAGGAGTTGTACACCCCTAGCTGCCACTGCTATTCAGTGGCCTAAAATATGGCTCTAGATTTTGGTGTTATAATTTATTTATGTAGTTTATTGTTAAAAATTCGGTCACAGTCCCTATGATCACTGTTACATTGCATTTATGGCTTTTATTTTGGTGATTTCGAAAACGCTTTTTTTGTTTTGGTCATGATTTTGTTTATTGTAGTACGGAGTTAGACTGATGGCCTTAATCTTAGTTGTCTTGTGGTTGTTGTTGTTGTTTGACTTGCCTCCCACTGGGATTTTTGCACACAGCGTTGGTGTACGGTGCTATTTCAGGAATATTTTGATGTTTTTTACCTGGATTTTCTGTTTGCACAGTCACATAATCACTTTAAGATGTTTTCTTGTTCATTTTTTTGTTTGTTGCGGTTGCACCCGATTCAAGAGCCGAATGGCTCACAGGGCTATACCAAATAAATGAACTATGGAACTATGGAACTATCAGCCCACCGCGGATCGATGAACAGTCCAGAAACGCCACGTGGGCCCCATCGTCCACAACACGGCGACTCTGAACTCTTTGTGAAGAACGACCGCCCCTGCCACGTCGTGAAAAGTGTGCTGAGTGTTTCCCTTGCAAAAGGTGGAATCGCTTAAGCTAGAGGAAGGAAGAAGACAAGTTAATAAAATATATATTTTTATATATATATTTTATATATGTTTTTAAAATATATTTTATATATTTTATTTCATGATTAACTATTTGATTATTTAAATTGACTAAGGTCACCTTTTATTTATTCCATGAATGAGCATTTTGCTTCTCCATGGGTGAATGGAGAAGCATACATTTTGTTAATGTTTTGAATGATTGCTATTAAACATTTTTATTTTAATGATTCTACCAGGGCTTTTCAGTCTGTGGAATGAATATGTGATTGTTATAATTGTACTCTCCATTTTGCTTCGTTCTACTACAAAGTTTCAAGTATTTTTATAGTTATAATTACTTTTAATATTCTATAATTATAAGATAATTTCAATATAATATTCTGAACATCTGCAGTTTTAGTTAGACATTGAATATTTTCAAGCGAATTTTATGCTAAATTTCAGCTTTCGAACGCCTCCTTTTTAATGTGTTTTTCCCTACAACATCAGAGTGCAGCGACACATTAAATACGCACTGCAATGACAATAGTTTAAAATGATTTGAAGCATGCTTTATTTTCAAAATGGAAATATGGTTTGGGGGGGGGCAGAGCTTTGTGACGTAATTTTTGAGGGGGGTCTGACTTTTTGTGACGCCGTGTGACGAGGGGGGGGGGGGGGTTAAAATTAGCCAAAATCGCGTGATGTCATTTATGGACGGCCCCTAACTTTTATTCTCGGCGCAAACCCCGCATATTTTGCGAGAAGAGCCTCGCCTACTGATGCCTAAGTCCTCAGCTACTCAAACGCCCGACCACGTGCCTCGTAGCTGGACTCACGGCGTCGCACGGACACTGCGAGTGGCTCGAGAAGGCGTCCGAGGACGGCAGGGGGTGTGCTGCGTGTGAGTACTCAGTGTGGGGACCAGGGGGTGTGTGTGCTGTGTGTGAGTACTCAGTGTGGGGACCAGGTGGTGTGTGTACTCAGTGTGTGTACTCAGTGTGTGTACTCAGTGTGTGTGTACTCAGTGTGTGTACTCAGTGTGGGGACCAGGTGGTGTGTGTGCTGTGTGTGAGTACTCAGTGTGGGGACCAGGCGGTGTGTGTGTACTCAGTGTGTGTACTCAATGTGGGGACCAGGAGGTGTGTGTGCTGTGTGAGTACTCAGTGTGGGGACCAGGTGTGTGTGTGCTGTGTGTGTGTACTCAGTGTAGGGACCAGGAGGTGTGTGTGCTGTGTGAGTACTCAGTGTGGGGACCAGGGGGTGTGTGTGCTGTGTGTGTGTACTCAGTGTGGGGACCAGGCGGTGTGTGTACTCAGTGTGTGTACTCAGTGTGGGGACCAGGAGGTGTGTGTGCTGTGTGTGTGTACACAGTGTGGGGACCAGGAGGTGTGTGTGCTGTGTGTGTGTACTCAGTGTGGGGACCAGGAGGTGTGTGTGCTGTGTGAGTACTCAGTGTGGGGACCAGGTGTGTGTGTGCTGTGTGTGTGTACTCAGTGTGTGTACTCAGTGTGTGTACTCAGTGTGGGGACCGGGGGGGGTCGCGGCTTCGAGGCCGTGGCACCACCGAGTCCATCCCCATTCCGGGCTGACTGGAGCCCCTCGCCTGGGTCGTCCCAACCCGGTAACGCCGCGGAGTCCGCGGGACCCGCCCGGCTCTCGTCGCTGGGTTTGTGGGTGGCAGCTCAGCGGTCTCTGTCTCGCTCCCAGAGGCTCCTCCTGCGCTCAGCTGGCTGGGGAACAAACTCAGGGGCAGAGGGGTTTAGGTGCCGCCGTGCCCGTCGCCTCCTTGCTGGGCCGGGGTCCTCTGGGAGGAGCGGGGGGGGGGGGAGACAGAAAACAAAACTCAAAAATGCGGTTCTCAAGAAAAGGAAGGCAGCTTCTGTTTGCAGCGACGCTCGAGTCTCGGGACAAAGTCTCTCTCTCTCTCCCTTTTGTCGGTGAGTCGAACCGCTCTCTCTCCCTCTCGCGTTCTGATGCAGAACGGCGCTTCACCTGTCTGCCCGGCCGCTCTCCGCCGACAAACCTCGGCGACCGGCTCGAGACGGCTGGTTGAGTGCCGCACGCGTGCCCCACGCTGTTGCCGCTTGCACGGCGCCGGTACCACCGGGAGGATCTGTGTGGACACTGAATTGACAGCCGCCGTCCAGGGGGAGGTCCCCGAGGGTAACGAAGCGTACTTGGCGTTACAAACGGTGGTGCACGGTCAAAATAAAATGTATAAAAGGAATAACTAAAGAGTAATTCCAGCAGTCACGAAAGCTCCAAATCAAATTTAAACCACCTCTGCGGGGAGGATTTTAGTTAGTATTCTCTCTCTGTGTCTCTGTGTTGTCTCTCTCTGCTTGTGTGTCTGTGTTTCTTCGTGTCTGTGTTTTGTCTCTCTCTCAAATTTAGCAATCTTTGGAAGAACGTTAATCAAGCAGCCAATCACCCGCTTCATCCCCCCACTCACCCAGCCAACCAGTCACCCGCTTCATCCCCCCACTCACCCAGCCAGTCACCCGTTCATCCCCCACTCACCCAACCAGTCACCCGCTTCATCCCCCCACTCACCCAGCCAGTCACCCGTTCATCCCCCCACTCACCCAGCCAGTCACCCGTTCATCCCCCCACTCACCCAGCCAGTCACCCGTTCATCCCCCCACTCACCCAGCCAGTCACCCGTTCATCCCCACTCACCCAACCAGTCACCCGCTTCATCCCTCCACTCACCCAACCAGTCACCCGTTCATCCCCCCACTCACCCAGCCAGTCACCCGCTTCATCCCCCCACTCACCCAGCCAGTCACCCGTTCATCTCCCACTCACCCAACCAGTCACCCGCTTCATCCCCCACTCACCCAGCCAGTCACCCGTTCATCCCCCACTCACCCAACCAGTCACCCGCTTCATCCCCCACTCACCCAGCCAGTCACCCGTTCATCCCCCCACTCACCCAGCCAGTCACCCGTTCATCCCCCACTCACACAACAAGTCACCCGTTCATCCCCACTCACCCAGCCAGTTACCCGCTTTAGCCCCCCACTCACCCAGCCAGTCACCCGTTCATCCCCCACTCACCCAACAAGTCACCCGTTCATCCCCACTCACCCAGCCAGTCACCCGTTCATCCCCCCACTCACCCAGCCAGTCACCCGTTCATCCCCCACTCACCCAACAAGTCACCCGTTCATCCCCCACTCACCCAACCAGTCACCCGTTCATCCCCCACTCACCCAACCAGTCACCCGTTCATCCCCCACTCACCCAGCCAGTCACCCGTTCATCCCCACTCACCCAGCCAGTCACCCGCTTCAGCCCCCCACTCACCCAGTGCTATTCAATGCACGCATCGTGTGTACGTTGAACTTCTATCGCGCCGTACGTAGCCAACCGTGAGGTGGTGTCAGCTCTTATCGGCAACGAAACGACAAAACGTTGGCGCAGTCGCGTGTCACCCAAACAGTCACGTGTCACCCAAACAGTCACGTGTCACCCAAACAGTCGCGTGTCACCCAAACAGTCACGTGTCACCCAAACAGTCGCGTGTCACCCAAACAGTCGCGTGTCACCCAAACAGTCGCGTGTCACCCAAACAGTCACGTGTCACCCAAACAGTCGCGTGTCACCCAAACAGTCACGTGTCACCCAAACAGTCGCGTGTCACCCAAACAGTCACGTGTCACCCAAACAGTCGCGTGTCACCCAAACAGTCACGTGTCACCCAAACAGTCGCGTGTCACCCAAACAGTCGCGTGTCACCCAAACAGTCGCGTGTCACCCAAACAAACTCGACATTCGTCTCTCACTGACGCAGCCCTGAAAAGGAAACGTTGGGCAACGTTTCGGGCAATGGTCCATCTTCATAATGGGGTTTATATAACAGGTCCCTGCAGGGTGGGCTGGTAGGACAAGTGTCTGCGCTGTCTATTGCTGATTTTACACCCCAACAGCACGAGATTTCACTTCGTTAAAGTATTGAAAGGGGACGGACGGACACAATCTATTGCAGGCTGGTACACTCAGTTTACAACTTCGTTCCTACCAGTATCATGTGTGCTGTAAGGGGCACACCCTATTAGGCCCCGTGTTGTATACAGTGCACATACATTCTCTTTGTACACGCAGTCGTACTTACGAAGTGCACACCGTGTCAACCCGCACGGCTCAGCCTGTATTCTTGTACAGGGAAATGGAGTGTTCTGGCCCATACGGCGTACAGCCGTTTCAATACGGGCAACAAAATCTTGTTTTCTCTATTTGTTTGTGTTTCTCCCTTGTGATGAGACTTTGTAGGATGAGCGTTGAGATTTATAAGGGCCACGGCGTGACCAATGAGGTCTGAATTGGTCTGTTATTTTGGTAGGCGCTGATACATTCACAGGTATGCGAATGTGTTGTGGGACTGTCAATTATTAAAAACAAATTCCAATAATAGCAACAACACTGGGTGTCTACTGTAATAGTGCTACTTGTTGCTGCCATCGCTTGCCGTTTTGGTCTTTTTAGCGGCCGTGTTTGCTCTGCAACAACAACAAATAACTGGAACCACGTGGGTACCCAAAGGTAGCGAAGTCGCGGATGAGTGGTGGTGGTAGCGGCGGGAGAAACCCCAAACCGCACACACAACGCACACACAACACACACCACACAACACACCACACATACACACACACCACAACACACACACACAACACACACAACACACACACAACACACACAACACACACACAACACACACAACACATACCACAACACACACCACACACACCACACAACACACACACCACAACACACACACAACACACACACACAACACACATACACACACACACAACACACACGCACAACACACACAACACATACCACAACACACACCACACACACCACACAACACACACACCACAACACACACACACAACACACACAACACACCACACATACACACACACAACACACACAACACACACACACAACACACACAACACACACAACACATACCACAACACACACCACACAACACACACACCACAACACACACACAACACACCACACATACACACACACACCACAACACACAACACACACACAACACACACACAACACACACACAACACACACAACACAACACACCACAACACACACACACCACACACAACACAACATACACATAACACACACAAAACACAACACACCACACAACACACACACAACACACACAAACAACACACACAACACACACACAACACACACAACACACACACAACACAACACACACAACACACCACACACACACACCACACACACAACACAACACACCACACAACACACACACACCACACACACAACACACACAACACACCACACAACACACACAACACAACACACCACAACACACAACACAACATACACATAACACACACAAAACACAACACAACACACACACAACACACACAAACAACACACACAACACACACACAACACACACACAACACAACACACACAACACACCACACACACACACCACACACACAACACAACACACCACACAACACACACACAACACACACAACACACCACACAACACACACCACACACACAACACACATACACAACACACACCACACACACCACACACACACCACACACACACACACAACACACACACCACAACACACCACACACACAACACACCACACACACCACACACACAACACACCACACACACACCACACCACACACACACCACACACACCACACACACACACCACACACACCACACACACCACACACACCACAACACACCACACACACAACACACCACACACACCACACACACAACACACCACACACACAACACACACCACACACACACACCACACACACCACACACACCACACACACCACAACACACCACACACACAACACACCACACACACCACACACACAACACACCACACACACCACACACACCACACAACACACACACAACACACACCACACACAACACACACACCACACACAAACCACACACCACACACAACACCACACACACACCGCACACACCACACACACCACGCAACACAACACACACACAACACACACCACACACACAACACACACCACACCACACACACACCACACACACCACACATACTGAAGCTTGGGAAAGTGCCACCTCACCTCCTCACCGCTCATCGTTACATAAATCATCGCCGCGAGCCGCCCACGCGCCGCTGTTCATCTCTGCTGGACTCAGCCACTCGAACAAAACCTGCCGGACTGCATTCACCTGCTGCATCATACACCTACTCATCATACACCTGCTGCATCATACACCTACTCATCATACACCTGCTGCATCATACACCTGCTGCATCATACACCTGCTGCATCATACACCTACTCATCATACACCTACCTGCATCATACACCTGCTGCATCATACACCTACTCATCATACACCTACTCATCATACACCTACTCATCATACACCTGCTGCATCATACACCTGCTGCATCATACACCTGCTGCATCATACACCTACTCATCATACACCTACCTGCATCATACACCTACTCATCATACACCTGCTGCATCATACACCTGCTGCATCATACACCTGCTGCATCATACACCTGCTGCATCATACACCTACTCATCATACACCTGCTGCATCATACACCTACTCATCATACACCTACCTGCATCATACACCTACTCATCATACACCTGCTGCATCATACACCTACTCATCATACACCTACTCATCATACACCTACTCATCATACACCTACTCATCATACGCCTACTCATCATACACCTACTCATCATACACCTACTCATCATACACCTACTCATCATACACCTGCCTGCATCATACACCTACTCATCATACACCTGCTGCATCATACACCTACTCATCATACACCTACCTGCATCATACACCTGCCTGCATCATACACCTACTCATCATACACCTGCTGCATCATACACCTGCCTGCATCATACACCTGCTGCATCATTCACCTACCGGACTGCATACACCTACTCATCATACACCTGCCTGCATCATACACCTGCCGGACATCATACACCTGCCTGCATCGTACACCTGCCTGCATCATACACCTGCTGGACATCATACACCTGCCTGCATCATACACCTGCCGGACATCATACACCTGCCTGCATCATACACCTGCCCGCATAGTGGCGCTTAAATAAATTTCCCCTCGGCTAAACAATTCCTAACACGGTCAAACACTTCCTCCTCCTCTCTCTCTCGCAAATATTCTGGATCTTATCTCGCGCGCGCGCACACGCGCGCGCGCGCGCACCCCTCATCTTTTATTCTCGTCGAAGACTTCTCTGAAAACAATCTTCCGATGTTGTGGCTCTTGCAACCCCTAGCGCGGACACAACGAACCATCTTCACCGAGAGCTGAACCATCTTCACCGAGAGCTGATCCATCTTCACCGAGAGCTGAACCATCTTCACCGAGAGCTGAACCATCTTCACCGAGAGCTGAACCCTCTTCACCGAGAGCTGAACCATCTTCACCGAGAGCTGAACCATCTTCACCGAGAGCTGAACCTCAACGGCGGCCCGCTCCGCGATTTCAAACTCCAACCCGTGGTACCCCCCGCCGCCAGCGCGCGCCATCATCGATTTCGACATCGTCAAAAGCTCCCTAACCCACCAACACCAACAACACCACCATCACAGATAATCATCACCGCAGCCATGGCTCAGAGCTTTGTGACCGCAATGAAATTCGCGAAGGCTCAAAAGGCCGTGCTCGGGAACAGCGCGGTGGCCGTGCTGACCGGATCCTTCGAGCAGATCTACCAGAGCGCCACTTTCAAGTGCCCCTGCTCGCCCGGCGTCAGCCAGATCTACGCCTCCACCTCGCTGCTCGTGCCGGCCCTCGTCCTGCTCGCCATGGGCTACACGGCCAACGCGAGGACGTGGAAGCTGGTGACCGGCTGCTGCTCCTTCAGGCCCGTCCGTGGCTTCGGCGGCCTGCGGAGGTTCCTGCGGATTTTGCTGTCGGTCACGGGCAGGGCTATCGTGGCACCAGTCGCTTGGCTGCTCGTGGCGCTGTTTGACGGCAGCTACTACGTGTGCGGAGTGAGCCCCTACGCCACGCAGGTCGGTGGCACGGCACGCGTCGTCTGTGCGGAGCGTTCAGTGTCGCCGTGTTCGGGTGGGGGGGGGGGGGGGTGGTGGGTTGGGGATTCATCACATTTTCTGCACGCCAAACCCGGGTATGTTTCTCAGTCGTCACGAGGTACCTGTGGGCAAAGTTCCACACTTCGGTACGAATTCGACTCCCTTGCCCTTGCTTGTCACCCCAACAGGATCGCCGCGGTGGCTAGGAGATGTTAGCTACCTCGCCTGGTATGCAGGACGTCGTGGGTTCGATCCTGACGCCTGCTGCTGCTGTATATTTGGTGTTTGCGTGTCTCTCTCTCATCATCATCACGGTGGCTAGGAGATGTTAACTACGTCGCCTGGTATACAGGAGGGCGTGGGTTTGATCCCGACGCCTGCTGCTGTATATTTGGAGTTTGCGTGTCTCTCTCATCATCAACATCACGGTGACTAGGAGATGTTAACTACCTCGTCTGGTATGCAGGACGTCGTGGGTTCGATCCCGACGCCTGCTGCTGCTGTATATTTGGAGTTTGCGTGTCTCTCTCTCATCATCATCACGGTGCCTAGGAGATGTTAACTACGTCGCCTGGTATGCAGGACGTCGTGGGTTCTATCCCGACGCCTGCTGCTGCTGCTGTATATTTGGAGTTTGCGTGTCTCTCTCTCATCATCATCACGGTGCCTAGGAGATGTTAACTACGTCGCCTGGTATGCAGGACGTCGTGGGTTCTATCCCGACGCCTGCTGCTGCTGCTGTATATTTGGAGTTTGCGTGTCTCTCTCCCCGTGGTGGCGTGGATCTTTCCTCACGTGCACTCCGGGTTGTTTTCCCCTCCACACTTGGAATCAACATCACGCGTTTAGAGTATTTGTCTGCTATAAATGTCCACACGATATACAATTTGGTTGAGCTATCATTCGCGATAGCCAGGTCGCTTCTCAAAAAAAGCTCGACAACTCAGCGGACCTTACCTGGTGAAATAGAAAAAAAAACCGGTTTAGTTTTTGTTGTTTACCGATGTCCGTTCCTGGACTGTCCGGGTCAAACTCTACCTGGACGAGGCAGTGGCGTCACCGGGAGCGCGTTCCCCGCTTGTTGCAGAGAGAGAGGGACACGGTTCTATTCCAGCAGCCGCCCCGATTAATACTATTCACTATTATTCTTGGTTCTTTCGGTAAAGTCACGTAGAAGGGAAACAATACAATAATAAAAAATATATAACAATAAAATTCTCACGACGTTTCGACTGCAACACACGCAATCATCATCAGGTGTGAAAACCACAGCAAGAAAATAAGAAAAAAACCGCCACTTTTTTCAAATTTCCTTGCTGTGGTTTTCACACCTGATGATGATTGCTTGTGTTGCAGTTGAAACGTCGTGAGAATTTTATTGTTTTAATTTTTTATTATTTTATTGTTTCCCTTGTACGTGACTTTACCGAAAGAACCAAGAATATGAATCCCTGCAGTCGCGAAAGCTTTAAATCAAAATCTATTCGCTATTCTTTATACAAGCAGCAGCGTATCTCTGGGACAACACGGAGCACTCATAACATGTTATGGTGATGGGGGGGGGGTGGTGGGCTAGTGGGGGGGTGGTGGTGTCCCTATTTATGTGAAGCTCTGCAGGTTGACCACACCCTGCCCAATGTACAAGGTGCTTCAAAGACATTTTAACGCTTCTTAGAATTTGCAACAATACGACGAGAAATGTGACTCTGGGTTCTGGAGAAGATTCCAGGCATATGTTGAAAATGATGGCGAACAAGTGGAGACTCTTTGACTTTTTGAAGCTATTAACATGACGTTTATTATCATTGTATTATCCGTTCTTTTTGCATTAACAACGATAGTCCGATATACGCGTTAACACTTTTTTGAAGCATCCTGTATCTTCCCTTTGGGAGTTGTTTGTACCACGTGACAAGGCTTTCCCAGAGTAAACAACAACAACAACAACAACAACAACCACCAGCAGCTAACTGATTATCGCTGGTGGTTTGTGGCATACGCTGTTGTTGCTTACTCGACGCAGGTAAAGAACGGCTTCCTGGGAGGGTGGCTGCCGACGGTGGCGGACGGCCTCTCCCACCTGCCCGAGCCTCTGGCCAAGATGAATCATTCGCAGCTGGCGCCGATACTGGCGGCCCTGCCGTGCCGGAGGCCGGACGGCATCTCTGCGTCTTCGAGCGACCAGATCTTGAGGCAGCTGGCGATCCAATCTCAGGTGAGCGGGGGCGAGTGTTGTTGTTGTTGTTACCTTGACACGTGGGTGTTTTGTCGCGAGTATATAACGGTCCGTATTTGTGTTTTGGTTTAAGCCACGTGGTGCTCTTGATGCCAGCATGCTCGTTCGTTAACCCTGCGTCTAGAGCACAGAGTTTGAGGGGCAGCGGCCCACGAGAGTCTCCAGCCCGTCACCCAGCAGAGCTCGCCGCAGGCCGAGAGGCACGAGGAGGAAGTAGGAGGAAGGGAAGGAGAAGGGGGAGGAAGAGAGGGTAAGGAGGGGGTGAGGGGTAGGAAGGAGGAAGGGAGGAGCAGGTGAGAAGAAGGACGACCTGATTGATGCATTGTCCGTACGCTCATGTGAATGATACCTGTTGTGAAAAGCGTACAATTGTGTCGGGTGGTGGAGAGTTCACAACAGGAATGTTGGCATTAAACCACCACCACTACCACTAAATGCCCCGACCCAAACACAAACAGGAATGGTTGTCGCATTTCCCCAATGTTATCTCGGTCGCGCTATCGGCGTCGCCTCATCACGAGACAAAGAATCCATCGGCACCTCTCGCCGAGCCGAGCTCGGCCGCCCTCCGCGCGGCTCTCCGTGTGAGTCGATTGGCCTCGATGTCTCCTCACACTGGCGAGGCCATCAACTCGCCACGTTTGAGAGCACGGGGATCTCTGCGGTGCTGGCTCTGCGTCCCTAACCTCTGACCTCTGACCTAACGCCATTGCCCCGACGCTCTGTTGACTACAGAGGGGCTTTGAAAACTAAACTGTTTTATTTTTACCAGGTAAGGCCCACTGAGCTATGTAGCTCTTATTTCCGAAGTGACCTGGCCAACACAAATGATGGCTCATTTTTGTGAGCCAGGGCGTGGGTGCTGAACGTTGTCCCGACTTGTCCCGTGTGGGGAGCGGTGCAGGGCTTTCAGGTCACGCGTCACGCGGCGTGTGTCGACATCGCCTCTGTCGCGCGACAAAGGCGCAGCGATTTGTGGACTGCGCTGTCAAAACCCGAGCTCTGAGTTTCAAGTTAAATTCTTGCCCATGGCTCCCATCCCGGTGGTAGTGATGCTTGAACCTGACCTTGCCGCCACCGCTGCCCTACCGTGCCCTCCTCCACCACCCTACATAGTAAACCCATAGATGGAGATGGTTCAGTTTTATTTTTTATGCGTGTGGGAGATTTGTTTGCCATTCTTGTACGTTGCACTATGATCGTGTATTTGTACTTTGCACTATGATCGTGTATTTGTACTGTTTGCTGTTGTAACGATCTCATCCGCCCCTACTGAGCATCTGTGAAAAAGAGCTTTATAGCTCATCGGATTCCTCCAGTATAAATTAAAATTCTGATGATTCCATAGAGACCCATGGACTTACTTAGACAAACTGGTGAGAACCCCAATTACACCCGGAGTTTTGCATTTCACGAAAAAATTTACAAAGATCCCCCATATAAGATCAACACACAGTTGGGGCAAGTGCTGTTAGCAAGCACACGAAGGTGGCGGGTGGCCAACACCACGCCTGGCCACCTTTGTCTCCCTTGCAGTGATATTTACACATCGCACCAAGTTCACATAATCGTCCCTGGTATTGGCCGTAAGCAGGAATCTCACTCGGATCGCTGGGTTCATGACACAGTGCAACTAACCCACTCAATTGTTTTTGGCATTTCACAAACCCACACTGAACAGCATGGGTGAAGTATGGGGTGAGTAGGCCTTCATCCAGCAGTGGATTGACAAGCAGATATGCAAGCAGACCTCGACTTACGAACACCCGCACTCACGAACACCGCCCACGCTTACGAACATGTACAATATTTCTACTTATGAGTTTAACAATGCTTCCCTTTTTGTTCAACCATAACACATTTCATGACACTAACCGTATGGGCATTTAATGGCAGTGCATTGTTGTGCTCCGACTGATTAAATATTCCCAGGAACAACTTGTCAACTAACATGTAGTAGGCTTTCACAACCAATATTATTCATAAGTCGAGGACTGCCCGTAATAAATATTCTGGACTTGGTCAACCAGACTGACTCATCTCATCCATACTGTGGTCACCCACCACACTGCAGGTCACAACAACTCACCCACTCACCCACGGCACTGCAGGTCACAACAACTCACCCACTCACTCACTGCACTGCAGGTCACAACAACTCATCCACTCACCCAGCACACTGCAGGTCACAACAACTCACCCAGTAACCCACCGCACTGCTGGTCACAAAAACTCACCCACTCACCCACCGCACTGCAGGTCACAACAACTCACCCACTCACAACACTGCACTGCAGGTCACTACAACTCACCCACTCACCCACTGCACTGCAGGTCACAACAACACATCCACTCACTCACCCCACTGCACTGCAGGTCACAACAACTCACCCACTCACCCACCACACTGCAGGTCACAACAACTCACCCACTCACCCAGCACACTGCAGGTCACAACAACTCACCCACTCACCCACCACACTGCAGGTCACTACAACTCACCCACTCACCCACCGCACTGCAGGTCACAACAACTCACCCACTCACTCACTGCACTGCAGGTCACTACAACTCACCCACTCACCCACCGCACTGCAGGTCACTACAACTCACCCACTCACTCACTGCACTGCAGGTCACTACAACTCACCCACTCACCCACCGCACTGCAGGTCACAACAACTCACCCACTCACCCACCGCACTGCAGGTCACAACAACTCACCCACTCACCCACTGCACTGCAGGTCACAACAACTCACCCACTCACTCACTGCACTGCAGGTCACAACAACTCACCCACTCACCCAGCACACTGCAGGTCACAACAACTCACCCACTCACCCACCGCACTGCAGGTCACAACAACTCACCCACTCACCCACCGCACTGCAGGTCACAACAACTCACCCACTCACTCACTGCACTGCAGGTCACAACAACTCACCCACTCACTCACTGCACTGCAGATCACAACAACTCACCCACTCACTCACTGCACTGCAGATCACAACAACTCACCCACTCACTCACTGCACTACAGGTCACAACAACTCACCCACTGCACTGCAGGTCACAACAACTCACCCACTCACCCACCGCACTGCAGGTCACAACAACTCACCCACTCACTCACTGCACTGCAGGTCACAACAACTCACCCACTCACCCACCGCACTGCAGATCACAACAACTCACCCACTCACTCACTGCACTGCAGGTCACAACAACTCCCCCACTCACTCACCGCACTGCAGGTCATAACAACTCACCCACTCACCACACTGCACTGCAGGTCACAACAACTCACCCACTCACCCACCACACTGCAGGTCACAACAACTCACCCACTCACCACACTGCACTGCAGGTCACAACAACTCACTCACTCACCAACTACACTGCAGGTCACAACAACTCACCCACTCACTCACCGCACTGCAGGTCACAATAACTCACCCACTCACCCACTGCACTGCAGGTCACAACAACTCACCCACTCACCCAGCACACTGCAGGTCACAACAACTCACCCACTCACCCACCACACTGCAGGTCACAACAACTCACCCACTCACCCACCGCACTGCAGGTCACAACAACTCACCCACTCACTCACTGCACTGCAGGTCACAACAACTCATCCACTCACCCAGCACACTGCAGGTCACAACAACTCACCCACTCACCCACCGCACTGCAGGTCACAAAAACTCACCCACTCACCCACCGCACTGCAGGTCACTACAACTCACCCACTCACCCACTGCACTGCAGGTCACAACAACTCACCCACTCACCCACTGCACTGCAGGTCACAACAACACACCCACTCACTCACCCCACTGCACTGCAGGTCACAACAACTCACCCACCACACTGCAGGTCACAACAACTCACCCACTCACCCAGCACACTGCAGGTCACAACAACTCACCCACTCACCCACCACACTGCAGGTCACTACAACTCACCCACTCACCCACCGCACTGCAGGTCACAACAACTCACCCACTCACTCACTGCACTGCAGGTCACTACAACTCACCCACTCACCCACCGCACTGCAGGTCACAACAACTCACCCACTCACCCACTGCACTGCAGGTCACAACAACTCACCCACTCACTCACTGCACTGCAGGTCACAACAACTCACCCACTCACCCAGCACACTGCAGGTCACAACAACTCACCCACTCACCCACCGCACTGCAGGTCACAACAACTCACCCACTCACCCACCGCACTGCAGGTCACAACAACTCACCCACTCACTCACTGCACTGCAGGTCACAACAACTCACCCACTCACTCACTGCACTGCAGATCACAACAACTCACCCACTCACTCACTGCACTGCAGATCACAACAACTCACCCACTCACTCACTGCACTACAGGTCACAACAACTCACCCACTGCACTGCAGGTCACAACAACTCACCCACTCACCCACCGCACTGCAGGTCACAAGAACTCACCCACTCACTCACTGCACTGCAGGTCACAACAACTCACCCACTCACCCACCGCACTGCAGATCACAACAACTCACCCACTCACTCACTGCACTGCAGGTCACAACAACTCCCCCACTCACTCACCGCACTGCAGGTCATAACAACTCACCCACTCACCACACTGCACTGCAGGTCACAACAACTCACCCACTCACCCACTGCACTGCAGGTCACAACAACTCACCCAGCACACTGCAGGTCACAACAACTCACCCACTCACCCACTGCACTGCAGGTCACAACAACTCACCCACTCACTCACTGCACTGCAGATCACAACAACTCACCCACTCACCCACTGCACTGCAGGTCACAACAACTCACCCACTCACCACACTGCACTGCAGGTCACAACAACTCACCCACTCACCCACCGCACTGCAGGTCACAACAACTCACCCACTCACCCAGCACACTGCAGGTCACAACAACTCACCCACTCACTCACCGCACTGCAGGTCACAACAACTCACCCACTCACCCACTGCACTGCAGGTCACAACAACTCACCCACTCACTCACCGCACTGCAGGTCACAACAACTCACCCACTCACCCACCGCACTGCAGGTCACAACAACTCACCCACTCACCCACCGCACTGCAGGTCACAACAACTCACCCACTCACCCAGCACACTGCAGGTCACAACCACTCACCCACTCACCACACTGCACTGCAGGTCACAACAACTCACCCACTCACCCAGCACACTGCAGGTCACAACAACTCACCCACTCACTCACCGCACTGCAGGTCACAACAACTCACCCACTGACCCACCACACTGCAGGTCACAACAACTCACCCACTCACCCACTGCACTGCAGGTCACAACAACTCACCCACTGACCCACCACACTGCAGGTCACAACAACTCACCCACTCACCCACCGCACTGTAGGTCACAACAACTCATCCACTCACCCACCGCACTGCAGGTCACAACAACTCACCCACTCACCCACCGCACTGCAGATCACAACAACTCACCCACTCACCCACCGCACTGCAGGTCACAACAACTCACCCACTCACTCACCGCACTGCAGGTCACAACAACTCACCCACTGACCCACCACACTGCAGGTCACAACAACTCACCCACTCACCCACTGCACTGCAGGTCACAACAACTCACCCACTGACCCACCACACTGCAGGTCACAACAACTCACCCACTCACCCACCACACTGCAGGTCACAACAACTCACCCACTCACCCACCGCACTGCAGGTCACAACAACTCACCCACTCACCCACCGCACTGCAGATCACAACAACTCACCCACTCACCCACCGCACTGCAGGTCACAACAACTCACCCACCGCATTGCAGGTCACCACCCCCACTTTGCATTCTGCTTCTTTCCTCGCACTGCTCCACTTGGAATCCCCTCCACTCATCATCGTCATCATCACTGTCCCTTCTCGCCAAACGTTTTAGTAACCTTGCTCAGTTCAAGGAATGTGTTCACTCTGGCGTGTTACGGCTGTGAGCTTGCTGCTGGCTCCTGGCCCCATCGAGTTTTGGGTCTCTGGGCCGGTGTGCGGTGTAGGCGGTCCACCCTGTCCACTCAGCTACTGTATTCAAGGATCCTAATTGGCGGTACACCGGTGGTGCATGGTTTTTAAAAAAAACAACAACGCAATTTTAGCGGTGATTTTTTATGTTCCCACGATTCGCAACGCCACTCAGAAAATCTTGCGGGGCAGTGGTGGTGGTGGTGGTGCGTCAACATCGGTTCTCGCGATGTCGAAGCAGTCGTAAGACGGAACGTTTATACGAGCGGCTGAACACGAGGAAGCTTCACAGTCTGTTGCCCTATCGCAGCACCCAGCCTTGTGACTATTGGCTGCTCCATGTTTTGATTCCTCGTGCCCTCAACAGATTTTCCCTGCCCTAGTCTTGGTCGCACGGTTCCTAACCCGAACCCTAAGACATTCAGAAGAAGTACAACACGATCCCAATGCTCTCCTGCCTTACTATCCATCGGCGGTTCAAGACTACGAAGATGACGATGCTCCAGTCCCACCTCAGGCTCATAAGGCAACGCAAGGAAGCTGCTGCTGCTGCTACTACAGGCGCTCGCCCTCTTGATCGGCCCCAAAAATCGCGTGACCTCGGACCCAAATCGACGGTCAATATTGACACGTCGTGAGAATTTTATTGTCTTAAGTTGTGTTATTGTTTTATTCTCATTCTACGTGACTTTACCGAAAGAACCAAGAAGAAAAAATATTGACATTGTTAAGCAAGTCTCAGTAGACTAAATAAACCTTCGAATCGCGTCAAATTTTGCGACAGGGTCTATTAAAGGCGAATAAAACAGATTTTCTGATACAAATTTAGATTTCAGACTGTGTTATCAGGACTGGTGTGTCATGGTGCACCGGTGCATGGCCAATACTTCCTAATCTAACAATGACATTGCGCGTGTATTTAATTGGCATCCAAGGACGATGCTAATATAACCACGACAGAGTGCCTGGCAGAGGAGCAGAAGGAGAGGACTCCGCTGAGGACTCCACTGAGGAGACCGAGCGGATGAAAACTGGGTTTTTGTTGGGTTCATGTTGCCAGCGGGGCGGCTGGGTGAACCGTCGGACCTGTGTGATCTTGGAGAGGTTGCAGCGGTCTGGGGGCAAAGCGTGTGTGCTCCCACCTCTTTCAGGACGTGAGGCTCGCGTGAAAGAGTAGGCCAAACACAACACGGCGAATAACAGAACCGTCACGAGTGCAGGTGGGGGGGGGGGATATGCCATTAATTCTGAGATCTTGAAAAGAGAAGTAGGTTTCCCCAGAAGCCGGGCCCGGGAAAGTTATAAAACAAGAACAGAAGGGGGGGGGGGGGTATGAGGAAGCAAAACAAGGAAGTTGGTGGCGGGGGGGGGGGGGCTTGCGTGTTCGTGTTTTGTGCGTTTTGTTTTGCAGAGGCTTTTCGCTATCGCACGCAGCTCCGCAGGAAACCGCGGTTAACCGCATCTGGAGTCACTGCCAGTTTACCAAGGAAACCCAACCAAGTCGTGGCAGTGGCAGAGGAGGGACAGTAGTTGACATTGTCACTGCGCTCTTTTGTTTCCCCCAAGAAAGCCTCACCCCAGGCGTTTGCAGTTGAGGGGCGATCTCCCAATTGACGGGGACTTTCGTTGGCTCTCATATTTTACCCCCCTCGCTTAAAACCCGCCCTCGGTTGTTGTCTCTAGTAGCTGGGGGGGGGGGGGGGGGGGGGTAAATGTATCTTCCTGACGGTAAAGTATTAGAATTAAACCTGCGCAAATAAACCTCGAGAGACGACGAATCCCAACGGGCCACCGGTTAATTAGAGGTCACGGCGCGTGTCAATGGAATCTCACATGGCTAATTAACACCACCAGCGGCAGCATCAGCAGCACAGTGTACAATATCAGCAATGAGTCTAGTTCGTGAAGTTCTTATGATGGCGTCAAGTTGGCCTGATTGTACTTCAGGATCCTTCACGCCTAGCCGAATGTGCCGTTGAAACGTAAACCCTCTGTTTTGTTGTTTCAATGTTTTATCCCCACCACCACCACCACCGCCGCCGCCCACCCCAATTGCAAACCTGACGATTCTACTCCCGGTGTCTGTTCAAGGTCCTTACGCGAGTATTTAAATCTCTTCATGGCCTTGCCCCACCGTACCTCGCTTCCCTCATCTCGTTGTATGTCCCCTCCCGTCTGCTCCGCTCTCAATCTCTCCCACTACTCCTTGTGCCCAATCCCGTTTACACTTCTTTTGCCAACACGTGCCCCCTTGCACTGGAACAAACTTCCCCTCCACAACAAGCGAGCACCCTCCGTGTCGAGTTTCCGCTCCTCGCTCAAGACCCGCCTCACCTCGGTGGCCTTAGGCACCCACTGTAATTCCCACACCCACTAGCCTCCCTCCCCATACCCCCGTCCCCGTTCACCATATCACTTTCAGCTGCCCTCATTGTACCACTCATAACCCTTGTAAATTTATATCAATATAAGATGACATTCGTACCCCCGCCGTGCTTGAGACGCACCAAATGACGACGGCGGCAGCGACGGTAAACGTGACGCGAGACTTGCCCCCCCCCCCCCCCCCCCCCCTCTTTGATGTGCGCGCTTAGCTCTGGGGCTGGTTCTTGCTGGCCACGGCCGTCGTGCTCGCGATGAGCTGCAACTGCCTGGCGTACTGCACGGCGCCCGTCAGCTACCTGCACCTGCAGTACTGGCGGGGGTACATCGAGGCGGAGGGAGAGCTCTTTCAGAAGCGGGCATCGGAGCACTCCAGAGAGCTCGCCTCGAAGAACGTGGACAGGTAACGGGAAGGGGCGGCCTTCGTCGCCGGCTGGTTCACGTTTTCGCCGCATGGCAAGAAGGGGCCTAGGTTCGATTCCCGACTTGGGCTCTCCGTATGTTCTCCCACTGCTCTGCAGAGTGTGCGTGTGTGTTTTTTTTTTGTTTCCCAACGTAAGCAGGCTGTAGGAATGAGATAGTACGATGATTCCTGATTCTCGTTCTTCGTTCGTGGATCTCGCCAGCAGGATACAGGCTCGTAATTCCGTTAACGTAGCACACCGATCAGTAATACCAGACCAACACCCAAGAGACGTCTAATCTCAGCACTTGAATCTAAATATCATCCAGAGACGAAACCAAAATCCCACACGCACGACATGAACGCACGCAATGTGACCGAGTCCTATCACCAATCAGTGTATATCTCGTCATCATCATCGTATACATCTACTTCTCTTTGTCTATCCATGACAACTATTTAACAACAACTATTTTTATTTTACCAGTTAAGGCCCACCGAGGCTATGGTGCTCTTTGTCAGAAGCGACTTGGGCCACAAATGATAGCTCAACCAAGTGGCACACCTTCGTGTGGAGATGTACAGCAGTAGCCAAATTCTCTGAATGCACGTTTGTACGCCACTGCTCCACCCATAGAATACTACTAAACCTAACCTTTATTAAATATACACGTCCACAAATGGGAACTTTTCTACATGATTCTAAATGTGGAGAGGAAAAGCCGGAGGACCCGGAGAAAAATCCACACGACCACTGGGAGAGAGAAACATACAAACTCCAAATATACAGCAGTTGGCGTGAGGGTCGGTATTGAACCTACGACCTCCTGCATACCAGGCGAGGGCGTTAACATCTCGTAGCCACTGCTGGATGAAGGCCCTCCCCATGACGTCGGTCGCAGGACCTCTGTGCCACCCGGCCACCCCCGTGGGGATAAAACACTTCTTGCCGTCTCATTTTTTATTTTATAATCTTGAGTGCTCTGATCACACGCACACATTGTGCTTCGTGTGAATACGGATTGATAATGCCCAGGCTGGGATTCACCACAACCATCACCAGCAAAGACAAAGATCCCCCGTGTAGCCTTAACAGACCGTTGGAGCAAGTGCTGTTAGCGAGCACCTAAAAAGGTCAGAATGGCACGCGAGGAGGTGGGTGGCCAGCACCACACCCGGCCGCCTTTGCCTCCCCAGTCGTGATGTTTACTACACACTGCACCAGGTACTCATTTGAGGCTGAGACAACGTAGGGGAGGCCCAGGACCGGTTCAGATAATCGTCACCGGTGTTGGCCGTGAGCGGGAATCGAACTCGGGTCGCCGGGTTCGTAATGCAGTGCGCTAACCGCTACACCGCCGCTCCTCGCCACCATCACCACCACAACCACCACAACCACCACAACCACCATCATGATCCACCACGCAATCGCCTCTTCCCAGGTTCTTCCAGAGAGATGCGGGGGGTAGCCCCTTGGCGTCGAACCCCAGCATCGACGACTGGAAATCCGCGTCGCGCCTCTACGTCTTCCACGAGGGGCAGCCGCTGCGCTACAGCACCCTGGACAGCTGGGCGCAGAAGGGCGCCCAGCTGCCGGCGGGGAAGGAGGGTGCGGCGGGCGGCGTGGCCTCGCCCGAGGGGGAGATCGAACCCTCGCTGGCGTTCGTGGACGGCACGCGGCTCCTCCGGCTCAGAGACGCCCTCTCGGTGGACAGCGAGACGGAGCCACTCAACGGCAAAGCCACAAACATTTGAGCCGACGAGGAGGAGCGTGAAGACGAAGCGACGAGGGGGACGACTTACATAGAACCAGAAACCCCACGGACTTACATAGAACCAGAAACCCCACGGACTTACATAGAACCAGAAACCCCACGGACTTACATAGAACCAGAAACCCCACGGACTTACATAGAACCAGAAACTCCACGGACTTACATAGAACCCGAAACCCCACAGACTTACATAGAACTAGAAACTCCACGCACTTACATAGAACCAGAAACCCCACAGACTTACATAGAACCAGAAACCCCACAGACTTACATAGAACTAGAAACTCCACGGACTTACATAGAACCAGAAACCCCACAGACTTACATAGAACCAGAAACCCCACGGACTTACATAGAACCAGAAACTCCACGGACATACATAGAACCAGAAACCCCACAGACTTACATAGAACCAGAAACCCCACGGACTTACATAGAACCAGAAACCCCACGGACTTACATAGAACTAGAAACCCCACGGACATACATAGAACCAGAAACCCCACGGCTTACATAGAACCAGAAACCCCACAGACTTACATAGAACTAGAAACCCCACGGACTTGCATAGAACCAGAAACCCCACGGACTTACATAGAACCAGAAACCCCACAGACTTACATAGAACCAGAAACCCCACAGACTTACATAGAACCAGAAACCCCACGGACTTACATACAACCAGAAACCCCACGGACTTACATAGAACCAGAAACCCCAGAGACTTACATAGAACCAGAAACCCTACAGACTTACGTAGAACCAGAAACCCTACAGACTTACATAGAACTAGAAACCTCACAGACTTACATAGAACCAGAAACCCTACAGACTTACATAGAACTAGAAACCCCACAGACTTACATAGAACCAGAAACCCTACAGACTTACATAGAACTAGAAACCCCACGGACTTACATAGAACCAGAAACCCTACGGACTTACATAGAACCATAAACCCCAGAGACTTACATAGAACCAGAAACCCTACAGACTACATATAACCAGAAACCCCACAGACTTACATAGAACCAGAAACCCTACAGACTTACATAGAACCAGAAACCCCACAGACTTACATAGAACCAGAAACCCTACAGACTTACATAGAACCAGAAACCCCACGGACTTACATAGAACCAGAAACCCCAGAGACTTACATAGAACCAGAAACCCCACGGACTTACATAGAACCAGAAACCCTACAGACTTACATAGAACCAGAAACCCTATGGACTTGCATAGAACCAGAAACCCCACGGACTTACATAGAACCAGAAACCCCACAGACTTACATAGAACCAGAAACCCCACAGACTTACATAGAACCAGAAACCCTACAGATTTACATAGAACCAGAAACCCCACAGACTTACATAGAACCAGAAACCCCACATACTTACATAGACCCAGAAACCCCACGGACTTACATAGAACCAGAAACCCTACAGACTTACATAGAACCAGAAACCCCACGGACTTACATAGAACCAGAAACCCCAGAGACTTACATAGAACCAGAAACCCTACAGACTTACGTAGAACCAGAAACCCTACAGACTTACGTAGAACCAGAAACCCTACGGACTTACATAGAACTAGAAACCCCACAGACTTACATAGAACCAGAAACCCTACAGACTTACATAGAACTAGAAACCCCACGGACTTACATAGAACCAGAAACCCTACGGACTTACATAGAACCAGAAACCCCAGAGACTTACATAGAACCAGAAACCCTACAGACTACATAGAACCAGAAACCCCACAGACTTACTTAGAACCAGAAACCCGACAGACTTACATAGAACCAGAAACCCCACATACTTACATAGAACCAGAAACCCTACAGACTTACATAGAACCAGAAACCCCACGGACTTACATAGAACCAGAAACCCCAGAGACTTACATAGAACCAGAAACCCCACGGACTTACATAGAACCAGAAACCCTACAAACTTACATAGAACCAGAAACCCCACGGACTTACATAGAACCAGAAACCCCACGGACTTACATAGAACCAGAAACCCCACAGACTTACATAGAACCAGAAACCCCACAGACTTACATAGAACCAGAAACCCTACAGACTTACATAGAACCAGAAACCCCACGGACTTACATAGAACCAGAAACCCTACAGACTTACGTAGAACCAGAAGAACCAGAAACCCTACAGACTTACGTAGAACCAGAAACCCTACAGACTTACATAGAACTAGAAACCCCACAGACTTACATAGAACCAGAAACCCTACAGACTTACATAGAACCAGAAACCCCACGGACTTACATAGAACCAGAAACCCCACGGACTTACATAGAACCAGAAACCCCACGGACTTACATAGAACCAGAAACCCCAGAGACTTACATAGAACCAGAAACCCTACAGACTTACATAGAACCAGAAACCCCACAGACTTACATAGAACCAGAAACCCTACAGACTTACATAGAACCAGAAACCCCACGGACTTACATAGAACCAGAAACCCCAGAGACTTACATAGAACCAGAAACCCCACGGACTTACATAGAACCAGAAACCCTACAGACTTACATAGAACCAGAAACCCCACGGACTTACATAGAACCAGAAACCCCACGGACTTACATAGAACCAGAAACCCCACGGACTTACATAGAACCAGAAACCCCACGGACGTACCTAGAACCAGAAACCCCACGGACGTACATAGAACCAGAAACCCTACAGACTTACATAGAACCAGAAACCCCACGGACTTACATAGAACCAGAAACCCCACAGACTTACATAGAACCAGAAACCCTACAGACTTACGTAGAACCAGAAACCCCACGGACTTACATAGAACCAGAAACCCTACAGACTTACATAGAACTAGATACCCCACGGACTTACGTAGAACCAGAAATCCCACGGACTTACATAGAACCAGAAACCCTACAGACTTACATAGAACGAGAAACCCCACGGACTTACATAGAACCAGAAACCCTACAGACTTACATAGAACCAGAAACCCCACGGACTTACATTGAACTAGAAACCCCACAGACTTACATAGAACCAGAAACCCCACGGACTTACATAGAACCAGAAACCCCACAGACTTGCATAGAACCAGAAACCCTACAGACTTACATAGAACCAGAAACCCCACAGACTTACATAGAACTAGAAACCACACAGACTTACATAGAACTAGAAACCCTACAGACTTACATAGAACCAGAAACCCTACAGACTTACATAGAACCAGAAACCCTACAGACTTACATAGAACCAGAAACCCTACAGACTTACATGGAACCAGAAACCCTACAGACTTACATAGAACCAGAAACCCCACAGACTTACATAGAATTAGAAACCCCACGGACATACATAGAACCAGAAACCCCACGGACTTACATAGAACCAGAAACCCCACGGACTTAGATCCGTCACTGAAGTAAACGAAGCCCAATGTTTAATGTGAAATGTATTGAAGTTTTTGTTTCAGTGTTTTAAGATAACGTATTTTATTTCTAAGTCTACTATTTGTTTTTGTTGTTTTAAACTGCATAGATGTCCATGCTATCCGGGTGTTGCCGTGACCTCTGTGAGCCACTCGGGCTGACTTGAGGAACCTCTGGCCCTGCGAATGTTGCTGGGAATTCAGTGGCCGGGTGAAGGGTAACCACCTTGGAGGTTGGGCACGGAAGGAGGCAGGGGAGAGCGCTCTGCATGCAGTCGGAAAGAGGATTGCAGGCGACCGAGATGGGCAATGGAGTTTTTAAAACACTTTTTTGTTTAAATTCGCTTTATTTTTTATTGTTGTTTTTCTATCTACGAGACTTTACCGAAAGAAACAAAGAATATTTTTTTAACTTGTGTTTACTACTCTTTGGTTTTTGTGTGTTTACTATTTGTATTTTAGTAGGTAAGGCCACACTGAGCTATTGAGCTATTTTTCAGAAGCGCCATGGCTATCGCAGACGATAGCCCAACGGAGTGGTGGCTTATCGTCGTGTGGAAATGTGCAGCAGCAGCAGCAGCTAAATACTGGACTCTGAAACGCGTTGCGCCGTTGATTTATAAATGCGGAGGGGACAAAACCGGAGGACCCGGGGAAAAATCCACGCGGCCACAGCGGGAGAGAGACGCACACACCACGACCTCTTGTACACCAGGCGAGGTAGTTAACATCTCCTAGCCACCGTGATAATGATGAGAGAGACGCACACACCACGACCTCCTGTACATCAGGCGAGGGAGTTAACATCTCCTAGACACCGTGGCGCCCCTTTGAGTGGCACCTATAGGTCGGCGACCAAGGGGAAGAGAAGACCAAAAGCCAGTCGGTGGTGGTGAGACTGAAGCAAGTTGTGGAGGTTGGATGTCGACTGTACAACACGTGCTGGTTCTGGCAGAGAAAGGAAGTGATGGCGAGGTGTGGTGGCATCGGTGGCATTGGCTGAAGCCCTCTTCAACTCTGTTTGTGCACGCACCGCCGTGTTATGGCGCAACTGCAATGTGACAAAGTGTAATCGTGAGTAAATTGTAAACAACTTTTACTAAAAATTTGTAACGTGTATTTTATGTTGATTCGTACATTCCCCGTGTCGGGTGCAATAATGAAAAATATTCATCCCTGAAGTGAATTACATTTCCTTGCTTTAACCCCCCCCCCCCCCCGCAGTCTCATCGTGGGGCCCAAACACTCCGGCAGACTGGGCCACTGAGAGCCGTCACCACAGCACACACAGAGGGGGGGGGAGCCGTTCGTGCAGATGCCACGAGCCACTGGGTGTCGTGAAGTCCTCGCCCTGGCTCGCTCAAGAACATCAACGTGGACTCGCACAGACACACGGGGGGGGGGGGGGGGATCTGAGGGGGGCTGGTGGGGGGGGCAGAGAGCCCGGGCAGTGGAAGGCACCGTCACTCACTCAGTCTCGCGAGTCGCGCTTGTCCGACGTTCGTTCGACGTTCTACTGTCTCATGCCACTCCCCTATCTGAGGCCTCCCCCTTTGAAACGAAGTCACGCCGCTCCCGGGATACTGCATTGGCATTTGGAGAAGTGGGGGGGGGGGGGTCATCCAGCAGTGGAGAAAGTGTGGTGCATGTACGAGAATTCGTTTACGATTCTGCTCGACTTTTTCTGGAGGGTCCTGCCAAGCGCCACGGTGGCTAGGAGATGTTAACTACCTCGCCTGGTGTACAGGAGGTCGTGGTGTGTGCGTCTCTCTCATCATCACGGTGGCTAGATGTTAACTACCTCACCTGGTATACAGGAGGTCGTGGTGTGTGCGTCTCTCTCATCATCACGGTGGCTAGGAGATGTTGACTACCTCGCCTGGTATGCAGGAGGTCGTGGGTTCGATCCCGACCCTGACGCCTGCTACTGTATATTTGGAGTTTGCGTGTATCTCTCATCATCATCACGGTGGCCAGGAGATGTTAACTACCTCGCCTGGTATGCAGGAAGTCGCGAGTTTGATCCCCACCCTGACACCTGCTGAAGTATATTTGGAATTTGCATGTCTCTCTCTCCCCCCGTGGCCGCGTGGATGTTTCTCTGGGTCCTTATAAACATGCACTGAGATGATCTAGATACTATAAATGTCCACACGATGATAAGCCACTTCGTTGAGTTATAATTGGTGATAGCCAGGTCGCTTCTGACAAAGAGCGGTATAGCTCAATGCGCCTTACCTGGTAAAATTATTATCCGAGTTTTTGTTGAGTATGCGAGGCTCACGTTGCTGCTACTGCTACTACTGCTGCTACTGCTGTTGCTACTGCTGCTACTACTACTGCTGCTACTGCTGTTGCTACTGCTACTGCTGCTACTACTGCTGCTACTGCTGCTGCTACTACTGCTGCTGCTGCTACTGCTGCTGCTACTACTGCTGCTGCTGCTACTGCTGCTACTGCTGCTGCTACTACTACTGCTGCTGCTACTGCTGCTACTACTGCTGCTGCTACTGCTGCTACTACTGCTGCTGCTACTGCTGCTACTGCTGCTGCTACTACTACTGCTGCTGCTACTGCTGCTACTGCTGCTGCTACTGCTTCTGCTACTGCTGCTACTGCTGTGTTGATCCCAATGGAGTGATTCGCAGGGAATTGTTCAGCATCGGGGGAGGTTTTGGCCAGCATCATTGAGGCCTGGTGGGAGGGAATTAGAGAACCAGGCAGAGACAACCACACGCGGGGAAGAAGAGGGCGAGTCTGACACGTGACGCGAGTCTGACACGTGTCGCGAGTCTGGCACGTGTCGCGAGCTGCGAGTCTGACACGTGACGCGAGTCTGACACGTGTCCCGAGTCTGACACGTGACGCGAGTCTGACACGTGACGCGAGTCTGACGCGAGTCTGACACGTGTCGCGAGTCTGGCACGTGTCGCGAGTCTGACACGCGATAGGCTTTCGCGACCAATATTACCCATAAGAGGTTTTTGGGTTAGATCACGTAAATAAAAATGTGTTGTTAAACCCGACACGACCGATGAGTAAGGGTTTGTCACGCAAACAGAACGTGCCAATTCGTTACTAGTACAGCGACATCGGTAGTGTGTTGGAGAGTAAATCAACATTTACAATTCGAGTACGACGTTTCGCCAGTAACTGCAACTAGCATCATCAGGAGACAGACAGATATGGTGCGCTCTACGAGTAACCAATTGGCGCATTCTGTTCACGTGACAAATCTCACTCATTGGCTGCGTGGGGTGGTGTCGCGTTCAGCGCCACTTTTGTATTAACGCGACCCGAACCCAAAGCCTCTGCCGTGGAAGAAGAGGGTGGTGCGGAGAGACCGCGAAGACTCCACGCGGAGAGGCATCTTTGGTGAGGAGGCGAACCCCAGAACGGCAACCGCAAGGGGTAAGCGTTTGCCCGCGTAACTCTTTAATAGGGGAAAACGTTCCTTTCAACCGCTGTACAAATATGACACAACTATTATACAAATATATATTGAGATTTGCATATGGTGATGTCGTATGCGAGATAAAGTTATATTTGAGCGCTTACATCATTACAATGAGCCGCTTTCATAACCAGGGTAATTGCAAGAGACACTGCGCATCCTACATTCCCATTCGATGTCTGTGGGCGTGTGTCTGTGCGCATTTCCTTGGCTGCCTGTGTGTCTGCTTGGTGTCTGTGTACTCGCTCACAGCACTTGCCACAGCAGCCTGTGAAGAGCCTTGGTGTGCGTCTCTCGGTGTGGCTGTGGCTGCGGCCGCTCAGCGGTCTCCTCGATCCCCGCTCACGGCCAACACCGGTGACGATTATCTGAAGCGGTCCTGGGCCTCCTCCCCTAGGTTGACTCAGCCTCGAATGAGTACCTGGTGCGGTGCGTTGTAAACATCGCCACGAGGGAGACAAAGGCGGCCGGGCGTGGTGCTGGACACCCAGCCCCTCGCCTTCATAGGTGCTCGCTAACAGCACTTGCCCGAACATTCTGTTAAAGGCTATACGGGAGATCTTTGCCTTTGTGTGTGTGTGTGTATACAATGGTTAACGCGTTGCGCTATGAGCCCAGCGTTCTGAGTTCGATGCCCAGCCACGGCTAACGTGAGTGCATCTGGACCGGTCCCGGGTTCCCTCATTCATCAGGTAGTCAAACCAACCCCTGTGACACGGCGTGGGCAGGGAGACCGTCGTCCAGCAGTGGATTGAGCAAGGGACGAAAGCACAGATCAGCATGATGTGGTGATTGACACTTGATCATAAACGCAGAGCACGCGCAGAGAATCACATGCATCACGCGTTACAGCAATCACCCTAACCTTGATCATTTCAACGACTACAAAAATATATCTCTTTTGGCCAAAATATACACACAACAAAAATAAACGCGGTACATATTTCAAGTTTAAAATGAATTGTAAGGAAATCATCATCGGGACGCGCGACACGTTTAAACACGCCATGTGGAGCAGTAATGTGTGCGACGCAGCACAACACACAAGATCTCAGGATTATTACGACTCCGCCTCCCCAGCGAAGCCTCACAGAGTCTCAAGACTCTTGTCCAGGAGGGTCCTGCCAGGTATTCGCACGAGGGTTGATGTGATGTTGCTGTTACCGTTGCTTGTGATCCCAAATGAGTCAATTGCAGGTAACCTTTTAGCATTGGGTTGTTTTAGCCAATTCCAGTTTGCGTTTGCAAGTTTGGCACCTCCGATTAGCACGGTTGGCTAAACTATTATTTATTTGACCAGGTAAGGCTCACTGAGCTATGCAGCTCTGTTTCAGAAGCGACCTGCCCACAAATTATAGCTCAACGAAGTGGCTTATCGTGTGGACATTTATCGCAGCCAACTACTCTAAACGCGTGTTTCTAAATGTGGAGTGAAAACCCGGGGGATCTGAAGGAAAATCCACGTGACCACGGGGAGAGAGACACGCAAACTCCAAATACACAGCAGCAGGCGTCAGGGTCGGGATCGAAGCCACGACCTCCTGTAAACCAGGCGAGGTAATTAACACCTCTCCACTGTGGCTACGTACAGTGCGAAAGAAGTTCAACATACTTGTGTAGTTATTTCTGCTATGGGAGGAAACCGGAGAACACGCAGGAATGCCATACAGGGAACAGGGAAAGAGAATACAAATGGCACACGCCCACTCACTCGAACGGTATGAGGTATACAGCAGACAGCTCAAGAGGGAACTCACAGACTCTCACACACTCTCACACACTCACTCACTCGAACGGTATGAGGTATACAGCAGACAACTCAAGAGGGAACTCACTCACTCACTCGAACGGTATGAGGTATACAGTAGACAACTCAAGAGGGAACTCACAGACTCTCAGACGCTCACTCACTCGAACGGTATGAGGTATACAGCAGACAACTCAAGAGGGAACTCACAGACTCTCACTCACTCGAAACGCCTTTTGTCTCAGGAGTGGCAATGTTTATTTTACACATCGCACCTGGTACCATTTAAGGCTGAGTCGACCTAGAGGCGGCTTAGGACTTGTTTAGATAATCGTCACCGGTGTTGGCCGTGAGCGGGAATTGAACTCGGGCCGCCGGGTTCGTAGTGCAGCGTAGCGCTAAGCGCTACACTACCGCGCCCCACAACACACTCACACAAAAAGACAAAGATCCCCCTTGTAGCCTTAACAGAATGTTGGGGCAAGTGCTGTTAGCGAGCGCCTATGAAGGCCGGCCAGCTCACAAGGGGGTGGGTGACCAGCACCGGCCGCCTTTGTCTCGCGAGTGTTGAAATGAACGCACCGCACCAGGTACTCATTTGAAATGAACACACCGCACCAGGTACTCATTTGAAATGAACACACCGCACCAGGTACTCATTTGAAATGAACACACCGCACCAGGTACTCATTTGAGGCTGAGTCGGCTTAGGGGAGGCCCAGGAGCCGGTTCAGATAATCGTCACTGGTGGTTGACCGTGAGCGGGAATTGAACTTGGGTGTCCGGGTTCGTAGCGCAGCGCGCTAAGCGCTACACACACACGAAGACATACGGTAACAAAGACAAAGTTCCCCCATATAGCCTTTAACAGACAGTTATGGCAAGTGCTGTGCACGAGCACCTCACAAAGACACGCGAACACGCCGCACCTCCGATTAGCACGGTTGGCTACGTAGGGTGCGAAAGAAGTTCAGCATAGTACAAAGACACACACGCGCGCGCACACACACAAAGCAAATGATGAGAAGCACCCACAGCTGTTGTTTTTAAATGACAAGGGTAAGAAGTGCGTCTTATAATCCGGCGAAGCCAGCAACTACGCCTCGTGTATTTGACGACGTGCGCCTGTACGCTGTGAGACTCGTGGCCAGCTAATGTTGTATGCATGTGTGTGTATGTTGAACTTCTTTCGCACCGTACATAGCCAACCGCGCTAATCGGAGGTGCTGGGGGGAGGAAGGACAACAAACAAAACGCGCAACATTTTATTTTGAGTGAACGGCGATCGGAAGTCGGTTGCGCAGCACAAAAAAATATTCAAATAAAATTGCCAAATGCAATGACTCGGCCCTGGGAAACCGGTCTCGTGATAATTGCCATCGCATAAACTCACATCGCGGCAACGCCAGATATCCCCGGCTGATTAGGCACTCAAGGCTTTCGCTAATAGGCGCTCGCAAACAGTACCTTACATTCACGTGCGCGCGTGTATTTGGTGAATGCCCGCTTGTAAAAAAAAAATATATATACTTTGTTTAAGTTGAGAATTGAATATTCTCTGGAAACTGCCGGTGGATGACAATGTTGGACCTGTCGCGACACTAGAACGATTGTCACCTGTGCAAGAACCGAAGTGGAGAACGTGGCTGGCTGGGAACTCAATCAAGTGGGGGGGGGGGGGGGGGGAATTGGCCAAGTGGAGTAGGGACGTTCAGAATAATCAGAATATGTATTTATACCGGAGTAATCCGATATAAACTACAAAGCTCTTTCTCACAGAACTCCAGTTGATGGCCGGGCCGGAGGCACGGAGCCGGCCCCGCACACCGCCGTGTAAGGAGGAGGGAGGTGCGGTCAGTGCTCTGTCCCTGACTAGAAAATAAATAGTCCACGTTTTAAAATGAGTAATGTCGTTTGAGCCATCTTTAAGAAACTATACCAAATGGTTGTCTGCATGTTCAGGTCACAGTGCCTCCTAAGGGTGGAGCAAAGAAAATTATCATTCTCACTGACCACAGTTCAGTCTTTAAAGTTGAATAGAGGCAGCCTCTGGTTTACGACGGTCCAATTTTACGACGATCCACATTCAAATAATGCCACCGTGGATCGATTCACGACGCGGGCACCTGATTTACGACGCGTCTTCCGACACGACTCCCGAACGCATTTGAACAGTCAGTCGGTCCGGTTTCCGACGCTGCTTGGCGGTGGAGGTTTCGTTGTTTCTCGAGTGTTTGTGCGAATGTTCACCTCTCAAGCACGGTTTAAATACGGCTGATGAAATGGAAGATCGGCGAGTGACGCCTCTACTTTCTTCTACTGTCCATGGGAAAATAAGGCTCGGATTTTAGACGATCCGATTTACGGCCACGGGGTTTCCAGGAACCCGCTGTGACGTCGTTAAAGTCGGGGACCGCCTGTGTGTATAAGGGAGTCCCCTGGTAAATGCTTTCCTTAGCAGGGCAGCGTGGAGAGTGCTGCCCTCTACCGAGCGCGTGGGTCAGAGGTCGCTTGAAGGAGGGATCTCAAAGGCGGCTCTGCGATGTCCGCTTCCGCGGGTTCCTTTCTCTAACAACGCGGCAGGGGGCCGCGCTGCTCGCCGCAAGAGACCCGAACGGATTCTTCGTCGCGTAACGATGCGAAGCCGACAGCGGTGCAATCGTGACGAGACTGGCGAGTTAAACCGAGCAAAGCCTCCCGCACAGGTCACCCCGGTGGCAGCAGCTGCTGTCGTGAGAATTGAGCCTCAAGCCGATGTGCCAGGTTGGCCCAACGAACGATGGAATCAACAGTCGGATTCATCCCACAGCCTCGGACGGACGGACGCCCCCATCCGAACCGAACGATCAGGGAAGGCAAATCTACACGGCGACTTTTCTACTGATCGGAGCGGTTGTGTTTTTTGTCTCGTCCGCAAGAGTCCGGCTGGGGCAGCGGTGGTCGCTCCACGCTCCCACGGATCTCCGAGGCCTCCAGCAGGTCGCTCCTCCACCCCCCCCTCCCACCCCGGCCCCGTGACGCCGCCCTGGGTCGCCGGCTCAGCCGAAGGACTCCTTGTTGTAGTGGAAGCTCGTGCCGTGCGCGTTACACCGGTTGCAAGTCCGGTGCACGGCTCTCGACATCTTCTGGGGTCCACAGCAGAAGACGCCGACCGACGTCCTGGCGATTGAGATCACGCGCAGAGGCAAAGATTCCCCACCCCCCCCCCCCCCGCGACCCCCGCGTGAGGCCTTTAACAGACTGTTGGGGCAAGCGCAGTTAGCGAGCACCTGTTAAGGCCGGCACGGCACACGGTGGAGTGGGTGGCCACCAGCACCACGCCCCGCCTCTGTTTCCCCAGGTGCTCTCTTAGCGACGAGTCAACCGCGTGGGAGGCGCAGGACCGGCTCAGATAATCGTCACCGGTGTTGGTGGCCGGGTTAGCAGAGCGGCGCGTTGACCGCTACACTACCCCCCCCCCCGCACGTTGTGGCCATGCGTGGATGGGCAGCGGCGCGCTCCACGCAGCGCACAGGGGATGCGAAGCACGTCATCCGGTGACGCTTTTGCTTCGTCAGTCCGTTGTTTAACTTGGTTATTTATTTAAACCCACTGGCAGATTCGTCATCATCGTCAACTCCGCAGCACAAATTGAACACGTAAGGCTTTCGCGACCGGTATTCATTCATCATGCAGTTCTTGGGTTCGATCGCGTAAAGTATAAATGTGTCGTGAACCCGTCTCGACCCGACACGGGGTTGAGACGTGAATAAAACGCGCTAAATAGTTACTACACGTCAGCACACCGGCGAACTCGAGAGCAAACCCGCGACATTGACAATTTGAGTTAATGACATTTCGCTGGCGATTACAACAACAGCCAGCTTCGTCAGGCAATTGCCAGAATTGTGAAGAAAGTCTTCAACATTCTGATATTGCCGTTCTCATCGCTCAATCATCGCCATCACCACCACCACCAGCACCACCACGCCGTCATCATCACCATCAGGCGAGGGCCAATGCACTGCTGGATGTAGTCCTCCCCAAGCCACTACCGCCACCTCTCACAATCCACCGTGGCGCCCCTGGGCGTGAACATCGCTCCGTCTCCACCGTGACGGTCCTCTCGGGCGTGTTCCATTCTGTGGCTGCCACTCCGTTATTGCTCCGGACCGTTGGCCACCACCGTGCCTCCTAGCCGTTGACGAGTTCTGCCCAAGCCTCGCTCACGTCTAACAGTGATGATGACGGTGTCACTATTAACCTGTGAGTGTTCGTTAATCCACGCCTTCCTCTCTCTCTCTGTCTCTCAGTGCAACTCCAAGCGTGCGTCTCTCCACGCTTCTTTGGGCACTCTTTTCGTTTTGTGTTCCATATCTTTTGTGCGTGAACGACCAAGGCATTTCTGAACTGCCGTGCCACAGAAGCTATCCATCGGTAGCTGCTGTGGCACGGCGTTTCTGAACTGCCGTGCCACAGAAGCTATCCATCGGTAGCTGCTGTGCGCACCGATTGAGCACCTCTCCTTTGCGGCCACACTTGCCGCGTTACTTCTCGTCCTCAACAAGTTAAACCATGAACAATTCTCATCTTCAATCACAATTAGCACAAGTTCATGTGTTTAGTTATGACTGTCAATCACTCGGGCCTAGAAAATAAATTGACTATTTTTGATGTGACCAGGTAAGGCCCACTAAGCTATGTAGCGCTTTTTCAGAAGTGACCTGGCTATTACAAGTGATAGTTAAACAAAGTGGCTCATCGTGTGGAAATGTATTGCAGCCAAACACTCTAAAACAACGTTGTTTCTAAATGTGGACGGAAAAGCCGGAGGACCCGGCGAAAAATCCACGTGATCACGGGGAGAGAGACACGCAAACTCCAAATATACAGCAGGGGATCAGGGTCGGGATCGAACCCACGACCTGTCTGCATACCAGGCGAGGTAGTTAACATCTCCTAGCCACCGTAGCATACCCCTGAATTGGCCAAACATCTCAATGTGGCAGGTCACCCCTGAAAAGGGCTCTGTAGACTCGGCGAGACTTTGCGGGGTAGCGAGGGGGACATCGTTGCCACTGTACCTTTGGTTGCACTGCGCGATCTCGTTGAATAGCGCTCGCCAGCAGGGTCTGCCCACGGACATTCGTGAATTCAGAGCGTGATATTTGTCTTCCAGCGTCTATAAACACACACAAAGACAAAGATCCTCGTAATAGCCTCAACAGACGCTTGGGGCAAGCGCTGCTAATGAAGGCTACCGGCACTGCGGCACACGAGCGGGGTGGGTGGCCAGCACCACGCCCGGCCGCCTTTGTCTCCCTCGTGGCGATGTTTTTACTGTACACCACGCCAGGTACTTGTTTGAGGCTGAGTCGATCTAGGGGAGGCTCAGGACCGGTTCAAATAATTGTCAGCGCGCACACAAAATAAAGACAAAGATCCCCCGTATAGTCTAAACAGACTGTTGGGGCAAGTGCTGTTAGCGAGCGCCGATGAAGGCCGGCACGGCACACGAGGGGTGGGTGGCCGGTGGCGATGTTTAGACGGCACCACACCCCGTACTCATTTTAGGCTGAGTCGACCTAGGGGAGGCCAATGACCGGTTCAGATAATCGTCGCTTGGTGTTAGACGTGAGCAGAAATCGAACCCGGGTGGCCAGGTTCGTAACGCAGCGTAGCGCTAACCGCTGCACGACCACTCCCCACATAAATACACGCGCACACACAAACACACGCACTCCTGTACACACACACACATACGTCTAATGCATTTGGAGGTGCACATATCGTGTATATATAATAAGAATGTTAACTTCGAAGCCGGAGGAAGACTCAAGAGGATCCACGGACGAGCGGGAAGGCAGCCGCGCGGTTAGTAGCCGGCGCTAAAGAACCCCTCAAGCTCTGCAATTCTATATATATACTCAAGTATTGCGAGCCAATTAATGCGTGTTCAGGTGTGGGAGGAAATTCAACTATTTTTTCAATTTATTTTACCAGGTAAGGCCAACTGAGCTATGTGGCTCTTGTTAAGAAGCGAACTGGCCACAAATAATAGCTCAACGAAGTGGTTCATCATTATGTTGAAATTTACAGCAACCAAATGCTCTAAAGCATGTTTATAAATGTGTAGAGCAAAACCGGAGGACCCAGAGAAAGATCCATGCCACCAGGGGAAGAGAGAGAGAGAGAGACATGCAAACTCCAAACATCCAGCAAGGTCGGGATCAAACTCAGGACATCCTGTATACCAGGCGACGGAGTTAACATCTCCTGGCCACCGTGGCATCCCCAGGAACCAGCGCACCCGGAGAAAACCCACAGGTGCGAAGGGGCAACGCTCGATCCCACACAGGTGGGACGGGTGGGGTCCACATTCTGCTGCACCGCCTCCTGGCGGAGAGATTCCCGACTTTTGCGTGACCCACCACACCCTCGCTGTCTCCGCAGTGCTGGCTCAAGGGGTTTAAGGGTTCAGGTGGATCATGAGTGAGTGGACAAGCGCCAATAAACTCGATACGTTTGTCAATAACACTTTGTGCGTGTGGGACCTTCAAAGGATGGAGATATAATAGGTGACGTTTCGGGCAATGGCCCTTCTGCAAAGCACGTGAGGTCAATGGCAAAATTCTAACGATTCAAAGTGGGGCCCCGCTGGGCAGGACATGTCATGGCTAGGATGGAATTAAAATAATGGAGCGGCAGCCAAGGAATGGAACGCGACAAGAGGGGTTTCACCCGTCCAGGAGACGGAGCGGTGAAATCAGCTCACGAGCCGGTACCGGTTATGCCGCCGTATTTTGGGGCCGTGAGAGGTGGCGGTGGCTTTCATGCAGCAGTGGATTGACCATGACTGCCGACGATGAGGATACGTTGGCATCACATTGCACAGCGATGGCATGAACCCAGGGGCGCGACTTTGGTGGGGGTCGGGTATGTGGCGGCGATATGCGACGCATCGAATCGGAATCCGAATATTTATACTGGAAGAATCCGATGAGCTATAAAGATACATTTTCACAGATGTCCAGTAGGGGGCCCGAATCAACAAATAAACAAGTACCAACATCTTCAGATTAACAATAATAAAAATTATGAATAAAAAATTTCCCTGCGGTCTACTACAATGGATCAAGCACCGATGAAGGCATCTGGCTAACGTATCAATTAGCTATCGTATCAATTAGCTATCGTATCAATTAGCCATCGTATCAATTAGCCATCGTATCAATTAGCCATCGTATCAATTAGCTATCGTATCAATTAGCTATCGTATCAATTAGCCATCGTATCAATTAGCCATCGTATCAATTAGCCATCGTATCAATTAGCCATCGTATCAATTAGCTATCGTATCAATTAGCTAACGTATCAATTAGCTATCGTATCAATTAGCTATCGTATCAATTAGCCATCGTATCAATTAGCCATCGTATCAATTAGCTATCGTATCAATTAGCCATCGTATCAATTAGCCATCGTATCAATTAGCCATCGTATCAATTAGCTATCGTATCAATTGGCTATCGTATCAATTAGCTATCGTATCAATTAGCTATCGTATCAATTAGCCATCGTATCAATTAGCGCGGCATAAAGTTGTGCGATCCATCCCCTTTGAGAAAATCCTAGACCGATGGGGCCAGGCATCGTATCAAGACGCACGGCTTCTTAATTGTGAGAATTGTAACATTTAAATCGTTTTATTAATACTATCACTCTGAGACTGTCTTCTTCTAAACCCAATACACGGCGCAACTAAGATAATAAATACAGGGTGCTTCAAAAAAATGTTAACACTATGTAGAATTGGCAACAACACCACGTGACATGTGCTGTCGCCTCCGGTCTCTGGAGACGACCTGCAGAAGATCCCAGGCCACGTTTCGACAACGACGGCGAACACGTGGAGACTCTTTGACTTGTTGAAGCTATTAACATTACATTTGTTATCATGTTACAGTGTAATATCCGTTATGTTTCCATTGAAAACGGTAGTCCTTTTTTTAAAGCATCCTGTATAGAGTGATAGCCTACATAGTATTTGTATACGGGGTTAAAAACCACCCTGAGCTATTTCAGTTAAAAGTGAGTCGGGAGAAAGGAGGGAGGGAGCCCAAGGTCGGATCTTGCATAGCCACCCGGTTGACATCTGTGAAAAAAGAGCTTTATAGCTCATCGGATTTCTCCAGTATAGATAAATATGCTGATTCTAAAATAGGTATTTGCGGCCCTGCCCCCGCTGTGTCTAGGACAGGGCCCTTGCCTGCAGGCATCTGCAGTCAAGGGCAATGGTTGGTGTCGGCACTGTCAAACCCGCTCCACAGCTTGCTTGTGCCGACCCCATGCTGTTGCGAGCATAGCACTGCCAGACGACACTGTAGGTCGTCGCCGCCACCTGCAATGAACGAACGTGAGAAGCCACGGACGGGAAATGGGACTCACCTCAAGCGCGCCCGACCTCGTGGTGAAAAGCCTCACGCTGAAGAAGTCTGGCCGGTTCTCCCGCCAGAGCTGCGGCACAAACCACCACGGCGAAGCAACGTCGGTCAACCGGGCACGTTGCACGTGGCTGTGCACATTCACTTGCCCCCGCTTCATAGGCTTTAGACGTCTGGGCCCGACCCGGTTTGGCTCTTGCCAAAAAAAAACCATCGGGTCATAACGAAACACTTAGCCCATACATCATCATCATCCCTCCAGGGTCGATCACAACGAGTAGCACTTTGCAGGGGGGGGGGGAGGGGGAGGCAACAGCGGGTTGTCCCTATGGGGGTAGAATTATGGCCCCCTGCCCGTAAAAAAATGTGGAATTTCCACCGCTGGCCTCCGCAGGGCTGTGAACGGGAGAAGAGGCACGGACAGCGGTCGCCACCGCTCGTGGGAGAGGCAGGAGGGCGGAGAGCCGCACACACGGCACGGCGGGAGAGTTTCACTTTCAGTACGGTGGCAGACGGGCAGCTGTCTGAGTTTACACGCGTCTGTATACTTAAATGAAACATACGGTATATCCTCGCTGAACGCGTGGTGTTCACGCGATAACGCGCTTTCGCTACAACACCGTTATGACGCGGGACACACAGCTATAAGGCGGAGCGTGCCCGTTATAACGCCACCACAATCCCACGCCACCACAATCTCACGCCACCACAATCCCACGCCACCACAATCCCACGCCACCACAATCCCACGCCACCACAATCCCACGCCACCACAATCCCACGCCACCACAATCCCACGCCACCACAATCCCACGCCACCACAATCCCACGCCATCACAATCCCACGCCACCACAATCTCACGCCACCACAATCCCACGCCACCACAATCTCACGCCATCACAATCCCACGCCATCACAATCCCACGCCACCACAACCCCACGCCACCACAACCCCACGCCACCACAATCCCACGCCACCACAATCTCACGCCACCACAATCTCACGCCATCACAATCTCACGCCACCACAATCTCACGCCACCACAATCCCACGCCACCACAATCCCACGCCACCACAATCCCACGCCATCAGTGCAGGCACAGCACGGGGGCACTCCGCTCCGTGGCACACAGCAGCCACTATTCACCACTGAGTTACCACGGCACTTGTGCCAGGTTAGGTGCACTTTAAGGCCATCACGTGCAGTGTGGAAGGCTCGCTGCTGCTGCTGCTACAGACACGAGGTCACAGAACAGACGTTCAGTGCTGTGCTGGGGGTTTCGATGGCAGCCGTAGCCTCGCCAGGCCACCAGAGGGCGCGATAGCCTCATGACTCAGAGACAAAATATTTTATTTTTAAAAAAGAAATCCTCAACGGCTCCGTCATTAATACTTCGCATGCGGCCCTTAAAATTAAACAAACAAGCGACGTGTTCCAATAAATGTTGTTCAGGTTTTGCTGACGCTTTCATTGTCGCTATGATGCTCTCAAACGCGCTCATCGTTATATCGCGATGGCAATACCTGTCAACCCCTTATCAGTGTCCTACCTTATTACAGACCATGTCAGACCTTACTGGTCACCCCGTGCCCCTAATAAATCTCAACGTTCACCCAACAAAGTCCCATCACAAGGGAGAAACGCGAACAAATATAATTGTTCTTGTCGAACGAGCGAGCGAGCGAAGGAACGAGCGAGCGAAGGAACGAGCGAGCGAGTGAGCGCCCCCTACTGCCACCCACTGCCACCCACCCACCTTGGCGTGCAGCGCCGTGAGCACCGCCGCCAGCCAGCCGAAGTCGCGCGCCTCCTTGCAGACCCAGACGAGGTAGAGCCGCCGCAGGCGCACGCCGGCCCACTGCTGCCTGCACCAATCGACGCCGTCTCACGGGGGAGGGGGTGGAGGGGGTGGGGGAGGGGTGGGGACGGGGGAAGGGGGGGTCAGAAAGAAAATAATTTAATTTAGACTGCAGGAGGAAATCTGATGAGCCATGAAGCTCTTTTTCACAGATTTCCAGTAAAGGGGGAAGGGGAGGCGACGCGACCAGCTACAGTGAGGGAAAAAAGTATTTGATCCCCTGCTGATTTTGTACGTTTGCCCACTGACAAAGAAATGATCAGTCTATAATTTTAATGGCAGGTTTATTTGAACAGTGAGAGACAGAATAACAACAACAAAATCCAGAAAAACGCATGTCAAAAATGTTATAAATTGATTTGCATTTTAATGAGGGAAATAAGTATTTGACCCATCTGCAAAACATGACTTAGTACTTGGTGGCAAAACCCTTGTTGGCAATTCCCGAGGTCAGACGTTTCTTGTAGTTGGCCACCAGGTTTGCACACATCTCAGGAGGGATTTTGTCCCACTCCTCTTTGCAGATCTTCTCCAAGTCATTAAGGTTTCGAGGCTGACGTTTGGCAACTCGAACCTTCAGCTCCCTCCACATATTTTCTATGGGATTAAGGTCTGGAGACTGGCTAGGCCACTCCAGGACCTTAATGTGCTTCTTCTTGAGCCACTCCTTTGTTGCCTTGGCCGTGTGTTTTGGGTCATTGTCATGCTGGAATACCCATCCACGACCCATTTTCAATGCCCTGGCTGAGGGAAGGAGGTTCTCACCCAATATTTGACGGTCAATGGCCCCGTCCATCGTCCCTTTAATGCGGTGACGTTGTCCTGTCCCCTTAGCAGAAAAACACCCCCAAAGTACAATGTTTCCACCTCCATGTTTGACGGTGTGGATGGTGTTCTTTGAGTCATAGGCAGCATTCCTCCTCCTCCAAATACGGCGAGTTGAGTTGATGCCAAAGAGCTCCATTTTGGTCTCATCTGACCACAACACTTTCACCCAGTTGTCCTCTGAATCATTCAGATGTTCATTGGCAAACTTCAGACGGGCATGTATATGTGCTTTCTTGAGCTTGGGGACCTTGCGGGCGCTGCAGGATTTCAGTCCTTCACGGCGTAGTGTGTTACCAATTGTTTTCTTGGTGACTATGGTCCCAGCTGCTTTGAGATCATTGACAAGATCCTCCCGTGTAGTTCTGGGCTAATTCCTCACCGTTCTCATGATCATTGCAACTCCACGAGGTGAGATCTTGCACGGAGCCCCAGGCCGAGGGAGATTGACAGTTCTTTTGCGTTTCTTCCATTTGTCACCTTCTCACCAAGCTGCTTGGCAATGGTCTTGTAGCCCATTACAGCCTTGTGTAGGTCTGCAATCTTGTCCCTGACATCCTTGGAGAGCTCCTTGGTCTTGGCCATGGTGGAGAGTTTGGAATTTGATTGATTGATTGCTTCTGTGTACAGGTGTCTTTTATACAGGTAACAAGCTGAGATTAGGAGCACTCCCTTTAAGAGTGTGCTCCTAATCTCAGCTCGTTACCTGTATAAAAGACACCTGGGAGCCAGACATCTTTCTGATTGAGAGGGGGTCAAATACTTATTTCCCACATTAAAATGCAAATCAATTTATAACATTTTTGACATGCGTTTTTCTGGATTTTGTTGTTGTTATTCTGTCTCTCACTGTTCAAATAAACCTACCATTAAAATTATAGACTGATCATTTCTTTGTCAGTGGGCAAACGTACAAAATCAGTAGGGGATCAAATACTTTTTTCCCTCACTGTATGCTGCGACATCCGCTTGTTTTTAATGCCATCATTATTATTATTCTGCTCGTTTCGTGCGGGAAAGTCTGGCCAAATCTCAAGACTGATGATTTTCATCTGGAGTCTCCTGCCAAGTGTTCTCAGTATGGTGGGGGGGGGGAGATGTTGTTGTTGCTGCTGCTGCTGCTCTGAGTGATCGAAATGGAGTGATTTGCAGGGAACTGCAGCTTATTGGGACGTTTTGGCCAACACCGTTTCCCTTGTATGGTTGGGGTGGTTTTTAGCTGTGGATGGAAACCAGAGAACCCAGAGAAAAATCCCCGTGCAGGACAGGGGAAGAACGTGCAAACTCCACGCAGGGCGGCACCCGAGCCGGGGACGGGACCCAGGGGCCTTTCTCGCCGTGAGGCGCAGGATGTTACCGCTGTGCCAGCCTGCCGCACCGAACGTCAGACAAAGACGACAAAGACGACAAAGACACTTGCTAGCCAGCCGCCCGGCAGCACGACTGTGCCCCTGAACGGGCGCCAACTCATTACGTCAATGTTCCCTTTATAGTAGTATACACCAGTGGTGTAGTACCGCCAATACGTCCAAATATACAGCAGCAGGCGTCAGGCTCGGGATGGAACCCACGACCTCCTGCATACCGGGCGAGGTAGTTAACATCTCCCAGCCTCCGTAATGATGATGAGAGAGAGAGACACGCAAACTCCAAATATGCAGCAGCAGGCATCAGGGTCAGGATGGAACCCACGACCTCCTGCATACCAGGCGTGTTTCTGGGTGCTACTCACAGCAGCGCGTTGAGCACAGCGGCGAATGGCGTCACCCCGATCCCTCCGGCGACGCACAGGCTTACGCGGTAGTTGAACACCTCCTCCGCTGGGCTCCCAAAGGGCCCGTCTATGTACAGCCTTGGGTGACATCATCATCATCGCCGCCGTCGTCAGCATTATAGTCATCACCGTTATTGCCATCAGCTGCGGCAGCGGCGGCGGCGTCACCACGAGAGCATGGTCAGTCTTCGCTCCACTCGTGCAGCGCGTGGATTACACGAAGCCGCTGTGTCAACAACAACCACCGCCATTCGCTACCAAGCGGCGGTGACATCACCACGACGCCTGTGCCAGGCTATGTGCACGTTGAGGCCACGTGAAGTGTCGAACGCCCGCTTGCAGGAGGTCACGGGGCAGACCCAGGTGCCACGGGTCGACTGACTGAGATGACTGGCTGATGCACCACCTGTGCCCCCTACTGTGCCAACTTGCTGTGCTTTAGTCACCCGGCGCTCCGCTCGTTGTTGTGAGCGTCGCTCCTGTGCCCTCCGTTGTTGTTGTGTTAAACACACATATACACGGGTATAGTTTGCCAATAGCGGGCGACCTTGTGATGCTGTTTTTACCTGATTAAAGAGTCGGCATCATCGTCATAAGCGGTCAGCAGCAGCAGCGCCGTTATTAGCATCAGCAGATTCATGATCAGCAACAACATCATCGTGAGCAGTAGTCATCGTCGTTAATGTCAGCATCACCACCACCACGGCTAAGAGGCCATCACAGACGTTGTTCCGTGACGTCACCTTGTCCAGGGCCGTTCACCTGCACATGGCGGCGCCGTGCACGGCGAGCGTTCCCTAGCGGGACGCCTCTGCCTCGTGACCTGATGCCGCCCACGAAGCACACGTTGCGATGCGAGCGCGGGATGTTGATGAGCAGACACGTTCTCAGGCAAGCTAACAGCGTCGCTGCGATGTCATCGCATCGCGAGCGGTGGCTCGGCGGTCGAGCGAGCGGCTCGGCCATCTGAAGGCTGCGAGTTTCGAATCGTCCTTGTGGGCGTCGACTCAGCTCATCGTCCACCTGGCAGGTCAACGCGGCTGACCCTTGGATGTACTCGCCGCCCCCCCTGCCACAGGAATGTGGAAGCTCCGCCCGCCTCAATGCTCGCCGGAGCGGGCAATTCGTCGTAAACCAACCACTTACTTTGGGTGCTGACGAGGAGGAGCGGGGCTTGTGCGTAGATACTCCATATTTGGGTTCTGGTTTCTGATCAGCTGATCTCGGAGAGAAGCTGGATTAGAGTACAAAATAATAGAGAAATGTAAACTCTCGTACACGCATGTTATTAAAAAAAACCTACAAATAATCTCGGCGAAGTGTTGATTAATTCTCAGCGTGGCCACACTTGCCTGTCCAGTCGCCAAGCACTCGCAAATGGATGGCGAAGTTCCCTTTAGAGTCTGGTGGGCACTGCAAAGACAAAGACGAAGATCCCCCATGTAGCCTCTGACAGGATACCTGGGCAAGTGCCGCTAGCCAGCAAACACGATTGCTTGCAAAGCACACGAGGTGGGTGTTGTGGCCATAGCCCTCGTCTCCCCAAACGCCGATGTTTACCCATCGCTCCGGGGACTCATTTCAGGCTGAGCCGACCTCGGGGTGTACCCAGCCGCTGTTATTTCGCCGCGTTGGTCGGCACGTCGGCGTGAGGTACCGCCGCCTTCTCCTGTAAAGCCACGGGCATGGCGCCTCCGCACGCGACGCCCCCACGGGCACAGGGAGTTCGCAGACATTTGAAAAAGGTTTTTACCCTCCTCTTGGCCAATCACCAACCCGCACTGGCCATCGTAGTGAAGTGCTGCCCGTCCTCCTGTAATCCTGCATGTGTTCACAACGCGAATTGGGTATAAAGCGATGAATGTACGAGGGAACGCATTTTTTTAAGAACGAGGTTGCGAATTGGTTATGGCGCGGCCCTTTTTCCAGTGTCCAAAATGATGAAAAATAAGAATATGGGTGACCCTTTCTGGCAATAATAAAACAGTTGCGTTAAGATGTTAAAACACCAAACATAAACCTTTTGCAAGGAATCCTGTCTGCATTAACCACACACAGTGCTTGTGGTGAACACGCAATCACACGCTCTGGTAGTATAAAGCACTGTCCACACCATAGACAGCTTTCTTTAACCCTCGTGTAGCCTTGACAGACTGCTGGGGCAAGTGCTGTTAGCGAGTAGCACCGATGAAGGCCGGCACGGCACACGAGGGGGTGGGTGGTCGTGAGCGGGAATCAAACTCGGGTCGCCGGGTTCGTAGCGCAGTGCGCTAGCCGCTACAGCACCGCCGGTGCCACAAACATCGTCTCAGAAGCCGCTAGCATGCCGACGGTATACACCATCCATAATACAGGTGGGTGAGATCGCGTCAAAATAATAATAATGTGTCGTTAAACCCGCCACCACCCGACACAGCCAATTAGTAAGGTTTGTCACGTAAACACAACATGCCAATTCGTTACTAGTTCAGCACACCGGTGTGTTGGAGAGCAAATCCACAATGTTTACAATCTGAGAACAGAGTAAAATCTGAGTCCATTGTGGAGTTAACATCTCCTAGCCATCGTGGAGCCCCTTCAGGGCCACAGTCGTGCTGCCTGACGGCTGGCACGATGGCTGACGTTCTGGGCGGCAGGCTGGCACAGCGGTAACGTCCTGCGCCTCACGGCAAGAAGGGTCCCGAGGTGCCGTCCTGTGTGGAGTCTGCACGTTCTTCCCCTGTTCTGCACGGGGTTTTCCTTGGGTTCTCTGGTCTCCTCCCATAGCTGAACCCCGCCCCACCCACACAAGGTGACTTGGATAAAACCCAACGCCTCCTGTATACCAGGCGAGGGAGTTAACATCGCCTCGCCACCGCTGTGCAACATTTAGGCGGCCAGGGGCATCGCTCAGCCCGCGATCGCTGCTGCGCTGGAGCCAGACACGAGATGAATGTGTACTTGATGGATGTTTGTTATTTCTGGATGTTTTTGCTGGGTTACAGACCCCTCTAGGGTCCGTTTTGGAAATCCTCCACACTATCCCAGTGTTTGGATGACAGTGGTAGATATGATTTTGATTGTTTTTTTTTATTTAAAACTTAAAAAATCATGGCAGTTTAGGAAGTCAGAATGAGCAGTGCAATAAAGATATTCTCATTTCAAACTCATGTTGCTAAAACACACACTTGGTATGTTGGTAGAATACTCTCAGTGACCAGTGTCTGTCTGTCTGTCTCTGTCTAGAGACACCGTCAGAGACAGCTCTGTCTGTCTGTCTCTGTCTCTAGAGACACAGAGACAGCTCTGTCTGTGTGTCTCTGCCTCGAGAGACACATAGACAGAGACAGACAGCTCTGTCTGTGTGTCTCTAGAGACAGAGACAGACAGAGCTGTATCTGACGGTGTCTCTCGAGGCAGAGACACACAGACAGAGCTGTCTCTAGAGACAGCTCTGTCTGTGTGTCTCTATCTCTAGAGACACATAGACAGAGACAGCCAGCTCTGCCTGTGTATCTCTACCTCGAGAGACACCGTCAGAGACAGCTCTGTCTGTGTGTCTCTGTCTCTAGAGACACCATCAGAGACAGCTCTGTCTGTCTCTGTCTCTAGAGACACATAGACAGAGACAGCTCTGTCTGTGTGTCTCTGTCTCTAGAGACACCATCAGAGACAGCTCTGTCTGTCTGTCTCTGTCTCTAGAGACAGCTCTGTCTGTGTGCCTCTGTCTCTAGAGACACATAGACAGAGACAGACAGCTCTGTCTGTGTGTCTCTGCCTCTAGAGACACCATCAGAGACAACTCTGTCTGTGTGTCTCTAGAGACACCGTCAGAGACAACTCTGTCTGTGTGTCTCTAGAGACACCGTCAGAGACAACTCTGTCTGTGTGTCTCTAGAGACACACAGACAGAGACAACTCTGTCTGTCTCTGTGTCTCTGTCTAGAGACACCGTCAGAGATAGCTCTATCTGTCTGTCTCTGTCTCTAGAGACACCGTCAGAGACAGCTCTGTCTGTCTGTGTGTTTCTGTCTAGAGACAGTCTAGAGACAGTGATAGACAGCTGTAGCAGAACACGCGTGCCAACGAGGGCACTCAATTGATTTTTATTAAGTTTAAGTTGCGTGCAAAACTAGTTACTACTGGCCAAGACTAATTAGAGAATCTATCGACATTTTCAGAAATCATTATAACCATTCGGATAGCTACAGACTTAGTGCTGCTTGGAAGCATCATGTGCATGCATAACGTACGTTGATTACCATGTAATTAACCCAACCGGCAATGGAAACCCATAGTCATGAATACTCATTCATTACCACCCCCACTTCGCGCAAGAAGGGCACTGAAGTGCTGTCATCGCATCTACCCCTCCGTTTAAGGAACGTAACAGGAGGACTTCTCCACACATCTGGCCGTCGCCTGATGAAGCTCGTTGTAACTACTGGCTAAACGTCGTACTCAGATTGTAAATGTTGTGGCTTGGCTCTCCAACACACCGGTGTGCTGTACTAGTGACGAATTGGCCACGTTCTGTTTACGTGACAACCCTTACTAGTTGGCTGTGTCGGGTGGTGGCGGCTTTAACGACACAACATTTATATATTTATACGATCTAACCCAAAAAAACCTCGATGACGAACGGCAGGGCTTCCTGAGTAGTGGGCGGATCTACCTGAGCAGTGGGTGGAGCTACCCAGGTAGTGGGCGGATCTACCTCAGCAGTGGGTGGAGCTACCCGGGTAGTGGGCGGATCTACCTCATCAGTGGGTGGAGCTACCCGGGTAGTGGGCGGATCTACCTGGGCAGTGGGTGGAGCTACCTGGGTAGTGGGCGGATCTACCTGGGCAGTGGGTGGAGCTACCCGGGTAGTGGGCGGATCTACCTGAGCATTGGGTGGAGCTACCCGGGTAGTGGGCGGATCTACCTGAGCAGTGGGCGGAGCTACCCGGGTAGTGGGCGGATCTTCCTGCGGAGTCGGTGGGGCTATCTGGCGACCGAGCATCCATTGTTAAGAGGGAAGGCCGCTCACTCAAACTCAAATTATGAAACAATTTTATATTTTACCAGGTGAGCTATACAGCTATTTTCCAGAAGCGACCTGGCCACAAATGCTAGCTCAACGAAGTGGCTCATCGTGTGGAAACGTAGAGCAGCCCAATACTCTAAACGCGTGGTGATGTTAGTTAGAAATGTGGAGGGGAAAACCGGAGGACCCGGAGAAAAATCCACACGACCACGTGGAGAGAGAGAGAGAGAGACACAAACTCCAAATATACAGTAGCAGGCGTCAGGGTCGGGATCGAACCCACAACCTCCTGTATACCAGGCGAGGTAGTTAACATCTCCTAGCCACCGTGATGATGATGAGAGAGACACGCAAACTCCAAATATACAACTGGCATCAGGGTCGGGATCAAACCCACAACCTCCTCTATACCAGGCGAGGTAGTTAACATCTCCTAGCCACCGTGATGATGATGAGAGAGAGACACCCAAACTAAATATACAACGGGCATCAGGGTCCAGATCAAACCTACAACCTCCTGTATACCAGGCGAGGTAGTTAACATCTGTGTGGGGGCTGCACCCTGTGTTCCCCGGTTGAGCGTCCCATGGACGCGCGCGAGCACGCCGCTCCATCTCCGCTGTTCACCTTCCTGCCGCAGACAGCTGTGAAGAGCAGCCATGCGTTGAGAAACATCTGGAAGCACTTAATCCTCAAACATAACCCCCTGAGTGAGGGGGGAGGGTTGTTAAGTGGGTGGATTGTTGTGTGGGGGGGTGGCGAGGCTGGGAGAGGGGGTTTCCTGTGCGACTGCTGCTGCCTTCGCGGAGATGAAGGGGCAGCCCTGAAATTGCCTCCTCATGCCCCTGCTGGGCGGAAGGGCCTCAAGTGGAGGGGCAGTTCCCTCTTGTAAGGCTCTAGGGGGCTGGACATGTCACGGCTTGAATGCAATAAAAATAACGGAATGGAACGCGACCGAGGGGTTACGACTGCCGAGGAGACGGAGCGGTGAAATCAGCTCGCGTGCCGGCGCCGGTTATTATGCCGCCGTATTGCAGGGCCGTGAGAGGTGGCGGTGGCTTTGGCTCTCATGCAGCAGTGGATTGACCATGGCTGCCGCCGATGAGGATACGTTGGCATCACATTGCACAGCGATGGCATGAACGCAGTGGCGCGACTTTGGTGGGGGTCGGGTATGTGGCGGCGATATGCGACGCATCGAATCGGAATCTGAATATGTATTTATGGCGGAGGAGTCCGATGAGTTATGAAGGTCTCACAGGTGTCCAGTAGGGGGGCCAGTCGGCCACAAGGGGGGTCCAGAATCAACAAATAAACAAGTACCAACATGTTCATAAAAATTATTTCGAAAAAATGTGTATTCGTTAAAAATAACTTGCACGGACCAAACCCCATTGAGGCATCTGGCTATCCTCTCAATTAGAGCGGCATAAATTCGCGCGATCCACCCCCTTTGAGGAAATCCTAGAGCGATGGGGCTGGAAAGAAAGCAAGACGCACGATAACTTAATCTTGATTTGAAGCTTAATCGTGAGCATTGCATCTTTAAACATGTGGTATTAGTACCGTCACTGTGAGGCTGTCTTCCTCTAAACCCAACAGGCGGTGCAACTAAACTTAATATATATAGTTATATCCTAACATATTGTTGTATACGGTTAAAAAATATAAACATCCGTAGCAATTCCAGTAAAAGTGAGTCAGGGAGGATGGACGTGGGCCCACAGTCGTATCTCGCACCGCCACCCCCGTTGGCAATAGGCCGTTGCGCCCCTGCTCGAGACAAGGGTGGTCGCTGTGCGTGCATGGTCCAGGCCGCACTGCTGCCCCTGACACGTGCACCGTCGCGGCCTGGCGCTTGCTCACGGCACTTTCCAAACGACTGAGCGCCGTCGACATCATCGTCCCTTCGGGTCGATAAATCGAGCAGCGGTACAACGTTGTGGAAAGTCAGCAGCAGCCGTCTTACGCATAAACTGCCCCCACACCCCCCCGCTACACCACCAACCCCTGCCGCGGGAATGTGGAATGCCCACCGCTGTCTCCGGGGCGGCCGTCGGAGATGATCCCCACCTCGTCGCTCGTTTGCACGGGGAGGCGGCAGGCCGCGTCGTTTGGACCGAGAGCCGATTGAGATGTCAGCCGATGTTTGTAACGAGCCCCAGGGCGGTAGAGCAGCGCAGTGGTGAGGCTCGCGGCCTCGCAGCGAGAAGGGGCCTGGGTTCGACTCCCGACTCGGGCGCCTCTCACTGTGTGGAGTTTGTGCTCTCTCTCTCTCCCCCACCTGTGCCGCGTTGGGTTTCCTCCGGAGAAGTTCTGGACCGCGACCGACGTCAGAAATTAACGTCCCCTACAGGGACCCTACCGTCGACCGGGTCAGAGACCGGTGGGGCCATGCGGCCGATTGTGGCCACCCAATACACAAACGGTGCATGGAAGATCGGGCGGCATGCGCGTGTGCAGCCACGAATCCCAAACCGTGGACTGCGTCGTAAACACTCCGCCGCTGCTGCCACTTCCACCGTCTTCACTCCTTTAAAGGAGGAATGGACGAGATCCGCTTTGCTTCTGAACAGACAACTGAGTGGACAAGAACATCTAAGATTACATCTTTAATCCGCAACTATGAATCCATACGAAATAAGCGAACGATGAAAGCTAAGCGAATTAGCAGGGTAACTGGCATTGGCCAAACATCCCAATGGTCAGATATCACCTGCAATTTGCCCAATAGGGATCACGTGCAGCAACATCGCCCTCTACTTCAAAAAACTGGCAGTAACCTCCTGAAAATGATTTTAAGAATGGAACAGTAAAATGAAAACTAAACTATTTTTTATTTTTCAAGCCACCTGGATAACACAAATTATTGCTCAACGAAGTTGCTTATCGCGTGGAAATATATCGCGGCCAAATGCTCGAAACGCGTGCTGTTGATTCTAAATGTGAAGGGAAAACCCGGAGGACCCGGAGAAAAATCCACGCGACCAGGAGGAGAGAGAGAGAGACACGCAAACTCCAAATATACAGCAGCAGACGTCAGCGTTGGGATCGAACCCACGACCTCGTGCATAGCAGGCGAGGCAGTTAATATCTCCTAGCCACCGTGGCGACCTCAGTGAGGTTGTCCTGGAGAAATATAAACAAGCATAGTAATAATATTTTTCGACGTGGTATGAGCTCATTCCAGGCTGGCGAGCGTCTTCCAGGCGGCTGCCGGCCAGCGCGGGGCTCCGAGCGAGGTTCTGGTTTCTAACGTGGGGGTTCTGGAAATCGGTCAGGAACACTTAGCCAGCGTTCCAGAGGGCCCCCAGTCCCGATCGGGGAGGGATGTTACTGACATAGCGACGCCAAAGCACGGCGCGAGTCTCGGCTTCTTCGGCCCGAACACCAACACGGCGCACCCTGTGGTGACGTGACTCGCAAGGCGTGCAGACAGACAGGCTGACAACGTGGGACCTTTCTTGCCGGGATCAAAGTTTCAGAATAGGATTGACCCTTTCTGGGGGGGCGGGGGGGAGGTGGTATGTGCCAGCAGGCTTATGCGATGCATCGGGGCCCAGTCGGCCACAAGGGGGGGGAGGGCCGATTCAAACAGATAAACAAGTAATAAAAAGTGTGTTTCCAACAATTAACCATAAATGTCAAAAAAATTTAAACATTTACAAGTGAAAAAAATAACAATTCCCAAAAATGTAGAGCGTAAACTACAGTAGGCATACACTGGGTGTTTGTTACTGCACACCGGACGTTTTTGCTAACTCGCACGCAGTGCCACTGGGAGACTATCTTCTTCTAAACCAAATACAGTTATAGCCTAACATATTCTTTGTATACGGGGTTAAAAATCATCCGTAGCTATTTCAGTACAATAGGTCGTTGTGCTCCTGGCGGCTGGAGTCCAAGACCACCGTGGACCGTTTGTAAGCCTCGCAACAACAACAAATATTGAGTAGTAATTGACTACTACATTTACCCAAGAATGTCAGCGTGTAACGCGCGAGACGCCACTCCACTTCGACCAGCCCCCCTCATTAATAATCATTAATAGGTGACGTCATCCACATGGACCCGCCCCTCATCAATACAGGAGCGGGTGACGTAACTCCGCATGGAGAACCCCTCCCCCCCCTCATTAATAATCATGAGAAGGTGATGTCACTGCAAATCGAACAGCCCCCCTCATTAATAATCATGAGTGGGTGACGTCACTCGACATGGGGGTAGGGGGGGGGCGCCTCCTCCCCCCTCCTCAGCGTCAACTCACAACCCTCACTACAAAGGCAGCACCCTCACGTCACGTGATCTCCGTAACGCTACTGAGACATCAAAGTAAAAAGGACGTCGTGATGAACAAGGCATTAAAACCTTTAAATGAAAAAAAGTCTGTGTCACCGCGGCCTTATAAATTGCACACGAATTGATGCAATGAATATATCACGTCGTGGTCTGATTTTCGCTTGCAAGTTTACCATTTACTGCAATACGCCCGTCCTTGGACGGGCAAAAGGCTCGTAGTAGTAATAATAATAGTAACGATGGTGATACCAATGATGGCTGAGAGGGAGCTACCACAGCACCCGGGTCAATCAGTGCGCTGGACTCATTGTCAGGAGGTCGCCGGCTCGATTAGATTCCCGGTGCGGCAGTTTAAAAAAAACTGGCGCAAGTTTCTAAAGTCCACCCACCATAGTAAAGTTTAGGTTTTTTTTGGGTTGGATCACGTAAATGTTTCAATCTGGTCGTTAACCCCGCCACCGCCACCCGACACAGCCAATCAGTAAGCTTTGTCACGTAAACAGAACGTGCACAATTAGTGACTACTTCAGCGCAAACCGGTTGTTGTGTGTTTGAGAGTAAACCCGCGACATTTGCAACTCTGAGTACCGTGACATTTCGCTGGTGATTGTTGTTGTTGTTGTTTAGGCGTGCCGTGCGAGCGGCTCTCTTACCTCTGTGAGGGTAAATGGATGAGACTCAAACGTTGAGACACTTGGGCAATGTAGCAGCACGTACTAGCTCACGCGCGCACACACACACACACACGTGCGCACGCACAAAGACAAAGGTTCGTTAGCGAGCACCTATTAAGGCCGGCACGACACGGGAGGAGGCGGTGGTGTGTCCACCACCGCGCCCGGCTCTGCCTTTTGCCTGACGTGGACATCGGGCAGCAGCACTCGTTCAAGGCTGCGTCGCCCGTGGGGAGCTCAAGGACACTGATGGTTTGGCCATGGCCGGAAATGGAAGCCATAAATAAGAGCAGAGAATGGCTCATCCCTCGCGGAGCAGTGGCAATCTCGCGGATGGGTCGAGGCATCTTTGTCTGCCGAGTTATCTTGTGGCGTGTATTCTCCATGCCGACGCGAATTATGATGATCATCACCTTCATTATTCTGTGTCTCGCTCAAATGAGCGTGGAGGCGGCGGTAAGCCAGCCTAGCTGCATCTGGATACGAAGTCTGCGTTTGTTTTTTGTTCACCGGTTGGATCTATCGCGAAGGTTTCCCCGGTGTCACAAGTCCTACTGTTGGCAGGCTCTCCGCTCGCCGGTGCTTGAGCCGAGGAATCCTCCAGGCTGTGGATTCTGCCGACCATCGCCGGTGTTAACATGATTACGGCTCAACCTTGGTACGCTTCTCGGTTATTGTTTGCGTATTCTTGCCGACGAGATGTCTTCCTTGGGGGGCGATCCTCTCCGATGGGAATCGCAGCTCTACATCCTGGAGTTCTAATGTTGGAAATTTGTATCTTGTCCGAATTTTTTTATTCTGACGCTTCAAAAAAATGTTAACACTTCGGAGAATTTGCAACAAAACCACAAGCAATATGCTGCTGCCTCCGGGCTCTGGAGACCACCGAGAGAAGATTCCAGGCACGCGTTGACAACGACGGCGAACAAGTGGGAGACTCTTTGATTTTTTAAGCTATTAACATGCATTTGTTATCATGTTACAGTGTATTATCAGTTATTTTTCCATGAAAAATGATAGTCCCGTGTAAGTGTTAACATTGTTTTGAAGCACGCTGTAGTTTGAGGCGTCGGCCGTTGTGATGGTTCAAAATTGCCGCAGTGCCGTTTGCACGAATGACGCCGTGTAAATGCGAACCATTAATTATTTTAATTATGATTAAGAGCATCGGATTGGCGACACGGGGGTTCGTCTGCTCACCTGGCCCGGCCGGGCGGTGAAGCCCGGCCTGAGCATGCGGATCTCCAGGACGTTGCCCGGGTGCTGAGCGGCCGAGGTGACGGTGACCGCCCGGCTGCTGCGGATGAGGCGGTAGACTCGCTCGGCGCAGTAGAGGCACAATGGGCCCGACACCCACAGCCAGGCCTGCCGCCAACGCCACCGCCAGCACCGATCGGCCGGGAGATTGACGCAGCACAGGCAGTGGAGATGGAGGGAGAGGCAAGCGGGAGACAGGTGGAGACGTCAACCTGCAATGTAGGTTTCCATAGCAGCCGCTGATACTACTATGGAGTCCGTTGTTGGTGTCTGGGCTGGGCCACGTGGTGGTGGGTGGGTGGTTTAATTCGAACGTTCTTGTCGTGAACCCTCCACCGCCCGACGCGATTTTGGCATTCGCAGATATAATTAGCGCGGGAACAGCTGCAGACCGTGGTTAAAACACCGAGATGCACGCACGGTGCGGGGGAAAACCTTATGCACCCACCTCGGGAATTTGCGACTGAAATCTGGGCAGCTCACGGCATTCCACCCCGGAGTTCTTCGCCATCCCTGGCTCCGGCTCGGCAAATCCTTCGGGAAGGGGCTCGGGAATGCCAACGCCGGGAAGCGATGTGGCGTTGCCGGGCCGCCCGTGGGTATCGCATCCCGGCGGATGTTCCAGGAGGTTTATTTGGACTTTGAGAACTCCACTGTAATAGACAAAGGAGATGCATTTATTTATTTGTTATAATCATTCTTGTTGCTGTGCCTGTGTGCCCGGGAAAGCCTCGCATAGTCTCAAGCCTCGTTCTCAGCAGGGTCCTGCTAGGTCTCTGTGGTAAGGGGCGATGATTGCAATGTGTCATCACTAATTGAATCATTGTAAAGCACATTTATGAAATGGTATTCATGATAAAGGTTTTGTGGGTTAGATCGGCAAACTTATAAATGTGTTGTGAACCCACTACCACCCAACATGGCTAATTAGTAAGGTTTGTTATGTAAAAAAAACATGCCAATCAGTTACTACTTTAGCCCACCGGTGTGTTGGAGAGTAAATCCACAACATTTACAATTTGAATACGACGTTTCACTGGAAATTACATCCAGCATCATTGGGCGATTTTGCCAGACAAAATACGTGACAAACGTTACTAATTGGCTATGTCGGGTGGTGGCGGGTTTACAACACACTTAAACTTACGAGATATAACCCGTAAAACCTTTTTTATGAATAATATTGGTCGCTAAATGTTAAAATTTGGCAACATTTTCATCGGAACCAACGTCACAACGACGCCACTGCACCATCACAGTCGCCTCCTTTCTAACTGCCTTGGCTGTTACGAGCCGGCTCCTGATTTCCAAGGGTCACTCTCACAGTCTCATCAACAACAACAACCGCCATTCGCCACTAAGTGACGGTGACATCACCACGGCGCTTGTGCCAGGCTATGTGCAATGTAAGGCCACGTGAAGTGTCGAACACCTGCCGGCAGGAGGTCACGGGACAGACTGAGATGACTGACCGATGCGCCACCTGTGCCCCCTACTGTGCCAACTTGCTGTGTTTTAGCCACCCCTGCGCTCCGCTCGTTGTTGTGAGCGTCGCTCCTCTGCCCTCTGTTGTTGCTGGAGGGCGACTGCCTACAACTGCCCACCACCTACAACTGCACCCCCAGGGTCGTTGAGCTCTGTCAGTGCCACTCCTGCCCTCCTCCTCCACCATGCACCCACGTCCTAGCCATCCCGATCATACCTCGCCTGGTATGCAGTAGGTGGTGGCTTCGATCCCGACCCTGACGCCTGTCTCTCCCCGCGGTCGCGTGCAAGTTTTCTCTGCGTCCCGCGGGTTTTTCCCTCCAAGCGTTTCGAGGATTTGGCCGCCGTACATTTCCACGTGATCACAAGCCACTTCGTCGAGCTATCATTTGCGATAGCCAGGTCGCTTCTAGAAAAATAGAGCTATGTAGTCGCTCAGAGAAGCCTTACATGGTGAAATAAAGCATAAGCATCGGTGAGCTTAGTTTAGTACTTTCCTGCCCATACGGTCTATTCACAACCCCAAATTGCCTGCCCTATCCTCTGTGACGTCAAGGACGGTGTTCCGTGTCGCTTCACCCGGTCGCGTGCAGCAGCAACAGCAGGAAGAAGATGAGGTAGAGGCTGTGGGTGTACCAGAAGACGTTGTAGGAAGTCACTCTGTAAGTCAAAGGGCAAAGCAAGCCGTCAGATTATTACATCTTTAAAGGCAGCTTCCATTGCATGTGGAGTCGGCGTCATCGTCGTCATCACCAGCAATGGTCGCTCCACTGAGCTACCATTTGTGGCCAGGTCGCTTTTGAACAATAAGTGAATATCCTCTTTGGTTCTTTCGGTAAAGTCACGTAGAATGAGAATAAAATAATAAATTGATAAAATAACACAATAATATTCTCACGACGTTTCGGCCACAACACAAGCGGCCTTCATCAGGTGAAGGGACGAGACTGTCTGGTAGGACAGCGCTGGAGTGAAAAAGCCACATTCAGATCACGACCTTTAAGCTTAAAGATGAAGGCCGCTTGTGTTGTGGCCGAAACGTCGTGAGAATATTATTGTGTTATTTTATTTTATCAATTTATTATTTTATTCTCATTCTACGTGACTTTACCAAAAGAACCAAAGAAGATGAATCATTGCAGTCACGAAAGCTTTAAATCGAAAAATAAGTGAATACCTCAGTGGGCTTTGTCTGGTAGGATGGGGATGGTTTTGTGTTGTATTTGTTTGTGTTTGGGGGATTTGCGAACCTTTCTTGTACTTTGCGCTCCTATTGTGCTTTTGTAACTGTTTGTTGTTGTGACGTTCTTACCCCGTGCCCCGACTGGACAACTGTGAAAAGGAGCTTTATAGCTCATCTGATTCCTACAGTGTAAATAAAGATTCTGATTCTGGATGAAGGCCTCCTCACCAAGCCACGAAGAGCTATATCACTCAGTGGGCCTTGCCTGGGAAACCAATTAAAATAGTTCATAGAATGTAACAATCCATGCGGGACGTTCTCTCCTCGCGAGTTGATCTCATCATCGCTCTGTCTCCTGCTTGGGTGTCACGTCCTCTCGGGCGCATTGCGTTCCTTGGCTGCCACCCTGTCATTGTTCTTGACCCATCGGCCAACATCCCCTCTAGAAGTGGCGCGCCCGGCTATTTGTGCAGCAGTGGTCAATAAAGGTGAGGCTCTCGGCATCAGCGTCAGTGTAAGGATCTCAGTGTTAGGGTATCAGTGTTAGGATCTCAGTGTTATGATCTCAGTGTTAGGATCTCAGTGTTAGGATCTTAGTTTTAGGATCCCAGTGTTAGGATCTTGGTGTTATGATCTCAGTGTTAGGATCTCTGTGTTAGGATCTCAGTGTTAGGATCTCAGTGTTAGGATCTCAGTGTTAGGATGTTAGTGTTATGATCTCAGTGTTAGGATCTCAGTGTTTGGATCTCAGTGTTAGGATCTCGGTGTTAGGATGCCAGTGTTAGGATCTCAGTGTTAGGATCTCAGTGTTAGGATCTTGGTGCTAGGATCTCGGTGTTAGGATGCCAGTGTTAGGATCTCAGTGTTAGGATCTCAGTGTTAGGATCTCAGTGTTATGATCTCAGTTTTAGGATCTCAGTGTTAGGTCTCGGTGTTAGGATCTCAGTGTTAGGATCTCAGTGTTAGGATTTCAGTGTTAGGATCTCAGTGTTATGATCTCAGTGTTAGGATCTCAGTGTTATGATCTCAGTGTTAGGATCTCAGTGTTTGGATCTCAGTGTTAGGATCTCGGTGTTAGGATGCCAGTGTTAGGATCTCAGTGTTAGGATCTCAGTGTTAGGGTCTCGGTGTTAGGATGCCAGTGTTAGGATCTCAGTGTTAGGATCTCAGTGTTAGGATCTCAGTGTTAGGATCTCAGTGTTAGGATGTTAGTGTTATGATTTCAGTGTTAGGATCTCAGTGTTAGGATCTCAGTGTTAGGATCTCGGTGTTAGGATGCCAGTGTTAGTATCTCAGTGTTAGGATATCAGTGTTAGGATCTCCGTGTTAGGATCTCAGTGTTAGGATGTTAGTGTTAGGATCTCAGTGTTATGATCTCCGTGTTAGGATCTCGGTGTTAGGATGCCAGTGGTAGGATCTCAGTGTTAGGATCTCCGTGTTAGGATCTCAGTGTTAGGATCTCAGTGTTAGGATCTCAGTGTTAGGATCTCAGTGTCATGATCTCGGTGTTAGGATCTCAGTGTTAGGATGTTAGTGTTAGGATCTTAATGTTAGGATCTTAGTGTTATGATATCAGTGTTATGATCTCAGTGTTAGGATCTCAGTGTTAGGATCTTAGTGTTAGGATGTTAGTGTTATGATCTGCTGTGTAACGGTCTGAGTGACTTTCAGCTGCAGGAGTGAGTGAACCACCTGATCTGTCGAGTGGATGAAGTTCCGATGAGGAAGAGGATGACGACCATGAGGATTCCCGTAACACCTGGGACTGATTGATATAAAGACAAACATCCCCCATATAGCCTTAACAGACTGTTGGGGCAAGTCAGTGAGCACCTATGCTGTTAGCGAGCACCTATGAAGGCCGGCACGGCACACGAGGGGGTGTGTGACCAGCACCACGCCTGCCCACCTTTGTCTCCCCAGTGCTGATATTTCAGAATCAGAATATTTATCTATACTGGAGGAATCCGAAGAGCTATAAAGCTCTATTTAACAGAGGTCAATTCACTGATGTTGTTTGTGAGCGTGAATGGGACTTGTGTCGCCGGGTTCGTAGCACACTCCGCTAACCAATGCGCCACCGCTCACCATTAACATAAACACACGCGCGCACAAACATCTGTTTTGCATTTGTTTTAAATGTGAATCCAAAAACATACCCGTTGTGAAAAGGATTTTCCTTGGATCCTGAAAATAGATGCATATTTTGTAAATTGAACTGCATTCACTGCCACTCACAAAACGCCGAGCAGAGTGTATCACCGTGCGGGGATTCGCGCTGCTGCCGCTGCTGCTGCTACTGCTGCTACGCGGCTCTCTCCACGCGCGTTGCTCTGCGGCGACGATGTACCGACGTTTTGCTACCCGGTGCTGGGAGCCTCGTCGGCTCAAGCTGAGCTAACCAGAGCGGCGGGCAGCCCGAATAACAACGCAGGGCCCATCTGTGACCCCACTGCCGGATGAAGGCCTCCCCCCCGCATACAATGCAGCTTTGTTTGACCATACGCGTCTGTTCCCCTGCCACGCTGTAGTCGATCGTGTTCCTGAAGAATACCGCATTATGGAACTATCGCGTTACAATAAATAATATGTAATGTAGGGGTAGAGTCTGCGATAGCGCGTGAGATGCGTACGCAGGCTGAACAAAGACTGAGGTGCGTGGGTAGCATCTAGAAGCATCCAGCAGCATCCCAACGCCTTGTGTGATGCTAGGTAGCATCTATAAGCATCCAGCAGCATCCCAACGCCTTGTTGTGATGCTAGGTAGCATCCAGCAGCATCCCAACGCCTTGTTGTGATGCTAAGCCAAGGCAGCCGAATGAGCGCTGATTCCTGTTTGCACAACGTAGCTCCGTCTGCTCAATCGCGTTATAACCAAAATGATGAAAAAATAAGAATAAGTTTTACCATTTTTGGCAATAAATTGGTGTTAAGATGTTCAAACATCTGAACACCTGTTTGACACTGACTGGTAAGATGAGATCATCAAGAAGGCCGTCTCTGGTGTGGGACAATCAGTTTTAAAGACAATGCGTATATGATAGGAGCATGTTTGTTTGCATGCTTTGCCACAAGTATGTGTGGTGAATGCAGACTTGATGCCTTGCAATAGGTAACATCTATTTGATGTTTTAACATCTTAACACAACTGTTTTATTATTGCCAGAAACGGGTCACCCATATTCTTATTTTTCATCATTTTGGACACTGGCAAAAGGGCCGCGCCACAACCAATTCGCAACCGCGCTCTGAAAAAAAATGCGTTCCCTCGTACATTCATCGCTTTATACCCAATTCGCGTTGTGAACACATGCCGGATTACAGGAGGACGGGCAGCACTTCACTACGATGGCCAGTGCGGGTTGGTGATTGGTCAAGGGGAGGGGTATAGAGGTAGAGTACAACTATGGATGTTGCTGCGCTGACCGCAGCATCGTGCAAGTACCCGGCGCGTGTGCCTGGGGAGGGCAGGGGCCCATTCAGATCTCGCTCGCCACCGATGTTACAGCCCTGGCCGGGAATCCAATCGGACTTTTCACATCATTTGCACGAAGCATCGAGGATCGATTTGTGAGCGCGAGAGTCAATTCGAATTTATAGTCAAACGCGATCTTGAGTTCATCTGCGATATATTCCCTCCCTGCAAACTGCTCACCTCGTTTCGATATCGCACGACATTTATTTCTGGGAACTGCGATGAGTGATGGGCGGAGAAGTTCCAGGCATTGACCATGTGTGCTGCACAGTGCAAGCCTGCAGGGAGCGAGAGAGGGACAGAGTGAGGCGAGAGGTCACACGGCCACAGCCTCCAGAATTCTCTGGGAGGGGCTTCGCCGGAGTTGGGGGGGGGGGGACGTGATCTGGTAGCACCTCCTTCGCTTTACGTACACGGTGGTGGTGGTGGTGCATCGGGTATCTACGGATGCAATTCACCACTTTACAAATGTAAACTATTGTTGAAAAATGAAAGTATGTTTTAACCTTTCTAGCAATAAAACAGGTGGTGTTAGGATGTTCAATTACCAAATAGAAACCTTTTTGCAAGGCATCAAGTCTGCATTAATCACACGTTACTTGTGGCAAAACATGCAAACAAACACACTCTGATAATTATACATCTATTGGCGTGGGCCAATAAGTTCCAAGGACAATGCATATATATTATCATCAGAGCAGGCTTGATGCCTTGGTGTCTATTTGGTGTCATCAGAGCAGGCTTGATGCCTTGGTGTCTATTTGGTGTTTGAACATCTGAACACGACTCCAGTTGTATTCCCAGAAAGGGTCAAACCCGATTGTTATTTTTCATCATTTTTGAAACTGGCAAAAAGTTCCTATGTCATTGGCACAGCCCGGCTTGTGCAGTGAAAAAACGCAAACGGCCTCCACACACACGTGCACACACACTCACATACACACGCACATACACACATACACACACTCACATACACACTCACATACACACGCACATACACACATACACACACATACACACACTCACATACACAACAACAACAACAACCGCCATTCGCCACTAAGTGGCGGTGACGTCACCACGACGCTTGTGCCAGGCTATGTGCACCCTGAGGCCACGTGAAGTGTCGAACGCCCGCTGGCAGGAGGTCATGGGGCAGACCCAGGTGCCACGGGTCGACTGACTGAGATGACTGGCTGATGCACCCCCTGTGCCCCCTACTGTGCCAACCTGCTGTGCTTTAGCCACCGGGCGCTCCGCTCGTTGTTCTGAGCGTCGCTCCTCCGCCCTCCGTTGTTGTTGGAGAGCGACTACCTCCAACTGCCCAGTAGCATCCTTCACGAGCCTCCTCCACAGAGGCCGATCTTGACACCGCTGGTACCAGTCATCGGCAAGTCCACTCAGCTCCACGTCCTCCTGTACCACATCACTCCATCCCTACTCTAGCCCGTGCCGCGCCCGCTTAGCCCCCTCAATCCGGCCGAACAAAAGCTGTTTCGGTATGTGGTGACTGGGCATGCGGGCTACATGACCCAGCCATCGCAGCCTTGCCCGCCGGAGGAGCTCACCAATGGGACCTTGCCCAGATCTTTCAAGGATTTGTGAGCTCCTCACACAATCCAGTCTGGTTAAAACCAGGATGGATCGTAGGCAGGCCAGCCTAAATGTTTCTAACCGGCGAAGATGTTCCATTAGGGTGGTCCACGTTTCGCAAGCGTAGAGAAGGGAGGGAATGACCGTGGCCGAGAAGACCTGAAGCTTAGTGCGGAGCGACAGACCAGGTAGCTTCCACACAGTGTTACGCAACCGATGAAAAGATATTGCCGCTCGACTGATTCGGAGTGAGACCTCTGCTGTTAAACTGGAGCTAGTCATAAGCACACTGTCCAGGTATGGGAAACTCTCCACTCTCTCCACAACTGCCCCATCACCGATTGGGAGTTGTGGGGGTGGAGTGTCCGATGGTACAAAATACCCAGGCAGGTGCTTAGTTTTGGTGGGGCTGATGGTAAGGCCCCACCTCTTAGTGGCACGCTCCAGTCTCAGCAGCAGCGTCTCCAACTCCTCCTCTGACTGAGCAGCTATTACCAAATCATCAGCATACTTAACGTGGTTGAGCAATAGGGAGCCATCCCTTGACCACACCCGGGCATCGATCAGCCTCCCATTATATCTGTACCATATGGAGATTCCCCCGGTACAGCAATTGAAGGCTTCACGAACTACGTGGTCAAAATAGATGTTAAATAATGTGGGAGCCAGAGGACATCCCTGTCGCACCCCAAGGTGTACAGGGAATGGCTCTGACTCCCGGCCACGTAGTTTTACCCGGGCCCGCTCACCATCATGAAGGTCTTTAATGATCGTGAGCAGAGGGTCAGGTACTCCAAAAGCACGAAGAACAACCCAGAGCCCAGGCCTACTGATGGTATCATAGGCCTTGACCAGGTCAATAAAGCAGAGATGTAGGTCTTGTTGGAATTCCCTACACCTCTGCTGTAGCAGACACACACACATACACACACGCACATACACACACATACACACACATACACACACACACATACACACTCACATACACACGCACTCACATACACACACACATACACACACACATAAACATACACACATACATACACATACACACACGGGGATGATGTTTTTTCAAAGGGTAGCGGCACGTCACCTGTGAACAGGGCGATGGCGATCCCGCACGCGACGTGGAATGATTTGTTCCGATCCAGAAGCCTCCGGGTTCCGCGACTCGTCACCTGGCCCAGGTGAGGCACACGATTATCAGGGTTGACTACGTACGGTGCGAAAGAAGTTCACCGTGTGTACGTAAATACGCCACCACCACACGCGCGTGTCAACTGCGGCGTACACGTGGATAGCCGCCGGGGGGATGGAGGCGAGCGACATCCACCCACAAGGCGGTGCTCAATTTACCCTTCCTGCAGAGATGATGATGATGATGACGGGATGATTGCAACCCCAACAGGGATTAGAACTCTGAGTCTGACGACATTCGGGCGATATTCCCTCCGACCACTACGTCAGGTTTCCATGCATCACGATACCGGCGAGTCGATGTCGATGGAACCGCAGTGGCTTTCTGAATTGTGTTGGTGCCCCCACCGATTTGTAGAGATGTGGCTTCTCGAATTGTACGAAAGTTGAAGAGGCGATTGTTTTCCACGTGTAATTTTGTAGTCTAAGTCTGTGGGTCTCTATGTAAGTCTATGGGTCTCTGTGTAAGTCTATGGGTCTCTATGTAAGTCTGTGGGTCTCTGTATAGGTCTGTGGGTCTCTATGTAAGTCTATGGGTCTCTATGTAATGCTATGGGTCTCTGTGTAAGTCTATGGGTCTCTGTGTAAGTCTATTGGTCTCTATGTAAGTCTATGGGTCTCTGTCTAGGTCTGTGGGTCTCTGTGTAAGTCTATGGGTCTCTATGTAAGTCTATGGGTCTCTGTGTAAGTCTATGTGTTTCTATGTAATGCTATGGGTCTCTGTGCAAGTCTATGGGTCTCTTTCTAGGTCTGTGGGTCTCTATGTAAGTCTATGGGTCTCTATGTAAGTCTATGGGTCTCTATGTAAGTCTATGGGTCTCTGTGTAAGTCTATGGGTCTCTATGTAAGTCTATGGGTCTCTGTGTAAGTCTATGGGTCTCTATGTAAGTATATGGGTCTCTATGTAAGTCTATGGGTCTCTGTGTAAGTCTATAGGTCTCTGTGTAAGTCTATGAGTCTCTATGTAAGTATATGGGTCTCTGTGTAAGTCTATGGGTCTCTATGTAAGTCTATGGGTCTCTGTGTAAGTCTATGGGTCTCTATCTAGGTCTGTGGGTCTCTATGTCAGTCTATGAGTCTCTATGTAAGTATATGGGTCTCTGTGTAAGTATATGGGTCTCTATGTAAGTCTATGGGTCTCTGTGTAAGTCTATGGGTCTCTGTGTAAGTCTATGAGTCTCTATGTAAATATATGGGTCTCTGTGCAAGTCTATGGGTCTCTATGTAAGTCTATGGGTCTCTGTGTAAGTCTATGGGTCTCTGTCTAGGTCTGTGGGTCTCTATGTAAGTCTATGGGTCTCTATATAAGTCTATGGGTCTCTGTGTAAGTCTATGCGTCTCTGTCTAGGTCTGTGGGTCTCTATGTAAGTCTATGGGTCTCTATGTAAGTCTATGGGTCTTTGTCTAGGTCTATGGGTCTCTGTGTAAGTCTATGGGTCTCTATATAAGTCTATGGGTTTCTGTGTAAGTCTATGGGTCTCTGTCTAGGTCTGTGGGTCTTTATGTAAGTCTATGGGTCTCTATGTAAGTCTATGGGTCTCTGTGTAAGTCTATGGTTATGTGAGTCACTGATGAGCAGGCGGAGCCCATAAGCTGACGATAGGCAGCGGCTGACACCCAGACTCCAACGCAGAGTCTCAGCAGCGCTGGTTCAGCTCTACGTCCTCTGCGCCACTCACCTCGGCAAATAATAATAATAAGAATAATGAGAATGATAATAAGAAAAATAAGAAGAATAAAACGACGCTTTGCGGGAAGCGTTAAAAAGTCTTCTCTGTCCGTCACGTAATCATCGACGGCTGGAGACAAACGCGCTGCCAGTAGCTCCCCCCACCCACGCCACCGCCTCCTCCTCCCTCTTGTGGCTCTCTCGTCGTGCCCCCGGCCACACGGATACACCACCCGGCTGTCTGTCATCCCCCCACGTTCTGGTGGTTGGTGGTGGTTGGTGGTGGTGGTGGGTAGTGGTGGTGGGTGGTGATGGTGGTGGGTGGTGGTGGTTTGTGGTTGGTGGTTTGTGGTGGTGGTGGTGGTTGGTGGTGGTGGTTGGTGGTGGTTGTTTGTGGTTGGTGGTGGTGGGTGGTGGTGGTTTGTGGTTGGTGGTTTGTGGTGGTTTGTGGTTTGTGGTGGTGGTGGTTGGTGGTGGTTGGTGGTGGTGACTCACCCTCCGTGATCCCCGCAGCAGCGCCAGCGTGGTGCGGCACATGGGCAGCAGGATGAGGGCGCAGTTGAGGTTGATTGCGGAAGCCGAGGCACGGCTAAGGCACAATCCTAGCTGATGGAAGGAGACCCCCCCATTGAGACATCGACACGCACGGGCACCCCCCCAACTGCGACAAATACTCCCTGCAGCAACACAGACGCTTGGGCAAGTGTCGGTGCTGAGCACCTGTGAAGGTCACCACGTCACACCTGTGAAGGTCACCACGGCACACCTGTGAAGGTCGTCACACCTGTGAAGGTCACCACGGCACACCTGTGAAGGTCACCACGTCACACCTGTGAAGGTCACCACGGCACACCTGTGAAGGTCGTCATGGCACACCTGTGAAGGTCGTCACACCTGTAAAGGTCGTCACACCTGTGAAGGTCGTCACTGCACACCTGTGAACGTTGTCACACCTGTGAAGGTCACCACGTCACACCTGTGAAGGTCACCACGATACACCTGTGAAGGTCGTCACACCTGTGAAGGTCACCACGTCACACCTGTGAAGGTCACCACGGCGCACCTGTGAAGGTCGCCACGTCACACCTGTGAAGGTTGCCACGTCACACCTGTGAAGGTCGTCACACCTGTGAAGGTCACCACGTCACACCTGTGAAGGTCGTCACGGCACACCTGTGAAGGTCGTCACACCTGTGAAGGTCGTCACGGCACACCTGTGAAGGTCACCACGTCACACCTGTGAAGGTCACCACGTCACACCTGTGAAGGTCACCACGGCACACCTGTGAAGGTCACCACGTCACACCTGTGATGGTCACCACGTCACACCTGTGAAGGTCGTCACACCTGTGAAGGTCGTCACACCTGTGAAGGTCACCACGGCACACCTGTGAAGGTCGCCACGTCACACCTGTGAAGGTCGTCACACCTGTGAAGGTCACCACGTCACACCTGTGAAGGTCACCACGGCACACCTGTGAAGGTCACCACGGCACACCTGTGAAGGTCACCACGGCACACCTGTGAAGGTCGCCACGTCACACCTGTGAAGGTCACCACGTCACACCTGTGAAGGTCGCCAACGTCACCCACGCCCGGTGCTCGTTTCAGGCCGAGCTGATCTAGGGGGAGACCCAGAACCGGTTGAAAATATTCGCCACTGTCATTGGTGCTGACCACGACGCCACCTTTCCCCACACACACAAAGACAAAGATCCCCCGTGTAGCCTTAACAGACTGCAGGGGCAAGTGCTGTTAGCGATCACCTATGAAGGCCGGCACAGCACACGAGGGGGTGGGTGGCCAACACCACGCCCGGCCGCCTTTGTCTCCCAGTGGCGATGTTTATACATCGCACCGGGTACTCATTTGAGGCTGAGTCGACCTAGGGGAGGCCCATGACCGGTTCAGATAATCACCACTGGTGTTTTCCGTGTGCGGGAATCGAACCCGGGTCGCCAGGTTCGTAGCGCAGCGCGCTGACCGCTACACCGCAGCTCCCCACGGACACACCCGCAGAAACATTCCACGCACACATTCGAGCGGACACTTGACCTAAACATTAATCCCACTGGGACACACCATGACAGGTGAGGGCCTTGATGATGCTGGGTTATGTCTCTCTACGTGGCCCCTAGAAGTGCAATGCACTTGGTCCATCATCATCATCATCGTCGTCGTTATCATCATCATCACCACCATCAATGTCACCATCATCACCGTCCATGTCCCAAGGCTCTCGTCACCCCTGGCCCAGAATATCCCTCCCCGTGTCTCGCTCCTCATGCCCCACGTCACTTCACCCTCACGGGGACTCCTCTCCCGCTCCTCCTTACGCGAGGGGCGATGCTGCGGCTGAGAGACGCGAGGTGGTGGTGGTGGACGCCACCCGGGAGCCGGTTCTGCTGAGTTTCTCCAGATCTCTCTGATTTATATCAACATTTAATGGGATTGTCTCAGATTTTTTTTCTTCCAGACATCCCAGAATGCTCTTGGATTTTTTTCTCTCCAGGATTTCTCCAGATTGAATTTTTTTTTTATTTCCCAGAATTTTCTTGGATTTTTTTCTCCAGATTTCTCTGATCGCTCTTCCTTTTCTCCTCCCAAATTCTCTCGGATATTATTCTGGATTTTTTTTATGACTTTCAAATAAAAGATCTCCAGATTTCGATCAATCTCATTGAACTCTCCTCCCAGATTCATTCCAAACTTCCATAATCCTTCTCCAGGCATCTCAGAATTTCCTCGCATTTTTGTGCAGATTCATTTGCTCACAATTTTAAGTTTTGTTTCAAAATTTCCTCGCAGAAGTAATTAGTTTCAAATCTTTTCTCACGACCTCAGGCAATGCATTAAAAAACCAGGCCACTGTCAGACAGCCTTCCCTCCTCCACAAGACTCAAGCAACGACGCATCTCGCTAAAAATAATCACCCCACACCGTCTCGCTCCTCCATCTAGGAGAAGCCCGCTGACTTCCCCATGGCTCCCGCGTGGGTTAACAAAGAAAAGAAATCTCTCAGCAGCTGCAGCGGCACGAAAAACCAGTTCTGGACAGCTCAAGTGTCAAGGGGCGAATGCAGGTCGGGAGAACGTTCAGGCGCATCGGCAGATCTCACCCCCAGCATCTTGTGCAGGTAGTAGTACTCTGGGCCGTAGTAATAGAGCAGAAACGTGCGGCAGAAGACAAAGGTGGTGGCAGCCATCCACAGCATCTGCGTGGACACCGACACACACGCGGGCACACAACCACAGAGGGGAAGGGATGAGCAAGCGGCGACGACCCGATTATCGTCTCCCGTCGCTCAACCGACCCGACTGTTTGGCAAAACAAAACAGTCTCACCTTTGTTGCCACGCGTGCCGCTGGACGGGAGGTGATGGGAGGGGCTTGGTGATGTCATCGGCTTACGGGGGGGGGGGGTTCCTGCCTTGAGTGGGTGAAGGAAGCCGCTATTTTTAAAGGGGAACCCGAGTAATTGATGACCACAAAGAGAGCGTGGTCGATTATATTGCCACTACTTTCTCGTTTCACAGCGGCTTTTGGCTGGGCATCAAACAACGACTGTCACTGCATCGCGCGGCGCTTCCAGACGCACTTCTGCGGCGTCTGGAACGCTCTCCCTTCATAACATTCATACGATGAATCGACTAAAGCAGTGGTTCTTCACCTTTTCTGTAGCCCGGACCCCTTTGGTTCTCAATCGTCACAAAATGTACAATGTTAATAACCACGTGGGGTTTAATGAAACAAAGTTGTAGCTAACAATGTTAATAACCACGTGGGGTTTAATGAAACAGAGTAAGTTGTAACTAACAATGTTAATAACCACGTGGGGTTTAATGAAACAAAGTTGTAACTAACAATGTTGATAACCACGTGGGGTTTAATGAAACAGAGTTGTAACTAACAATGTTAATAACCACGTGGGGTTTAATGAAACAGAGTAAGTTGTAACTAACAATGTTAATAACCACGTGGGGTTTAATGAAACAAAGTTGTAACTAACAATGTTGATAACCACGTGGGGTTTAATGAAACAGAGTTGTAACTAACAATGTTAATAACCACGTGGGGTTTAATGAAACAGAGTTGTAGCTAACAATGTTAATAACCACGTGGGGTTTCATGTAACAGAGTTGTAACTAACAATGTTAATAACCACGTGGGGTTTAATGAAACAGAGTTGTAACTAACAATGTTAATAACCACGTGGGGTTTAATGAAACAGAGTTGTAACTAACAATGCTAATAACCACGTGGGGTTTAATGAAACAGAGTTGTAACTAACAATGTTAATAACCACGTGGGGTTTAATGAAACAAAGTAAGTTGTAACTAACAATGCTAATAACCACGTGGGGTTTAATGAAACAGAGTTGTAACTAACAATGTTAATAACCACGTGGGGTTCAATGAAACAGAGTTGTAACTAACAATGTTAATATCCACGTGGGGTTTGATGAAACAGAGTAAGTTGTAACTAACAATGCTAATAACCACGTGGGGTTTAATGAAACAGAGTTGTAACTAACAATGTTAATAACCACGTGGGGTTCAATGAAACAGAGTTGTAACTAACAATGTTAATATCCACGTGGGGTTTGATGAAACAAAGTTGTAACTAACAATGTAAATAGCCACGTGGGGTTTAATGAAACAGAGTTGTAACTAGCAATGTTGATAACTACGTGGGGTTTAATGTAACAAAGTTGTAGCTAACAATGTTAATAACCACGTGGGGTTAAATGAAACAGAGTTGTAGCTAACAATGTTAATAACCACGTGGGGTTTAATTAAACAGAGTTGTAGCTAACAATGTTAATAACCACGTGGGGTTTAATGAAACAAAGTTGTAGCTAACAATGTTAATAACCACGTGGGGTTTAATGAAACAGAGTAAGTTGTAGCTAACAATGTTAATAACCACGTGGGGTTTAATGAAACAAAGTTGTAGCTAACAATGTTAATAACCACGTGAGGTTTAATGAAGCAGAGTTGTAACTAACAATGTTAATAACCACGTGGGGTTTATGAAACAAAGTTGTAACTAACAATGTTAATAACCACGTGGGGTTTAATGAAACAGAGTTGTAACTAACAATGCTAATAACCACGTGGGGTTTTAATGAAACAGAGTTGTAACTAACAATGTTAATAACCACGTGGGGTTTAATGAAACAAAGTTGTAACTAACAATGTTAATAACCACGTGGGGTTTAATGAAACAGAGTTGTAACTAACAATGTTAATAACCACGTGGGGTTTAATGAAACAAAGTTGTAACTAACAATGTTAATAACCACGTGGGGTTTAATGAAACAGAGTTGTAACTAACAATGTTAATAACCACGTGGGGTTTAATGAAACAGAGTTGTAACTAACAATGTTGATAACCACGTGGGGTTTAATGAAACAAAGTAAGTTGTAGCTAACAATGTTAATAACCACGTGGGGTTTAATGAAACAAAGTTGTAGCTAACAATGTTAATAACTACGTGGGGTTTAATGAAACAGAGTTGTAACTAACAATGTTAATAACCACGTGGGGTTTAATGAAACAGAGTAAGTTGTAACTAACAATGCTAATAACCACGTGGGGTTTAATGAAACAGAGTTGTAACTAACAATGTTGATAACCACGTGGGGTTTAATGAAACAAAGTAAGTTGTAACTAACAATGTTAATAACCACGTGGGGTTTAATGAAACAAAGTTGTAACTAACAATGTTAATAACCACGTGGGGTTTAATGAAACAGAGTTGTAACTAACAATGCTAATAACCACGTGGGGTTTAATGAAACAGAGTTGTAACTAACAATGTTAATATCCACGTGGGGTTTAATGAAACAGAGTTGTAACTAACAATGTTAATAACCACGTGGGGTTTAATGAAACAGAGTAAGTTGTAACTAACAATGTTAATAACCACGTGGGGTTTAATGAAACAGAGTTGTAACTAACAATGCTAATAACCACGTGGGGTTTCGTGTAACAGAGTTGTAACTAACAATGTTAATAACCACGTGGGGTTTAATGAAACAAAGTAAGTTGTAGCTAACAATGTTAATAACCACGTGGGGTTTAATGAAACAAAGTTGTAGCTAACAATGTTAATAACCACGTGGGGTTTAATGAAACAGAGTTGTAACTAACAATGTTAATAACCACGTGGGGTTTAATGAAACAAAGTAAGTTGTAGCTAACAATGTTAATAACCACGTGGGGTTTAATGAAACGGAGTAAGTTGTAGCTAACAATGTTAATAACCACGTGGGGTTTAATGAAACAGAGTTGTAACTAACAATGTTAATAACCACGTGGGGTTTAATGAAACAGAGTAAGTTGTAACTAACAATGTTAATAACCACGTGGGGTTTAATGAAACAGAGTTGTAACTAACAATGTTAATAACCACGTGGGGTTTAATGAAACAAAGTAAGTTGTAGCTAACAATGTTAATGACCACGTGGGGTTTAATGAAACAGAGTAAGTTGTAACTAACAATGTTAATAACCACAAGGGGTTTAATGAAACAGAGTTGCAACTAACAATGTTAATAACCACGTGGGGTTTCGTGTAACAGAGTTGTAACTAACAATGTTAATAACCACGTGGGGTTTAATGAAACAAAGTAAGTTGTAGCTAACAATGTTAATAACCACGTGGGGTTTAATGAAACAGAGTTGTAGCTAACAATGTTAATAACCACGTGGGGTTTAATGAAACAGAGTTGTAGCTAACAATGTTAATAACCACGTGGGGTTTAATGAAACAAAGTAAGTTGTAGCTAACAATGTTAATGACCACGTGGGGTTTAATGAAACAAAGTTGTAGCTAACAATGTTAATAACCACGTGAGGTTTAATGAAGCAGAGTTGTAACTAACAATGTTAATAACCACGTGGGGTTTAATGAAACAAAGTTGTAACTAACAATGCTAATAACCACGTGGGGTTTAATGAAACAGAGTTGTAACTAACAATGTTAATAACCACGTGGGGTTAAATGAAACAGAGTTGTAACTAACAATGCTAATCACCACGTGGGGTTTAATGAAACAAAGTAAGTTGTAACTAACAATGTTAATAACCACGTGGGGTTTAATGAAACAGAGTTGTAACTAACAATGTTAATAACCACGTGGGGCTTAATGAAACAAAGTAAGTTGTAGCTAACAATGTTAATGACCACGTGGGGTTTAATGAAACAGAGTTGTAACTAGCAATGTTAATAACCACGTGGGGTTTAATGAAACAGAGTTGTAACTAACAATGTTAATAACCACGTGGGGTTTAATGAAACAGAGTTGTAACTAACAATGTTAATAACCACCCAGTTGTCCTCTGACTCATTCAGATGTTCATTGGCAAACTTCAGAGGGGCATGTACAGTGAGGGAAAAAGATTTGATCCCCTGCTGATTTTGTACGTTTACCCACTGACAAAGAAATTATTAGTCTATAATTTTAATGGTAGGTTCATTTGAATAGTGAGAGACAGAATAACAACAACAAAATCCAGAAAAACGCATGTCAAAAATGTTATAAATTGATTTGCATTTTAATGAGGGAAATAAGTATTTGACCCCTCTGCAAAACATAACTTAGTACTTGGTGGCAAAACCCTTGTTGACAATCACAGAGGTCAGACGTTTTTTGTAGTTAGCCACCAGGTTTGCACACATCTCAGGAGGGATTTTGTCCCACTCCTCTTTGCAGATCTTCTCCAAGTCATTAAGGTTTCGAGGCTGACGTTAGGCAACTCGAACCTTCAGCTCCCTCCACAGATTTTCTATGGGATTAAGGTCTGGAGACTGACTGTACCACCCTGCCTGGCTGTATCCCTGCCTGCCTGGCTGTCGTACCGCAGCCTGCCTCTGTCCGCCTGGCATCCAGCTGCTGGTCTCTGTGTCTGCCCGTACACAGACGCAGCCCTCTGTGTGTGTGCAGACCCAACAACAACAACATCAGCAGCAGCATCATTACCATCAGCAGCAGCATCATCAGCAGCATCATCAGCAGCATCATCAACATCATCATCAGCAGCAGCATCATCAGCCGCAGCATCATCATCAGCATAATCAGCAGCAGCACCATCATCAGCAGCATCATCATCATCAGCAGCATCATCAGCAGCATCATAATCATCAGCAGCATCATCATCAGCAGCATCATCATTAGCAGAAGCATCAGCATCATCAGCAGCAGCATCAGCAGCATCATCATCAGTAGCAGCATCAGCAGCAGCATCATCAACAGCATCAGCATCATCATCAGCAGCATCAGCATCATTATCAGCAGCATCATCAGCAGCAGCATCAGCATCAGCAGCATCATCAGCAGCATCATCAGCAGCAGCAGCATCATCATCATCAGCAACATCATCATTAGCAGCATAATCAGCAGCATCAGCATCATCATCAGCAGCATTATCATCATCAGCAGCTTGTGCCCGCCTCGCTAACGTCACGCCCCACGCCCCACGCCGGCGCTGTCTGCTCAGCCGCGAGGCTGTGAAGTCCGGCACGACAACAAAGACAAAGCCCCCCCGTGTAGCCTTGGACAGACTCTGGGCAAGTGCTGTCAGCGAGCTCCTGTGAAGGCCGGAACGGGGTGGGGGGGGGGCAGCACCACGCCAGGCGCCAGGTGCTCATTTGAGGCTGAGTCGACCTAGGGGAGGCCCAGGACCGGTTCAGATAATCGTCACTGGTGGTGGTGGCCGGAGCTTTACACGTTGTGTGTGTGTGTCCACACACGTTGTGTGTGTGTGTCCACACACACACACAACGTGTCCACACAGCGTGTACACACACACAGCGTGTACACACACACAGCGTGTACACACACAGCGTGTACACACAGCGTGTACACACACATAGCGTGTACACACAGTGTGTACACACACACAGCGTGTACACACGCACACAGCGTGTACACACGCACACAGCGTGTACACACACAGCGTGTACACACACAGCGTGTACACACGCACACAGCGTGTACACATGCACACAGCGTGTACACACGCACACAGCGTGTACACATGCACACAGCGTGTACACACGCACATAGCGTGCACATACAGCGTGTACACACACAGCGTGTACACACACAGCGTGTACACACACACAGCATGTACACACACACACATAGCGTGTCCACACACACAGCGTGTACACACACATAGCGTGTCCACACACACGCAGCGTGTCCACACACATAGCGTGTCCACACACACACAGCGTGTACACACACAGCGTGTACACACACAGCGTGTACACACACACACATAGCGTGTACACACATAGCGTGTACACACACACATAGCGTGCACACACACAGCGCGTACACACACACAGCGTGTACACACACACATAGGGTGTACACACAGCGTGTACACACACATAGCGTGTACACACAGCGTGTACACACACAGCGTGTACACACACATACAGCGTGTACACACACAGCGTGTACACGCGTGTACACGCTGTGTGTGTACACACACACACATACAGCGTGTCCACACAGCGATGACCCGGCGAACAGCCACCCTCGCTGTCTCAGCAGTGTCTGTCCGTCCGTCTGTGCGTGTCTGTGTGTTTGTATGTGTGTATGTGTCTGTATGTGTCTGTGTGTATGTGTGTTTGTGTGTGTGTATGTGTTGTCTGTGTGTGTTTGTGTGTGTGTCTGTGTGTTGTCTGTGTGTGTATGTATGTGTGTTGTCTGTGTGTGTATGTCTGTGTGTGTGTCTGTGTGTGTCTGTGTGTCTGTCTGTGTGTGTATGTGTGTTTGTCTGTGTGTGTGTGTGTCTGTGTGTGTCTGTGTGTATGTCTGTGTGTGTCTGTATGTATGTCTGTGTGTCTGTGTGTGTATCTGTGTTTGTATGTGTGTGTATGTGTGTTGTATGTGTGTTGTCTGTGTGTGTATGTGTGTGTTGTCTGTGTGTGTCTGTGTGTTTGTCTGTGTGTGTATGTGTGTGTATGTGTGTCTGTCTGTGTGTGTATGTGTGTGTTGTCTGTGTGTGTCTGTGTGTGTCTGTGTGTTTGTATGTGTGTCTGTCTGTGTGTGCCTGTGTGTTTGTCTGTGTGTGTCTGTGTGTGTTGTCTGTGTGTCTGTGTGTGTCTGTGTGTTTGTATGTGTGTGTATGTGTGTGTGTTTGTATGTGTGTGTCTGTGTGTGTGTTTGTATGTGTGTGTCTGTGTGTTTGTATGTGTGTGTCTGTGTGTTTGTATGTGTGTGTATGTGTGTCTGTCTGTGTGTGCCTGTGTGTTTGTCTTTGTGTGTCTGTGTGTCTGTTTGTGTGTGTATGTATGTGTTGTCTGTGTGTGTGTCTGTGTGTATGTGTGTCTGTCTCTGTGTGTGTATGTGTGTTTGTCTGTGTGTCTGTGTGTGTCTGTGTGTTTGTCTGTGTGTGTATGTGTGTGTCTGTGTGTATGTGTGTATGTGTGTTTGTCTGTGTGTGTCTGTGTGTGTTTGTCTGTGTGTGTCTGTGTGTGTTTGTCTGTGTGTGTCTGTGTGTATGTGTGTGTTTGTCTGTGTGTGTCTGTGTGTATGTGTGTGTGTGTATGTGTGTGTGTCTGTGTGTTGTGTGTGTGTCTGTGTGTGTCTGTGTGCGTCTGTGTGTGTCTGTGCGTCTGTGTGTGTCTGTGTGTGTATGTGTGTATCTGTGTTCGTCTATGTGTGTGTGTATGTGTGTGTGTCTGTGTGTTATCTGTGTGTTCGTAGGTGCTCGCCCCAACTCGCCGTGGCGGGGAGCCATTCTCTGTCGAGTGATCCTTACCAGGCTGCAGTGCTTCCACACTTCGTTAAATACCCAACTCCTGAGCGCCAGAGCCATTGTTGCGGGCCGGCCCCGAACTCTCTCCCCTCTCTCTGCGTCTGTCTCCTGCCCGCGTGGGTGCGAGCAAAGTGGTGCTGTGTGTGTGACAAACTGTGTTGCTGTGTCCCACAGGGTTGAGTAGCAGCAGCAGTACACTGACCAACACCACCCCAGCCCTCATCTCCCTCCTCCTCCTCCCCTCCCCCCAACCCCCCAGCATCACTTCCCCTACCCCCGCACGGAGACAAAGGACGTCCGAGAGCTTTCATCCTCTCCACGATGTTGGGCTGAGTGCTGTTAGCGAGCGCCTATTAAGTCGTGCGTTGGCGTGCCGATGGTGATTGACGGCGTTTGTGATGGTGGTGTGTCCCGCCTTCGTAAGGTGCTCGCCGACGTGGCACTTGCCCCAAGCAGTTTGTGTAGGTTACACGGGGGATCTTTATCTTGTGTGTGTGCCCCGTGTGCCTGGGGGTCAAGGGGAGCGGTGGCGCAGCGGTTAGCGCCACGTCGCGCAACGAACCCGGCGCGTCCCGAGTTCGATTCCCGCTCCCGGCCAACATCGGTGACGATTATCTGAACCGGTCCTGGGCCTCCCCTAGGTCGACTCAGCCTCAAAAGCGGTGTGTAAACGTTGGCACTGGGGAGACGAAGGCGGCCGGGCGTTGTGCTGGCCACCCACCCCCCCTCGTGTGCCACAGTGTTGTGTGTGTCTGTGTGTGTCTGTGTGTTGTCTGTGTGTTGTCTGTGTGTGTCTGTGTGTTGTCTGTGTGTGTCTGTGTGTTGTCTGTGTGTTGTCTGTGTGTGTCTGTGTGTTGTCTGTGTGTGTCTGTGTGTTGTCTGTGTGTGTCTGTGTGTTGTCTGTGTGTTGTCTGTGTGTTGTCTGTGTGTGTCTGTATGTTGTCTGTGTGTTGTCTGTGTGTTGTCTGTGTGTGTCTGTGTGTTGTCTGTGTGTTGTCTGTGTGTGTCTGTGTGTGTCTGTTTGTTGTCTGTGTGTGTCTGTGTGTTGTCTGTGTGTTGTCTGTGTGTTGTCTGTGTGTGTCTGTGTGCTGTCCGTGTGTGTCTGTGTGTGTCTGTGTGCTGTCTGTGTGTGTCTGTGTGTGTCTGTGAGGCTATACGGGCGATCTTTATATCTGGGGTCACCAAGTGGAGAGCGGTGGCGCAGTGGTCAGCGCACTGCGCTACGAATCCGGCGACCGGAGTTCGATTCGCGCTCGTGACCAATGTTAGTGGCGAATATCTGAACCGGTCCTGGCCCTCCCCTAGGTCGACTCGGCCTCAAATGAGAACCCGGTGGAGCTGGCCACACCATCTCCCAGTGCGCGCACTATGCATGCAGGTAGATGCACATGCATCAGGGCTACACACGGCTACATACAGCGTACATACACACAGTGCCGGATTATATTATGATCCTTGCAGCACAAGTAGCTACTACATATGTAGTAGCTACATATGTAGTAGCTACTGGTGTAGTAGCTACTACATATGATGCTACGGGCCCCGCACTTTCAAGGGCCCCGCGCTAAATGCTTTCAAGCTATCAATTCCGGTTCAGCGATTCTGCACTTACTCTATTACTATAGTACTATACTGCCTTCAACTTTTATGAACGAGTTGTTTAAGGTTAGCGATTTGTCGTATTATCTGGCTGTATAGCAAATGAAAAAAATACAATCACGTTACTATGCAAGTAAAAAATGATGTTTATATTTACGTGTTTTTTTTAAATTTAGGGCCCCGTTAAAACATGCTACAGGCCCAGCACTCGCTACATCCGGCACTGTACACACACACACGAAATGCTCGTAGACATACGAGATGCACACAACAAGCAGAGTGCAAAGAGCCAGCAGACAGTTGTGGCGAGTGCAATTAGACTCTCACGTAAGGCTGAGTTGACCTCGGAGTACTCAACACACACAGAATGCGTGTGACAGTCTACCAGACTGTTTTAACTCTCATCCCCACCGTGTTCAACCAGCTGATGGCAGGTCACAGCAACGCACTTACTCGCACCCTAACGCACCCACCACTCACCCAACAACAACCTCGAGTCGGCGCTTGTGCCAGGCTAGGTGCACTTTAAGGCCACGTGAAGTGTCGACCGCCCGCTGGCAGGAGGTCACGGGAGAGACCCAGCAGGTGTCATTGGTTGACTGACTGAGATGACTGGCAGATGCACCACCTGTGCCCCCTACTGTGCCAACTTGCTGTGTTTTATTCGCCCGGCGCTTTACGCGTTGTTGTGAGCGTCGCTCCTCCGCCCTCCGTTGTTATTGGAGGGCGACTGCCTCCAACTGCTCAGTAGCGTCCTTCACGAGCCTCCTCCACAGATGCCGATCTTGACACCGCTGGTACCAGTCATCGGCAAGTCCACTCAGCTCCACATCCTCCTGTACCACATCACTCCATCTCTTCTCTAGCCCGTGCCGCTCACTGTTAAGCCCCCTCGATCCGGTCGAACAAAAGCTGTTTAGGCACGCGGTGGCTGGGCATGTGGGCTACGTGACCCAGCCAACGCAGCCTTGCCTGCCGGAGGGTCTCAACGATGCAACTCTTTCCAGCTCGTTCGAGGATTTGTGAGCTCCTCACACAATCCAGCCTGGTTAAACCCAGGATGGATCGTAGGCGGGCCAGCTTGAATGTTTCTAACTGGCGAAGATGTTTCATGGGGGGGGGGGGGGGTCCACGTTCCGCAAGCATAGAGAAGGGAGGGAATGACCGTGGCCTACAAGACCCGAATCTTTGTGTGGAGCGACAGAACAGGTAGCTTCCACAAAGCGTTGCGCAGCCGATGAAAATATGCGGCTCGACTAATTCGGAGTAAGAACTCTGCTGTCAAACCATTCACTCACTCACCCACTCACCTACTCACTCACCCACTCACCCACTCACTCACCCACCCACCCACTCACCTACTCACTCACCCACTCATCCACTCACTCACCCACTCACTCACTCACCCACTCACTCACTCACCCACCCACTCACCTACTCACTCACTCACCCACCCACTCACCCACCCACTCACCCACTCACTCACTCACCCACTCACCCACCCACTCACCTACTCACTCACTCACTCACCCACTCACTCACTCACCCACTCACTCACCCACTCACCCACTCACTCACTCACCCACCCACTCACTCACTCACCCACCCACTCACTCACTCACCCACCCACTCACCTACTCACTCACCCACTCACTCACCCACCCACTCACCTACTCACTCACTCACCCACCCACTCACCCACCCACTCACCTACTCACTCACTCACTCACCCACTCACTCACCCACTCACTCACCCACTCACTCACTCACCCACTCACTCACTCACCCACTCACTCACTCACCCACCCACTCACCTACTCACTCACTCACCCACTCATTCATCCACCCACCCACTCACTCACCTACTCACCCACTTACTCACCCACCCACTCACCACGCGGTAGGTCACCTCACTCCTCTTTCTGCTTCTTTCCCTGCACTGCTCCCCTCTGGAACCCGCTCCTCCCATCATCGCCTCTCTCCCCAAAGCTCTTATCATCACCTGGCACGATTCAAGATACGCGTTACACGCGCATCTGTTACAGCTGCCATAGTGCTATTTGTTGCTGACCGCTTGGCGTCTGGGCCCCATTTACTCATCAGGAACAGTGATTTCTTTTTTTTAAACACAGGAAATACACACACATCCACACACATCACTCGCCCCACCACGAACATGAACACAGCATTTTAATATCAACACAACATCGAGTCGTGTCCAGTCAATCTAAACACGCGTCGTTATATACAGCGCTAGCTCGACTAACACGAGGAAGTATTTAGTGAGTGCTGAATGTTTGCGACCGCCGTTTACAGCAGAACCCCGGCCCTGCCGCGTGCCACCCCGGGGACTCCGGATCAGTTCCACGGTGGCTAGGAGATGTTGACTACCTCGCCTGGTATGCAGGAGGTCGTGGGTTCGATCCCGACCCTGTTGCCTGCTGCTGTATATTTAGAGTGTGTGTGTATCTCATCATCATCACGGTGGCTAGGAGATGTTGACTACCTCGCTCGGTATGCAGGAAGTCGTGGGTTCGATCCCTACCCTGGTGATGCCTGCTGCTGCTATATATTTAGAGTGTGTGTGTTTATCATCATCATCATGGTGGCTAGGATATGTTAACTACCTCGCCTGGTATACAGGAGGTCGTGGGTTCGATCCCGACCCTGACGACGCCTGCTGCTGCTGTATATTTGGAGTGTGCGTCTCTCTCATCATCATCACGGTGCCTAGGAGATGTTAACTACCTCGCTCGGTATGCAGGGGGTCGTGGGTTCGATCCCCACCCTGACGCCTGCTGCTGTATATTTGGAGTGTGTGTCTCTCTCATCATCATCACGGTGCCTAGGAGATGTTAATTACCTCGCTCGGTATGCATGGGGTCGTGGGTTCGATCCCCACCCTGACGCCTGCTGCTGTGTATTTGGAGTTATCGAGTCGCCGTCTCTCCCCGTTGTCGCGTGGATTTTCCCGCTGGGTCCTCCGATTTCCCCTCCACGTTTAGAATCATCACGCATTGAGATCATTCAGATCATTTTGCTGCTATAAATTGCCAAATCATGGGCCACTTTGTTGAGCTGTCATTTGTGGTCAGGTTGATTCTGAAAAAATAAGTGAATGCCTCAGTGGGCTTTGTTTGGAAAGACGGAGATGGATTAGCGTTGTATTGTGTCTGGTTGATGTGTGTTGTCTTTCTTGTACTGTTCACTACGATCCTGTTTGTGTACTGTGTTTGTTGTTGTTGTACTGTTCACTACGATCCTGTTTGTGTACTGTGTTTGTTGTACTGTTCACTACGATCGTGTTTATGTACTGTGTTTGTTGTTGTTGTACTGCTCACTACGATCCTGTTTGTGTACTGTGTTTGTTGTTGTTGTTGTACTGTTCACTACGATCCTGTTTGTGTACTGTGTTTGTTGTTGTTGTACTGTTCACTACGATCCTGTTTGTGTACTGTGTTTGTTGTTGTACTGTTCACTACGATCCTGTTTGTGTACTGTGTTTGTTGTTCTTGTACTGTTCACTACGATCCTGTTTGTGTACTGTGTTTGTTGTTGTACTGTTCACTACGATCCTGTTTGTGTACTGTGTTTGTTGTTCTTGTACTGTTCACTACGATCCTGTTTGTGTA